CCCCAAAAAAAACAGCCTGTTGCGAATCCCCTCCCCTCCCCCCACGCCTTTGTTTACCTGTTTCCCTTCCCCCTCGCGTCCACGGCATATTTCCTCAATTGTCGCATCCCGCGTGATCCAGATGATGTGGCTATGCACTTCCCGAGTCATACACTCGCCATTTCTGGTGTCCGGGAACATCCAATTCTCCGAGAATGAATCAGTAGTGTCATGCATCTGGACGCTTTCGTCGCCGTCGCGCAACACGAGCCCCCGTCCGCGACCTACCCTTCCGCATGCCCTGCCCCTCCTTTCTTACTTGCAGCGCTTTTCCACAATGCTGGCCCCATGTTCTTCGTACTCCTTCTTAGATATCCACATCTGATGGAATGTTCCCAGGCTCGCCACGATGCTCCCGCCAATCCAGCTGCCAAACTTGCGCTCCACTGGCATTCCCGACGCTTGAATTCGCACTCGTGTGTTGGGATATTGCTTGCTCAGCTCCTGTTGAATCCGGTCTGGCAGCCCGCGGATGAGCGATCCTGCACCTGTCACGACCACATTGCCGAGCAAAAACGGTCGGATGTCCACGTCCACTTGGTTAAGGCTGGCCTTGACCAATCCAGTCACTGTGCCCTGTGCGTCGGGGGCCGGATACAGCTGAGCTTCCTCAGACTCGGATACGGGCGCATAGTAGCACTGCGGGTCGAATATCGACTCCACCAGTCTGAACCGTTCGGATGAAAATGTCTGATTATACCCGTCTGGAAACTCAAACGGATGGGCGTATTGTTGCTCCCGCGCTATCAGTTCGCCCTGTCCCCGAAACGGCGTATTGGGATTTGTCCATGCCTGGAGGGCGATCTCCTTAAATTCGAGTATCACTTTCTCTTCCTGATAGCGTCGGAACGACGGTCGCGGCGGCTGGAACCCTTTTGGGAACTGCTTCAACACCGCATTTGCCGGCTGTCCTGCATCCACCGGCTGTTTCGACTGAACGAGATAATGGGGTGTAATGGTTATCGGGTCTGGCTCGTTGGCTTCAAGCATGTTGCGTACCTGCGAAGATAGGAAGTTTCCTCCGATGTTTGACCGCATGATGCCCTTCTTCAAAATCATGCCATCGTGCACTGGTGTAACCGACACTTGGGACGCGCCAAAATCCAGCACTAGCGCTGTAGGCCTGCCTGCCGCGGCCGCGCTCATGACTCCAGCTCTTCCAAGGTAGAATGCCGGCGCCGCCCATGATTCCAACGCAATCTCCACGCACTTTTCTCGCGCCTTTGTAGGGTTCCATGATGGTTCCGTCATGAAGAGAGGGTGATCTTCAAGGCACCGTTCGGTATCGACCGCCTCGGCCATTGCCTTTTGAAGGTCGGGTACGGCCTGGGGGTCGTTGAGCCACTCTTGGAGCGCCCTGTTCGGTCGGACGCCTGTCAGTTTGTGCGCAAAGGAAAACTTCCAGAGAGCTTCGGCTGCGTCCCAGTCTTCCACGATGCCATCTCTTCCCATGGGATTTTTGATGTCGACATCTTCACGAGGCACATCGATCACATGGTCACCAAAGAATCGTTTTGAACCGGTCGAAGCGTAGAATGTAGGAACAATCGACTTGGGAGTATCTTCGCCCGCAAAGCCCGCCCGCACACTGGAGTAGCCTGGGTCAAGCACCAAGGCAGACACTTCATCTATCCGTTCCCCCTCCGTTAGCGAGCGCCCCAGGTAGAGAACAATGACAACATATTGGGTACAAGGTTGCAAGTCTGATTCATACCTCCGGCGTATTCTGCGGCTTTGGGCTCATCTCTCGACGTCAATGTAGTTGCCATTGTTGGCCGGGAATTGGTGCGCAAGACGAATGGACTCAAAAGGGTGTCATCGAGTCACCAGGTACAGCTACGCGTTGCCCCTCCCGCACGAAATAGCTTTAGCTTGCGCGCAGTGAGGTGCGTCTCTAATGGGTTTGCCGTTCGAGACGCGCCGCGAAAAACCGCCAAGGTATTGGGCGGAACCGGAAAAATGTGACTCCGTCTTCCCACCTGCAGCCTTGTGCAGGCTTCATAACCGAACTTGCGAGATTAAAACAGCAGTGCATATTGATTCATCGCGAACTACAGTAACTACTCACATGCGTGGATAGTTGGTAAAGCAGAGGAATCCACAACGGGACGTACTAGCTCGGAAAGTCCTACGGTCGCCCGTACGAAGTACTACAACGTTAGCCCATTGAGGTGTGCAGAAACGCTTTGGACTCTCCAACCCGAAAGAAATCTCGATGGCAGTTTGCAGAAAAATGGGGCGTCCACTGGTCTCAGCGGTCTACCAAAAAAACCTTATTGGTAACTTCGAAGGGGAACTCGAACAGTGAGCTGTACTGACAAAGATTCACTGTGTTTGCAAAAGAAGAAACAATGTACAAATAACAAGCACTCGCCCTGTTGAAACGTAGAAAACGATGGCTTACCTGGGAAATACAACTCACACGCCCTCGCAAAGGCAGGGAAGAGATAGTTCAGCTCAGTGAAAGTCCAACTTGGACGCGAGCCAACCACCACGGTATATCGCGGCGTCTTTTCCCGTTGAGTGATTTCCCCTGCTATGGTGCGTCTGTCATTTCCGCGTCTTCAGGCTGATGTGCCTTAGCCATATATTGGAAATGTTTGTTCCAAAACACTTTCCATAATTGATGTGCCCAGCGCCTATGTTTCAAATGGGACGAAAAAGCATGTGCAATACTAGGTCCGTTAGTGGCACTCTGGTTGGGGTGTAGCGACGACGTTAAGCGTATGACATTTTCCTCGTAGCGCTTTGCGGGTCCGCTCTCGAATATGCTGATCCAAAGGAGCAGATGCTCCTCTAGGACATCGATCGTCCAGTATTCTTGTGTCCCTTCTTCTCTGGCCAGTGACCACCCCAGGAAGTCAGACATGGGGCTTCCCATGTGAATCAAAGCCCAACAGACGAGGGATGACTCTGGAGGTGGATTGCGACATTGCGAAAGGCGATCACGGTGGGCGCTAAGGCAACCGATGAGCATGGCAAAATGAGCGCGAATTCCCTTGTCGGGTGTGCAAAAATTGACAAATGCTTCCCAGTGCTCCGTGGATCCAAACCGGGCCTTTTCAGCATGCTGGTTCAGGATTTTTCCAGGTTCCTTGCCATCACAATACAAATGATGGTATGCACGAGTCTTCTCCAGCGGGGAAAAATCGACGGTTGGAGGGCTCATGTTAGTCTCAGCAATGTCTGTATCACTGCAGGAAATACCGCAGTTATGGCCGCAGATAGGGCATCCCGATGCCGGATTGAAGCTTCCGTTCATTTTGAGGTTGTATCCAAACACCCGTTGAGAGTGAGGACTGCGGGATTCTGATCAATGATTATCCTTGTGGATGTATCGGATGCTGTTTACAGATTGATTATCGGTAAGAGAAGTGCCACTATTGGAGCGGAAGGACTGTCGACGATCGAAGACATGATACAAAAATCCGCTCTTTGAGGCATTGACATTTGATAGTCGTTGAATGGGCTTTGTCCTGTCCGCTCTTCGCGTCACAATGACTCCATTAAAAGTCGGCTTTCTGCTGTGCATTTCCATTGAAACCATGTTCGTGGGACACCCTTTATCCACAATGGTCTTTGAGATAGTTGATCCCGATAACGAAACTTTTTCTCCTTTGGCGGCAGCTGAGACGTCCACTTCAAATCTTGCCCTCGTCGGTCATCCTCCGAATTCGATTCAGTAACACAGTTCCCTGGCGACCGAGCTTGATTTTCCCATCTTTACCAGGTCTTCTAGCCTTTGCCATGGCTCTGTGTTCCTTCTCACGAGCCTGCATAGCTTTTCTTTTCGATTCGAGTTTCGCTTTGTGGTGAGCCGCAAGCTCTATTTCTTTCTTGTAGCGTGATTGCTTCGGAGGACGCTTCCTCGATTGGGTATAGAGATTTCTACTCGGCTTCTCGGCTTCACTCTTGTCTGGTTGCAAATGTGGATCGACCACATCCAGTCTCTCGAGCATTGCTTGTCGATCTGGATGTAATTCGAGGCGTGCGGGAGCATTTTCGGGCAGGATATCGACCAGGTCACCCTCAGCATGAGACTGCGTAGTGGTTCGTTCAATTTGTGCAGCCTCCTCTTGAGCCTTTACTTTTGCATAGGCCTTTTTCACCTTTGCTTTTTGGATAAGGTCATTTTTGATCTTTTGTGCTAGCAAATGTTAGCACAAGGACACCCTACACAAGGCGAGGAGTATTACTTTTGCGCCTGTAAGTGCCATCGGGAAGATTTGCTGGACCGACAGAGAATCCTTTGCGTTTCTTCCTGTCTGGGTCCTTTGAGCCAACGAGTGAATTGTCGCTGGCTCGCTTGAGACTCATCTTGTCTAGTCTATGTCCTCTTTTCAAAGTTCAGAAGAGCGCATACTGGGTAAAGATAGGAGGAGGAAGCAGAGGCGGCGGACGGTTTGGTGTTCGGAATGCGGGGTGCGGGAAAATGAATTAGAATGAGGGTATGGAAGGGATATTGCGGAGTGCAATAAGTCTTGTCAGATCTCGCACAGCGTTCTGCTGCGTCCTCTAGGATCGTGGTCCGCCCTTTTTGGGAAATAGATTGATGCCGCCCTTACGGACAATTTGGCTTGGCATCGGTCTAATTGATTTTATCACAACGTCCACGATAAGTACACAAGTCTGCTTCAGCGGAACCGCCGCCCTAGTACTCAATGAATTGACTGGGACTGCTGTGCTTGAATGGGCTTCAAAATGGACCGCGACTTGTTCACCTCCCGAGACAACCTCTGCACCAATATAAGCAGCTTAACCGCTAATGCATTCGAAAATATTGCACGAAATCGTCGCCATTTCTCTGATCTCGCCCTCCTGGAACATCCTTACACTACTGGGCGTGCATGCTTCTTCCTTTCTATCCGGTTGACTTTGTCGTGTGCAACCTCCCCAGCTGCCTTGTATCGACAGACAGGGCCACAAAGTTTCGGAGAAAAAAAGACATGTCAGCCAGCTCCGCTGAGCTTTTCAGAGTGAGTTCAATTTGTGACAGCCAGCGGTGAGCTCACTCGCGTGCAGGGAGCCCAAAAACAGTGGCACCGGTGGCAGGGAAGCACCCAAAACGGCAGCCATTGTCCTAAAACCAAGCGTTCCCTGGCAGATCTAGGTAAGTGAGTCGAGGTGGGTCTAATAATAAACAATAGCGTCGATTATCTTCTGAGAAACTGAAAATTACAACTAGTGATATGCCTTGCAAGCCTTGTTGGCCTTCGTAACGGTTTTGAAATTACCTCGAATTAGAACAACGCCTCCCGCAGCCTCGCACACGATCAGCCCATGAGCCGGGGGTGCCATATCCAAAGGGCACGCAAGGGCAATTTCCCCACGCCATCTCCTCAACTGAAAATGGTTCAAGCTTCTCAAGCTTCTCAAGCTTTCAGTCGTGTATGAGCAGGGGTCGCAAGCCTCTCCGAACGTTGTGAGATGTCGGAGGAAACACTCTTCAATCATGTCTTTTCTCCGTCCTTGTCGACCCGAATCCACTTTCTCCAAGAGCACACGTTATTCTATTCTCTGTTCCTCACATCTTCCTGGAGCATTTCTCTTTTCGACATCAATCCCCATGCGGAGTACCCTTCTTCGGGTTCTCCACGTGGATTGACGCTGTGCAACCATTATTCCTGAAAGATTCGACCGTATCATCCGTTCAATTGTTTCGTGACACACTCTAATTCACCTCTCGAACTTCCCTCGAGGCCCTCAACCCTCGAGGCAACAAAGACATGAAGACGCCAACACTCAATTTCGCAGCCATGAGCACTCTATTATCGTTGGCTATAGGTACATGCCTTCCGCCTGCGGCAGGGCAAGGATCGGATCTGGCTCATTATATGTCGGTAAGAGCTGCCAGGAAGGATCGCTGCCATACAAGTGACCGTTTCTTACATGGCTCTCCGTAGCGACCAGACCTGCGTGCCCCTCTCTTGAAATTGGATACGTATGAAGCAGACGCAGTCACACCAGGATACTGGTTCACGTCCCCTTTCAAGCATCTTGCGGTTGGCAGAATGGAGAATGAATACATCCCATATTAGAATGGTCCGCATATCTACAATCATCGAGGAGTGAGTCAGTTGAGCATCCCTGCCGGTATCCGTCCCTGTATTAATTTTGTTAGGAATTGGTGTGGAGTGGCGGTCCCATATTTGAGTATCGCAACGTCTTTGACTTTCGAGTGGGTGAGGTCAACGGCTCTAAAGTCTTGACTGCAATAGTCGATTCTGCACGCCTCCTCAAATCCAATTACTCCATGGGACAGACTGGATTCATCATCAGCGAGAAATATGAGGTAGCCCAACAGATCGAGCTTACCAAGACGTACAATATGCATGAGTTTAACAGTGTCGGCGACAACCGAATTATTACTGCCACCAGCGGCGACGCAGTTGCTGACCTCATCGACATGGGCATGCCGAATAAGACTATCAGGGTCAAATCAGGAGGTTTCCGCGAGTGGGATGTCACTTCCGGCAAGAATGTGTTTGAGTGGCTGACTGCTGATCACGTTTCCGTCAACGAATCAATGATGGAATTGCCGAGCGAGCTTTACAGGACCTGGGATTCTTTCCACCTGAATTCTATTACCAAGGATACCGGCGGCGACTATCTCGTCTCTCTTCGTCACACCAATACCATCTATAAAGTCTCTGGTAAAGATGGCTCCATCACCTGGCGCCTGGGGGGAAAGTATGGTGATTTCCAGCAGAACTTCAATTTTTCCAGCCAGCACCATGCTCGAATCCTGGCTGAGGATGCTACGGGAATGACTATTACCCTGTTCGACAACGCTGCCGACGACCGCGGTGCTCAAGCCAACACCGCTGACGCCTCTTCGATGCAGGTGGTCAGAATCTATGATCGCGAGGAGCCACGGCGGGCGGAGCTTTTGGCCCAGCACGTCCGGCCTGACGGTCAGTTGACTGATAAACGTGGCTCGGCTCAAATCTTGGAAAGTGGCCATGCTTTCATCTGCTGGAGTATGAAGGGGTATATCAGCGAGCACACTTCCGACGGCCGCGTTGTTTTAGAGGCGAGTTTCCTCGGCGATCGTTTCGACTCGTACCGCGTGTACCATTTTGCCGACTGGGTTGGACGACCTGCCGAGCCACCAGCTTTGATATCGTACGCTCACTCTGGTGGCTCGCTGAAAAGACTTCCCTCAACCGTCCTGTATGTGAGTTGGAACGGTGCGACCGAAGTGGCCTCGTGGACTTTCTACGGCACATCCAGCGCTGTCGGAAGCAACGAAACCTTCCACAATCTCGGCAGCGTGTCGAAAGTTAGCTTCGAAAGCAGCATGGCCGTCGACGGATACTGGTGCCACACATACGCCGAGGCGTATGATGCTCATGGAAATCTCCTGGGCAAGTCGGAAGTGAAGGAAACCATCCTTCCTGAGCACGCCGAAAGTCGGTTTGAGGAAGATGACCACGGCAGGAGCCATTCCTTCAACGCCAGCCTTTCTGTGTTGGAAAGCGCGCTGACCGTGCAAGCGTCGAAACCAGTGGCCGGCGTCCTTACCTTTGTCTCGCTCGCCTGCGTCCTTTACACAGCTATTTCGCTCTCCTTACGGGCTTGGAGCTGTTGGCGACTGCGGTCCCGTCGCCATCCCTACCGTGGACTGCAAGATCATGAAAGGACGTCGAGTGAGGATGAGGTCTACTCTCTGTACACATACCCCGACGCCAGTTTGGAAGAGAAAGACATCAGTGATGATGATGGTGATGATGACGACGGCAAAGTTGGGTGACAGAATACGCGGGAAGAAGGAGATTCTATAGTTCGAGATAGAATTCATATTCGTTTCCAGCTTACACGGCTCAAAGAAACCCACAAAAATGCACTCCGCATGTACGGAGTAACAAATAACAATTGACAGGGGACAAAATGTTGTCAGCTATCGTCCCCGGTGCGTGCGTGTGCCACAGAAGCATATGGGGATTATTACAGAGTTCAACCGCATTTGACACTTCGACCGGAAGGAGGATGACACACTGCAATCTTGCTCGGGTCTGCAAGTCAGTATCCATTGATCCATGTATCGAGCCGTCCGTCCGTCCGCTCACGGCATTGAAGCCAATATCCTTCCTCCCTTTCCCTTCCTAAGCATCTACGAACTCGAACTCGAGCCTGTGATCGCTGGGATCGCCGCATCGATTCCGCCACAGTAGGCGTTACCTACGACGAGGTCCCCACCTGGTTCGGTTATGGCCGTGGACGGGGTTGGTCGCTGGGTCGGGACAGGCGCCGTCGGTTTGGCCGATGAAGCAGTTGTCACCGGTATTGGAATTGCTTACGAAAGCCCAGACGGACGTGTCTCCGAGCGTGATGGCGGCGACGCAGCAGTCTAAGAGAAAGGCACCATAGGTTAGTTGTCACGTTTAGCCTTTCAGGGGTTGGGGAACACGAATGGAATATGTGTTGGGCCCCTGGAATCGTCCGCCTGGTCCAGAACATTTGCACTAGTATTATATAATCCAGGAGAAGAGAGGAAGGGCTGACCGTATGCGGTGTCTGTTTGGGTGTCGAAGACGGTCTCAAAGCCTCCTACGACCTCGACAAAAGGCGTACCTAGGTATAGATCTAAAGAACGACGTGTATGGTCAGTCTCGTTTGTTTTTCCCGAGTATTGTGAAGAAACAAAACACAGTGAGGGTAGGGTTCAGTCCGAGTGCGCTTTTCTGCCGGGTTGGCCCCGAAACATATGCGGATTGAATTGGAGAAGACCAAACTTACCGGCAAGATTGTTGGTCGCACAGGCTGCGTAGACTGTAGTAGTTGAGAGGAAGGTCGTCATCACTGATGTCGAAGTGCTGGTTGAGGTCTCGGTAGCAGTGATGACCGTTGAAGTCGTTGCCGTGCTTTACGGTGGTGGTGGTGCTAGACGGAATCGAAGTCTTGGTGATAGTCGAGGTGGAGATGGCGGTAGTGGTCGTTGCTGTGGCGGTGATGGTAGACGTAACGGTCTTGATCGTTGTCGCACACGCCTCTGGGACCCAGTGATGGCAAGGGACTCCCTTGGGATAATGCCACCCGCTAAGACCTGGCTGTGACAATGGATTACTGCTAGCCTTGCCGCGTCCGGCCTTGGCTTCTCTCTTGCCAACGGCACCAACGGGGTCAGAACCGCCTGATCCAGAGTAGGTGGAGCCTGGAAGGGAAGTCTGAACAGGAGTGAAGGTCGCAGGCGCAGCTACCGTCAACGTCTCGGTTGAAAACGTAGTGGTAGTAGTGGTCGTAGTTGTAGTATCTGTTGTCGTGGTTGTGTCGATGGTGTTGGTGACCGTCGTGGTCTGAGTTACGGTAGAGAATGAGGTGGGTCCCTCCGGGATCGTAGTGCTGGTGACGGTAACCGTGGATGTAATTGGAGCTGGTGTCAAGACCTTGGTGGCAGTGGACGTGAGAGTGGTGGCACAGGGCTTATACCGGGTGCTCCAGGTCGTGGCAGTGTTCCAGAGGCCACTGCTTGTACCCATTCTTGTATAACATTGTGTGCTAGTTGAAGAAGCCGAAGGACCTGGGTTGTTGTTTGGCGGCCCTCGGGGAGCGGCAGCAGTCAGCGCCGTCCATGAGGCCAAAACGGACAGGACGGATGAGGATAAATGCATGACGGCAGCCTGGGGAAACGAACGGCGATAGTTGGATAGTTGGATAGTTGGAATAGAAATGCGAAAACGAATGGAACGAGCAATGGCTCTGAAAGACTGAAAGCGAGGGACTGAACTATACAACCAGAAAGAGAACTTACCGAAGCAGATATGAATCCTCGGTCCTACGGGAACAGCATTGTCATGGCTTTTGAGATGGTCGATCCGGGCACATCATGGCATTGATATTGTGGAAGCGTGAGGCGTAAGTACGGGGGCGCTGGCACGGGAAATTGAGATTTTCTCCATCCACGCAATGGCGTACTAAATAAAACCACCCAAGTAAACGAACTAGGTAGATGGCTACACTACTCAACGGGTAGTAGAATGGGAGAAGGGTGGACTTACGAGCCATCAATACCTGGAAGTACAATTACTTTTGCATGTTCTCTCTCGAGAAGATGTTGAAGGTGACCTTCTCTAAAAGTTGATATGAGTATGAACGACCAGGCCCTCTTGTATCATACCAAGCTTTGTCGAAGCCACCAAGCAAGCGAGATAGCGAGAACTCAACTTCTGCACTTATCCACTGATGCAATTCTCTTTCTCCATGAGGCAAAAAGCGGGTTTCTGGGGGGGAGAGGGGCCACATACTTCGTACTGGGTAGTGGGTATCACCTACCGCATCCTAACTCTCCTGATTCAGCTTGGATCACCCTTCACCATCCCGCCTCATCTCGCATCGCTTGAGAGCGTGAAGGGAGCGGCACCGCAATAGGTAGGATGAGGCTGGCTGACGACGGCGTAGATCACCACCTTACCCACGCGCTAATGACCGCTTATGGAGCACTTGAGGTTAGACGTTGTAATGTCCGGTAACCTACCAGTGCCTCGTACAGCCTTGCCCGCGCGGCAGCCTTGTGGTAGACATTCACCCCTAGAACGAAAACGGAACGAGTCATTGACTAATAGGGCAACTGCAGCCACGATATGCTTGAGCTCACCATCACGTCCGTCTAGCAAAGCGGCGATGTGCTTACATATCCCTAGGGAATGTTGGAATGTTGACCAAGGACCGAGAGTATCTGGCTTGCTGGGTACCGAGTGTTACTTACTACGGAGGAGGCAGCCAGAAAGTGGTGCTGGACGGAGTACCCGGTACCCAGGACGTGTTACATAGCCTGCTGCCTGACTCCCTACTGGGTACTTCTTAAGTGGCGCCCGTCCTCGCCGCCCATTGCCCGTCCCCCATAGTCAGAGCTTGGGTTGGTAGGCCAGCCATTTCACCATACGCCGTACTTGGACCGCGATCTTAGGGAAGAAATCTTATACGAGGTCCTCCGTGCTTGAACTTGCCTTGTTGGATCTGAGGTTACCCACGGGCCACGGCTCTCCGTATCGATACAACGGTGGCTGGGGCACAAACCCTGACAGCGCATTGTGTCTACCCAGTACTGTGCCACGCGGCAGAATATGGTTTCCACACTTCTGTCTTTTGTCCTTCAGGCATAAATTCGGTGCCGAGCGGCGCGGGAATATTTGTACTTAGGTACAGGCTGTCAACTTCATTTGGCCCTCAGTCGCCGAATCACGGGCTTGACGATGGGCAGCGGTGGGGTTGATGATGACCCTCCAAAAGCCGGGCACACAGGCGGAGAAGTGCCCTTGGCGTGCAAAACGACGTGTTGAGGGTGCGTCCGGATGACTCAATCACTCCACCACCTGCGGCCTGGTCTTGTACCTCGCAGACCCTCCCCAACCTGACCTGGGCAATGCAATGCACTTGAAACCGTTCTTTCTGACCTCGTAATTACTTTCATCCACCGCTGAGCTGTTGCCCTTTCTGCTCACCATTTGACCTCGATTGTCCTTGTAGTCTCTCATTTCCTGTCAGCTGGCTATTCCGGCCCTGCATCCACAGGGCCTCCTCTACTTGCTGCGTCCCTCCATCGTCATATCCACCACCGAGACACACCGCAGGCGATCAATCATGCAACCATAACTCAGCGTCCTGTCGTCTCGTCGTCTCTCCCGGCCCCTGCGATCCGGTCGTGATGTTTCTCAATTGTGAAGTCTTTCCAGTCAGGGCGGCTTATCTTGGCAGCCTATCATTTCTGCTTTGTGTCGGCGAGCATCTGTTGTCTGAGGGAGGCGAGCATGCCCTTTGTCTGGGATCGTGAGCCACCAGCTAAAAGACGGAAATTGTGTTCAAACATGGCTCGGTACAGCACGCCACAATATGAAGACAACGATGAGGAACAATTTCCATTTGAACATGCATCAAGCTCGGAGGGATATCGTGACCCGAATCGGGACGGAGACCGAGGGAGCAAGGCGATACCAGTCCGGACAAGTGACAGAGAGGAGTTGATCCAGTGTATTAAACGGGGTCAGCGGACAACATGGGTTCCCAAACCGGGATTAGAGGCTTTATGTGCTGCAGTTAGTGTCGAACAGGATCCCTCCTCGCCATCTACCTTGCCCTCGCAACAGTGTGATTCTCAACCTGACCACAGCAAAGGGTCTCGAGTGGGATTGGCGGATACAGGAACAAGACCACTCCCGCTCTCCGCAGAAGATGCTTTGCGACGCTCTATGTCTCCCTTGCATACGGGCGATTTTCTCGGCGACTTTTGGGACACGGCAGCTCGAATTCCCCAGCAGCAGCCTGCTGCAGGCCTTTCCACACCGAGAAGGCAGGATTCCCAACCCGAATATGATGATTCTCCTCCATTCTGGCAAGCGGAAACGTCTCCGATAATGAGCCTCAAGTCGCAGCAGAGTTCTCCTTCGGATATACTCCGAAGGTCGCGAGCCCCTTCTCTGGGAAGCAGCTTGTCTTCGAGTTTCGTCATGAGAATTCCCACAAGCCCACTTGTTCACGCGACGAACAATCCTACACTGGATTTCTCGCTGAGGGATCCCCAGAAAACCGAGCTTGGCAAATCGGCGAGAAGGAGAACGATGCCTCCCAACGCCTTTGAGTCTTTGCACATGTCATCTATCGACAACGGCACACCGAACTTCAGCCGCCCCTTACCCTACGTGCAATCGCAACCCCGGGAGGACCTCTCATTCCCTCATGGACATCGACCACGTCGTTCGTTAAGCTCTTTCACGTATCAGCCAGCTGTCGTTCCCCAGGTCCCTCCTTGGCTGAGACAACGTCGACCTTCTTTGGCAGCAGATGGATCTCCCCGACATCGGGCTTCTATGGTCGGGTCTTTTGAGGAGTCCATTCTACGTGGCAGGATGTCGACTCCGCCTTCGAAGCCTCTCGACTTTGTGGCACAAATTGGTGTTATGGGGAAAGGTAACTGCCCTGCCAGCCTGAAGTGTCCGGCCCACGTAACCGTTCCGTTTCCGGCGGTCTTCTATAATTACCCTTCGGCAAGTGCGTCCAGATCAATCTCAGACGACAACCCCAGTCCTTATGTTGGCAACATCGACCTAGAACATAACTTGAAAGCACCGGAAGAACCGCGCCGCCGTGTACGACGGTCTCAAGCTATTCTTGATCCGGAAGCATTGGCGGCTGAAATCACAAAGCCCGAAAACACGGCAATTGGCAAAGCATTGGCCAAAGAGGCCCGAGAAAGGAAAGGGAACACTGCGATATCACCTAAAGTTCCTCCTGGGGGAGCATACCGGGTACCGCAGAAAGGACAACTTCAGCTCATTATAAAGAACCCCAACAAGACCGCAGTCAAACTATTCCTGGTGTCGTATGATCTGGAAGGCATGCTTCCTGGCACAAAGACCTTCGTTAGACAGCGAAGTTATTCGTCTGGCCCGATAGTCGAAGCTGGAGGATCGGAGAAACAAGCCGCCTTGGCTGCTCGGGATCCTCGGAGTACAAAGGACATCCTTCGTTATCTCGTCCACCTCAAATTTTGCTGTACGGCAAAGGGCCGTTTCTATCTTTATGACAACATTCGCGTGGTCTTTGCCAACCGCGTGCCAGATGACAAGGAGAAGCTGCGGAGTGAGGTTCAGCTGCCAGAACCACGATTCACGGCCTACAAACCAGCAATGGAGCGGCATTCGCGAAGCCCGAGCGTGGTTGATGGAAAGATCTCTCCTCACTCACAGCCCCGAATTACCTCTGATTTTGAGAAGCTGGACGACGTGGTCGGTTCTAGCAGCACGGCCAACCATTTCATCCAATTGCGGAGCTCACCCCCTACCTCGTTCCACCACCTTTCTCCAACCTCGACGTTCGACCGTGACTCGCCAAGGGCTGGGCTAGCTGTGCGGGAGGAGGAAGAGGATACTGAAGTCGAGCGCACGGTTTCTCCTACTCCTGGCTTTTTACCTTCGACTTCGGCCCGAAGTTCGCCAGTGCCATGGCCCGCTTCCACCGGCCCTTCCATAGCACAAGGCTTCTCTGCCACTCCTGTCGAGGCGGGACATGGTTTACTCTCACGCAAACTCAGGGAATTCAATGGGACGGCTGCGGGACAGAGTGAGTAGCGCCTGAGAGAGACGATGAAGGAGTTCTGGGTGCTACATTTCGATATGGAATTGGAGATACCCACTTGTTAGTAAACGTGAGAGGAGAGGCCACTTGCGTAGGACGGTGTGGTTTTGAGACACATATATATATATATTCATATACCGAGTATACTTGCTCGGTGCCATCCGCGATTTGCATGAAATCAAATAGAGATCTGTGCTGTATCATCTCCTTAGCCGTTCAAGCAATACAGAGTACATGACGCCATGAGCCACAGCAGAACAGGTCATGTGGCAGACGAGGCGCAACTCGTCCTTGTACTTGTTATGTTCAGCAGACGGTGGTGTGGAGGGTGGGCGTGGGGGCGGAGCAATGCATCATGCGTCTTCCGCACCAAGGTTCCCGTTCGTCATGGTCCTTATGCACAGCCTAGAAGCACCCGAGGCCGACGGCCACTGGCAACTGCAGCTGGTCGCGTCAAGCTCATTCCTCTGCTTGTTTGTGGCCTAGTTGAGTGAGCTTACGGCACCGACGGGGGGCCAATCCAAGGCATCTCATGGAATCCATGGGCCGGGTCCGAAGTTCCTGTCCTTTCAGAAAGGCTCCCTATTCCACCTGGCCCTGCGACTTGCTCTTGGGACCCCCCTAGACCCCTCCTGTGAGGTGTACAAGGGTCAAAAGGGTGTAGTACGTACGAGGTACATACTGCGGCGAACGGCCATCAGGCTAGACTCCCGCCAGTGCCAGCGGTCCAACTAACTGCCTGCGACGCACAGTCCAGCCCAGTCCAGTCCACTCGAGTTGCGACTTTCAACCGCAACTACTTACTGTACCTACCTACCTACTCTCCATCATTTCAACTTCAACCTCAACTCCAGCGGTACCCTGATACCAAAGTAGTTCCCTTTCGGCACGCTATCTCTCCGACCGTCCTCTTCACCCTCCCCAGACCTCACGCTGCGTTCCATATCCTTCTCGATGCAACAATCATAGCCCTTCTTTCCTTTCCCACTCCCTTCCGAACGTCGATGACCTGGGGAGTCATCCCAAGCCGAAGATGCACAAGATCAGCAACTTCACTGGCCAAGCCCGTCATGGCTGGGAACGGATGACTCCTGCAGCGTTTGGCATGTCCAGATTCCATCAGGACATGTCTACGCCGCAACCACTGAGACGTCCTCAAGGCTCGCCCGGAATCGTGTCTCAGGCGCCATCCGAAGCCACCTCGGTCAACCTGTCCTTCAATGTGCCTTTCGCCTCGAGCCTCCCTGGCCCCAACCCCGACGAGATCCTACACTCGAGTCCCGGTGCTTTCCAACGCTGGACCTTTCCAGCGGGCACCCCCGAAGGCACGCCTATTCACAGCCTGCCTGTTCACGTGCAGAACGAGGAGAGACTGCGCTCTTTGTGTGCATACATCAGTGATCAGAGTGGAGGCCACATACAGGCGACCGTCACATCGTCGGAGCCAAAAGCCGGCCCGGCCCTGCATCGAAAGTCCCAAGGGCTGGTGACAAATGTCTGCATCTCAGGGGACGGGGAGTTGGTCTGTAAGATGAGATCGAAAATCCTGAACGAAACACCCATTATGATGGTATGAAGCATATGAGCCCCTCCAAACCCCCTCTTGACCGACCGGCAAAGGTTGTTGCTGACGAGTTCAAGCGCTCTGCTATTGTGGACATCGACCCGGCCTTGATCTTGGACGGCGCCGAGACCGGAATTCGCTCCAGTGTCCTCAGCCACATTGACCTTTGTGCCAAATATACCGGGACAGATATTTTCCTCCTCAAGCCCCGTAGCGCCGAGTCGTCTGCTGCCAGTGCCTCTTACGGCAACGGTGTTGATAGCGGTCTAGATCAGCGGTATCGAGTCAACATTTTTGGAGACATGGAAAGCGTGGAACATGCGAAGACCCGGGCTCTGATGATGATTGACCAGATTGTGAATCCTCCAGAATGACCTCTGCACTGGACCTTGACTGACACATGGACAGCTCAAGCATAAGATCGACGTGATCAAACTCGAGGTATCGATGCACACTTTGGTGTCAGGCCGTACCGGCAAGAACATCAAGATGATTGAATCGGCCACCAAGACTGCTATCTACTTTCCTCCTCCATTTCCCGGAGTTTTCGGTTACGTACCCCCTCATGCCACACGTCGAGCTGCGGACGAGGTCTTTATCACAGGAGAAACACAGGAACGTATAAACCAGGCGAAGCAGAAGCTGAAAGAGCTGGTCATGGGTATCAAACTCTACTCCAAGGATGCCGTGGTGTCTGCAAGCAAGATTGACAACATCTTACTCGACCGGCTGGACAAGGTGCGAAAAATCATGGAGACGAACGGGTCTCACGTTCTTTTCCCACAGCTTGGCAGCCAGCGTGGGCTCGTCCGAGTCCAGGGGACTGAAGTTCTACATGTCGAGAGGACGGTGAAGGAGATCATGGCACTTGTATGCCAACCCGTTCCCTTGAATCATCTGGCACGAGTGACTGACGATTGTTGAACAGGCTGGCCAGTTCTTCAGTGCTTCATGGTGGATTATGATGCCTGATCCCTCGCAGGGTCCCACTCTACGTGCTCCGTCCCCCGAGGACATTCGGATCATGCTGAGCGACATTTGCACAAACTCTGGCGCAGATATCAGTTTTGAAAAATTCTCATTCACAATCAACGGATCTGACGACGCGGTCAAAGCCGCAATGATGGTCATTAACCAGATTCCTTTCGTGAAGAGGACTCCCTATCAAATGCGTGTCAAGATCGAATTGGCAAACGAGCACAAAGAGTTCGTCAGTGGCAAGAAGAACGGCAAGATTAACAAGATCATGGGGCAGAGTATGAACATTTCCTGACGGTCGACCTTTGACCTGCGTTAACTGTCATCGTAGGCAATGTCCAAATCATCTTTGATGGTTTCAACGAGTACAACTTCTACATTGACGTGGTGGGTACTCAGTACGAGGCGACCAAGAATGGCTTGGATCTCGTGGAGCAAGAGATGCCGGCGTCGATTTCGTTCCATGTTCCTGACCAATACCACAAGCGCATCATTGGTATTGGTGGCCAACACATCCAACGCATCATGAAGAAGTATTCTGTTTTCGTGAAATTCTCCAATGCAATGGACCGCGGAGGAGTGGGCAAGGATGATGATGACATTAAAGTCGATAATGTCATCTGCCGCACACCGGCACGAAATGCGCAGAGCTTGGACTTGGTAAAGCAGGAGATTATGGACATGGTGGAGAAAGCAGTAAGCGAAGATGACCCCTTGAGTGATGCATCCATGTCCTTATCAGATGATTCAATCTAGGATGCCGAGTTCGTCTCCGAGACCGTGGTGATCAATCGACTCTACCATCGCGAGTTGATCGGCAGGCTGCCTGAGATCGAGGAGCTGGAGAAGAAATGGAACTGCAAGATTGACTTCCCCAACACTGAACAAGCCAGTGACGTGGTCACCATTTCCGGCCCAGAATACCAAGTCCCGCAAGCGGTTGATGCATTCCTCGGGATGGTTCCAGAAAGCCACGAGATTGCTTTCCAGAAGTCTGACGAGCTCGAGGCCTTCTTCAGCAGTCCGGAATTTTTCAACGATCTCCGCCAAAAGTTCAGGAACCAGTACGAAGTAGACGTGCACGCGAACCCCGAATTTAGCAGCTTGCCGAAGTCTGCTACGGCGTCTGTGGAGCGTATTGTTGGACCATCCGAAGGACGACTGGTTCTGACCTACACGCGGAATAATGCAGGCGGCCTTAAAGACGCTATTGACTACCTGATATCACAGCTCGTGCCACACGGGTTGGACGCCACCACTGTCAAGGGGGCGATTCCTCGCCCGAAATCCGACTCATTTGAGGACTCACTACCCTTCTTTGAATCCAAGCTCTTGCAAAATGCGCCATCGCTTCACTCGACGGATTCGCCAACCCGATCGAGCTTTGCTGATGGAGAGAATACATCCGTGTCCGAGCGAGCCTCTCTGTTTGACCGTCTTCGCAAACCCGGCAGTATCTCGTCGTTTTCGTCCTTCATGAGCCGCAAAAACCAGAACAATTCACCAGGGACGTTCTTCAAGCATGCATCTTCTAACGCCAGCAAGGCCTCGCTGATCTCCATGGAAAGTCGGGAGAGTGGATACAGAAATTTTTGGAACGACAGCGGCGTCAATCTACCCGAGGAAGAAATTTCCAATACTTCAATGAGTGGTGGCTGGCCATCACGTTTTCGAGAAGACAAATTCCCCTTTGGCAGCATTTCCGGAGACCGAACTCCCAAGCACGAGCCTCGTGCGAGTTTCGACTCGGGCAGGCCACCAACATCACATTCATTTTCTTCGTACCCGGCACCGATCGGGCCGCATCATCACAATCAGATCCTGGGCAATTCGAACGGACCTGCTAGCAATTTGAATCTTCCTTTACGCTAGGCTTTGGAGAAGTCTGAGTTGATCAGAAAAAGTGAATGACCAATGATACCCCGACATCGATATGCAGTTATGATTATCTGCCATTATGTCTAGCGAGATACCCTTTGATGCTACAACGAAAAGTCGAGAAGAAAAGGAGGGGGGCGCTGACAGTTTTGGTTTACCGCTTGTTATGGAACCCAAGCAATGAGTTGCTCATGTGTTGTTTTCGATAAGTTGGACTTGCAAAAAGACAATTTCCTTTTCTTACGTGTCTGACCGACGCTCGTTATTAGGTCTCGGTGTTCCAAGATACCCTGCACCATTCTCATGCGCGAGCGGTGGTTGCAACATGTTCCTGATTGAAGTAGCCATGCGGAAAATGCCGCTACTGCTTGGATTGGTGAAGCCAAAAAGATATATACCCCAGAAATCTATTTAGAGTAAAATGCATATCCACATGAATCTGAATCCCCTGGCCGCTGCATGGTGCATGTATGTACATGTGTATGAGTAGGACTGGACAGCGAAGTGCCGCCCCTTACATCCAGGATTCTGGCGATAATCACGTGAACTGAACCAAAGTGGCCCCCCCCAACTGTTTCCCTGCGGCGCGATCCTTGCGGGCTTCCAAGTCGCGTCAAACCACCGTTGCTGGAACTTCCCTGTTGACTGCAGGCAAACATTCTTATTATCTTCGCTTCCTGCATTTTCCCTGTTCTGACTTGACCCACATACCTCCTCGTTCTCATGTCTCTCGTCGACTTTTACTCCCTGTCATGCAACTCCTCAGCGACGAACTAAGTGCCAAAAATGGCCGATCTCAATGTCAAGATCGGACAAAGAGTCGAGACCCAGGACGGCAAGCAAGGCACCGTCCGCTACATAGGTCATCTACACGTTGCCTCTGGAGAATGGCTGGGACTCGAACTAGCCGATGACACAGGAAAGAACGATGGTTCCGTCAAAGGGGAGCGGTACTTCAACTGCGCCCCCGGCCATGGCATCTTCGTCCGTAAGGAGTCGGCTGTGAAAATCCTCAGTCAAGCAAGCACCAGTGCAAAGCTTAACGGAGGGTCGACTTCCAATGGACCCGCAGTGAAGCCGAGACCGTCCAGCATAGTTGCTGCGGATGTTGCAAGAAAGCGGCAGAGTCTGATGAGTGCCGGTTCCGGAACGACTACAGGCTCAAGGTCTATGAGGGTATCTGTAAGCCAATTTCCAAATGCCCGGTCCTCTGTCTAACTCATCGTCGTCAGTCTCCTATCAAATCTCCTACGAAGCCTGCCCCGTCTTCCGCCAGTTCATCCACCTCGACTCCAAGAACTGGTACTCCGGCAACTACTGCACGTACCTCTGACTCGAGTACAAAATCGAGGCTCAGTATGGTTGGGAAATCTACAATGGCCGCACCCGCTTCGACACACCGGCCGAGCGTCTCAACGAGTAGACAGTCAATAGGAGGTGGTCCTGTCAGGCCTCCTGGGACCAGACCGTCTTCAATGCAACCACGGCCTTCCATGACCGCTTCTAGATTATCCATGACCGCCAAAGCTCTGCCTCGGACTGAGAAGAGCGAACCTATTTCCGATGCCCTTGATGGGAAAACAGCACCTCCAATCGCGGAAGAACGATCAGCTCCAGCTCCCGCATCAGACGAAGAAGAAGCTGAGGCCCCGGAGCCGTCGGTCATAGAGGCTAGAGTTTCCGCAGCGACCACCTCACGTTCACAACCGCTTGCTAGTCAACGGAATGGGTTTAGTTCTGCGGTCGAAGACAGATCCCGGCAGGCACAGGTGATCAAAGCGTTGGAGACGAAAGTCCGGACATTGCAGAAGCAGAGACAAGATGACCAAGCTCAAATCCAAAACGTACAGGAACTTCAAAACCAGGCGGCACGGTACGAAGGAATCATACAAACTTTGCAGAAAAAGCTTAAAACCAATCAACAAGACATCCAAGAACTCAAAGCCAAGTACGAGGATGCCGAGAGTCGTGCCGCCAAAGTGCCAGATCGCAGTGCCGAACATGACTCAGAATTAGAGCTTGCGACTCTTGACAAGGAGATGGCTGAAGAGCGTGCTGACATGTTTGAGAGTGAACTGGAGGCACTGAAGCTCAAGCATGAGGAGTTGGAGCTCGAGGCTGAAATTCTGAGAGAAGAGAACCGGGAATTGGCGTCGATCATGAGTCCTGAAGAGAAAGCCAGTGCTGGCTGGCTTCAGATGGAACGCGAGACGGAGAGGTTACGACAGGCACTGGTCATGCTGAGGGACGTGACGCAGCAAAATGAGGGTGACTTGAAGAACGAGATCAAGGAGCTTCACGAAACCATTGATGAGCTCGAGCAGACAGCCTCGAAGTATGAAGAGGTTGCAGCGAAGCTCAGCAGATCGGAAGAGACCAACCAGCATCTCAGAGAACAGCTAGAGGCTGCGGAGGCAAACGACGAAATCTTGGATACCCTGGGACAAGAGCGTGACCAGCATCGACACATGATTGAACAGTTGAAGAGGCAGGTTCAGGACCTCGAAGAACACATCCAAGTGGCAGACGAACTCGAGGCATTCCATGTCGAAGAGGAGAAGCGGCTGCATTACCAATTGGATGAAAGCGAGGCCCTGCTGCACGATAGACATCGACAAGCCGCCGAGCAGGAAAAGACAATCGAAGACCTGGAATACACACTGACCAAATTCAGGGATGTCGTGCAGGGTCTCCAGGGTGACATTGACGAACTCCGACGTTCACGCGAGATCAGCGAACTCGAGGCGAATGAGATGAGTAGCAAGTCCAGGGCGATGATGGATCTGAACCTGAAGTTACAGAACTCGGCTGCCAAAACTCAACTGAAGGCGATCGACCTAGAACTTGGGAAGATGCGTGCTGAGCAGGCCAGTTTACATCTGGAAATCGTGCAGCACTTCGTTCCAGATACATTTGACATCGACAAGAAACCCATCCTCGCTCTTTTGTGTTTCAAACGGATCCGGTCGAAGGCGCAGTTGTGCAAAGTCATACTCGCGGAGCGAATGCGGGACAGGGCCGAGCTGCACGAAAGTCCTATGGCGGTATTCGCCGTCATGGAAAAGATGAATTTTATTGCGAATCTCTGCGAAAGATTCGTGCAACACCTGTCGACATGTTCAACGGACGACTTCATGAGGTATGCCGGTGCCCCGTTCGAGCTGGAGCCTGTAGAACAGGCAATGACCAGCTGGGTGGAGGCCTTGCGCCGCGATGAACTTGGTCATGAAGGTGCTGAATACCTTCAACGCATGGCTGATATTCTGGTCGACATGTCTGAGAAGTTTCTTCCGGACGCTCGCGAAACTAAAGCAATGGAGATGACCTCGTCCATCTCAATGGTTGAGAACTACACAGACAACATGGCCAGTCGAGCACAAATTTTGAGCAAAGCAGTGCAAGCCAAGTTAGGAGCGCCGAAAGACGACGACGAGGACTCGATACTATTTGAAAAGAGAATGGATCAGCTTGGTATTAAAGCCCGAACGATCAAATACATTTCTGGCAAGGTAATGCATGCAGTGAGCGACCTTTGGGCGCGCTCAATGTGCCTCAGCGAGTCCATGTGGAGTAAATTCACCGAAGCTGAATTGTGCGCCGAGGCCTTGTCTCAATTGATCCAAAGAGTTGGAGAATCGGTATTCGAGGAGCTCAACAAGATGGAAATGGACGAAGCTCTTTCGTATTCAAGGATCATCACGCTCATGACCGCGGCCGCATCTAGCCAGCAACAAAAGAGTGAACTACAAGGAACTGCTTCAGATGATGTGTTTGAGATCCTGTTGAAGCAATTGCAGATTTTGCAAGGAAAAGTTGACGACCTGAACGCCAAGTCAGCAGACATATCTTGCGCCATCGAGTTCGAGAAATTCCCCGCCCCCTGGACAGCTCGCGCCCGAGAAGTCAAGGCACAAAAAGCACTGTCGCAAGATCTGCAGGAGGAGATGACTCGACTGAAATTGAGAATTCAAGAACAGACCATCCGGCTTAGTGAAAAAGACAAAGAACTCGAAGAACAGCAAGTCAAGGTCGAATTGCTAGAGTCGAGGGCCAAGGAGACCAAGGTCAAGGACGATGGTGTGAAAGAAATGAAAGACGAGATCAACAAGCTTCGCGCGGAGAATGCGGCCGCCGTTGAGAACTTGCAGCGACTCGAGAGAGAATACCAGACGCTCCTCGAGTCCCAGGAGAGTCAAAAGATGGAACTCGAGGCAATCAAACACAAGAGAATCGCAGACGGACAGGGGCTACCCCTCGGCCCCGCGGACGAGTCGGCAAGGCTACGCCTCAAGGCGGCAGTAGATCAGCTCAAACTGGAGATAACCAGTCTACAGGCAGCTGTTCGCTTCCTCAAATCGGAGAATCGACAGCTCAGGATCCCGGTGGGCGCTATTGCGCAAAGCGCTGTCGAGCATGCATGGCTTGATCCCCACCATCTCAAGGGGCCACCGGCGACAGACGTCAAGACTCAACAACTGCGGACGGGATCGAGGGAAGTTTTTGCGAGTCTGATGGACATGGCCAAGGCGGCAAAGCCTGTCAAACTCAAGCGCCCAGCTGTTAGCCGTCAAGACGCGGCTGGGAAGGTGTCGTACTGGCGAGCACAAACAGACACCACGTTGTATCAAGTGCTCCAGCGGAAAGAGGAGCTGGAGCGTTGGAATGGGATGAAGGACGACTTGCTTCAGACAGCGAGGGTCGTGGCTCGTTCGGGGCATGTCTCTAAGCCCAAAGTGCCTACGCAGAGATACCTCTCAGCCTCCAACGTTAGCGCCGCTAAGGTGGCTGATTTGGAAGATGGGAATCTGAAACTCGGAGTTCGAGTTGATGGAATCTGTATAGTATGACGAGGAAGTCGGTTGTTCTGACTGGGGCAATTTTGAGAGGATGCCCCTCTGTGAATATATGCGACGAGACTTTTAGTCGTCCCTTGAGAATATCATCTCAGGCTCTGACGGGCGCTTTCTCAAGCGATCCCTGCCGAAAACGGCCATGAGCACGAGCGAGGCTGAGACTTTGATGGCTACGTTGGCTTCAGCGTCAGTCAGCGCTTTTCAAATTTAAGTGTGGCGCACAGCTTCTTCAAGTTCCGAAAAGCGGTACCCAGTAGAGCCTGATCGGGCGCCGAGTTACTCGGACGAGGCTAGTCACGAGTCTATGACGACAACCGTTGAGCATGGGGAGGAAACTTGGTAACCATGCGATTTGATTTGATTGTCGGCTGACAGCGACGAATATAGGCCGCCGGTGTCTCTGAGGCTGAGGCTTATGACGAAGGCAGGGTGAGGAAATGCTCGTGTGCTGATTCTGCATACCATGGGTACTATGTCCTTGCAGGTATGTTCATATGTATGTACTATACATACCTCGTATGTACATTGAATCTGATTACCTGGGATTATGGTTGTTGTTCCTGGTGGCTAAACCAGTGGCGGCCGCGAAGTCCCCGGCGCGATAAGTTTCGAGCCCGTCGTTTCGATAGCCGCGGCAGCCCTTGTTGGTGGGTAGTGGTTGCTGCCCCGACGTCACCACTATCCCCAGAGACGGTCGTGTGAGAGGCGAGGGGGGGAAGAAGACGGGCTCGATGGCAATGTTGAAGCATGTCCTTGCACATAAGCTCTTGTTTCTAGAGAGTCCCTTGTGTGTTCCTCCTCTTATCCTCCTCTTGGTGCCTTTTTCTTTCGCTCCTGTAGAGTAGTGGCCGGGCGCTCGAGGTGGTGCTGGTTGAGTGTCCTGCTGTTTCCGGAAGGTCTCTACCGAAGCAGACGGTGATGGGCTTTGTTCCAAACAGCTTACGGCCCCTGCTCGGAGGATCCAATGGGTGAGATGAGAGGTCGATCGCGGAGGTAAGTACTTAGGAAAGTCAACCAAGTCCAGGCAAACTTGCAAAGGCCAAGTGTGGCTGTGTCAGTTAGTGCTGTCATGTTGAGGGATGTGATGGGCTGGAGCGCAGCTGCGGGTGGAGAGGCATCTTCTTGACCTTCGCTTCACAAACGTATCGCAATTCCTTCTCTCACCACGCACCCGCTCGCACCACAGAACGATTCGGAATTCCATCTCGGTGTCACTCATTATCCCATCTGCGTCTTCCCCCTCCTGCCCTCCTCGCCGCGGCACTCCACGCCCGTCGCCCTCCCCGTCCCGACCTAACCTACCGAAACATCAAAAATCTCTCGTCCGCAGCGCCTCGCCTTCGCCAAGTCCCCTGGGCGGGTACAAGTACATCACAGGGAGACAGGAAGCATCAACACTTCTTGCTTCGCCTTCCCACGAGGTCTCTCCGGAGTAGGGGAAGCTTTTCTCTCCTCTGTTTGCCCAGCTACGGCCGTCACTCAACTGCCTTGTTCTCCGCTCGGCGCTGTCTTGCCCCAAGATATCGAATGGGTACGTGCATGAGCTATATTACACCAGATCCCTCCCCGCCGCAGCGCATATCTTTTGATGTTTGGTATCTCCTCCCGTTGCTTTGATCACATTCATTCTCCCGCCCCAAAATCACAGTACGGTCTCGGCTGACTTGAGTCTGGCGCCTGTTATGGTGTCGTTGCGGAATGCGTCTATAGCTGCGACCAATCTCCGCAAACATTTCTCTCACACTGCTCACCCTTCCCGCGAAGATATCCATATCATGCCTGAAGACGGCGGCATCAACGGCCGCGCAGACTACTCAACCGAACGGACCGGTCTCCTCTCGCGAATCACCACCACCGACTCCGGGACACCATATCACAAGCATGAAAATGTCTGGATCAAATACCCCTTCCTGGTGCTACATTTGACCTGGGAGGTTCTCAAGACCAACTACGTCAATGTCCTCCTCGTTTTTGTGCCTGTCGGCATCCTGGCAGGTGTTTTAGACTGGTCACCGGCGCTCCAGTTTACCCTCAATTTTATTGCCATCATACCATTGGCATCTCTCCTCGCTTTCGCCACAGAAGAGCTCGCCGTTCCGCTGGGCCAGACCATTGGAGGACTTTTGAATGCGACATTTGGAAATGCGGTCGAGTTAATCGTAAGCATGCACAGCAACATTGAAAGGGGGGAGGATGTGCTAATGCTAGAAATAGGTGAGTATCATTGCTCTCTCGAAGAACGAGATCCGCATCGTCCAAGCCAGCATGCTGGGCAGCATCCTGTCCAATATCCTCCTGGTCTTGGGATGTTGCTTCTTCGTCGGCGGCATCCGTTATCCTGAACAGAGCTTTAATTCGACAGTCGCATCAACAATGTCGTCGCTCATGACCGTCGCCACCTCCTCTCTGATCATTCCTGCCACCTTGTATGCTGTCATGTCCAACAACAAAGCACAAGATGATAATATCATGATTCTGTCGCGTGGGACATCGATCATTCTGCTGCTCATCTACGTGGCATACCTGTACTTCCAGCTCAAATCCCACGCCAACCTGTTTGACGACGCTGAAGCGCAAGGACGTGAGGATGAGGAGGCTCAGCTTTTGGGGCCTTGGGCTGCAGGTATCGTCTTGGTGATCATCACCCTCCTTGTCTCTGTCTGCGCCGAATACCTAGTCGGCAGCATCGACGCCATTGTGGAAGAAGCGCACATTAGCAAAACCTTTATCGGTCTGATCTTGATCCCTATCGTCGGCAACGCGGCCGAGCACGTCACAGCCGTCATCGTTGCGTGGAAGAACAAGATGGACTTGGCCATTGGAGTCGCCATTGGATCCAGTCTCCAAATCGCCCTCTTTGTCACTCCTTTCCTGGTGGTGTTGGGCTGGATCATAGACAAACCCATGACACTACACTTCGAGACCTTTGAGACAGTAAGCTTCTTTTTGGCCTCGCTGGTTGTGGTGCTCTTGATCCAGGACGGAAAATCCAATTATCTCGAAGGATTGCTCTGCTTGGGTATGTATTTCATCATTGCCCTGGCCTTTTACGTCTTGCCGGACGATGCAGGTACTGGACTGAACCTGGGGAAGCTCTTTAGCGGTAGCAGTGGTGCCTGAGTGATCCAGGCCTGGGGTGAGGTCAGACATCTGAAGAAGAGGATCTTTCAAAGCACCCTACACTTTCCTTTTCTCGTTCTCCTATCTTTCCGTTGTTGAAAGCTTTTCTATCACATGCTCCAGATACGGAGCGTTGAGGGTTGTGGCTCTGGACTAAACAGATCCATGGCACAAGGACGATGAGGGACAGTCGTCACTTTTCATTTTTCCTGAGGGTTTGCGCCAACAAGGACGGAACTCGAACGGCAGGTATTGGTCACATGGCGTTGGGTGGAATGGAAACAATTCATGCTCTTGTCGACTTGGAGGTTCTCTCGATACCCAGGCTTCCACAAAATTCTTCGGTTTGGGATGGGGTTTCGGGATTGTGTCTCATATGTACATGAACTATCCTACAGATTGAACAATACAGATGTTTGATCCGGTCTGAGCGTGTTTCTCCACCGTCTCTGTGTTTGTTCGTTCCTAGCCGCCGTGGACGAAAATGGCCAGCAGAAACCCGCCTTGTGCATGTAAGAATTAAATTTCTTTACAGCGGCAACGACATGTTTCCCGAATAGGCAACTGCTCTTGGCCGCAAACTGAGCCTGCACTTGCTTTGCACCTCCGCTTCAGAGCCATTGACCAGAACTCCATCTCCAAATTCCGAATCTTTCAATACGCATTTCAGCAACAGCAATAATGGCGCCTCGACTGCCTCTCTTTACGACCCGCTCGGTGCCATTCAGGACGAAGCCTACGGTTCCGCAGAAGAGATTTGCTCCTGCCTCGAGTCTACTTCAGCAGCAGCGCGCCGCAAGCGATGATGCAGCTGCAAAGGGCGGGTCCCTCGAAAACACGGCTCTTCATACACAGGCGAAAGGCCCCAATATGGACCAATTGCCCCATGTGACAGAAGAAGCTGCTGCAATTGACAAGACAATGGGAAACACGCCTCCGGATGTGGAGCAGGGGACACCGGTGCAAGAGGTAGGTAGAGACGGACAAACCGATGGCGCGAACTGCATTGGCCTTCAATTGCAGTCTAGATATATGGCGGCTGACATGTCTTTACGATGATATCTGTGCAGATTCTTAAGCGCGATAAAGATGCCCAAGACAAGGCGCCTCAGGTCATGAAACAAGATCTAAAGCTGGAACCCAACAGCACCAATAAGTCACCCTCCGGATCCCGTTCCTTTTCGACCGCCGCGAGAAAAAGTGCCGCTGAGGTTGAAGCGGTATCAAACTTGGGTGGATCAGTAGACAGCTTGGTTCACTTTCAGGACACGAGAGTCGTAGGCCTGGAGTATCCCGACGCTGGCTTCGGGCATAAGTTTGGGCTACCGGACCTGAAGCCGCTGGGCAAAGCGGTGAATTTCAAGAGAAGATATGACCCCGTGGTGGAGCAGGTGACAAGAAGTCTGATGAGGGATGGAAAGTTGAGTCGTGCGCAGAAGGTAAGAATAAACCTGTTCTCCGCATACCCTGTCCAGTATGTGCTAAAGGTGTTGCTTGCAGAATATGCAATTCATCCTCGACGCCCTCCGAACCTCATCTGCACCGCCATCCAACAAGGACCTAATCAGTCCTTTGCCCATGCAATCTCTCCCCCTCTCCCCTGTCGCTTATCTCACCGCCATAATCGACTCCGTCGCCCCTCTCGTCAAGATCCGCCAACAGAGAGGTCTACTGGGTGGCGGTGCCTCCATGCCCATTCCCGTTCCCCTACGCCTTCGTCAGCGCAGACGGACAGCTATCCAATGGATATTAACTGCCGCCGAGGGGAGAAGAGAAGATAAGCTTGCGGAACGTGTGGCCAAGGAGTTATTGGGAGTTGCCGAGGGAAGAAGTTCTGCGTGGGAAAAGCGAGCTAGGGTGCACAAGATGGCAATCAGTGCAAGGGCGAATGTTAAGATTGCCGCGAATGGGAGGAGGATTCGGACGAAGAGTATTCGAGGCAAGTGATCGTGCCCGAGCCTTACATTGTAACTATGAAAACATGGTGGAGGGGGAAGGGAGTCGTCCCCCCTGGATGGGATAATGGATATATATATATATTGTGTACAAACCAAGTCAAAAGTTCGGGAATGAGCCCGGAGTTGTTCGCCGTCTACTATCCTTGTCTATCTTTTATGCATTCCGAGTCTCAGTGTCTTTTTCAACCACAGCCACCTTTCCAGGCCGACGGCGGCCTATTGTTTTGCAGAGACATTCCCGCTATGGCCCAAGTCTTCAGAGGGAGTCCCGATGTGCCTGGGAATAAGTCAAGCATTGAGTTCACCAGCACAAAAGATGAAAGGATATTGGGTCAGGATGGACGAACCGCAAGGAAGAGAAAGAAAAAGGAAAAGACTTACTCCCACTCTGCATGGGACTGCCCCGAAACCACCCCGTCGAACTTCAACCCCAGTCTACTATCTCTCGGATGGCTCCTTTCTGCCGTGTTTTCGACTGGCTCTCTCCCGTTCACCGGCGCTGACCACACCTGACAACCCCTCCCTCTGTCATAGATCTCCAGAAAGACGAGCCTGTCATCTCGCGAAACCACGGCCTTGAAACGATAGGCTGGATGTTCCGCATCCGCATAGACGACCTCATCGACTTCCTGCCGACGGCCGATCGTGCTTCTTCTTAAATGTCTAAAATCCTAAGAGAGGTTACGCGATCTCTTTGAGACCGAGCCGGCAGCTCATATGGTTCCAGAGAACGACTGCAGGGACGATTATTCGGAGCAGAATCAGAATATGTGGCGAGAATGGGTTGATGGAGGAATTCGCCTGATCGGGAAGGTGGGGGTGCTAGAAGGGGAATAGTGCATGAGCACCTTCCGCTTTCTTGCCCTTTCCACTTCCCTTCCAATATTAATTTTCGACATCACTCAACATGTCCAGCTCCAGTGAGCCTATCGGCCCGGGACAGATATGCTCCTCAAAGACCCTGGTTGTCAGCTCGGGAGCAAAGTCAACTTCCGTCGCAAGACGCTATGATATGCACGACCGACGACCGAGGTTGCAAAAGGGCGAGGCACTAGCCTCCTGACAATCAGCAGTCCCAACGACGCGATAGCGGCGGCTTGAGTGACAGTCCGGCCTTACCTGTGTGTGGTGCCCATTGAGCCAAAAATCCGCAGACCACCGAGATGGCGGATGTCTTGTTTCCAGGAGCACAAAATCTTTGACACATACAGTGTGTTGGATGTCGGAAGATGGCAGCAGCTTACACAACTTTGCTTTTGAGCAGTGGCCGGAGATACAAAGCTGTCCCTTCCTCAACGTCCCCCCTAAAAAGCTCGCGGCAACTGAGCAGGCCGGTACCTACAGAAATCCATCTGGATTTGCTGGCTAATGGAGTCATCCCCGATCCCTTCATTGGGAAGAATGAGGAAGCTGTGCAATGGGTTAGAGAGCAGAGCTGGATATACGAGTTACAGTTCGAAGTGCCTGAAGATGCAATTGGAAAGCCAAACCGCCGTGCTGTATTGTTGTTCGAAGGGCTCGATACCTTCGCCACCGTCAAGCTCAACGATCAAACATCCTCAAATCCGACAATATGTTCGTGTCTCACAAAATTCAAATTATAGAAGATATGCTTGTGAAGGAAAAAGGCTGCTTAGTTGCGCAGTGTTTGTAAATCACCTTCGAGAATGCAGAGCGAGTTGGGGACGAGGAAGTCCTCAAGTATCCGAGGCACGGCTGGCTACGAGGAAAGCACAGTATCACTATGTAAGGACGTCCTAGCTCTGTTGCATCCTACTTCTGCGACCAGTTTTCAGCTGACAAAATCTGACTGGAGGGCTGGGATTGGGGTCCGAAATTCATGACCCGGCGACCCTGGAAGCCGATATATCTGGATCTTTATTCTGTGCGTATATCGGAGATTTCAGTCCACACAATTTTCTGCTCTGATCTAAAGCATGCAGAGCTGGAAGTTGTGGTTATGGTGGATGGCGCCGCTAGTCGAGCCAACGTCCAACTCGGCCGCGAAGGGGTAGTCCAACAATCTCGAACCGTCAATGTTGAGCAACACATTGTGCGAGCGAATTTTCGTCTGCACGATCCTGATCTCTGGTGGCCCTTCGCCCTGGGAGAAGCAAATTTGTACGAAACCAGAGTTTCTTTATACCAGTCTCAGGACTCTCAGTCGATGCTCGTGGACGAAATGAGCAAGACATTTGGAATTCAGAAAGCGGAATTGATCCAGCGTCCGCTGCCTGGCCAAGAAGATAGCGGTTTCTTTTTCAAGATCAACAACGTCCCGATCTTCGCTGCCGGCTCGTATTGGATTCCGGCCGACTCCTTCCTGTCTCGTGTCTCTACGGAGAAGTACACGGACCGGGTCAAGTTGCCTCGCGATTCTGATCAGGTCATGATCCGCGTTTGGGACGGCGGTGTGTACGAGCATGCATCCTTTTACCATTCTTGTGACCAGCTGGGGGTCCTGGTCCGGCAAGATTTCATGTTTGCGTGTGGCAGCTTTCCAGCACACGCGCAAATGCGAAATCGCGTCGCGGTGGAAGCGGAGCAAAACGTCCGCTGATTGAGACATCGCTCCTCTATTGTGCTGTGGTGTGGGAACAGCGAGAATTATATCATTCCACTGCTTAGGCAGCTCGAATCCGATTCAAGCGAGACCGACCCCGGAAAGATTCTCGAATCCACTTTTCCAACAAGGTATTTTTATGAGCATACGCTGCCGGCAATTTGCAAGGCTCTGAGTCCAGCTATCTCGTATTGGCCTGGGTCTCCATTTGGGGGCGCCATGGAAAATTTGCAGCAAGTTCGTGATATACACCAATGGCACGTATGGCATTTGGAAATGTTTCCATACCAAGACTTCCCCAAACTTGCTGGTAGATTCGTCAGTGAGTTTGGTATGCAAACATTACCCGGCCTCGATACAGTCGAAGACTTCTTTCCTCCCGAATACAGCGTGCTGGAGAATGGCGACGTGTCGGAAGACAAATTTTTGAAATGGCACAACAAAATGGAAGATGGAGGAGACCGGATTGCGCACTACGGGAATGCTAACATCAAATTCGAGACGGGATCCAACTGATTCAGTCCGAGGCTCTTTCTGCGGCTTATCGATCCTGACGACGTCTTTGGCGAGGCCCTGGCAAAGAGTATTGTGGCGGTGCTCTTGTTTGGCAACTCAATGACCGTTGGCCGGTAACATCCTGGGCCAACGCCGATTACTATCTTCGACCTAAGATCGCATACTGGGCATTGAAGAGTGAATGTGCTGGCATAACCATCGGGGTGGCAAGAGTCAAGCAAGGTAACGGGACGAATGGTTTGGAGGCATGGGCCGTGAACACGACGCTATCCGACATCAAGGTCGCTGTTCACATTGGCGGATGGAATGTCGTGACAGGCCAGTCCGTTTTCCACCACTCGTAACCCAATGCTTTCACTCTGAAGTCGAACCAAAGCACAGAGCTCGGAAGGCTGGACCTGGGTGTTCTTGTCCCTTCGCGTTTCGAGCATTCCGAGAACGACTTGGGTTTCGAAGACGTAGTTTTTGCAATTCGACTAGCAGAGTCATTGTCAGGTGGAGCGGACAGGACAATGTCAGACCGTCCTTATAGTATTGGAACAGAAGCTAGGGCAAGATATCTCGGTGATGTTCAGGTTCAGGGATTGTCAAGTTTGTTTAGGATGAATAGGTTCATGTGCAATATAATTGTAGGCAACTAATGCACAGACAGGCAGTATTTCTCAGACCGTACGAGGTAGATTAACCAACGTTTGTAGAAAGCCTAGTAGCCTTGTTGCTTGTGGATTGTATAAGTACAAGGGAGGGGGTCTTAGGCTCCAGGCTTAACTAGCACGGCGTCCCTAGGCGTAGCCCTTGGGTGGCGAGGCCGCCTTCACCTCCACCAGCTTAACTCTATCTGTCTTCTGTTGTTAACTGCCTCGGTCTATGCACTCGCAACCTGCTCTCTTTAATAGTAAACTTGAGAGACGCCTTCCAAAGCATCTCGTGCCACCTTTATTCACCTTGATCGCTTAATTAGAGCCAGATGACTTTTCGCGATAACCATTCTAGTTTCACATCGTGGCGGTGGGCACAATGGCGACAACCGCATCGCCTTCACAGAGACCGTTACTGGGCTCTGCGCCTGTTGCATGCTCTGCGTGTCGGCGGTTGAAGGTGAAAGCCGCAACGACGAGTGACCCTCCAGACTGTTGTCACTAACTTGACGCCTACAGATGCGCTGCATGAGAGCCAAAAATCCGCCATGCGCTCGCTGCTCCAAAACCGGTAGAAATTACGTCGGCCATGCATCTCGAAGGGGTCAGCAACAATCGGCCAGCTCACTGCACAAGAGGCTGTTGTCAGTCTCATCATCACCAGGGGACGCTTTACACCAGCAGGACTGCGAGATTGCAACAACTGATGCTGCCATCAGCGCAGCGCGGCGTTCGCCTCTAGCTCATCCAGTGTCGCCTCAGGCGTTTAGCCTCCAAAGTCGCTTCCACAAGAGCCGGCGTGCCTCTCCTGCTAGCATTTCACGGCCGGATCAAACCGTCTCACCAGACTTGCCATCAGTCTCCTCTTCTTCCCCGTTGGACGTGCTTGTTCTCGATCTCTCATGGACATGCCACCGCTTAGACACGAAACCATTCGGTATATGGCCGACTTCGGATGTGCTCTGGTAGCATTGTGCTGTCTCTACATAACACAGGCTTGCGAGCTCGTCAACACCGCGCTGCCTAACCTGAGGAGCTACCTAGATTCTGTTGAGGAAGTGGCCACGTTTATGAGACGGCCGTGGCAAACAACACTGCTCCTAGGTTCTATGGCAATTCGATATTACAGCAACTCGAACAGGTGCCTCGGAATATAGAGGGTTCCGGCTTTGGCACCCAGTTATGGACAGAACAGCGCGAGGGAACTGCAGCCGGGCATGCGCCTGCTCATCAAGCCCGATTGCGTCAATCTCAGAAGGTGACCAGGCCCGGGTGGCATTTTCCGCCGGCTCGTTCCCGACCAAGGAGCCAGAAGGTCTGTTGCGACTCAGCCCACAATCTCCTAGTTTCTCACTTTTCGACCCTAGCTGGGAAATCCTTCTGAGATAGAGTGTAAGGGAGACTGGGGTCTGCAGCTCAAGATATCACAGAACAATGCATGACCTCCGAAGCATCAAGGTGGTGATTGTTGCGCATTCCCCAGGTTCAGGGCAAGGCCGCCCCTTGGCGACCTTTTCTCTGCGCTCATCAGCTCACCACTCAGAGCCACCTAAAGGCAGCAACCCACCTGATCCAGCCAAGACGTCCAGCTGGCGGTGCTGAGGGGCAAAGAGCGCCCAATAACTACGGAAGTGTCAACTGTTATACGCGAGACTAGTGGCCAAGGAGAAATTCAGGGAGTCTGTTGTCCAAGGAGCGTCGAAACGTAACACATTGACGGGCCACCTCGCTAGACATCTAACTGGCTGGATGGACAGACCTCCGTGGCTCCCCTTTGGCAGATACGATCGAGGAGTCTTACACACGAAATAGAGACATGGAAAGCTACTGGAGGAGGAGAACAGCCCACATGTCACCGGGCTTGTCTTGGCTGCAACCTCGCTTCAACCTCTATCTTCTTCATTGGGTTACCGTCACTGTGGCACCCAATACACCGCCGTGTCGTCCACACACGACAAGAGATCAGCTCATATCTACCTCGTATACCTGACCGACAGCGTGAAGTTTGACCCAGACTCACAGGTGATCGCTAGATATTTGGACTTTCACAGATCTTGCCTCCCAACCCCCTTCGAGCAGCAAGGGTTGCAAAATCCGGTGCCTCAATTGTCTCTTGCGTCTAATTCTGAGCGCCACAAAACGCCCCAGAATTTTAAGATCGAAGGCTTGGATCTGATCTCCAATCTCCTTGGAAGCCGACCTCGGTGCGATCATCCGGCATCCACTTGGGACCTTTCTTACGGCCCAATCATTCTTATCGCTCCAGAACTTCCACAGCTACGCATAGGCTAGAACTCGTGCTTCCGGCTTTGTCTTTATCACGATGAGTTCCCGATTCTCAGACCTGACATCCGACATTTGACAGTGTCCCATTGGGCAAACAACCATTAGCCCCAGATGTCAAAACTTCGGTACCGTCTGCTAGCTCCACGGTTGACAGCGATCTATGAGCCTCGCCATGCTGCGGTGGGTCTGGTTGATGGCTGGCCGGGGGGGGGGGGGGGGGGGGGGGGGGGGGGGGGGGGGGTTGGGACTCCCTTCCGTCCCGCCGCGGGAGGCAGATTGGACTCAACTATAAGCAAAACCTAGCAAGACGACAAAGTTGGATACATCAGTTATCAAGTTCCCTTTTCCACCACGACCAACACTAACCAGTTCCGTGCTATGCAAGAATGCTTCGCGTGGCTCGACGGCACGAAAACGCCGTGTTTCCCGAGTCGACAGGTCGCGCACTCCACTCCTCCTCCCCCTTGATGATGGTGAGGGGGTGGAGCAAACAGTTTTTTGCCCTAGATCGATCCCTTGTAAGTTGGCCACGAGAATGTCCTCGCAAAATCGCTATTGGCCAGCGCCACCTGCGGTGCTTCGCTAGCCCAAGAGTGACATCTTGTACTTATCGGTTATGGCGAGTGCTTGTTCTAGGAGCCTCGCCACGGGCCGATGTGGCAAGGAATGTTGTCTGAACCCATGAAAATATTACCAAATCCAAGACGACAGCGTTGTGGTGCACAGAAAGTTGCGAGCAGGCTCTATATATCATGTGTTTAACACCCTTGGAGGCTTAGGTCGGTCTACACCTTTTCTGAGGTTACCTTTGCACGGAGACTTGCAGCACCTTCAAATATGTTCGATTCAAAGGATACTGTCCTTGTGGCTATCAGCATTACGCTTGCCGTGGCGACAGTCGTCTCTGTATCAATTGAGCTGAAGAGACAATTGGAGACCACGGGACGGTTAACTGCAAGCAAGTGTGAGTTCCTCGCGGAAAAGTGGGCGACTAGTCCATCGATGTTGACTGACCTTTCGCAGGGTTTTTGGTCATCAGTGCGGTGCGATGGACCCTCGTTGTAACTCCAAGCCGTGACTTATCTTGTTGCAGTTCCTTGCTTTGGTGATGACATCCATCGTCTGTGCAGGTATGAAGACAAACTGAAATTAATCCTCCAGGATGACTGAGGTGTATATCAGCCGCGGCGAAAGGCCTTGGGGCTTCCATCACTGCTACTGAATTCCTTCGCAGAGAGACTTTGCAAAAGGTCAATTCTCCTCTTCCACAGTTTTCCACCCGTCACGGCTAGCTACTGACGCGAAAATAGCTCATCGTTGCGGCCTTGCCCCCTTATTTCTTGTGCAACATGTTCGTCAAGCACGCATGGTTGACATTCTACTACGGCCTGTCACAGACCCGTGCCCAGAGATACTTCATCCACGTAATGCAGTTCCTTGCGGTGGCCTTTGGCACCAGTTCAGTTGCGGTTATATTATTGCAATGCACGCCCTTGAGCTACGTCTGGCATCAGGGCTTGGAATCAACGAGCGGACCTGTGAAAGGGAAGTGCATCAACTTGATAGCCTTCTTCTATTTCAATGCAAGTTTCATGATTGCGAATGATGTGGTCATGTACCTGATACCGATGGTACTGCTTTGGAAGGTTGAAACGCTTCGTGAACACCGGTGGAGCCTCTATACATTGTTCGCGATTTGTTTCGTGTACGTGGCATCCCCTGTTGGTTCAGTTTACAGACTGTGCTAACGTGCCTTTTCAAACAGCGTCATCCTAGCGAGCGTCTTTCGACTTGTCGCCGTCTACGAAATTGATACGTCACCCAACCTTTCAGGTATGCTACAGCCCTCCTCCTGCTTCTCCTCTCCTCTTCCTTCTCAACATGATGCATACGTGTTCAGCGTCTCGCCAATACTAAGATATGTTCAACTCCAAAACAGAAAATTACGCCTTGGTCTTCCTTTGGGCCGGCGTGGAGAACCACATCGGCATCTGCGCCGCCTGCGCCGGCGCGCTCAAAGCAAGGCTGAGCCTGACGTACCGAAAAGTCAAGAAGCTCTCACTCGATCTGCGCAACAAGTCGTGGCTTGCTTCGATATCAACATCGGCGTCAGAATCCAGGCCTGGGTCGACATCCGCAGACACACGAACGGAGGTCACTCGCACCCAGAGCACAGAGGACCGAACCCTGTACGAGCGCACGGCCAGCCTACCTTCCTTGAACGACGTGCCAATCAGCGACGACAAAGGGTCCAAAGGCACGCGCATAGAACTCGTCGAGGTGCAGCAGCCCACGCCCAAGTCGATCCACACCTCGCTCAGGCACTCACGCGCGACGTCGCGAGAAAGCTAGAGCTTCACACTTTAGTCGTGAAAAATGAGAAGTGGAAAGAGAGAAGAAGAGAAAAAGTGAAAAAGTGAAAAAGTGAAAACAAGGCCCTGACACATCCGTGCTCGACTGATACATAAAACAACGGCACCGGTCTTTGTTTCTGGGCAGGGTACAGGTACGCTCGTTCGTGGCATACTTCTCTCTGCCCCTCCCCCTTCTTCCCTCCGTCAGCCTTGTCTATGAGTCTATGTGTCCATGTATGTGTGTATGTATATGCGGCTGGATGAATGAGTGATGTAGGGTATCCCGGATGGTGTTGGGCGGGTGGGTGCAGGCAATGGATGAATGTGGGTTGTTTGCACCCAAATAAAAAGGGGAAATGCAGAACGAATACGCTTTACGTATAGGTTATGACCACGATCAACGGCAGCTAGGCTGAGAGATAATAAAACGTCTTGAAGAATGAAGAAAAGCAAATTATTTCCGTCAAGGGCTGAGTTCTTCTCCCTCTTTCTCTATCGTGGTTCTCACCATGGCTCGGTGGGTATCGGCTGGCTCGCCGGCTCGCTGGCTGATAGTCACTAATACATCGATAATGCGACGGAGCTTTTCTCCTACCCGCATAAGGCAAAGGGCAAAGGGCGAGAGGCAAAAGGTGTAGTAAAGAGTAACTCGGCATGTAGTTGTCGGCCTGTTTGACCTGCACCTGTGGGCGTTTACCTACTGGGTACCTAGGACGTCGAGGAGCTGGGAAGGGACAACAAGTCGGGTGCCTGCGGCGCCGTTGTGAGCGGAGAGCATTGCCTCGATCATCCCTTGATTCTCTCGACTTCCTCCATACTTCGATACGGACACACGCGCTACCATCCATACAGACATACATATAACAGATGTGGGTGGGTGTGTGTGTCACCCCGTCCGTCGGCTTCCCGATCCTCAGACCACCACCTGATAAATCGTATACTCGACCTTCTCGACGCCCTTGGGGCCGAGCACCAGCGCGACCTTGGCGACCAGCACCGCAAAGTTCAGCCACCAGTACTCTTTACTAGAGGTGTTGCACGAGAGCACCTCGGTGCCGTACAGCGCCGACGGCATCTCCCCTGCCGCTTCCGCGGTCTCCCTTCCTTCCTGCTCCGCCGGGGTGCCGTCCAGGGCGCTCATGACAGGCTTGATCAGTTTGTCGTAGCCCACGCTCTGGAACTTGAACAGCGTCGACGAGCCCGTGGTCGGGTCCGGGTCCGATTGCGCGACGACTCGCAGGTCGACCTCGATCATCAGCTCGTCGACGTGCCGTGTGCAGTAGTCGCCGCCACCGGGCAGGACGGTGGCGATCTTCGTCCCCGACGGTGTGGTCAGTTCGCCCAGCGGCGTTTCTACCCAGCTGATACGGCCGCGTGGGGTGGCGCCGGCGTCGAGGACCGTGGTTGGCGTGAGGCTGAGGTTGAGGACGTGTTTGAGTGTTGGTGGTGAGGTGGGAGATGCCATCTTTTCGTTTGGTTTGGCTTTGGTATGCTGTGTCTCAGGATTGGGGGGTTGTTTGACTTCCAGACAACTTCGTGGGATGTGTGCTTGTTGACTGGTTTGGTGCCTCCTGCCCTACTGTGCCGAGTTGAGCGGTGTGAGAAGACGGAAAGACGGCCCTCCCCAACGTCCCGTCGTGGTATTTATATACACAAAGTCAATCTCACCATAGATATACTCGAAATATACGCGCCAGAAGTGAGCAATCGTATTGCGATATTTTCACTTCAAAGAGCGATCTGATCTTCCCTATCAGGGCCGCCTTCTTCGAGGTCCAAGAGGGTTTACGTACCAGTCGTGTGCTGACTGCATTGCGAGACACTGGGGTTTGAACTGTAGTATTCGTTTGCTAGCTGAGTAACATGGTTCATCGGTAAGAGCCTGGATCTCAGTCACGATCTGCTTTGGAAGCCATGCTTACGGGCCCCCACCAGACTGCGCAGCTTCGGGAAAGAGAAGAGACAATTGGGAATGACTGTGCATAGACCAGTCAGGTCTGTTGGAGGCGCTTTTCCCCCGGCTTACCTCAGGCACATGCCATATACGGCCGTAGTAGCCTATAGTATTAAACTTCCAGGGTTTGGCCGAACCCGAGTTCTGGATCTTTTGACTTTGCCATGCGTGTGCACCGAAATGTTTTGCTGGCCTTTTCCATTCCGAGGTAAAGGAAGTCTTTGCTCGTCGTTTTTTTTTTTCAGACTAGGCTCCGAGGCTTGATCGATTCGGCTCATTTATCATCCAAGGAAATGCACAGTCGCCCAAGGGACAAGAAATAGAAAATATGGACGTGGCATACCGACCTTCAAACAAACCCCCCATAGGTGTCACCTCCCAGTGGGCGAACAAGGCGAGCAGTCAGTCACAGCTAGTTAGTGCAATGGACTTACCTGGCTCTGCATATCAGCTGGGGTAATATCAAGCTTCGAGGCGGGCCACAATCCTAAATATCTGGTTCCTCATGGGTGAAGAATCTGCATGGACTTGCTACGCTGACCAGAGACAATAAATATCTCTTTCAGCTGCGTTGCACCAATCTATCAACCCAAGGTCGCGACCACACAGCAGACGCGATGGTCTAGACACAAAATGTTAGATGACACATCATTTTTTGGATGATGCTGAATTCTCGACATGATCTTCTTTGCCGTCGGTCCCATGCCGAGTTGGCAGGATCACCCCACTGAGCATCCGTCAGGCAAAGGGCAGAATAAACTGAGCCGATGCCACGTGTTGATCGTTCTCGGGGCGAGGTGATATGCTGACGTCCCATTCAGGTCAAGATGTCTGGGTCCAAATACACACCCTTACCTGCCGGTCCGAACGCGCCTTCTGAGTTGTAGGCGAACAAGTGACCCAAAACGTTGAGACGGAAGATATTCGGGGGCCGCATCCACGAGCAACCGGGCCTAGTGTCAATTCAGCAAAGGAACTGTTTCCATGTCGGGCCACATCCCTAGCTTTGACAGGTAGCGGTCTACGCTCTGTCCCTGGCGCTCGTTCAGTTCGCACTATTTGTAAGTTGCAATGTCAGACCAGTGGCGGTGTTCGGTTGCTGCGAAGGGAATGCAGTGAGCCGGACTGTTGGCAGATTTCGCGGAAGGCGTGGCTCGACAGGCATCGACTCAATGAATGCATGATACTCATTGTATGGCGTACTCCCTTGGAGGATGAGCCGGGCAATCCAGAGATGCTTGGCGTTGATGGCGTCGCCTCCACTGTTTTCGTCGAACAAACTTTCTGTCAGAGTTCGTCCTTTGTCTTCCATTTGAAATCCGCTGCGCCTCCCGAGAGCCTCTTGAATTAGCTGTCAAGGCCTGCAAGTGTGGCCAATCCGAGGAATCTTCTCCAAGGCCCCATGCAAAAACACCACCGAGACTCAACCTCTCCATAATGGCAGGGAATTTCTTCGAAATAGCAACTGGCGTATCCCAAGACCAGAAAATGTCTTCGCCAGTGTCCCAGAAGTAATGCCCACCCTTGCCATTGTCATACAGTCCGTGTGGCAATGCCCGATGAAACGACATTGAAAGGTCAGTCGGCACGTCGTCACTCCAAGCGAAGGCGCCAGCACGGCCAAGATCGGCGCCAGACGATGGGTCTTCCATCAGTAAGGTTTTACAACCCATGGGGTTGGCACCGCAATTTCCATTAGGATCGGTCTTGTACCATCGAGGATAGAACGCGAATCCCAGATTAGCTTTCTCCGGCTCGAGGCCATTCTCTAAAAATGCTTCGATACCTGCCAACGAAGAAGCAAGACCAGTATGGTGGCCAGTGACATTGTCTCGTCGGTTGACCAAGTCATAGGTCATAACGTTGATAAAGTCCAGCACAGAACTGATTTTGGGCATTGTTTCTTTCGTGAATGCGAGCATTTCGCGTGGATGGCCTGGGACAGCAGCAGATATCGACTTATCGGGCCCAAGAGCCAGTCTGATCTCCTGTAGGAGTTCTGGATACGCTTCGATTTCCCAAGCTTTTTCCGAGTTGGGTATCTGTTTATAATCCTCTCCGTTGCCGCTGTCACCTTTTCAGCATAGTTTGCGGGAGACCCAACAAGATGAATAGGACCACCTACCCTGGATATTCCCAATCAATATTAACAACTTTTTGGTATTAGTAAAGGATCTCATAGTTGGCACGCCTACCTACCATCTGGCCCGGTTTGATCCACCATTGCTCGAACGTTGTAGGCAAAACGCCTTCTGTTCTTTTGTGTGGCAGCAGCTATCGAAAAGCTAGCGGTGGCACCCCAGCCCCCGATCGCTACCATGATCGCAGCTCCATGTGCGAATTTGGGCCGCACGGAAGCCACAGTAGTGAAAAGAGGCCACAATGATGGGTTCTCCTCGTTGAACACTGAAGCAGGCATGAATGCTAGAGCCATGTGCGTTATATGGGAGACGAGAGATAGATCGGGCACGACGTTATGCTGCCTGTAGCGGGTTTCCGAATGAGCTCAAAATGTATCCTTTTCAGCGTTCCGTAACCTACCCCGTCAGGTACATCACATATCTCGAACAACTAGCGTATGCGATGCCGAAGAACAAGAGAAGCAGGCATCGAAGCATGATGCAAAGATTAGCACTCGGCGAGTAGCTTCCAGAGAGAGGGAGGATTCGTTCCGGACTGTTCTGAAGTGGCCTACGTGCGCTTAGACCTTGATTGGAACATCAACAAAAACTTGAGGCAGTGAGGCAGCTGAAGCACTCGGGCAGTCAGTCGGAAAAGCGCAAGTTGAAGCAGCATCATTTCCGTCCCGAATCGGCCTGGCCTCTTGGCATGAAAAGACGAGTTAAACTTGGTTAAACCTGCGGCTAGTGGGCTGTAGCTCACGTGCGACTCACCCCGGGCGTGCCGCTTTTATAACCGCTCACCCTCCCTCTCATCCCTTCGCAGTCACCTCGCTCACCTTCACACTCACCCTTCATCCTGACCCTGCTCCACCGCATACAGCGCCAGCCAGGACCCAAAATTGGCGGCGCGCCGACCGTTCCCTCTTTTACGCCTTTTTCGACTTTCGACTACTTTCTCGTCCCCTCATTCGGACAGACTCTCCCTCCTACCGATGGAGTATAAAACCCCCCTTTGTACCCTCTTAGGCTACTAACTTTTCTTCTCCTTTAGAATGCGATCTTCCTCGTACGACGATCCTACTATTGTCGTTATTACGACCCTCTCACCACGAATTTATAGACTCTTATCACTTCCACCTCCACTATGGGCTAGCTAAACTAGTAGAAGCTCACGGCGGACGAACTGCTGCTTACTCGTGCTGAAGCCAACGGTTACCAGAGAGGAGTACACAGAGAGGCCGACGAAGTTTGCGGCCGAGATAAGTATGTCTCGAAGACAAAGAAGAACCAAGATGCTACCCTCCGACGCTATATCTTATTAGGGCTGCACTTTTCTTCATCACGTTCTCTCTTTTACAGCCTCCGCCGCTCGGTTCTAACTCGGTACCGAGATGGCGTCTTAATGCCATGAGAAAAGAATACGTCCAGAAAGGTCTATCCCCTCCCGATGAAGAGACGGCCCGCCGTCACTATCTAGGGTGGAATGTGACTGCCCCGGATCTTTCAAAGACTATATTCGGTTCTGCATCGTTGTAAGTAAGCCTCAGCTTAATAAGGAGCAAAACCTTGCCGAAAGCGATGCTTCTGGTATGTGGTAGGAATGTCTGTGAGTAGCCCTGGAAAAAAAAATTCGAGCTTTGGTACCAATCAAAAAGGAGGCGCCCGGCTGAACTCACTGGGGGACGGCTTCCTAGAGACAGCTTTCTTTCTTGGCAGAGATACTCCCATGCGTCCGTGATGTTCTTCGCTCTCATGTCCTTCATTCGAGCATCAGAAAGATGGGCTGCTTTCAAAGATCATGGTGGATCGGTGTAATAGACTGCACCAATCTTGGATTCCACAGGTAATGGGCGTCAAACTTGGCATTGGAGGGCTCTGACCTTCTGAAGGCCTTTGAGGACTATCTACCTTTTATATAGCTATCCACTATGGAGCATTGTCTCCACAGAGGATGCCAGGAGGATGTCACGGAAACAGTACTGCCTGTTGGTGGTAAAGAATGCAATGGAATTTGCTCAAGTCTGGTAGTATTACCACTCTGACAACAAAAGTCCTTGCCTAGGAGGGCAGGGGCGGTATCTGGTGCAGAAACAAGGAGGAATGGCAGTGTTGTTGATTGTCTAGCTAGCATGGAGTGCCCGAAGGCAGGTACTATAGGTAGATGGGTAGGAGGTCCTACAGCTGTGGTATGTAGGACCACAACAGTATCGATTGAGGATAAGATGGCGGGATCGATGTATCTTAGTTGAGCCCAATCCGCGTGCTTTGGAATTCACTCTATGCTTCTGGCCGTACCGTGACAATAGTTATCTCCCTCGCAGTTTAACTTCTTTAACAATCAGACCGTTACGTTTCCTGCGATCCAACCTGACTACTAATGGTTTCCCTCCATTGTGACAATGCTCTGCCTATCCAAATCGAGAACCTACCTTGTGACACGTGCTCGGTGTGACGATTTATAACACTAGGATATCCCCCTATTTTCTAAAATTTTCTGGAAGGGCCGTCTGTTAACAGGTCAGCATCAAACGGTCCCGCGGCATTGTTTGCGCCAGTATCTCGTTGCAGTATAAGAACACTGTTTCAGCGGCCCAATCTGGAATGGATGGAACGTTTCAGGAGAACGCTTCCAATCAGAGTGCAAATAGCCTATAAAAGGCGAGGAACTCTCTCAGAGAGACCACAGATAGAGAGACCGGACATAGATCACAGACACAGACCAATGAATCAATGAACACGCTCGAACTGCTCAACCTGTTCTCGTCAACACCATCTTATTAATACGATTCTGCTAGATCATACTTCTTAACGGTTCTAATAACTACTCCACTCTAAGCTGTCTCTGCAGGTATCGCGTTAACTTTAAATGAAAACAAGGCCGTTTCTGAGATCGGTCCTTTTGTTGCTTTTCCGGCTTGAAACTTCTGACCGATGTTTGCCCGTACAATTTCCGAGGAAAAATGATCTTGTGCAAATATTCATGTAGGTTTTACTCTGTAAGGCGTAAATTCAATCGTACTCTGGTCGATGTTTACGACAATTATGACTTATAGACAGATTATTGAGAAGCCTAACATCAGTGCAAGTGACAAAACAGAACATTCGTCGGCGACAGAGTTGCTACTGATGGCCGAGCTCGCGGTACATCCAACGGCTTGGATCCTCCGTGATGTGAGACACTCCCAGCTCTCAACTCGAGAAGTTTCGCCGTCATCGCAACTTTCGAAAGGGGTTTCTTATCTTGATTGGATCTCCCTCATATGGGTTTGAGGGAACAAAGAGCATAATTCACTCTACAACAGGGATCAAGTCCCCAGCGGCGAATTGGCCTGGAAAACAGACAGAACCCATCACCCAGAATGCTCTTTCTATCTTTTACTGAAAAAGGAGATTCAATCCTTCCTATGGGCCATTTGAGAATGACATCATACCTGGTTTTGCAAGCCGTGGCAACGCATGGCAGCTCCTCTACGTGGACTAGTTCATATGGTATACTGCAACCTCTGGAGACTGGTGATCGGACGCTTCCTGGCGAGGGAATGTCGACGTCCTAGTGCCAGGGTGGCAAAGGAACGGAGTTATAAGTGCCTTGGCCTATTCAGAACAGCCCAGACCAGGTTAGCAGACAATCTTGGTCGGGTCGGAGATAGACCCCCCAGCGCGTAACTTCGGAGTTGAAATGCCATGAAAATGTTAGGCTGCCTTAAGTTAGCCGACGCTTCGAGTCCCGTTAATCCAGCTCAGCCCGGCCAAGCCAGCGGCGACACAGAGCCGAATCCTATCCCTCTGGATTAAGTCGCTATAAAGAATAGTGTCGTTTGGGGACCCTTTCGACCAAACTCAAGTCTGAATCCCGAGCCCTCTCTCGAAGGCTGGCAGCTCACTCGACATCAACATGACGGAAAAGCATTATGATGCACTGATCATCGGAGCCGGGTTCGGTGGGATCTATCAGCTGTATTCATTCCTCAAGCTCGGTCTGACCGCAAAGGTCGTTGATCTTGCCGGAGATGTCGGAGGCACATGGTACTGGAATCGCTACCCTGGTGCCATGAGTGATACGGAAAGCTATGTCTATCGGTATTCGTGGGACCTCGAAGACCTGCGGGAATCGCCTTGGACTCACCACTACATCAGACAGCCTCAAGTCTTGGCTTATCTCGAACACGTCGTGGAGAGGCATAACCTGCGACAGCACATGCAATTCAACACCGAAATGGTGGCCGCCGATTGGGATGTGTCGGGATTCTGGAGAGTCAAGATGAAAAATGGGGATGTCTTCATCGTTCGCTATTTGGTCACGGCGCTCGGACTCCTTTCGAAGCAAAATTATCCCGACATTGCCGGCATCGACGACTTTAAGGGCGAGAAATACCATACGGCCTCATGGCCTGTGGGTGTCACCGTGGAAACCAAGCGAGTTGGGGTTATCGGGTGTGGCTCGACAGGCGTCCAAGTGGTCACTGAGATTGCGAAATCGGTATCGGAGTTGGTATGTTTCCAACGCCACCCTCAGTACAGCGTCCCAAGCGGAGATGGTCCGGTCACTCCAGAATATCGACAGAAGGTGAATGAGAGATACCCAGAAATTCTGGAGCACGTAAGAAACTCCGTCGTTGGATTTGGATTTGACGAGTCTACAAGACCGATGAGTTCTGTGAGCCCTGAAGAGAGAGAAAAGGTCTTTGAAGAATTGTGGAAACTGGGCAATGGCTTCAGATTTATGTTTGGTGGATTCAATGATATCACGGTCGACAAAGAGGCAAACGAAGCTGCTTGTGAATTCATCCGCAAGAAGATTACCCAGATTGTGAAAGACCCGGAGAAGGCAAGGAAGCTACAACCCCTCGACTACTACGCCAGGCGGCCTCTGTGTGACGGTGGATATTACGAGCAATTCAACCGGGACAATGTGAAGCTGGTCGACTTGCTGGAAACTCCGATAACCAAGATCACTGAGAATGGAATCCTAACCGAAGACGGCAAAACCCACGAACTCGACATGATCATCTTTGCCACCGGCTTTGACGCCATCGACGGCAATTACAACAGGATGCACATTCACGGTATTGGCGGCCAAAGTTTGAAAGAGCACTGGACAAATGGTCCATCAAGCTACCTCGGCGCTTTGGTTCCCGGATTCCCCAATCTTTTCATGATCACTGGACCCCAAGGACCATTCTGCAACATCCCCCCGGCCATCGAGGCGCATGTCGAGTTCATCACGAAAGCGGTCGCGAAGGCAGAGGAGTTGAGAAAGGAATCGACCTATAAAGGAGTAATTGAAGCCAAACCTGACGCTGAGAAGAAATGGAACCAAATCTGCGAGAAGGAGGTCGAAGGAAGTTTATTCAAAGAGACCGCTTCTTGGATTTTTGGAAGTAATGTTCCTGGAAAGACTTACGCCCTTCGGTTCTATTTTGGCGGTCTCAAGAAATTTCGCGGAGAGATTCAGTCTGCAATCGAAGACGGTTGGCGGGGATTCAAACTATACTGATGGAAACGATTTGAAATGGACTTCGAAGTAACCATTTCTCCATATATGTCATTATCTGTCGGATGATCCCTTTTATTGAAAATGTTCGAGCGTTGCTGTGCTTGCTAGATGAAATATGCGTCAACGTGCTTAATGTAAGATGAAGGTGCGACAAATGGATCTTATGTTTCTACAAGAATCAGAGGCGCAACCTCTAGAGTTGGCCCATTACGGACTGAAGAATTCCGCTGGGTTTCGATCATATTTGTCTGCTCGTCGGTGAAAATTGAAATTCTCTCCAGGTATTCACCTCTCTTGCAACGATCTCGGCAAAAGAATCTGCAGCATCTCATGCTGCTTTCTGTGCATCTGTATCAATCAGGAGTATCAAATGGTGAATTTATCACGATTTCTATTCGAACCATATCTATAGAACGAAAAAGACAATGTTACTTGACTCGCTGATCTATAGTTTGTGAGGTCTTGCAGTCGTAATTATCTCGTTAGCCAGCAGTCTAAGGTCCTTTCGCAAGATTTTACCAGCCGCACTCTTAGGGATCGCCTCTACCCAGTGGAATCCTCCTCTCAACCTTTTATGCGGTGCTACTCTTTTCGCTAGCCACTGGACAATCTCTTTAGCAAGTAAGGCGTCCCCAACAACTCCATCAGTGGGCACACCGAATGCACATGGGATCTCGGTGGCCCTTTCTTTGTCGTATATTCCCAAGGTAGCCACGTCCGAGACCTTTGGATGTGATATTAAGATGCCCTCCAACTCGGCCGGTGGCACTTGAAATCCGTTATATTTTATCAGTTCTTTGAGTCTGTCCGTGATGAAGAACAGGCCCATGGAGTTTTGGTAGCCGACATCACCCGTTTTGAAGTATCCGTCACTAGTTAGAGAGTCTTTCGTTGCTATGTCGTTGCGGAAATATCCTTTGAAGATGTTTGGTCCTCGTAGCCATATCTCGCCTGCTTCGCCCAAGGGTGCCTCTTTGCCGTCGGGCAACATGATCTTTGCGGTCATGTTTGGTAGTAATTGACCGACAGAGCCAATTGGATTGTTCCAGTCACTCCAAAGCTGCAAAATGAGGTCAGAGAACTGGAGAGGAGAATACAACCAGGGGCAGATGACTCATACTTGTAAGTGGGTCGTAGGACTTGTCTCAGTTAGGCCATAGCCTTGCTTGACTCGGAGATTCAGGCGCGTGTAGACATTCTCTACCAATTCCCTGGTCAATGGGGCAGCCCCTGAATTCATCATCCGTAGAGAACTCAGGTCGAAATTTGTCACTATCGGATGCTTGCTCAACATCACGAGAACCGGAGGCGCAACGTAGGCATATGTAACCTTGTGGGTCATAACGAGAGAACAAAATGCTTCCAGGTCAAACTTGGGCATAATGACAAGTGGTACGCCACTATACAGGCTTCGATGTAATAAACAAGTCAACCCTGGCACGAGTTATTAGTCTTCAAGAAGACGAATTTCTTGACGGGGCCGGAGAAATCATCCGACGTCAAACCCGCGAACTTACCATAAATGTGGTACAACGGAAGAAATCCCAAGACCTTGTCGGCTTCCCACGAAAGATTCGGCCCTTCGACACTGGATATCTGCAAAATGTTGGCGACGATGTTTCTGTGAGTCAGCATGACACCCTTGGGTCGACCCGTCGTCCCAGATGAGTAAATGAGAAACGCCAGATCCTGGCTGGGGACGATCGATTTCCGCCACGTAGAGCGCTCTTCTTTCGACACCACGGCATTATCCAGGACCGAAGACAATGTTGGGATATTGGCGCATTCTTTTGACGTAGCTTGATCCAGCAGCAAAATCTCCATGTCCAGCTTGAACTCCCGGATCGCCTCGCGGACGGTGTTGACGAGTTCTGGGTAAACTGCGATTAACCGTGCCCTCGTATCTTGGATTTGAAAGGTGAGCTCTTCGGCATTGTAGGAAGGATTGATGGTGCTGACCACACCACCAACTGCTAGGCAACCCCAGATAAGAACGCTCATTGCTGCGCAGTTTGGGGAGTATATCGCCAGAACATCGCCTTTATTCCAGCCATATCGCGATTTCAACGTCTTTGCAAACTGGAGAGCATCTGTTCGAATTTCGCCGAAGGTATGTTGAGCTTTCGTCAAGCTGTCGGTGAGAATGACTGGTGTTTGTCAGGGAAGCCTTCGCATCAGCGGAAGGATTCAACCATACTATGGTGGTCAGGAAATGCTCTGCCCGGACGTTCGAACAGAAACTCCCAGATATCTGCGTCTGGAATGTCGATTGGTGGGAGAAGAGATTGGAATGGCATGACTGAGTCGACGCATTCGGAAGGTATCGGCTGCTCAAAGATACAGTGCCACACGATATTGACCCTCGAAAAGAATATTAGTACTTGTTGCAATATGTCGATTGGAGAGCCATTATTTCGGCTTCAGCACGGAAACTGAGGGAAAGAGTCTCTGGACGTATGTAGTTTCCCAATCACGATCAGGCAAGTCGTTTGCTGTACGGCAGGATATCCTTCGCCAAAACTTTGCCGAGCGTTTCTTGCCTATAATCAGAGCGCGTGCGTCTCGGGCCGGAGAGTTTTCCGTATTCAGAGATTTCCCGTTGCTCTGGTGTCGTTGATAGGGACCAACACTGAACCCTGCCCACTGTGATATTCTCTCACAATTCTTTCAGTGCCGCCACTGCCTGGATCGCTTCGAGAAACGACAACTCCGCGGAGTTGAGGCAAAACTAGTCTGCGGGCTGCATCCAATGGATCTTCGTCCGACTTTATCGACACATACAGCCGAAGCACGGCGTAAACTCCGCGAGTCAAGAATCGATGATGTGACCCGAAACCTCAACATTTCACCACGGCCTCTGCCAGGCTCCATCAAAAGCTTGTCAGCCGCAAGAAATTGCTGGCGCAGATGACGCGGGGCCTTGGCGGCCGAGCAAGATGAATTAATCGATGGGCAAGTAGACATGACCCAGATGGCAGGGATGGCGCCGTCGAGGGTGGCTAGCGACGCTACAGTACCATGCAGCAGTCCAAGCTCCGAAAGAGAGTCGTTGCTGACGCGATAATGCTGCGGCAGAATAGAACTGCGGATCTGAAGCATGATCCGGACTATGATCAGTGGCTCCGGTTTGGAGAAGCATAGCCAGGGTGCTTTTTGGATCAATTTTGGAATTTGCTGCCGTTTCTCAACAACTGTCTCCCCCAAAATGCTCCCAGGTGCGATAAAAGTTCGGGTTTGAGTTCTGTAGTTAATCTAAAATCCTGGGATCTCAACCTTCTTTACACCCGAGAGATGCGGCAGAGAGCAAGGGAAAGCGGGGGCGCGTCTGATACACCGAACAACCGTACCCAAAGCTCGGCTTGTACATTAGGCCGCCAAACTACGCATGAAGCTTGCGACTTGTCTATCCGAGAGCTCTTCATCCAAAATTGAACAAATAGGCCATCCCATGGCGTACCTAGTTGGCATTCTCGGTCAGCAATCTGCACGTGAAACGAAGGCATGGAACTCCTTTACGTATGCATCTGACCCTGTCCAACGATGTAGTCCACTTTATTGCCAGCAGCTTTTGACTTTTGCACCCATTTCTCCGAATCGGCAAGCAGGACTTCCGCTCCGCCTGCAATAACAAGCTGCGGTGGAAGATTTGAAAGGTCGTCAAAAACGGGGGAGACTCTCGGATCGTCAGGCTTCATCCCAAGAGGGAGCAGCGCATCGACAAGGACAGGGTTGTCCTTTGTAAAAGTGATGAGGAAATCGGTCGACATCGCCGGGTGGTGCAATGTATCTTTCATCTCTAGGTCGAGCCAAGGTGATACCAACAGCATCCCCCCGGGAGAGGGTCCACGAAGCTTCTTGATATTGAGCACAGTCATTGCCGCAAGCCCACCTGGGGAGTAGGTTAGATAGAGTATTTGGCGCACGTAGAGTGCAAATGATATCGTGGGGGGTTTTCCATACCTCCCGCGGAATCACCACCAAACACTATCTGCTCTGGCAAAACTTTGTACTGGTCGAGTAGCGTCTCATACCACTTCATCATGTCTTCCAAGCACGCAGGGTATTTATGCGTCTTCGAAAGACCTGACGGATTTTCATGTCTCAGCCGAGGTGGCCGTCTTCGAGCGGGAGAGGGTGACTTACGATAGTCCACAGACACGATGGTTAGCTCGACATTCTCTCTCGCTGCGGCTCTGATCCACCTCTTATAGGTAGATATATACATTAAGGGTTCCCCGAAAAAATACCCCCCGCCGTGGCTGTAAAGAAGAAGCAGTTTCCTTTTGCCATCCTTCTTGCTTCCAATCCTGCCCACGTCCCTGTCGGGCGGGACTAGAACAGCTGGAACTTGACCTGCGTTGAGAAGCAAGTATTCATCGTCGCGAAGGCTTGGCGATGCCTTGAAAAGCAGGTCCCAAAAGTTGGCGAGAAAACTACCCAGTATTGCTCGTGCAATCTCTGTTCTTAGAGTTACGGCTCGGCAGGCATTGGGCAGCAGAATCCGCTGGATGAAGACTAAAAAGAGATAAACGAGACTCTGCCAAATACTCCAGAAGAGCTTTGTGGGATTCTCCAAGATCAGTTGGAGATGAGTGGCCATGTTGGGAGATTCTTGCTGTCTCTGCTTGTGGTTGAAAGAAGGAAAAGACTCGAGGTTGAAACCAGTGGGACCAAGACAAGCTGTACTGGGTTTCCATTCACGGATGGCATCGCCCTAAGGGGAAGAGGTGGCTCAGAGAATGCTCAGGGCGATGAGGTGTCTCGGAGAATGGGCTCCGCAAAGGCAGTCTGCAAAACTCCGACACCAGTCGAAATGTCCTCGGATCGTCTTTCCACAGACAATGTGGACACGGCTTCAACCCCCGCGCAAGGCTCATGGAGCAAATACATGCGAGAAGGCTCTCTCAATCGTCTTTCAAGCCACCGTCCTTCCACCACCCAGCTCGCAAGTCCCCTCGGGCAGGTTTTGGTGCAGCAAGAAAGCCTGGCCATATTTATGAGAGAGTAAACAAAGCAGGGAGTCAGCACCGCACTTTCGGCAAAGCCTGATGAAATGGGATTCTGATCTAGTATTATGCACAAACGTGGTTCTGACCGACTCACGCGGCTGTCGACCAAGAATTCGTGAGAATAGCCTCGTCCAGCACAGGCTTTCTACCTCGGGTCTTGCACTCGCACTGCGAGTCACTGTGCCCCTTGATTCCCGTCTGATGCCCCCTGATCCCTCCTGGGTGTCTGCTCTGAGATCTTAGCCACGTTGGATCGGCCACAGGCCAGTTCGGTTCTGATATTGAAGCCACCCAAGCATGCCTTTCGACTACAAGGGCCGCAAATTCTTAACCGAATTCTGCTGGAGTTGAACAGTGCTGCCCCGCGCCCACCCTGGGAGGCTTACTTCATCCTCAAGCTAGCTAAGCTAATCCGTCTCCCTACATAAGACTGGCATTTGGAGCTGGCATTGCACGCTCTTAGAACAGCAATTCAGCTCGCACCGCCGTTCACGAGGTAGTTGAAGCCGCTAGATACCTTGTTGTCCGGCCACATCTCTTCTCTTTTCAGTGACTGGTCACAAAAAGATGTGGGGAACATCGAACGGAGATGGAAGGCTGTCTCTCTACATACCAATAGGGCCTCTTCAACAGCGGAGACAAACTAGTGCGGATAGTGCTGATTTCTTTTTTTTTTTCCCCACCATCCAATTCATCCTCCTGTTGTTGGGAAGCTCGATAGAGGCTCCAAGGCAAAGGTGACTCGATCAACCTCGTGATGAGTGCAGGTAGAGCCAAGGGAAATGTACCTCAGTTTGTATCAATTGTTCTCAGCCCACAGGCACCCGGTAAGGACACCGTCTGGCTGGGTGCCATTGATGTTCAGAAAGGGTATCCTCGAATGCTGCGACGTTCACCTGATACAATTAATGAAGGGGGGAGGGGGGGTGATGGATGCAGGGCTGCTTCGTCCCGTTCTGTGACCTTGTCTTGCTTTGCCAATCATTCCTTACTTGGGCTATCACTTCGAGCGCCCGTGAGGCGCTTCGATAAGTTTGACCCATTTCACCAAGGGCTTGCATGCAGACAAGAAGCATTTCTTGTGCACTTTTACCTTCAGGCCCGCCAATTATGCAGGTATAGTAGAGATGTATCAAAGCTGCCGTCAATGTGACGTGAACCATGTGGAAGTGTATGCGTTTGAGGCCATACTGGCGACGACAGGAAGAGAGCAATGCACAGATGCTAGTGGCAGCGGCAAAGCATCTCTTTCTAGAGACATGAGGAGACATGCCTGCGGGGTGATTCTCCCTTTCGTACTCTGACAAACCTAGAAAAGGACGGCAGAGTAGTATCATAGTCTCTTCATACTGCAGACTTTCAACAGGTTAGATTTCATAATGCGGGAGAAGATGTGGACGGTATACAATTCTTTCCCGTGCAAGAGGCTGAACTTACTGTAGCTCGTACACAACGGGTAAATGCACATCTAGGCCGATTGCGAGTTTCTTTATTCGCAAAGCCGGTGGCAGAGATTCTTTCCATTTTGCCAGCTCGAGCGCTATCTCTTCCACGAAGTTCGCGCTCTTTCCGACGGTCTTCCGAACTCCAGAATACCTGTACTTGATCAGTCGTGCAGGACCTTGGAGTGCTTGTGGGTCACAGACAGTTCATCGGACACTCTACCCGTGATCATGGCAAGTTGTGCTAGATGAACGTGAGCGCCGCCAGCGGCGCTAGCATCGATATGTGGAGGCAAACCCCTCTGATTGGAGTCATCAACATAGCTCCAAGAGTATGGTGCAGCCGACGGTTTAGGCACGTTATAATCACGGCCTTTCATTAGCGGGGGCCGCCCGAAGGAGGAGCTCAACAACCTGTTGGAAGTATGTGAGAATATGGGAGGCAAAGGAGGGATCCGAGGGCCAAGGGAAGTTCAGCGTATTTTCTCACCTATCCGAGGAATTAATTGTCCAAAAGAGGTTTGTCAGAACTTGAAAGATGTTGGAATCTGGAAGAGATGTCTTTAGATGGGAGTGTTCTTTTTCGAGGTTAAGGTGAAGGCCAAGATCCGAGCTGATCTGCACAGCCATTCCTATTCATCATCAACATCTCCCGGGTCCTGTCGGTGCTCCAAACTTTTGGACCTACCACAATAAAGCCAGCCTAGATCAAGCGAGAACGGTAAGCAGTGGAAATTTGGAAGGGACAGGACGTCATCCACTATGCTCTTACCTCTAGAGTCTCGCATTTGCGCCATTTCGTGCGCTGACAGGACCAAGAGAGCTTGGACAGTCGCCAGGCCGGGGCTGTCCATCTCGATTTCAAGGTAAGTTTTAGCACGGAATGCGAAAAGCTCGGACGTCATGTCTGGCACTTCACGAGGTGAAGAGGCTGCGAAAGAAGCACCGACTGCATATCTAATTGCTCAAGCATCAGATACACACTTCCCGAGAAATATGTGCAAGCGTGGTCGCTAGACGAAAACTTACATGGCGTTCTCCAAACAAGGAGAATACAATGGTGTATCTTGGCCCAACGCATACAGTCTCTTCGCAAGTAAGTAGGCTTCCAGATCCACTACATTCATAAGTGGATTATGCCACGCAAAGAAGAGATTGGTGAGGAGCTCCTCATATTCTGGATTTCCTGGCCAATCCAAGCCTGCCTTGCTGATAGCAGCGCTACCACACTCTTTGATCGTCCGGAGATTGGGCTGTGATAATGCGTCTGGACCACTGTAGAAAATATGGAGATTACTCGTGGCGCCAAAATAGCGTGCCTGGAGGTCCTCGGTGATTTGAAGGCGCCCGACCTGGCTTGAGAGCTGTTTGGTCACCTCATCGACGAAATTTGTATCTTCTGCGTCAGTTTGGTTGTCGTCAATAGAGACAGCTTCCTCGTCTGGGTATCGGTCATCGCCATTGGAGGAGGTACTTGAGGCGACAGTAGTTAGCGCAAGTAATGCTTGAGAACTTGTATCTTCGCTTTGAAATTCTGTTGACCACAACCAGTCATTCGGTGGAGGGTCTGAAGTCAGACCCAAGGGTTGTACATCATGATGAGGCCAGTCTACCGGGGTTGAAGGATCCATCATTTGAAAATTTTGAAAATGATCTGGACCTTCGGCGATACGAACCCAGTAATCAAGGTGTGGCTCGCCAGACAGAGCCGAAGAAGACGAGGCCAGAGGGTTCTGAGGGACAGATGGAGCCAAGAATGTAGGCTTTTGAAGCTCCACCGCAGAGTTGTAGACGGGCGAGGCACCCGTTGCTGATATTTCGGGTTGGCCGGGCAAGGTGGGCGTCACGACATCTGTGAGGTTGTTTTCTTGAGTCATTGACTTGATGCTGAAGCGACGACGATGTTCTCCTGTCCTGAACCCGCCCCCCAAATCATTAACAGCGGGAATATGGGCATTATCCACAGAGACATACTTTCTCTTATCTTCGCCGAAGATACATTCGATTTGATACAGCTGGCACTACATTTTTCGGGTCAGCAAGCTCCTCTTCCAGACCTGTGGCAGCGGCGATCCAGTTTTCGCGCGATGGCAAGGAATGGGGCTCACATTGGAACATTTTGGGCGTTGATTGTTGCACTATGAAAGGGACACAACCCCGATATGAGCGAAGAGATTTCTCAGCTGAATGTTTCGCAAAGCTCACCCTAGTCTTGCGTCTCCTGCAGCCAGTACAGGCCATGGGGGCATTTTTTCTCTCGCGAGGCTGCTTGGAAGCGTGGTAACCTGCCATTGTCGCGAGTGTGCGGTTGGGCGATGGTACTTCTTCAGACTCCGTGCACGTTGAGGCGAGATGGCAAATGGCGGATTTGAGGAGAAGGTTCTTCAAGGGGGATGAACGGAGAAAGTATCGCGAATTGGGAAGCCCTCAGCGATACGAGGCACTTGGACGGGGGGAGAAGCGGGCCTGGCCGGCCCAAGGGTACACAGAAAAACAACAAGAGGGATGGTCGTCGCGGTTAGGCGTGACGGGCCCGGGAACAAAGGCCCTGGGGTAGAAGCGGGCTTGAAGCGGGGTAGTTTCGTTTGAAGGGTCTCGCGGGCACCCGGCCACTAAGGTCCTCAACCTAGCACCCGTGAAAGACCCCCAGGGGCGTTGCTAGCTCAATCTTTGGCGAAGAATCACCCAGGCCAGGAATGATGGAATACCGTCAGGTAAGGTACGGTAAGGGACTATTAACTAGAAGTGCGCAAACACCCTGCCGGCCCCAGCTTTTGCCTCATGGAGAGCCCCTCCTGGGCCGTGTCATTGCCTCTTAGAGGGAACCAGGTCTGCGACGACCGACCGGCCACGACCTAAACATTGGTTATATGTCATTTTCTACACCTGAGGTCTGATTTTCTCTGCTCCCTCCACCATATCGCGCAAGACTCTACGAAGAATCTTCCCACTGCTGGTCTTCGGGATTCCCATCACCCATCTTATGCCACCAGTCAGCCGTTTATGAGACGACACCCGCTCGTTGAGCCAATCGAAGATCTCTCTCTCTATCTCCGGAGTGGGATGAACGCCTGAGACGGGAAAAACATAGGCTCGTGGGCGCTCTGTGCACGTTTCGCCATCGTAGATGCCCATTACAGCAACATCATTGATTTTCGGGTGCCCAAGCAGGAGACCTTCAAGCTCCGCAGGTGATACGTCGTAGCCATCGACCTTGAATATTTCGCCTATTCTGCCAGTGATGAAAAAGTTCCCTTGCTCATCCTCGTAGCCAATATCCCCTGTTCGAAAAAAGCCATCGGGAGAAAAGGCGTCCCGAGTGGCAGAGGGATTTCCCACATACCCGCGGAAGATGTTCGGTCCTTTGATCCATAGTTCTCCAATGTGACGCTTTGGAACTTCGTTGCCGTGTAAATCGACGTACTTGGCCAATTGGTTCGGTAGCAACTGGCCGATTGAACCGTATAGGTTCCAGGAATTCCAAGACTGGAGATGGGTGGTGGGACTGGTTTCTGTGAGGCCATAGCCTTGTTTGATGGGGACTCCAATCCGATGATATACGGATTCAGCGAGATCCTTTGTGAGCGGTGCGGCACCGCTCATTAGCATTTTCAGTGAACTCAGGTCGTACTCTTCAACGATAGGGTGCTTTGCAAGAAGTAGCACCACTGGAGGTACTACGTTAGAGAACGTCACTTGGTACTTCTCAACGTATTCGCAGAACTTCTTCAAGTCGAAACTTGGCATCACAACAGCGGTAAGTCCAGCGAACATGGCGACATGGACGAGAGCAGTGAGACCTTGTGGTCCACGTCTTAGTTTTCTTTTTCAAGGCAGAGGTCAGTCGGATCGAACGTACCGTAAATATGATAAAACGGAAGGAATGCCATGATTCTGTCGGGCCGACCATCGGCTGCTCCTCCGTTCCACGTCAAGTAATCCGCATCACAAGCCCGATTCTGGAGGACGTTGGCGATGATGTTGGTGTGAGTTAATGCAACCCCTTTAGACAAGCCCGTTGTGCCGGAGGTATAACATATAAAGGCATGGTCTAGGGTAGGATCAAGCCTCACATGTCGTTTCAGTACGGCGTCAGGAGTGTCATGCTGCTGTATATCAGAGGGTCGGCTGAAGTAGGAGTCGCCAATAGTCCTTTCATCCACGACCAGGATTCTGTCCTTGGGGATACGGGCGAACCAGGCAGCATTCACCACAGTGTGCAGAAGAGACTCCGAGGTAACGATGGCTTTTGCTCGTGAGTCAACTAACTGAAAGGCATATTCTCTTGCGGTGCACGTTGGACTTGATGGCACCACAACGCCTCCGGCCCAGTGACAGCCCCATATCAGCGCTGGGGTATGGATGGAATTGAAAAGAAATAAGCTAAGAGCGTCGCCTTTTTGCCAGTTCCACGAAGACACGAGAGAAGCACCAAACCTTAAGGCATCTGCTTTAACATCACAAAATGTAGACACCCGTCCTTCGTCGGGAGAGACATAGATTGCTGCGGACCAGATCTCAGCATAAGAATGAATCTTCTCAACCAGCATTAGACTCACTTTGGGTGTCGGGCCATTCTCTATCTTGACGTTCGAACAGAAATTCCCACAGATCAACGTTAGGAATATGGATCAGAGGATACGGCGAGCTTGAAACCATTTGAAGGCCTTCCCGAATTACTCAGAGTCCGAATGACAGCGAACAAGCTCGGGAAAAGATTCTCAAATCTTATCAGGTTGTCGAGTTTTGATGCCACACGCCTCGCATCGTCGGTAAATTAACACACCGTGGACGTTAACTGATGGCTACCGCAACTAAGCCCGAGATGTCAATGACAGGTCACCTTTCAAAAGTCGAAAGAGTCGGAGGAGGCTCGTTTGGGTGATGCATGAGTGGCGTTGCATGCTTGCGGGTTGGGGGAAGGAGAAGGAAGCCCCCGGTACGGGGGGTAGGTGGAGTCGAGAAATGCGCCCCGCTATTTACATCGAGCAAATGCCTTGTCAGCGGACGAATATTACGGCTAGTCATGATTCATGTATTCCGGTCACGATCTCCACGGAGATCGAACATTTCCTCACGTTACGGTTACGGCTTTCCAAATTGTCTGGGGCCAGCAAACCCATATTGGTGATGCTGTCGTCACCGGGCGTTACTGCTGCGGGTGGGAAACGACCGTGACCAACCCAACTATCCCGCATCTCTTCGCTAACATTCTCAGAATATGATCTAGTTCTATCCTGTGTTGAGCTCATCTCTGAGACCCGGGACAAAACCGCCGCATTGTCAATTCTACCGGCCATGACCAGGGAGGTCTGGCGCGCGACTGAGAGCGTAATTGAAAGAAATGACGAGCAAAACCCTGAACTCCGTTTTCATGGAAAATTACACAACTTTCAGCCAGCGCGAATGGCTTCGCGCAGCTAGAGTCCAGCCTGCTTAATTACTGTCGTGATGATGGCACAACGGATGCGATGTCATTCCCTTGAAAGGCCTCGATATCTTTTTTTGCACGGAGACGCCGCCCACCAAGCTTTGTCAACTGGCATCTCACAAAGCCGCTCCTTTTTCTATATCGACGAACAGCCTTTTGAGCCCCTTCCGTGCTTCGCCGTCCTAGTCTCGTATATGCAGTTCCAGACTCGAAAATCTACAGCTTCGAAGAATTAGAACCCGCCGAGTCGGCCGGATGCTTGGGCCTGAGGTTCGGACTAAATAGCCACGCGCGACGAGCCTTGACACTTGTAAACGTTGGTCACACGACTGTCTACGCGCGCCGCAGTGTCTGACACACTCTGCCCCAAGGCGCTGTGTTGATAGCCCTTCGTACTACGGCGGCCAGAGGCCTGATAGGACTAGAGGTTCAAGCCAGAGAGAATGACAATTAGGCTATGCGGAACACTGAGCGGCAAAGTTCCAAAACTCTAACCTGATGAATAGTAGAATCCTGATACTCTGACGAGGTGGTCTCGAGCTGCGTGTTTTTGTATTGGAAAAATGTCGGTGAATAAGTGATACCATCAAACTCTTTCAGAATCCACACTCGTACCCATATAGTAGTGCGATACTTGTAAGTCAATTTCCAAAGGCTCGCTTGACTTGGACTCATTTGCTGTTGCTCATCCTTCCTCTGGGGAACATTTAAGCTGTCTTTCCCTCAACGTTTACCGCTATCTCTTTTGCATCGTTGTCTAGTGTTTCCTCTTGGGCGTCCAAGAACTGGCGTTCGAGACGATCTTTCGCCTCGCCAGTAGCAAAGATGTAGTCAATTTCCTCCAATGTTTTACCAGCAGTCTGGGTGAAATTTGTCAGCATTCGTACACAGGCACAGGCAATGACACAACACCAACCTCTGGAAGGAAAAACCAGACAAATACAAATGCGACGACACACATGATACAGAAGAGAATGTAAATTCTCCACCCAGTATTCCTGATTGCAGCAGGAGTAATGAGGACGATCACCTAATCTCCATTAGCTCCACTAATGAGGTTGCAAGAGCACGAGACTCACAAATGTCCACAACCATTCCGAGAATGCACAAATTGCACCGCCGACATGACGCAGATGCAAAGGAGTGATCTCCGGAGCGATGATCCAAGGTGTGCAGTTCCAAGTTGCACCGAACCAGAGTTCGTACAGGATCAACATGGCCAAAGCCAAGCGCCCTGTAGCAACAGTTGGGACGGCGATGGCTGCCGTGAAAATAGACATGCATATAGCCATGGCGATAGCCCCGATCAGAAGTAGTCGTCGTCTTCCATATCGATCGATCATGAAAATGGGTGGTAGCGTACCGACGAAGAAGGCAAGTTGGATGAACCCAGCCACTAAGCTGCTGGTCTCGAGGGACAGGCCGACATTATCCGTAAGGATAACAGTTGCTGCAATTGTCAGCCTGAATTTGATACGGCACAAGACAAGAGGAATTTACCATAGACAGCGGTGACATGAATTCCTGTAAACTGTTGAAACATCTGTAGCATGAAACAGATGACCAGGCGTCGAGAAGTCTTGACATCGGACTTTTCAAAAAACCTTTTCCACCGAAACGGCTGCTCCTTTTCAACTCTGACAGCTGCTTCCATTTCAGCTTGAATGAAAATTACTGACGCATCGTCGATAGGAACGTCCATCAGCTGAGACAAGATTTCTGCTGACTTGTGAATCTCTCCCTGGTTATAGAGGAACCGGGGAGACTCTGGGAGTAAGAGGATTATAGCACCAGTGACCACAGCAAATACTATTTGGAATGCAATTGGGAAGCGCCAGACAATCTAAAGCGTTAGAAAGCTATGCAATGAGCAAATCAAGAAGCTCTTACCTCGCCAGACAGGCTGTGAACAGTGCCATAGTCCACCCAGTACGCTACAACAAGTCCAAACTGGACCAGTTAGCAACGCCCGATTGAGGGTGTAAGAGAACACTGACGATCACAATTGCTAATTGGACAGCTACCATGCTTCCACGTCGGTTACTCCTGGTCGTTTCAGAGACATAGACGGGTATAGTCGACGTATTCAACCCTATCATGTTAACACGAGGAGTAGATTAAAGAGATGCAAGCTTACCGTTTCCGATACCGCAGATGATTCTACCGGCGATGAATTGCCCGGCTCCATGAGTAGAAGTCTGAATGGCTGCGCCAACAATCATAACCATGCAGCCCCCAAAAATGACATATCTCCGGCCGACCTTGAATCCAACGATGGCTGCAGTCACGCATCCAATCATGCATCCAACATCGTATAGTGCAATAATGGTTCCCAAGTAGCCTGAGCCTGGATTTCCCAGGGCATCAAGAAAGCTTGGCTGGGAAACTAAACCACCAACCACGCCCTATACATGGTCAGCAGCATTCTCCGTTCGGTAGGGCCTTTGTACCTCATCATATCCGTAGAGGAGATAGGCACTGGCGCAGCACAGCGTGATGGCCCAGCTAAGGGGGGGGCCACGAAGTTTCACCTGCATTTTCCTGTAAGGATTATGACTCTTGGCAGTTCTTAGTATTCGAGCCTTGAGAAAGACATCAGTAGACTTTCCGGTAGTCTGGACGGTTCGTGCTTTATATTTCGCCTCAAATTGAATATCTCCGACGTACATTTACCGGACATTGCCCAACTCCGCGGGGCCATTTCTTTCAAGTTTGCCTTTGGATAACTTGAACTCACCGTTAGCTCGAATACAAAGTAGCGATGGTATGGAGCGGATCAAGAATGCTTTGGAGACTTAAAAGATTGCGCCTTCTCGAGGCGCGGAGTGGCAAGAGAAATGGCATACGGAAATATGACCGGAGTTCAGCCAAACCATGCAAAACTGGAAGTTTACAGCTGGTTCTAGAACCAGAAGTTTTAATGGATATTGAACTTTGTTGCATAGGCCACGCTGCTAGACAATATGTTGCCCAGATGAACATTTCTGCGGGTATGGTGATCGATCCTTCGGTGGAAATCCTTACATATTTTGGGTGAGATCTTGTTGAACCAAACGTGATGAATTGATTGATTGTTTTTAAGACTAAGGGCGGAGGGCGAAAAAGCCCAAGTGCCTCGGTGACTAGCCTAATTAGGCAAATACATTAGATCCATGGAATGCTGGGTCACCACAGAGACATACTACATGTTGGCAATCATCTCAAGTCTAAACACGCAAGGTGAGTGTATACTGTAACAAGGCAAGGTGGCTGTACAGTGCTGGGTTGGTGAAGTGGCAGGGCAGAGGCCTGTCAGGTCACATAGTGTGCCATTGTTTGCAGTTTGAACAGAGTAACAGTTATCATGATTCTTTTGATACCGTCTACCTATTCCTGAGCGTTTTATCAGTCTTGTCCTATCTCCCCAATGCCACCGCCGTGCTAGGTGCTCGTTGCCCTAGCCTCTACCTCTCTGGGTGGTGTTGGTGGTGGTGGTGGTGTTGTCTTGTCAGCGTCAACTAGAAACGCGTTCTCGATTCCCGACCTGCTGGACAGGCCTCTGTGCGTTGTTGCACGTGCATGCCGAACCCTGAAGTGCTCTGTTACAATACTAGCATCCCAATTCCATGCATATAGCCACGTAGCAAGGTCCCGAGGGATTAGAAGGGCTACTAGTGCCGGGTCGATATAAGCAGAGAGAAAAGTCCGGGGAAAAGGTAAAGAGAATTGCACAAAGAGATCGGTTGTTTCCTTCATTCTATGCATTCATTTCGAGCTCGACTTGTCACCACGTACTGCTAGTAGTATCTCATGGAGCCATTGAATGCCGTCTCTGATCGTAAGCGTCGTTAATTCAGCTGTCGAATATACTCTCGCCGTCAGGATCTAAACACCATTTCGAGTTGCGCATTTCGTCCGAAGTTTTCTGACTCTGTCAAATTCTATCTGAAAATCTTCGATCGCAGCCAACACTCTCAAGCTCGAAGAGTCGATTGCCTCGAAGGGAAACGGAAGTACTGGTGTAACAACGAATTCTCCTCAACAACAAATTCTGATAGATAGGCCAGTTAAGTTATTACGGACGATGCGCAGTAGTGTGAGCGTCAATGGGGCGCATGCCGAATGATGAAAGGGGTTGTTTACACCATGTAAAAACTGACCGGGTACGAGAGTTGAATGGCTGAAGGAAATTCCATAGGGAAGCTTTTGGGAATTCGTGACAATGTCTATCTCTTAGAGATCTGCTTGGTTATGCTCCGTCTACAAGAGAGTCTCCTGTTTATATAGAGACTACGCTGTAATCAGGAGGCCCCTTTCCACCCTTACATAGATCTCAAGCCCCTTGCAATGTTCCTATTCTGACAGTTCAGGAGTAAGGAATCCCAGGGATATTGGCAACTAGGTAAGGGGTTGGTGGTTCAACATTTCATTCTCTCGAGTGCGTTCTAGCGCTGCACAGAGTGGGATAGAACGAAAGGATCACGTCCAAGAGAACACGAGTACAGAGCAAGTCAATGTACAAGAGCCAAATTACTAAGCCGGTAGGCTCAGCAATGTGATAAGGTTGAGGAAGGGCTATCTAGGAGAGTGCTCATAACTGTATAGGTGAAGGAGATTCGTATGGTTTAGTCGTGCTCCCATTGATCCTACTAATCTCGCCTTCTGTGTTCGCATAACCTTTCTTTCTCGTTGAGCCTCGCCGTATGTATGATAGGCTAGGTTGTGATAATCTTTTTGTCTCGAAAGTCTCGTCTGGCCGCCTGGCTAGTTCGGCCTACGACTCATTCGCAGTTTTAGAGTCGCAAATCAAGTGGCCGGAGGCAAAAAGGCGACAGCGTCGGCCGCGGAGATAAACTGCCGATCGATTACCGAGGAACTCAGTATAAGACCTAGCCACACAGGTTGCAGATATTATTTCAAGCCATATACAATCGAATAGTTGAAGGCAGAATCTAATTTGTTCCTCCGGGGTAGCCACCATGTCGTCCTCCTCAGATCAAGCGATCCTAGCCAGACTCCAAGCGCTCGAAGATAAAGAAGCAATCCGATCAGTTCTCAACCAATATTGTATCAAACCTGATCAGTACGATTTCGATGGCTATGCAGAGCTCTATGTGGAAGACGGAACCATGGGTTTCGAGTCATGGGGGAACGTCACTGGCCGAAAGGCAATCTCAGCAGCTTGTGCAAAGGAGAGTGTTTATGAAGGCCTGCTTCATATCATGACGAACATGGAAATTACCCTCGAGGGTCCTGACACTGCTAGTGCATCGGCCAGAGTCTGGTTCTGTGCGACACCAAGTGTCTCCGAGCTTGAGCAACACTATGCTTTTGGAGGCCCGTACAAATTCACCTTTGTAAAGCGTCATGACGGCTGGAAAATTAAGACGATGAACCTGAAGAAGACCTGGTCTTCTGGGAAAGACACGAAAGGCGTCTTCCAAGTCTAGTGCAAAAATCTGGTCGCTGCTCCATACAAAAAGTGGCCCAAAGCTAGAGAGATGGAAGATTCCTGAGGCAATCATATCGACGGAACAATGCACTCCTACAAAAAAACAACTAGCACGAGAGGATGTAAATAGCAAATCGGTCTGATAGATGAGGCATAGCTTGCAAGGTCAAGTCAAATAGCCTAGATATCACTGTGTCGATCATATGGAGCATGAATGGCATCACACCACTGGATTTAGATATCAACTACCTAGTCTTCATGGCCGAATCCCAAGCTTTACCCGGGTGGAACGCCCTGTAAGGAGGCCTGATCCCTTCTCACCGATGCAAAGATGAACAAATGGTCGAACTGTCCTGAATTTCTCAACTTGGCAGCATAATTACAGCTGGAAGAATACCAGAAGCATGAAAATTACGGCAAATACTTGGATCATACCAACTCAGCCGGCAATTGTCGTAGCTTCAGCCAAAAGATTAGCGATCTTTCCTTTAAACGTTATAGTAACCACTCTCCGCATTGACAGGGAGAGGTATCCAATATTACCAATACTAGTCGACACAATAGTCGCTGATTTGCGTAATAATGTTTGGGGGGTTTGCCTTTCGTCCGCATAATACTCCGTAGTTCTCCGCCATTTCCGGCACCCTGGTAGGCGGGGAAACAGGATGATCAAACCCCACGAAAATTGGGACAAACTTCAGGAGCCTTTCAAAAGTTTCCGGTTTTGCATCCCCGGACGGTTGTGCAGACCCGAAATGTAGTCATGCCCTGGGTCATTGTTGGCGAAAACGGAAAAGGGGCTGGTGGTGGGCTGGTGAAACGAAGCATTGTGCTCGGGCGTATTTGAGCTGGGCTCTTATATGCGTGACTCAATCATCTGGCACCTTACTCTCGCATCGTGACCTCGACTCAGGAACAGAAGATTCATCAACATGTCGATTGTGCATGGTCTGTCTCAGCTGGCTCACGCCAGCCCAGCCGTTCTTGCAATTATCGCTGCCCTCGCGGTAGGCTTATACCATGAGTATACCTTCCCAGAATGATACTGACGGCAATAGATAACCTCGTGGTATGCGGTAAAATCAATCTACCGACTCTACTTTCATCCACTTGCAAAGTTTCCGGGACCCAAATTCAATGCGATTTCTGAAGTAGGTTCCTCAAGCGCGTTCTTAGTATAGGCTCACTAACACGTGCAGTTTCCCATCACCCTAGGCGTTTTAAGAGGCCGTCATGTCTATAATGTGAAGAAATGGCACGACAAGCATGGTAGGACTCCTCTCCGCTGCACTCGACAACAATATGTGCTGGCTCTTGTGTGTCCGGTTCTAACTTCTATAGGACCTATTGTACGAATTGCACCAAATGAGTTGTCCTTTACAGACCCGAGTGCTTGGAAAGACATCTACTCTAGCCATCCCGGACAGCCAAATTTCCCCAGGGACCCTATCGACAGCCGCTTCGACCCCGTGGAGGATACTGGTGTTCTCTCGACCGACATGCTTGTGGCAGACGACCCAAATCATGCTCGGCAAAGACGAACCTTGTCACACGCCTTTTCCGCGAAAGCTGTTAGCGGCCAGGAAATTTTGATTGCAGAATTCGTAGACCTTTTCATTTCGAAAATCCATGAGCTCGTCGATGATGGCCAAGTCGTGGACATGAATCAATGGTACAACTACCTGACGTTCGACGTCATCGGTGAGCTGGCTTTTGGAGAAACATTCGGATGCATGGCCACCGGTGAGTCCTCCGCGCTCTCAAAGGGTTGTGTCAAAGCACATACTGATTGATCATTAAGGGGCATATAACTATTGGGTTTCTAACATGGGCGACCATATGGTGGCCGCTGCAGTAGAGCAATGTACCCGCCGATTTGCGGGGCCTCACACTGTCTTGCAGAAATTGATGAAGACCTGGCTGGTGCCTTCTGGTATGAAGGACCATCTTTCACTCAGCCGTGACAAGGTTGGCAAGTAAGTTCGCCTTCCCTACAGAATTTAGACCTGTTAAATCCACGAGCTCCTAGCTGACTGGATCGCACCCAGACGACTCGACATCCCCGAATCCGAGAAAAAGGACTTCTTTTGGTACATCATTCGAGAAAAGGATGCGGGTAACATGACTCGAGAGGAGTTGATTGCCAATGCGGCATTGTTTATGTGAGTGGCCCGGCCCCAGAGCTGCTTCAAAAAGTATGAGACTGACCTCGAGCAGCTCGGCCGGCAGTGAAACAACGGCAAGCCTCCTTGTTGGCTTGACCCATTGGCTTCTGAAATCCCCTCGAGCATATGAAAACCTCGTAAAGGAAATCCGAGCCGTTGAGAAAGCTGAAGAACTCACGCATGACCGTCTCCAAAAAATGAATTATCTTACCGCGTGTATCGACGAAGGCTTGAGAATCTTCCCTCCTGTACCGGGTGGTAATTTGCGATGCGTGCCGAGAGGAGGGGCTAGTGTTTGTGGACATCGTCTTCCTGAGGGGGTAGGCTACTATATTTTCCTGTCTCCCGTTATGGGTCTAACAATTTTCCGCAGGTAACTGTTTCGGTTCAATCTTGGAGCGTAACTCACGATCCAGCGAATTTCCACGATCCAGAAACTTTCATTCCAGAACGATGGCTAGGCACAGACGAGGGAGGCCACTCTGTACTCCAAGCAAGTCAGCCTTTCTCACTTGGACCCAGAGGATGCCTGGGAAAGAAGTAAGTCCCAACTTCTCCTTGATGCAGCGGTTGCAGTCCTGACTGACTTGAAACAGTCTTGCCTACCTTGAGATGCGCCTCTGCTTAGGCAGGCTCCTCTGGAACTTCGACCTGGCGTACGCAGAGGGTAAACCCGAGTGGACTCCAGTGCAGAGGGCGGGCCACCCCTTGGCATGGATTGTGTGGCATAAACCGGGGCTCTATGTTAAAGCCACACCTGTCAAAAGATGATTCATTGGTGCGTTAAGGCATCTGAGGACATGTGACTGCTATATCCTGCAATTTCAGCGTCGGCAGTTCACTCTTGGAGCACCTGCATATTCGAAAGAAGGCGAGAATGCAGTTCAATCCCCATGCGCTGCAGGATAGTCGAGAGTGAGAATTGGCTGCGGATAAACGGAGAATGCTTCATGAGACTGGATGAGCGCTGAAGCAAGTTGTGATTAGGCTGATGGATACAAACAGAGAAAGTCGTTCATATTGTGCGAAATGGTTTGCCAACAGCGTGCTGTTCCTTACATGTATTTGGTGATCTGGCATAAGCCCATGACCACTGAGACACGATAAAAATCGGGAAAAGGCACGGGCCGATGACTGGGTCTATAACCTTCAGACCATCACTTACTGCAGCAGCAGCAAATGATCTATGTGCTTGCTGTTACGGCTTTTATATTTCGCACCCGTATTCTCCCAGTTCAGTTGATAGGCGTAAGAATACTAATGTTCACCTGGACTATGATTATTGGTTTCACGAATCTCAAGCCAGAAGTGAGACTCGACTGATATTCATGTAAACTTGTGTAAGCCTAAAGGATCAATGAATATTCTCAAAACTTTAGCTACGCATGTTATTTCGCATCCGGGTCGAGTATCACGGCCATTCTCTTCGACACCTTTCCAGCCTTCATATTATCGATCATGGTATTGATGTCCTCCAAGTCGTAAAACTCCACTCTCGTTTTGATGTTATACTTAGCCGTGAAGTCAATGGCCTTTGGAAGTTTGAAGGGCGGCCCCGTCGTTTCGGCCTTGATGCGATACTGGCCCAGCATGAGAGCATGCGTACTGACCTGGATAGGTTTTGGAGGCAATCCAACGATCATCATCAGTCCATTGACGCGCAGGATCGGTGGGGTGCCCTCATATGCCGCAGATGCAGCGCTGAATACAACTGCCGCATGGCAGCCACCGTTGGTCACCTTTTTTAGCTCCTCCACATAGTTCTTGTCCTCCATAGCGTTGAATGTCACATCGGCCCCCAACTCTTTGGCAACCTCAAGGATGCTGTCGTTGACGTCGATCCCGATGACATTTAAACCCATGGCTTTGGCGTATTGAATTCCCAGCTGGCCCAGGCCGCCACAGCCGACTATAGCCATCCAGTCTCCCGGCTTGCATTCGCACGAGGCCACGCCGTTGTGTGCAGTAACTCCCGCACAGAAAATGGGTGAAGATGTCTTCAGACTCATGGACTCAGGGAGGATGATGCAGTTGCGATAGTCGATTGCCGCATATTCGGCAAAGAAGCCGTCCGTGAGGAAGCCGTGCAACTTGGCCTTGCCGTATATGCAGCTTACGTTGTGGACCTGACATCCTTCACATTCGACTGACAAATTTTGATCTGAGCTTTCGAATATCCACCACATTGGATGACGGGGGTGGCTTCACTTACAGCAACAGTCCTTGGTAGGGAGAAAACCAATACGATCGCCCTCTTTGAATCCATTGACATCTGCTCCCACTTTCTCGACAGTCCCGACGCCCTCATGACCTAGTACAATTGGATCTGAAGACCCTGGGAACTCGCCGTTCATGAGCATAATCTCCGAGTGACATAGTGACGCCGATGCGATGCGAACAAGCACTTCATTCGCAACAATATTGGGGACTGGAATTCGGTCTATTTTCACTTCCTTTGTGGCCTATTGCACAATGCCAGTTAGTTTTTGAGGCGTCTAGGTCAGTGGGGGACCAGGACGCCACACTATGGCGATCTTCTTACCGGGTAGAGCCTTGCTGCTTTCATCATTCGCGGTGCCATAGCTGCTTCGGCAATTGGATCAGAATTTGCATCAGTCCACGAGGTCAGACTATGCAGGACGGGCTTGTGAAATAGATATCGGACCACGCTCCCAAGGCCTTGCGAGGAAGTAGCCAGGAAGGTGGAACATTTTTCCTAATGTTGCAAAGTCTGCAAATGTTCAATGGAGGAAAAGCGGGCTGAGGGTTTCCGCAATGTGTGCCATGAATCGGCATAACGAGAAAACGCGGGCGTTCGTTTGCAGATCACGCACCTGTCTTTCGGTAGTGCGGTCCGAGATGACGGGATCGCCGTGATTTGGCGAAACGGAATGAGTCTCCCGTCCTGGAGATGCCTGAGATAGGAAGATTCCGAATGCTCATTTCTGCTCAAAATCTTGTGACGAAGGCAGGAAGGTGTTCTGTCAAGAGTTTCATTTGGTCACGAATAGAAATACGGCAGCCGTGATCAAGAAGTGAAATTCCGTGATTTCGACAGTTCGATGTCCATTTCAAAGGTTACAGTTCAACAAGATCGATGCAACTTGTAGATGAGCTGCATTTACGACTTATCACTCTCCATGCTTCCCGCTTCTGATATTGATGAGTACAGTCTTGGATGCAAAAATTCAGAGATACTCGTAGGGCCCAGGTTCTTCTTCCGGTGTGCAAAATGGGCCAAATATAATGGAATTGTGCCTCGCCAGCAATAGGCCCTCGAAATCTTTCTTCCCACCAGTTCGAACTGAATCTAGAAACCGGGTTTGAAAATAATACCTTAAAGACGTGATGGACACGACCTCCGATTAAATCAGACACCCATCGGACTTGAAGCATGATTGGTTGAAAGACATATGGCTCTATGATCAACGTACAACGACAGGAAATATGTTCCAACGATGATTGTATCTGCAGGCTTGCAAGCCACAAGACTGCCACTTCTCCATTTGGCTCATCCATCAGCTGAGGACGAATCCCTCGTAGCCATTGTCGGAGCTATCGTACATTGCCTTCGTATAAGCTGGGAGACCCCCGAGATAGTTCACGGCTTCTCGGACTTTACCGGGTACATTGGCACCAATGTACCACGAATTAGACTGCGGAATCAGCGTCATATTCAGCAAGTCATTGGTAATCTTGGCCCAACGGTCTTCCGCATCAGCCAGGGCCTCGATCCGGCTATAACCACCTTTCTTCAGATCCTGCAAAGTGTTGATGATCCAGTCACCCTGGACTTCTGCGTGAGCAGGGCCAATAGCAAAGGCACCGGGACTCTGCGGGCCATACAAGAATAAGAGGTTGGGGAAGCCAGCGGTGGCAATACCGAGGTGTGTGCGTGTGCCTTTGCTCCATTTATCTTTCAAAGATTGACCCGAAATGCCCTTGATGTCAATCTGCGTCAAAGTTCCTGGGCCGGCGTCGAAGCCGGTAGCCAGGATAATAATGTCGAGAGGATGTTCTCTGGTGCTATTGGAGCCTTCGGCGGTTACTATTCCAGTCCGGGTGACCTCCACGATGGGCTTTTTCGTGACGTTGACGATTTCAACATTAGGCTGCTGGACAACCTCGTAGAAGTTTTGCTCGAGAGAAGGTCGTTTTGTTGCAAACGGCTGTGGGGGGTTATCTGGCGCAAGGTCTTCATACAGTTCCGGTCTGGTGATTCTCTGTCGGACCTTGTCCCTCCAGAAGGCATACATCGCCTCACTGACATCTCGGTTTAGCATGAGGTCATGGTAGTTGCCAAGCCATGGGTTGAAGCCGCCTTTCTCCCAAAGTTCTTCCCAGAGAGCTAGGCGCTCCTCTTCTGGCACATCAAAGGCTTTCTGCGGCTTGGGGTTGTAGTCCCATCCTGCTGATGTTCGTTTTCGAAGCTCAAAGAGATATTTATAGTCTCGTTTCCCTCTGGCTTGCTCGCCGTCTGGGGTCAGTTTCTTTTGTCGCATCGGCAGCGCATAGTTGGGGGTTCGTTGGAAAACGGTTAGATGTTGCGCAATCGGACCCAGTTCCTGAATAACCTGGACGCCGCTAGCCCCTGTGCCAATGACAGCGATTCGTTTTCCGTGAAAGTCAAGAGTGTCTTTGCCTTTGGGCATCTTTGCGGTGTGGAAAGCTGGGCCCTTGAAAGTATCCAGCCCTTTGATGTTGGGTATATACTCCTTGGCTGCAAACCCAGTGGCGAGAAGCAGATATTGAGAGACGATCTTGTCGCCCTTGTCAGTATAAGAAGTCCACTTGTTCTTCTCTTCATCATACTTGGCGCTAACGACCCTGGTGTTGTACGTGACGTCTTTGCTGAGATCCCAGACTTTGTCAACGTGTGCGAAGTACTCTTGAAGTTCTTCCTGGCCTGGAAAGCGCTCCTTCCAGTTCCAGTCTCTCCAGAGGGCCTCATCTGAAAATTCGTAAAACGGCAAAGATGTGTCGACTCTTGCTCCAGGATATGAATTCCACCACCAAATGCCACCAAGACCCCCTCCGGCTTCCACTGCTTTGACGTTGTAGCCTAGATTGCGCAAGTTGTACAGTAAATAGATGCCACCGAAGCCCATACCCACGACAAGGACTTCAAGTTCTTTGCTTTCGCCGTTCGCGTGGGTAACTTGGTTGGTCACTGCAGACGACATTATGAAATTGTAATTGGGAAGCCTAGTATGCACGGATCTAAGTAGTGTGAGAAAGAAGAAGAGTCTTAAGAACGTAGACGCGCGAATGCGATCAGAATTGTTTTATCCTGCTAAAATCCGCCTCCCATACAAATAACGACATTCGTGAGATTGCGGGTTTCATGTCATTGTAGACATTAGCTGGTTAACATCTTCCTTCACCATTCGTGCTCATTCAACCAACTCGGAACTCGATGTCCCCGAAGGCTTTGCGTCTGTATCTGCCGTTCAAATCACGGTCGCCTACTTCGGGGATGTGCGGCTAAACTTCACCGCATCGGGCATTTGTTCCGTCGAGCTGATCTGCCTATGGAAAGGGCACCCTACCAAACGGTGACATCTAAACAGACTGGATGTGTTCTGCAATTTGCAACCCCAAAGCGTAATTTGTGGCTCGAGCATTTTCTGTCTCTTGCCTGTACCCTTAGTCGCGGGAGATGAAGGCACTCGGAGCCGCCAGCGGGACTCACAGGAGACTTGAGGGGGGGGGTTTACCTCTGTCTATCGTAACAGTTCATCTTCAATGATGCTTTCTGAGTTTCTCTGGAGCTTAACTCAGAGCTGATGATAGGAATGATACCAGACTCGTTGAAGGAAGTGCTGCTAGGCCGTGAAGTCGAATACATGGGGTTGCAATTCCTTTCCACTAATATGATGGACTGTCAACCTTTGAATTTGACTATTTTCGCCGTGACCTGGAAGTCGAATTTGGGATCATTTGACAGGATACGAATTCAAGGTCATTGGTGTCGAGGTATATTCAAACCTCTACTCGTTCCTGAGCTGCAGGATCTGATGAAGTCCACTGCTATTCTTGCTCGTCCTCAAAAGGAATTGTGGTCGTTTGCGTTTTAAAGGTAGGCAGATTGGCTAAGACGCAATAAGGCATGTTGTAACCGAAGGGCACATTGATGTCAAGAAGAAGGCAGGGAGAACGAATCGCACAATAATACTCACACCACGGAGAATTTCTGGAGAGGATTTTGTTTCACACGATATATTTTCCACTTGCTCTTTTCTTCTTGAAACAGCTTTGCATTCTACGGACTTTGAAAAACGCCCTTTTTACATGCACAAATCTAATCAACATCTAGCCGCTAGTGGATGCTTGTGCGACTTCAACAGGTTTCAGAAGCTTTTGATACCATGACCGGTGCGCATGGCAGGTGCACAGGCAGGAGATCAAGAGCCAGGCCGACCTGAATCGAGGTCGCAGGGCTTCATCCTGCTTGGGCGGGGTGGCATTTTCGATGGCCACGGGCGCGAAAGAGGGTGCAGCTCATCCATACCTCTGTAACAAATACACTTAGTTTGATTGCCGCCCATGGTCCGCCGCTGGCTCAAACTCCGGTCCATCTCGAGGCATGAGCGTTGCGGGTTGCAACCAGCACAGCCCCATCACAAGCAGGTCGGATTTCTCGAGATTTCCGGAGTTCTGAATTGAGTCAGTGTCCCACTCAGGAACGACTGAATGACCTTGCTAGTCCAAAGGTGGTTGGGCTTGGCTGTCTATGTGGAGTTTACAGCATATCCGGAGATCGATGACTGCCACCTCGCACCACACCACATGCCGTCCAGCTCTTTGTCGCGTGAAAAAAAAAAAGACGAAAGGAAATGTTTCACGAGTTGATTGCATATGTGAGACTTCAGGGATTCGGGGACGTTGTTGGCCGTTCATCCCGCTGAGAATTGGACGCAGTCCCAATCCGTCTATAGTGGACCAAGTTCTAAATATCTGCAAATCCTGAGGCGGCATCCTCAGAACCACCTGGGCCTGACGCCAGGGCAGCTTCCGAGTCCAAACGCGACACCCGTGGGGTGAGGTGTCTCGCGAGTTCTTTAAGGTTGGCTTCCAGGGTTTGAAAACGAGATGGAGGAAAGTCAAGACCGTCCAAGCTGTCCTCGTACGCCCGCTAGCTGGGGGGAGCCAGGGTAAGAACAAGTCGACCGGAGTTGACGATGCTTGCGGCATGCAGCAGACCTAGCCAGACAGTGGCTCGTATTTCCAACCTGCAGACTTCCAAGGCCATCAAATACCCTCGCTGTCACTCAGCACGAATGGCGATTGGGCTGTCGATGAAGAGGCTTGCAAAAGTTGAAACAACTGCTGATCGAAGTGGGGGCACGATAACTTCCGGGGTGAGAAGCTCTGTGCTAGCCTGCTCTGCCCATCCATGACATGACCCAGTACTCTACGCCATATGGCTTCCCCGCCTCCAGAAAAGGACGGGGGTGTTGGGACGAATCCCCACTAGCCCACCATTTACCACCTGATGGCACTCTGAGAGTGTGGAGGTCCCGCTTTTCTCTACACAGCCTGCTCACAGACGCCTTCCTGATGGTCAGTGAAAAGGGTGCTTCCCCCCGCACCATTCTGAGGCTGCTAAAATGACGCCGAGCCATGCTTACCTCCGTTCTGTCCAAAATCAATTGCGGAGAATTGCTGAGTGATATGGGAAGCAATCTAATCGTACGTAGTGAAGAGCAGGGTGTTCGCAGGCACAAATGCATACCATCCGGTATTACTGGGAACGCCTCCGGATGAGATCTCGGAGCTTCAAAGATCCGCCATTCCCCGTAATCCATAATAACTGGTACAGTATGTCGAAAGCGTCGTGCTGGCTTAGCATCCGTGTGGCATGCAGACACTGGTTGATTGACCATACTCAAACTTCGTCCCCCGCGCTAGAACACGGCCATGTGACTCCATGGAGGATATATACTCTGTACTAGGTAATCTAACATGAGGGTTTAGTTACTAATAGCGCGTTCCGAAGGCCTTCAGCCGAAGATCGCGCCTTACTGTCATTACATCCCTTGGCGCTGCCGCCCAGTCACAGCCAAGAAGCCTGGGGCTCATGTATGTACTTGTAATGCAGTACTCCGCCAGCCGAGAGCCCGTCTACATCCCTACCCCCCATTTGTCTCTCCCTGCATCTGCTCGATCTCCCCGGCTTTTGCCTCTGCTCCTTCTACCCGACGGTGGTAGAGACACGACAAGAAGGACGTAAGAGGAATCCCGAACTGCTCACTGGAGCTGTGCAAAAACCCTCAGGCTCTCATCAACTCTCTATCATTCTTGTATTCATACTGTATGACTATGAAGTCACCAAAGCCGGCGACATCGCCAAAGCTGGCGACATCGCGCAACAGAGCGTCGGTCGCCTGCACCGCGTGTCAGAATCGTCGCGTCAAGGTTGGTCTTCCTTGCCGTTCTATCCAGTGTCCCGGACTGCTGACTTGAATCTCAGTGTACGAAGAGTCCAGGAGATACCCAATGTGATCAGTGCCGGCGTAGCAACTTGGAGTGTGTGACTCGGCCAGATCGGCGAAGGAGGTGAGCCGTCTCCTGTTCATTCTGCATGGCCTGCTGTGCACCGGGTCTGACTTTGCACAGGCCGACTTCAAGAGCCGAAGTAGACTCTCTGAGATCGCGTCTCCAAATGTTAGAAGCACTACTCCGCCGTCAATCGGTGTCAGCCCTTTCAGCTGATCGATCCCTTCGTGCACTGAACGATGCGAGCCCCCTCAACACCACGGAATCAATTAAAAGCTTGCCGCCAAATTTGGGCCACAGCGACAACGAAAATCCCAATCTAGCATCGGAGTCGGACCAGCCATGTTCACTCACTCAGATGAGTGTGACCTTTAGCCCGGGTCGCCGTGAAAGCAAGCTGCCAAATTCACCCCTGGTACAGCTCATGTCGGAGGGACCCAGCAAAGCCTTGATCGACCGCCTCATCTCGCCCAGTGATCCTGTTCTGTATGATCGATCAAGTGGAAGACTGCGGCCCTCTTGTCCGATGATCGCTTTCCACCAGTTCTCCGAACTGAGCCCAAGCATTGCGGCGGGAAATTCTCGCGAACAGGACAGGAGGGCGGAGAGACTACTGCGAGAATTAAATCCTGAGACTCACGACCACCTCTTGGAGTCCTTCTGGTCGTATTACGATCCCGTTATGCAAGTGGTCGACAGAAAGGTCTTTGAAGAGGACCGAAAAAGCGGGTGTGGTTTGACGTACAGTGGATTTTTACACATATGCATCTTGGCCATGGGTTACAGATACGCTGACACGAAGAGAGCTGATATCCAAAAGCTCACCCTGCAAAACAAAGAAAGTACCCTACACAGAGAAGCGAAATACTTGGTCGAATTTGAATTCGAGAAGCCTGGGGGCATCCCCAGTGTGCAGGCTCTTTTGATCCTGGGTCAGCTCGAAAGTGGTTGCGGTAGAGACGCAGTGGGTTGGATGTATGCAGGTATGATGATGATGTTTCCTTGTCACTCGTGTACCTGCAATGAAATACTTCCAACAGAAGCTAACGCACAGTAGGAGTGGCGTTCAGATACGCCTTTGACCTAGGACTCAATCTTGACTGCAGCAGATTGAATCTACCCGAAAGAGAGCGAAAGTTTCGGGAATTCGTACTGAGGGCTTGTACCGCGTTCGACAAGTGAGTTCTCTTGATAACTCGAGGACCCTGCATCACAGCACTTACGTGAATGAACCAGACTCTGGGCTATCTATCTCGGACGCTTGACCACCATAAAGAGCTCCGACTTCAGGCACCATACTTACCTAGATCGACCCCAGGAATTCCAAGACGAGCAACCTCAAGCGGACCAAGACTTCGAGAAAAATATTGACATCCAATGCTTCGATGCGCTACTTGATCTACTGGATATCACCGCCAAGGTTGTCGAATACCTCTACTCCAGACAGAGCTCCTTGAACCATAATGCCTTCGTTGTCATCAGCTCCCTTGATGCAGATCTGAAGAAATGGTATAGCCGGCTCCCCAGGTCCCTAACCTGGACGCCAGAGAATATCGAGACAGCACCGCTGTCCTACTTCCACTTGCAGTAAGATTCCTCCAATTTATCCTAACGTTTCACATCTGGGTATACAGCTAACTGCTTTCTAGTTCGCAATACCATGCGTCTCTGGTGCTACTTCATCGTCCACTTGCATTGTACGAGCAAACTGAATTTGATTCAGAGAGTGATAGTGACATAATCATGAACACCATTTCCCCCGTTTCTCGGGCTGTCTGTATTCGACATACCTTCAAGATGGTTCACATCTTGTCTCGACAAGTTCAGCGCTTCGATCCTACCCGATCACCTCAAGCTCAACTTCAGCACATTGGCACAGCCGTTGCAGCCTTGATTTCGGCAACGGCTGTCAGCAAAGACCCTCAGGAACGAATGAGACTTCTGAAGCCTCTTCATACATTTGCAGAGCTCGCACGAGCAATATCACCGACGTATATGCCGGCAGAGATGATCTCAGATATTCTTGACAATCTACTCAAAGAGCCCGGCTGGGGTTACGAGCCAGTCTCAGGCTTAGATCAAGGGGAGGTTGTGAGAGATACTAGCGGCAAGGAAATCGGGTTGGAAGACGAGTTCTTCAAAAACCCTCTCTTTTCACCGATGAAGGAGGTGTATGGGAACAGTGACTCCCCAGCCAAAGTCACCGAAGATTTCAATTTCACTCTAGAGTCTAACGATACTCTGGAGATGCTCTCCAGCTTTGAAGGACGCGTCGGCGTGACAGACCAAAAGGCATTAGGATCCATGTCGATTTGTCTCCCGCCGACATCATCGCAGCAGGTCAAAGGCAATGACAAGTCCGCTCAGATGTCATGGGCCCCCCTGACTTCATGGGACGTGCCTCCCTTCTCTCTCAGCGATGGCCCTGAAGATAGCTATACCCTTGAGCATTTCGAAAACCAAGATTCACAATTTCAGACAATACTGTAAGTATGAACGCCGAAGCACGTATCTTGAGTAACGAATGTGGAGGCGGAGCTCCATGAGGAGATGACGTATCTCAAATACCGCATGGTCGTGGCCCTTTCTGTGTGCATCTGTGCACAGCTGTCAGGGCTTGCCCAAGTTTCTCGAAGGAGCTGATCCCGTCTGTTGAAGTCGAATTAGTGCTTCATCATGTTTCATGTTCCTCCGCTTTCTCGTCAACTAGGAAACGCAAAGAACCAAAACTTGGGCGAGTCCCAGCTTTATTGCAAGATGGCGAGCAAACGCATAGACAACAGATGGACTGACCAGAGACGACTCCAACGGAGGAGATGGACAATCCTGAGCCATTGACAGACAACGGTAGAGATTTTGTTGAATTATCCTGAACAAGGAGCATGAGATTCGGAGCTGGAAGGTGCCGAATAATGTCCACGACCGTATGAATTCTGTGGTTAGGCGGAGGAGGGTATGAGAACCGAGGAGGAATTCTACATCTGAGAGTCAGTGCTATTCAAGAACCGGGAAGCTGGGGCTAAAATACAGGATGCAATGGCAAGATTGGTCTCGTGCGGACGAAACATGCAAGTGTGTCTATGGCTTGTGAGCTGGCGGGCAGGCCTTCTCTGACCAATTTGACGACTTGAGAATTGAATATCATTTGAATTCGGCTCTACCAAAAACAATGTCAGAACTTGTTGGACTCACAGCTCATCGGTGATGAATTTCTGGCGCTGATTCCCCAACAATCACTTCTTTCGTGGCTTTCCAGTGCGGACGCACGATCCCCGCGAAAGTCAACATAATCTGAGGTTCAACAAGGGCGATATTTTGGTCGCCACGGGTTTCCTCACATGAGGTACCCTCACTCTCGATCTGATTCGAATCTTCAAAAGAGCGCCAATGCGTTTGGTGGGCTCCCAACTAGTCCGGAAACGTTGAGAGGGACGCTTGTGAGCAGGAATGTGTACCGACCAATTTTCTTACAGTGCTCTCCTAAGGCTTTCAGGTCCCAGAGCTCGCCGATGTTAAGGCCGAAGTATGACAGGAAGTATTGATGCAGAACTATGCAGAAAAGCAATTGAAGTTAGCTCTTGTGCTTCCTTTTCGATGGCAAAGATACATACCAAGCTCAGAATTCGTACCAAATGAGCCGTCAGGTCGCCTGGGCGGCATGGATTCAAAAGCGACGGCATCTCCAGCTACAGCGGAGAAATGGTGGTTCCAGAACCATTTTGCGGCCTCAATCGTTCCCTCAACGCCGATGGCCCTGCCCGTTCCGAGCTTTTTGTTTTGTTCTTCAGCGCTTTTGCCGGTCAAGTCTTCGGTGTAGCCAGACCGGACGATCAAGATATCGCCGTGCTTGAAATTAGTACCCTGGTATTCCGCAATGGCCTCGAGGTCTTTGATGGTTATTACGCTCGCATCGTAAAGGTCGTAGGTGATACCCCTGGCTTGGGCGTAGGCTCGGTAATCAAGTAAAACGCCCCTGCCAACAAGCCCGCCACGATCATGCCAGTGGTTCAACGTGGGAATCTCTTTTCCGACATCAGTTGAACCCAATGGTTGAACGAGGTCCTCAGTCTTGGGGATTACCCCATTGTAGTTGGCGCCCGTAGCTTGATGGCCAAAATGGACTAACGAATCCCACTGCGAGGAGCACTGAGTGTTGAATTCAACTATATCATCGAAAGCGTGGAGCCCTGCAGTATCATAATAGGAGATTACTGTATGGGTTAATCCCTGGCGACCAAAGAAGGGGTTCTGACACGCCCCAATCGGCCAGTTCAGAGAGATGCTGACGCCGTCGCGCGCCTCCTTGTACGCCTCCTGCACGATTTTTGGGGTTAGCAGATTCAGACAACCCAAGCGGTCCACTTTGCCGTCTTGATCAAAGAGACCCCACGCGCAGCCTTGTGGCATGCCTTTGACCGGGGGCAGAGAGTCAAACTCAGGCAGGTCGAAATAGTTTGCCATGATTTTTGTTGAGGATGTGTAAATTCAAGCTTGACGTACTATGAAGCTTGATATGGAATATTGAAAAGGCAAAGGTTGGGAGACGTATATTTCTTTTTCAAAACAAGATGAAGGTGGTGAGAGAAGGACAGTTAGCCAGAGCGGAGACTTGTGAGGTGTACATGTTTGAAACCCCCTTTTTGAATGCCGGGACTCTGCTGATCTTGGTCGGACGATGGACTTGACGTCTTGTGACTTTTCACGGTAGGCCATCATGAACGAACTCCGAGTAGGCCCTGGAGACGGTGTTCAGAAAGAAGGATAAACGGAGAGCGGAGATGGATTCGGGTGAGAGATGGGCAGTTGATGAGGCACCCCGGGAATGGATCCCCGACCGGAGAGGATAATCCTGAGGGCGGGACCCTCAAATTCCAGAGAGCGTTATGACAAATATCTCGACTATGAGTGTGATGCAAGCACCAGGAAAAGGTAACATGCGTACCAATACCCTTTCAAATGTCACCGCTTTTCTTCCCCGGATCATTCAGCGTACTGCAACATGGCCTCCGTCGACTGGGAACAGTTGACCTGTCATCCAATGCGAGTCGTCACTAGCTAAGAATACCAGTACAGGCGCCAGATCTCTGGTTGGATCTCCCAGGTTACCTCCGAGGGGAAACTCCTTCAAAAGTTGTTCGTGATTCTTCAACTCTTCCGGCGAGAGCGCGTCGCGATATCTATAGTACATGGGTGTGGCCACATAAGGCAAGACGGCATTGACTCGAACATTAGACAGCCCCCACTCTCGCGCGACACTGCGAGTCCATGTGTGGACAGCGCCTTTGGACATCCCGTACACACTGTTATCTCGCTCTGCAGTCAGGCCTGCTTCGGATCCAAAGTTGATGATAGCGCCACCTTTACCACTCTCTTTCATCAATGTGAAAGCTGTCGCGTTGGTAAAGATAGTGCCCCAGATATTGACTTTCGTAACGCGCTCGAGAACGTCGAGTGGAGGGTCATGAGCAAGGGCATTTTTCTGCACCCCAGCAACGTTAACCATGACATCGAGACCGCCCATCTTTTGAGTGGCTTCCACAAAGGCCTTTGTAACCGATTCTTTCGAAGAGACATCAACAGAGAGATACGAGACTTTTCCTGGTCCGGCTTTCGTGGCCTCGGCTGCTACTCGAGCTCCGACGGAGTCGTTCAGGTCCATGGATGTAATAGAGGCTCCTTCGGAGGCAAATTTGCGAACAATAGATTCACCAATGCCTTGGGCTCCACCTGTGATGATGATACGTTTAGAGTCCAATCGACCGAGCCGTGAGGAGCCATAAGATAAGAAACGAAGTCGACGTTGCTCGTTCGCTGTAACGAGCCTAGGTGATGTTCTTTGACTGCCCCGATGGCCAGATCGAAGGAGGTGCAAGCCGTACTTTTGGGGGGCAATATTCGACATTTTCATGGAAATTTCAGGTGTAAGCCTGAGGATTGGTGCTAGAAGGGGCGTGGTCGAACCTAGGATCACTGCTTGAAAGAGCTTGCGTGGATTTTTACGGGAAGAAATCTTGCACAGTTGGACAACGTCTATATTGCTTTACCCAAGCAAGCTGTCACGACACCGGAGATTGATCGCCTGGCGACGGGACTGCCGGGTGTAGCACGGTGACTTTCAAGCCCGTCACAAAACCGCGTGTGGTGTTGACTTCAGTCCACTTTGCTCCGTGGTCCGGTAGCATAGAGGATGGATTTTCGAAGTGCCCAGTTCTGGCCGAGGGAGGGGTGAACCTGGCGAGAGGCTTCGCAAGTCACAGTTTATGCAATGCATTATAATTCGGGTCAGTGCTTTACTACTTGCTTCTGGGGCCGTTAGACTCTTCATATTTATCCTCCCGGCCGACGCTTGGGGCCGTTCTCCCAAACTTCCGCAAACGATGGCGAACTACTGCTGCTTTGTTCTGCTCCTGCCTTGCCGACATTACTCATCCAGAGCATTTGCATATGCTATCACATCGATTAAAGGCCAAGGCAAGTGTTTCCAAGATCCATGTGCCGCATAAATGTTATAGCACCAGCTTACGAGAGTGATAGTCACATATCGTGTCACACCGACACCGGCATAAGGCTATAATCTGCGCATGCGTTATGACATCTCCCTTCCATATTTAACATCACTGCCGAGTCATTTTCCACTCGTGGCAGTTATTTTGTATCCGACACCTTCATGTGGATAATTTCTGTGTTTGTCCGAAGTAGCCGGATTGCGACATGTCCGAGTTTGGACAGACTTACTAGCATGTTCTCTGCCGGAAGCCTCCTATCTCAACCAAAAACCACAGAGGCAGAGCCAGGCAATCATGTTTATGAGGTTAAAATTATCCGCACTATGTCTATGTGGATGATATCGAGATATTGATAAGGTGGTGGCTCAAGGATGTGACATTTCCATGATGATACCCTTTTCTATCCTCAGTTTCAAAAAATGCCGAAAAGTTTCTGCAGCATCGGAAGTAGACATTTCGCGATCGATCTTACGCGATTTTCTCAACTGTAGTCTCAGCGTGCTCTACTCCAACGTCGGCGTCCTCGACCATTTTGTGTCCCTCGGCCAAGGCGTGTTCGAAATCAAGAGCAACAGCATCGCCAAACTTGGCACCCAATTCTTCGAGAGAGATACCAGCAGTCTTTACCGAGTCATTAGAAATTCAATTTTTCAACGAGGATCAAAGACACTTACCTCTGGGAGATACAGCATGATTGGAATCGTCATGGCCACGGTAACGGCAATGAAAACCATGTAATACTTCCAGCCGATTGTCGCGAATGCCTGAGCGGCAGGTGCCGTAGTCCAGATGGAGAAGATATAAAATCCGAAATATGAGATCGTAGCGCCTTTGCTGCGCAAATGTGTGGGCCAGATTTCGCATCCGTAGACATAGCAGGCACACTCCAAAGTGGATGTGAAAAAGAAAGCCATGACGAAATAGAAGGCAACCGCAGCTCTTGTACCTGCTAGGTTATGGCCATCTAGGTATTCTGCCTGAAGTGCAGCTTCGATTGAGAGAAGAATAGCCATACCAAATCCGCCAATGGCTAAGGATACTGATTAAAAAATCTCTTTTCAAAAGGGATTTCTAGGGGAAAAAAGGGCAGTACTTACTTAGAAGCTTGACACGGCCAACCCTATCAAGGAGCCAGTTACTGACCAAACATCCTGAGGATAGGGCGACGGTCCACACGACTCCAAGTCCGAGTTGTAGAACAGTGTCGTAGCCCAAAGCACCAAAAAGTCTCGGAGTAAGATTAGCAAGGACCGTGATGCTTGTTGCTTGCGCCATGCTCCAGACAAGAAGTGTACAAATGGCTCGCTTTCTTAGCGAGGGTGTTTGGAAGATATGCAGCCAGTGAGTCGGTAAGGTTCGATCAATTTCGACCTGAGCAACGATTTGAACCAACTCGGCGCGGGCGATTTCTCCGTTGGGGTCGTCTGGTGTTTTGTGGATGGAATTAAGAATTGTGTCGGCTTCATCCACACGTCCCTTGGTGACCAACCAACGGGGGGATTCAGGTAGAGAGATCAAGGATATGAGAAGCGCCAGAGCCACCACCGTAGCAATGACAAAGTTGAGTCGCCATTGGTATGTCTTGTCGACAAAGTGGAATCCTAATGCCGCGCAAGAGGAGATAACATAGCCCAAAGTAACAAAGTTACCTTGAAGGCCAACGAGTAATCCTCGACTGTGCGCAGGGGATATTTCACTCAGGTATACCGGGGTATTCGCAAGAAGCATACCTCCACCGAAACCTACTATATAGCGGCCGACAAGGAACATTGCTATATGGACAGAACCGGCCTGCACAGCATTTCCGAGAATGAGTAAAAGAGCAGCGGCGGCATTTGCAACTTTTCGTCCCCAGCGGTCGGACACATCAGCTTGGATCATTGAACCAATCAGAGCAGTTCCAAAAAACCTAGAGTCAAGTAAGTTTCCAGAAACACAAGACACCAAAAAAAGCCCCTTACCCAGAGATGATGGCATCGATGAGGGAGGTAGCATTGGGAACCGTCAAGAACTTGTCGATAAACGAGACCTGAGCCAAAGAACCTGAGATGACGTTATTCGAGTAGCCATAGTTGAAACTGGCCATGGTTGCGGTCAAGATAAGCTACATTCGCCATGTCAGTGGGTCTCAACCCAGGCCGACGGTGGTGGTCAAAGGTACCAAGATGTTTCTGGAGCTGGTGTGAACTCGTCTCTGCTCTTTGTATCCCATTTTGAAAGAAAGATTTGCTGAAGAGTGCTGTTGATACGAGGAGTTACAACTCAGAGTGTGATGGTGAAAGCTGTCTTTATGTTGCGAAAACGGGTTTCATGGGTTTGTAAGGGATCTAACATTCAGATTGGACCTATACGCCCCCAAAAGCGCATATACTCTTCTCCGCAAATTGAACCCAGAGGGTGTTGTCATAAGTCTACTCCTCCCTGGAGTTTCTCGATCTAACGTTATTTCCGCGGAATTTCTGTGTCTATCACTTACTCGGCTTACAGGAACTGCAAAGACCAATGTCAATCGTTTTCAAGTTCGAGGACCTACTTCTCCGGCGTCGGTTTGGGATACCCGCTGCACATCGACTCCTCCTAAAGTACAGCGACTCCGCATCAGCAAGCCATTGAGTCCTGATTAACAGGCCAACAGCTCCGTCCTGGATCCCCGGAGTTCAGCTCGTTTCGCGAAAATGTGGGGTTAGCGTTATGTCCGAGCGGTGCGACTAGTCGACGCTCAGAGTGCGAAAGAACAGCGCGAGGCGAAATGCAGGCAATTCGGAATCAATCTTCCAGACTGTACGGAGTATAGGGCGAAAACTCACCAGATACTAGCGCTCTGCATGCCAATCGACAACAAGAGCCAAATTATTGCCCGTTCAGGGGGCGGAAACTTTGGTCCGAAGAATAGCCATCCGACTACCGAAGCTGCAAGTCGTGGACATACGTCTCCGCAACTCCATGACCTCCATGAGGTCTGTCACCTGTTGAGTAGTTCTGGAGGGTTTGACATGACTGATTAGTCGGGGCATTCGTGTTCGAAGAGAAAGATTCCTCTTCTCGAAGTGCTAGTCCATCTGGTAAATCATCAAACCCGAAACCATGGGGCTCATTGAAAACGATGCTGGAACGACCATTACCAACGGGTACGTACCAAGCTACAAGTATCCCCAGCGCTATCTGGGACAGGCAAGGCCGATTCGCATTGTTATGGTTGGGGCAGGAGTTACAGGCATTGCAGCTGTAAAGCTTTACAAGGACGTATTTCCCCAAAGAGAAGTTGAGTTTGTGATTTATGAGAAGAACGATGATATTACCGGCACATGGCTCGAAAATAGATATCCGGGGTAAGTCGGTCCTGGCGCGATTACTGCAACGATGATTTGAATAGCTAAGATTTGACCTATCCTTCCAGATGTGCCTGCGACGTCCCAGCTCATGCCTACAGCTATTCTTGGGAAGGAAATCCTCGATGGAGCCGAGTGTACGTTGAAGCTTTGGAGCTGTACGACTACTACAAAGGCCGAGCCGCCAAATATGGAATCCAGGAATTTGTGAAGCTCAATCATCGCGTTGAATCGACAACATGGGACAATGAGGCTGGTAAATGGGTCGTCAATATCACCGACTTGAAAACCGGCGAAAGCTTCAGGGATGAAGCCGAGCTTTTCATCAATGGCGCAGGGTTTCTCAAGTAAGTAATGATGTTTACCCAAGGCGAGCCACCATTAACGATCCTGCCAGCAACTGGAAATGGCCGGAAATTCCTGGACTTCACGACTACAAGGGAAAGTTACTGCATTCTGCCAGATGGGATGATTCATATGATTTCAAGGATAAAACCCTGGCCATCATTGGATCTGGAAGTTCAGCAATTCAGATTGTGCCTCAGTTGCAGCCAGGTCATTCCATGAACACTCCGATGCGAGGATTTCACTAAGTGAAGACAGTGGTCAAACATATGACATCCATCAATCGCTCAAAGACCTGGATTACTCCCGAATTCGCTGCAGAGTTTGCCCCAGAAGGTCGAGCAGCATTTTTCTCAGAGATCCAAAAGGACAACTGGGAGAAAAATAAAGATGAATACCTCAAGTATCGCAAATCAGTCGAGTCGACAATGAACAATTTCTTCCCCATGCAGTTTAAAAACTCCGATTCACAAAAGGCGGCGTACGAAAACTTTCAAAAGACTATGAAAGAACGTCTCGGCTATAACGAGGATTTGATCAGCAAGCTTGGTATGAATTCTTAGCTTGCATCCAGGGATGAAGTCTGAAAGTCTGACGTGACAGTACCCGAATTTGAGGTCGGATGTCGGCGTATCACCCCTGTGGGTATTCACTTGGTGAACTTACTTAGTCGTACTGATCATAACACTTAGGGCCATGGCTACCTTGAAGCACTTGCATCTCACAACGTCACGGTTAGAAACGACAATATCGAAAGAGTAACGGCGGAAGGTCTCAAGATGGCTGATGGCTCGATCATTGCTGTGGATGCACTTATCTGTGCCACGGGTTTCGACACATCCTACCGACCCAATTTTCCGGTAATTGGCTTCAACGGAGATCTTCGAGACATCTGGAAAGACGAGCCTAAGGCCTATTTCTCGCTTGCTGCTGCGGGAATTCCTAATTACTTCAGTCAGCATGTCTCCTTCGCTTTGACTGCTTCTAGCGGCTGATCGACGTGTGATGATTTTTAGTCATGAGCGGTCCCAACTTCCCCCTTGCAAATGGTTGCCTGATTCCATGCCTCGAGACAAACATCAAATTCGCCTTTGCAGCGGCCAAAAAGATACAATACGATGGCATTAAATGGTTGTCGCCAAAGCAAGACGCCGTCGACGACTACCAGGAGTACAAGGATAGCATTATGGAGGACCTTGTTTGGACGGGATCGTGTGCTTCTTGGTGAGCAAGGGATGACCCTTGACCTGGATGTGTCTAACTGATGTGGTGTAAAGGTACAAGAATGGAAAACGCGACGGCAAGGTTTGGGGACCGTACTCTGGTTCTTCGCTACACTATCTTGAATTGATGTCTACGCCACGATGGGAGGACTTTGACATTGAATATCTAGCGCGAAACAGATACGACTTCCTTGGAAACGGAAGAACGAGGCGGGAACTTGAAGGGGGAGATCTTGCTTACTACGTACAAGAACCTGGGGCCGGATTAAGTCAGGAGAGCTCCTAGAGTGCTGCTTTGTCTGAAGTTAGATGTTGAGGTTGTCAAAGGAGTGGAATTGGCTCTGTCCTTCTATAAGGACGTCCTGAGGGCAACCCCCCTATATATAGCTGGATAGGGACGCTGTATACACAGCAAAAGGGGCAGATGCCAGGAATCTAAGCCCCTGAACCCCTTGAACGCAAGGAAGTAAGATAAACGACGACTACTACGTCTTGGAAACTCTCCTTACAGAGAGACCCACAATATCTATAGAAAAGGGGCGACGAGGAGGCCAAGGGCTGAGTAAAAGCGGGTCCGTGCAGTTCCTTACACGCAATATACCTATCACGAGCCCACCGTTGTCCCCAAGTACCCTACGCCCTCCACCCGATTCGGGTGGGTAGTATAGGAAGAAAAGGATAAGGCAAAGGATGGTTGAAGTATAAGCTAAGAAGAGCTAAAGCACGAGGCTATTGTTAGAGCTGCCGCCGTATCACCTAACTGAGTTAGGTTCCTCAGTAACAGATCCTTGATAGTATGAACTGGGAGTAAGGGACGCAAGGTATGAGCAGACGGTGTTACCAAGAACGGTATGGTTCAGTAGATAACATGAAATTGGCTACGAAGAGAGTGTAACTATCTGGGAGAGGGAGTGTAGCTATATACTTGTGTAGTCCCTCCGAATGGGGAAATGTAGAATGGTATGCTGGTATGTCGGTATGCCTCCCATACCATATTCCAATATTCCAGCATACCATGCTTTCCTATCTTGGTAGTCACGTGACAGGTTCAGCCTCGCCTCTGGAGGCTGCCTTGTGTTCGGCGGAGCTTCCTGCCTCGGCGCACCCCACGCTCCCCGTGGCCTGCTCCAAGGCTGTGTCTAACAGCTATCAGTTGACAAGGCTATCGGTTAACGTCGCCTTACCCTTTTTCAGGTGACAGAAAAGAGGGGAAGCTATAAGAGTTTCCTCTCACCCGATTCGGGTGAGAGAGAACTCTTGTTCTTGACTGGAGATCTATTCCTTGCGGGTTAGTCGAAAGGAGCAGCGCTGACATCCGTTTAAGCCTATCTCATTCAGGCCGTTCCTGGATCGTTCCGTGACAAGTGACTTCGTCAACGATTTGGGTCATTAGTTCGAAGATCTCGGTCGGTGGTATAGAGCTGTAGAAGGTTTACAGTAGGTTCGTTCTCTACAGAGGGTAAGTCATTGCTCAAGTGTCGATGTATTAAGTAGTTAAAGGGAACACCACGAAAGCTAACATAGAGAGAAGGATGTAACTAGCGAAAGCAGTGATGTGATGGGTTGAACCCAAGAGAAGGCTTGGTTAGGAGAACCAGCGCCGATATCAACGAGGTATCCTAACGGGGAGTACTGGGTACCCCTTTGAACCTTGCATCGAGGGATCTACAGGATCTACGGTAGGGGATGACATACCCTCCGGCAAGGGGGGCGCACGAGATTGGACACTCCCTTGCGCGACACTTAACGGAGATTAGATATTCCTTGTACGACTCAAAGGGGGAATAGGGCTATATAAGAGAGGGAAGCCTCTAGGTAGATACTCTCTTTTCTTCTCGGTAGATTTCTCCTCCTTGTTACTAGGTTGGCTAGCTAGTTGCACAACTCTTTCCAAACCCTCACAAGGGAGAGGGCTTCCTTGCAATATATGTACTGACACTTTTCTCATAGGCGGGGAGAATTATTACGCTCGGCGCGAATAATAGGCGATGCCAGCTGAGATCTTCGCAGTGCTTTACCATATAGGTCAAATAGAGTCGAGCCATGCCAGCCCTAATGCGTAGACTCAGCGACGCTGCTTTTGAAAATGCTCGCGATCCCATTGGATATGCTCCGAGCCTTGGAGGCCGTCATGTGACGGCAAATCTAAAGGACCCGCGCCACGGTGAGCAAGGCTGGTGTTGCACCATCCGTGCCTAGGCGCTAGACCCTTTGGCCCCCAACTATTGGTGAGACACTGGTGATCACTTACGCCACTCGGGGGAGCCGGGGGTGAGCACAGGGCGGCGTCACCCTCGTCCTACCGGGTAATCCGAGGTGAGCTGCCGTAGATTTTACTCATCTTGGCATCAAACCCACCTCGGGATGTATCAACACCTGCACGCCTCTACCGACACTGGTCGACTCCCTCAAACACTCTCGGGAATGTAGGCTGTATGTTCGGCAGCTGCTACTCCTGGAGCAGCCGCAGATATGGCAGAATCACCTTGCAACTTCTTCAAAATGTGACTGCGTTCAGACTTTCACGCTTGTTCCTCACGGGAGGTGTATGCAGAGAGCTTACTAGATGGCCACTTTCCCCGACTGGCAGAGGAGCAACGGTCAGATGGCTCTCTCAATCCATTTCGGCCCATGAAAAGAAGGCATCTCCCTCTCTCTCTGTACTACAGAAGTACACACTCCTGGACCCTTCTTCTCCACACAAGTCCCTAGAGTCCTTCCACGCCTACGCCCTCCGCACCGGTCTGTCTCCGACCAGCACAGTCTACACAGGCACGGCCTACGAATACCTCGCAAAGTCTACCCTCCAACCGTATGGGTTCAACCTGCATCGAGTGGGTGGCAGAGGCGACCGTGGCGTCGATCTTGTAGGTGTCTTGGAGATACCAGTCTTGTCACGTTTGGGCGACTGGAAAGAGAAGAAGAGCAATGCGGCCACATACGAGCACGATTTTCTGGGACCCGAAGAGTTCAAGGGAGTAGAGACCCACCAACTGAAGTTGCTCGTCCAGTGTAAACGGCTGGCGGGCAGGCATGCAAGGATTGGGCCCAATTTGATTAGGGAATTGGATGGAGCTATAAGAGCGGCAAGAAGCGCAACCCTGGTTGACATGATCTACCCTCAAACCAAGGCAGCGGGCACGACAACTGAAGATAGGCATCGTGGGAGCAATGCTGGCGAAGAAACACGAGAGTCAAATCTGAGCGCGGGGCCGGCCATCGGCGTCCTGGTAGGCACGAGGCCGGCGACCAAGGGCGTAGTGGACAGCATGAGCCGGTCGACTCGCGGCTTGGTCTGGATCATGATGGAAGAAGTCGCGGATCAGGACACAGGTGGAAAAGAAATACGACCCCCAAGTCGAAGTGAATCGATGTCACCACTGCACAGCGACATTTCACCTCCAGATACAGGGGAATCACCTTCGGACTCAGAACCAGAACCAGGGAGAAGCTCGGGGCCTCCAGGAAAGCCTCCCCACTCCGCTGCGAATTTGAAAGGCCGCATCAAGCAGATCCTTTGGAACCAAGCCGCCCGTGAAGCGGGGCTAGAAGGCGTGGACGTGGTGAAGCGATATGATTCGGAAGGCAAAGAAGAGGTAGTCCTGATGCGTGGAGGACGAGTTTGGGGTGGAAGTTGACACTGCCGTCACCCCATTCTCTAGGGCACTGTGGGCCTTATGTACTGTCAGGTCGGAGCCCTGCTGCTCAACTTTTGCTTACTAGGTATCACGCCTTACGTAGCATCGTGAGCAGCAAGGGGGTAGGTATATCTATCAGTCCGCATCCTCCTCGCCTTCATCTGAACTCGATATCGCATACTCCGGCTCCGGCCTGACCATACCGTCATTTTGGAAACGTACAGCCGAAAACTATCCGGAAAATGAACATGAAACCTCGATTTTCAAAGTCTGCATTGCAATGCAATATATACTCTAGCGAAATGCAAACAAACGGGCAATATGAGGTATGGTATCGTACATTGCCTTTCCCCCCCTTCCCCTTCCCCTTCCCACGCAGCATCGCATGATATGTGCGACATATCTGTCTGGCTCTGAGATCTCTCTCCTTCACCCCCATAACCTGGTAGATGGGATGTGCAACTCACTGTACTTCGCCGAAACAAGAAGCGCAGGGGGGAAAACTGATGGCGTAAAACAAAACACATGATAGAGAGATCTATTCTCCCCGCTGGGGTCGAGGTTCGTTCGGGAGGTTAGAGACATGCTGCTGCTTGGAGAAGAACAACAATCTCCAATGCTCTTCGATGCTCTTCGATCCGTCCGCTGCCTGCCCGCCCGGCCCAGTCTCGGGACCGATACAACTGTTTAAAAGGTGCAACCTCTCACGCCCGCTTGCCTGTCCACACCACAACCACTGCATTGCCGACCCGAGCCTTCACCACGCATCTGAAGCGAATGCTCGCAGCGGATAATATTGGGACCAATGCGCTGCCTACTTCTCGTATACCAATTAAACAAAGGAAAGTTTATAAATGGTCGGTCGTGCTGCATTGGCCGCTTACAACTTGGCCTTCGGCGTCTCCATGCCGGGGAGGAGCATATCCCTGACATCGTTGGCCGCCTCGTTGAGGTAGAAACTCATCCGCTCACAGCCGAGTTTCTTGGAGACAATGTTGAATTGTAGACTGGGTCATTTGTTAGAAATATTCAACTCGTTACCAAGAGAAAATGAGTGACACAGGAGGACAGGGAGATTGTACAGCAGAAGGGCAAAAGGGGCGACGGGGCCAAACACACCTGTTCTCATTAATCATATAAGCAATCCCCCATCCTTGGTCTATGACTTGACTCCACCCGTAGCCGTTAAAGTACTCTGAACTCAACTGACTGCTCGAGATATACCAGGTGCTCGAGTAGGCATATGCCGGATCGGTGAAGACTTCAGGCGTCTCCTCGCCGGGCTGAATGAGTTTCTTCAACCCGAATAGATGACGATCCACGCCATACCCGTCGCTGGCATCAGCGGTGTATTGGACATGCGCTTGAACAGCGGCGCGGAAGAGACGTTCGCATTCCTCGCGGGCAACGGAGGGGTCGGCCATGGCGTTGCAGAAAGCGACGCTCTCGTCCGAGACCGAGCGAGTGGTTTCTGTTCGGCCTTGTTGATACTTCCGCGTTGCGGCGGACTCGTATGTCGGTCGGTTCTTGCCGTACATCTTGTGGTAGGCGAGCTGGATGACCATCTGCACATACGCGTCCGGAGAGCATTTGAACTTCTTGATCAGTCCCTTGCCGTAGCCTTGGTATGCTTGCACGCGGAGATCATGGGAAGCAATCACTTGACGGAACTGGGCCTGCGCGCTGGCCAGGTCGTCAAGCACGGCCGCCGAGGTTTCAAACTTCAGGGCAACCGGGTCGGGCAGGTCGGAGCGGACTGTCGGATTGTCGAAGTCGAGTTTATTATGGGTGATTAAGGCGTTGACCGTGTCGCAAAGACGGTGGGTCGGCGTGCCATCCATCATGGAATGTTCACCCATGAAGCCGGCTGTGCCGTTGTCGTTAATGATGAATTGAACCGGCTTGTCGTACCATCGGTTTGAGCCATCGCCGTGCCAGTAGATGTGCGCCCGTTCTTCGAGGGTGACGGGCATGCTGGAATCTAAGCACACGAAAAAGGATGAAGATTCGATTTCTTTGAGGACTGCCTCGTTCAGCGGGGACGCGGCAAGGAGGTTTTCACGGGCTTTTGCGCCTTGGTCGCGAGGGAATGAAGTGATGGCGCCGACGGGGTCGGCCAACTGGGCATTCTTGTAGACCTTGTTGAACTGGAGTTCGAGCTCGGAGGTATTGAGCTGCTTGCCGGATACGTGAGTCTGGATCTTCCAGAACTGGTTATTTCGCATGACAATGATGTGCTCGTTGCCTTCGGCGGGGTATTGGATGGGATAGTCACTGGGCATGGCGGCGACTCGGGAGGTGTTGAACATGTACTCGTAGCTGCTCATAGCCATGGGCTTCTTGCGCATATATTCGGGTTCCAGGCTCTTCTCATCGACTTGTCTCTTAAACTCCAAGGCCGCGGTTGTTATGGCGGCAGCACGTTTGGCAGGGTTTCTTCTTCGGCGGTCATCCCGGAAGGAGTAGAAGTAAGAGACATAGGGCACCACAGGATCACGGTATCCCAGGTAGGCGGATTCGTTCCACCAGTCAATTATCCAGTTCTTGACATTGGGATCTTGCGCTTTTGCTATTAACCTCTCCTGCAGTTTCTGGCCGATCCCACCCGGCTTGTTGAAGGCAGCCACGGCCTTTTCGGAGGCTGCGTACTCGTCCTTGGTCAGGAGAGGGTGTAGGCTTTTGAGGTAACGGGCGGAGGTTTCTTCGAGAGAAGGGACCGGTAGTCTGGGTAAGGAGTCCTCGAACCGGAGCATGGGGCCCTTGGAGAGATCTTCCCGGTACTCTACAGTCATCCGTGCGTGTCAGAAGTGCTCCTTCGCAGGGTTGTCCAGTGTCAACTCACCCTCAGTCACCCAGAATTGAGGTCTGTTCGAGGCCTTTCTCTTGTTTGTGGGAGCCATGGCGAAGGCCTGTGGGCGTGTCAATTCCCCCGCCTGACGTCAACTGTAGGGAAGATGATCATGAATGATTTACCTTGAGAGCGGCCGCAGATGGAGAAGCACGGGGGATGGCACGAAGGGTTGTTTGTGCTCCTAGTCGAGGCAGTGTGGGAAACATCCCAAAGAACAGTTAAGTCAAAGAAAGAGTAAAGGCAAAGAGAGACACAACAAGGGTATCGAAAAAAAAAAGTCTATGGCTGGATATAGCGAGCGATCGAAGGTGACGCGACACTTTTTAGATCGGAGGGGATTCGGAGAGCATTGGACGAGAGATGCAGGCGAAGGGCACACGAGGCGAGAGAGAAGGATGAATTGCCGCGGCGATGCAAAAGATGGGACCGATGGGACGGTGTTCGTGCTGGAAGAAAACGGGCTTGACGGTTGCGAGAGGGAGAGACCGAGAGCCGCCCAGGGACTGCGCAGGAACTTCTCGCAGTGTCCGTTGAGCCGAGGCACAGCTCTGTTCGGAACCCCATGGCTGCCCCATCCCACTCACAACCTTGGCAAAAGCAAACAACGATGCCTGCGTCCCACGGGCAAACATCGGTAACCGGCCAGATGGGAAAACTCGGAGATGATAAGAGAGCTCGGAGAGCCCAGACAGGATACGCACGGATGGGATGTGGGATGTGGGCAGAAGGCCTGCTCCTCGCCTTGTCCCTTTGATCCGCTCCATTGATATAGGTGCTTTTTGTAACGGGTATAAAAATGGCCCAACCTCTTTCTACTCCCCTGCCGTAAATCTGTGCAACGCCACCCCCGGACTCTCTGCATCCTCGTGTTCATCGTCTCCCTCACGCCATGGTTGCAGCGTGTTCAGGCTGCACAGATGTCGCATCGTGGGTCGTCCATGCGGGCAATTCCACGGCTTGTCGATGGTCCCCATGTTCGCCACAACCTTCTCCATCTGCTTCGTGGATAATGTCTTGCCAATCATAATGCTCGATCGACACGCTCGCATCGCGAACATCTTTCTCACTTTGCTAGGTCGAGGAACATCAGACTCCCCTCGGCCAGGCGCCTCGCCCAATAACTGAATGAGTTCTTCTAGGTCTTTCATGCCAAAGACAACCTCTTTGCTCAGTGGCAGGCTGACGAGGTTGCATCGTTGCCCAACCATCCGTTCTCCGCTGGTGTCTACTTCCACCAGAAATCCATTCTTCTCCAGAGCCTCGTTATTCTCCAGCACAATTTCTTCTTCCACTGCCGTCAAGTCGAGTGTCACCGGTCGGACGAGCCTTTGGTTGCCCACAACTGTCTCGGCCTGCAGTCTTTCAAAGTTGTATTTCTCGTCTGACGCGTGCTGGTCGATAATGAACAGTTCGTCCTGGGTCGACTGAGTCTCGTCATCGGATTCCACCTTAGCGGGTCGCACGGCCAGAATGAAGCCGAGATTGAATTGTCCTACAATCCTCATCCTTGCGAAATCTGGCTTCGACACGGTCAGGGAAAGTCTTGCCTCCGCGTCTTGGGCAGCACCATCGTCAAGTCCTTCAACTCGGGAAGACCGATCCTTGATATCAGCATCCGCCAATTCAGCATTCTCGCGCATTCGTCGAGATACAGTTGAGATGGAGAAACCGACCGTCGCTACTAAATTCGTTGTCGACTCCTTCGCCCGTCCTCCGGCTAGGGCTTTTGTCGCTCGTTTCAAGTTTTCTTTTGTCGGAAGGGCTGAGCTTGCTTCAGCTGCAAGGATAAGCTCAGCGACTTTAGCATCTTCAATCCTTTTCTTCTCATCGTCATCAATATAGTCTGCATCGGATTCGTCCTCCATATCTCGTGTCGCGGTTGACTCATCCTCTGCTGCACCGTCGCCATCTCCGAGACTTCGCTCGTCTGAACCTGATTCGTCCTCTGCATGAAATTGCTCATTTGACTCGCTTTCACCTTCAACGGGTTCCGTGTCGGCGTGTTTGAGGGCGTTACCTTCCTCTTCATCAGCTATATCGGACCCTTGAGCGCCAAACCTGCGCAATTTTTGAGAAAATTGCAAAGCCGCTGGGCTTTTGGCGCGCTTTTTCGTTTTGTTCACGCTATCGAGGCTGCCAGCCACGTCACTCCTCTCCCGTGACTTAGGAAAATGACTGCCTAGTATGGTTGTGATGGTCTGGTCTCCAATCATGACAGTGGCAACCTCTGCTGGGATCCTCTTTGGCCTCATGCGATCAAAGGCGTTATGTACGATTCCTTTATCCTGGTCAGTCCTCGATTGTGCAACGGTTTCGATCTCTGGCATTTGCTGTACAACGTCTCGGCGGATAAAGGACCGATCACGAGATCTAGGTTCGGCTTCAGCCATTCTCGCATTGAAATCACTGACATGGATCTTGACTGGATCGAACTGGGAAGGCCCTTCCACATCCTCGACTAACCGATTTTCTTGCTGACGTTCACCAATTTCCTGGCTGTCACCGCCCCCCTCAGATCCCTCTCTTGCCCTTCCTTGCTCCACCATCCCTTGCACTACTTCTCTCGGCAGTCTTCCATTCGGTTTCCGTATTTGGGGTTGCAATTTTTCATCCACCCCGGTGGCTGCTCTCGTGCTGGAAAATTTTCGGAAGTGATCTTGAAACAATGGCGTTTGGGGATCGACATCCTCCTCGCAATATCTGTCGTCCTCTTGGTCATCGTCGGGGACATTTGTGGCGTCTGAAAACGATGTTTGCCGACTTGCAGTCTCTGGAGTAGTTGAGGACGGCTGCCGCTGAAAGCTCAATTTCTGAAAAGCAGGCAGCTTGGGCGTCGCAAACTGAGACTGTGGGACCGTTTGATCTTGCTGATCAAACATGTCATTTAATGCAGTCTTCAAATTCTCAATGAGCGACGCCGAGTCATGGATCAATATTATTCGTTTGTCAGGCGATACGTTCACATCGTATGCGTTGGTATCCATTTGAAGATCCGCGAATATAAAGGGCGACTGGGAAACGTTGAACGCCTTGTAGACCTCATTGATGGCTTTTGCAATCTGGGGCAAACCACACGGTCTTCCATTGACAAAAAACATTTGTCGATCAGGCGTCTGCCGGCCCTCCCCGAATACAGGCTTTGAGATATGGCCCTTGACACTTATGATGGTATGCTTTTCTTTTCGGGCCATTTGTGTCAATGTGGGCTGATAATCCAGCTCTAGATCTAAAGCAACCAGCGCACTCAAGGTCTTAGCGCCGTAGACATTCGCAATATTCTCCCGTGTTGTGGCATTGCCTTTCGTAGAGAAGACCGTTATGCTTTTGCCTTTAGGCATGGCATTCTTGACCGTGAATTTGACATTGACGCCAATACAAGCATAGGCCTGCAGCAAGCTCAGGACTTTGCCATACTCTCGTTTGATATTCTTGGTCAACTCCTTACGTCGCACAGGCAGACTCTCAAACAGATTTTCGACAGTGGCGATGGTGCCCTTCTGGGCAGCAATGACCGTGACAGACTTGAGCTTGCCCAAAGAATCAAAATCGAGCCGTTTACCCTTGGGCGCTTCATCCGCTTGCGCGGTCACAATTGAGACCTTGGAGAGAGCACAGAGTGAGGAGAGTGCCTCACCTCGAAAGCCGAAGGTCTGGAGAGTAGAGAGGTCATCAAAGCTGGTGAGTTTGGAAGTGTAGTGCTTCAAGGCGATATTGTCGTAGTTTTCTGGCGTAATGCCGGAGCCATTGTCCTGTACCTCAATTGAGTCCAAGCCGTGGTTTTTGAAGCGAATTTCTACAGCAGTGGCACCCGCGTCGAGGCTGTTCTCAACCAGTTCTTTGGCCACGGAACAAAGGTCGACGATGACTTGACCAGATTGGATCTGGTGAACTGATTTGGCCTCGATGGCCTTGATAGTGGCCATCCCAGGCCATGTTGCTCCGGAAGGATGGCAGAGAAGGACCTGGACTGGCAGATAGCACCGTCTCTCACCAAAACAAGATGAGAGAACGATCGCGAATGACGATATTTAGTAGGAGGGCAATAAAGGTGAAATCAGGCTGAAGCTGATTCGGTGGAGGATTGATGTCGCAGCTAAGTTTGCCAAGGCTAGTCCCCTTTTAGGACGAGAGTGTTGCCGCCCTTGCTCATTGACCTTCTAACCTATAAAGGCATGGCCCTCCAGACCACGCCCCGCCAAACATCCCTAAATGAGACTTACTATCCCGTCGATCCTGACTAGCCCACCCCCGATCTCCCCGCGTTTCCAGGGCTATATCAATAACTTCGGGGCCCTCTACTCCTTCCTCGCCACCGTATTCTTCGGGTTTTGACCATATCGATGCTAAAGCGACAATGTCGTTGAAGCAAAGTCTTTATCCTAAGAGAGCTATTTTCAAGGCCAATTTAATTACCTGATTGCCTTCCGACTTGGTCGAAACAACCATACGCCATTTCCATGCCCGGAGCAGAGCTCGAGCCGACGAATCGTCCTGACACACCAACATCTACGAGCAACAATGGCGAGCACAGGCAGGAAAGTGCCATATCGAAGCGCAGGCAGCCAAAAAGTCGTGCCAGTATGCCGAAGTCTGTTGGAGGTTGCCACTCGTTGACGCACTAGCTTTCTGGCACGATATAAAGTAAAAAGATCGCTAACGCATGCATCTGGAGTCAGGCTGCAACACCTGCAGAGCTAGGCGTATGAAATGCGATGGTAAGTGCCTGCTTCATCGAAGTCGAATGTGCTTCCTCCAAGAGCTGTTCGTCTGGTGGGACTGTTTCGTTTCATCTGTAGGCATTTCCATTCTTCGCCCATTGTTTTTTGGAGGTTGCACCCACGAATTTGTGGACAAATCTGCTCATGGCTTCTAGAATTCAAACCTTCCTGCTCACAATGCACGGACCGAGGCATCGAATGCGGCGGGTATCTCAGGGATCTCAAGTGGCAGTTGGTGGAAGAGCAGCCCAAGGAACGCAGACGGCCTGCGAGTATGCTTGCTGATTTTCTGGCACTTCCAATGCAAAAATCTGGTCTCGTCGACCCGTGACACTGACTAACTCCAGAGAGGCGATCTCACGCTTCGGAGGCGGTGTTCATTGAAGGAATACCTCGTCCGTTCTACAAGGATGCTACTCCAGCCGACCAGGCTACAACACTTCATCCGCAAGCTGACACGAGTCTCACAGATGGAATGACTACGGCTAATAACGCGCCAACGGCACCATCTTGGCAAGAGCGTAGTTGGCCCTCGTTTCAACATGGCCGGTTGTTCGACTTTACGGACGTTGATTTCGATGTCAATAGTTTCGTTGACGATGGTAATATCAGTTTCAATGTGCCTACCGACTTGAGTTCCCTCGCCAATACCTCATCAAACCACCTTTTGGAAGACAACGAAATTCATGTGGTCTCGTCGATAAATGCAACAAATACCGATTTACCAAAGGAAAAATCGCCAAACTTGTCCGACCTGATTATTTCACCAAATTACACGCTACAGTATTTCGAGGAGATTGAGAACGAACGAAAGAGCGTACCCCAGTTATCGGAGACGTTGCAGAGCTCGATTGCTTCTACGCCCGGCCAGCCAAGCCAGCGAGCTGATGATCCTGAAAACCTCAATGTCCTTCACAAGGAGCCCGTGCCATGGTCGGACACTCCGGAGATGGTAAAGCAACTTTTCGACAATCATCTTTGGAATGTTCTTTCTATCAAGGACGATCGGACCACGAATCCATGGCGAATTTATGTGTGGCCGTTGGCTGACAGATGTCCAGCACTTTACCATGCTCTTGCAGCGATGACATATATATGAGCAATTCACAACCGCAATTCCACGCGGCCGGCTCGAGGAACTTCCACACCAGCCCGCAGGCTTTTGCACAGGGTGAAGATAGAACAGGCATTACTTTTGAAGCCTTTGTAGCCGCTAGATTAACTTTTGCCTTTGCGGAAGCGTGGAACGGCCAGCGAACTTCTCCTGGTACCTAGCATATTAGGATTGCTGGAAGGCTTGTTCGAGACGCTCTCGACAAACATCGGACTACGAGGCTAACAGGCAACGAAATGTACCGTCTGAACTTTCTGGCACGCACCTGGATGTATAAGGATGTCATGATTCGCTTGACAACCTCAGATGATGACGAATCTGTTGATCTGGAGACCATGACAGCCTGTACGCAGCTTTATCCTTTGCCAGAGGAACAGCAGCTCGATCCACTTCTTGGTTGTGCTACCACGCTATTCCCGTTGATTGGACGGCTAACCGATATCATTAAGTCTGTTCGACGAAGAACCGAAAAACATAACTCCCCATCCATTATCTCCAAAGGCGCGGAACTACGGATGGCAATCGAGGGTTGGAGTCCTTCTTTTGATCCACAGCGGCCAGAAGGCCTTAGTACGCCTCACATCTCCGATGTCATACAGACGGCTGAGGCACATCGCTGGGCAGCGCTGTTGCTACTTCGGCAAGCCGTACCAGAACTCCCATGGGCTCATTCGATCTGGGAACTGGCAGAGAAAGTTTCAATCTACCTTGCAACAACGCCCGTCACATCTCGAACAATGATCATACAGACATTCCCTCTCATGGCCATTGGCGGTGAGGCTTTTGATCAAGAAGATCGCAACTGGGTATGCGAGAGGTGGGATTTCATGTCCAAGCGCATGCCACTTGCGAGACTGGACAAATGCAAGAGAGTCACAAAGGAGGTCTGGCGGAGGAGGGATGTATTTGAAGCACAATCCGGAACATGCCCTAGCTGTGGCGCTTACCGACTTACTAGCTCGTCAAGAATCAGTCCTACCATGGATACGACTACTGCCTTGATAGATACCGCCGACTTATCTGTTGCATCATCATTGAAGAAGTCCGAGGAAGGAAGCAGACGCTGCCAATGCAGCACCGCGGCGGCAACAAGGATCACTACGGCGCCAGCGTCCAATTTTCCAGACTCTTTGGCTTTCAAAAAGGGAGTGGACAACATCACTAGGGCAGGCAATCTGCATTACACAGTGAGAGGGGATTTGCACCGGTTGGAAGTCATGAAAGATTGGAACTGGGAAGGTGAGGTGATTCCGAACTTTCTCCGATCCCCCATTTCATGCATATGTGTGTGACTGTAAAACTCACAGTTCCACAGTCGTGCTTGGGTGAAGAATGTGATCCCGATATTGTGATTGGATGGGGTGTTATAATGTCTCACTATGCGAATTGTCTATATTGTACCATTGGAGACCTAATCGTCTCGAGAAATTTGAGTGTGGTAAATTGGGTATGGGTATAGGTAGGTCAAGTCGTACTGTGCCCCCAGTGACTTGGTAGGTGTGATTAACGATTCACAATTCCGCAAGCATTGAATACTATGAATGTATTCCCGCCGTCGCCACGAGCTGGTCTCTACGACCACTGTCACCATAGATCTTGTGACTAGAACTGCTTCGTCGAAGTTATCGCAATTTGCATCTCGATACCATGCGCGCGAGCCACACGGCATCTCCGAGACCTGGCGACGCTCATTCTTCGTCTGTCTTCCCATTCCCTAACACGCAGCGTTGCCAGGAACGAGATCCATATATCTTCCCACAGACCCAGAGTCTTCATAGGCGTCGATGGCAGGCTTGTCCCACACCAGATCTGCCGCTGTAGGGTGCACGAATTTGGTCCGCTTTAGGAGCTTCCAGCTGAGAAAGAAGACTGCACAGGCGAATACCATGGTGTAATAGGTGAAGAAGTTACCAACGTCCCATCCGCCCGGTAAGAAGACATAGTACCCCTGGATGAAGACGACAATCGTGACAACGGTCAAGCCGAAAATGTTGACGTACGGTTGACCTCAATCTGTTCGTGTGAATTAGTAAGATATATTCCCAAAAGAAAAATGCTAGCAAGACTGGCTGCTAGACGGGAATACCTCTGTAAGGCAAGGTTTGTCGGTCTACTCCTTGAGCTTTGAGTGCTCGGTAAAAGAACAAGTACGTCGTGCCCACGACGATGTAGTTGATCTCCTGAGAAGCAGCAATAAGGTTCACCAACCACTTCAGAGCCTGCGCAGAGCTGCTGCTGACATGACGAAAGCTGAGAAATGGAAATGTCATAGTGACGTGCGAGGCAGTAATAAGGAAAGCCATTCTTTGAGGTGGCGCGCAGGAATCTCAGTGCCTGTCCTGGAAGAGACAAGCTATACAACGATCGTGTCACCATGTAGCAGTATGTGTTGGTGGCAGAGAAAATACTCGTAACAAGAAGAGCGTTCACAAGATGAGGTAGTCCCTGGATGCCCGTGTTTTGCATGGCAATAACATACGCGGATGACGCGCCATTAGAGCCGCCTTTCGTACTGAGCTTGGTTATGAAGTGTTTCGTTGTTGTATGGCAAAGCAATGCCGACGCACAAGGCTCCGAGGATGAAGAAGGCACCAAGGCGGAAATACCTTGGATGTTGTCAGCGTATCACATAAACCCCTATAATGTTGAGACTCACACCGTTTTGAACGCGTTCATTTTGATAATAATCCGAGGCTAGATTGCTTCGTCAGCGACCATGGTAATAAAGGTGAAGTATAAGATCAAGATCAAGATGAGCTTTCCGGAGGAGAGCCAGAACTTGGCTTCGCCATACCCGCGAACGGCGAAGACGTTGATGATGGGCCATGGCATAGAGGATGATGCAGGCTAGACAGACAGCCCAGACTCTATGTCGTCTCGCCAGAGTGTCAGAACAAGCGTGAGCGCAGATATTTCGAAAGGAATAAGGATGGCCTCGCACAGCAACAAGTTCCAGCCTGCCATGAAGCCGAAGGCATCGTCGACCCATTTTCCGGCGAAACAGAGGAAGGCCCAGACACCGGCATGTACACTGCCATCTCGGCAAGGCCGCTGTTGATGTTTTCGAGGACGGGCATGCCCGCTTTGTCTTCTTTGGGGTCTGTCATGGAGGCAGATATTGTGGCTTTCGGGTTGTTTTCAAATTATGAGGAGGTAGGATGAGTGTTCACAAGACGAAGAGGCATCTCAACTGGAGCGCAGACGGGTCTTATGTGCTGGAAGCCGCCTCCTCGCGGCAACGCCAAGTAGATCACAATCCGGGGTCATCAAACATACCGGACAGGTACAAGGCCGCAGGCCCCTTGACCAATGACCAAAGGTCCCACTAACCAAAGCTGGAGAAAAAGTGCGCCAATCGGACTCGACTAGACCGAGTGGGCCTTCGCTGAAGGCTGGAGCAGCACTAGTATGGACTTCTTCGCCTCTTGTAAATTAATGTTGAACTAACTTATCAAGAGCTGATCCTAGCCCCGGGCATTGGTCGGTTGCTGCTACGGTGTCGATGTGCCAATACAGATGCAACAGTGTTGAACCAATCCGGGGGCCAGGAATAGGTTGATTGATTCTTTGATAAGAGAAGATCTATCTGGAGTGACAGAAGAGGCTCTAGATGGTCTACGGTGGCAGTGAACGAGATCTCCTGCCTGGCTTAATTGGGATGTTCCAACGAGCACGAGGTATGAATGCACCGTGGCTTATCTTCAAAGATACGTGTAGGGCTTGCGTAGACATTGAGGTAACATGTAGGTTCTCATCAAGAAACAATGCTAGCTTCTACAACCCAATTTCACGCCATGCTAAACAATTTGAAACTGCTATAATGCCGTAGCGCTTTATAATGCCCTAGATCCTCTTTTCAAGTCCAGAACAGAGACCCAGATGGAGACGACGTCGGCAATCTAGAGTCATCAGAAACTTCTAACAACTTGGTATGTTGGTGCTCACGAATGAGTCGGTCTTCCACAACGTCTCACCACACAAGGCCTGCTTGTTCCGGCTGACAACTCAGACCGGAGCAAAGCTCCAAGTCCTCCTTGCTCACAACAGCCTCAACAGGCAAGTGCTGCTGAGCAGGCCATATCTCTTGCTTCGCAGCCTTCTCCCGTTCCACGTGCTCTCTGATTGCCTCGCGATCTCTCTGCTGGAAGTACAACGGACCCTTCTCAAGCCTTGGATGCATCTGGCCATTCACGAAGATGCCCGCATTGAGGTTCTTCTGCGTGAGTTCGCAGAGAACTTTATCCTCTGACACGACTTTGGCATATAGCTGGTGAATGCGCTGAAAATCCACTTCGGAGGAGTTTTTGTTCCGGTAGATCTGATAGTGCATCGATGAGCTCCTCGGTCCTTTGGGCAGAAAGCGCTGGAGCATAATAAAGTGCGGCCTCGGAATCCTATTAGCGATCTGGTTGCTGGACACCGTATAATGACAACTTACAGAACTGAAATAGAAACATTAGGAAAGAAGTAGGTGCTGGCTATAGCCATACCGAGCTTCTTTTGCTCCTCCGTCGGTATAGACTGATGCGTAATATATCCATCAACGCCGGTAACGTCATGCGTCTCGATATCTGCGAGAGTAGGTATATCCGGATGAGCGGTGGGACAGTGGTAGCACTCGTTAAAATTGTCGGCTAAGATCTTCCAGTTGTACGCACCATCGAGTTTGTACTCATGGTCGAGAATGTAGTCGTCAAAGTTATACACCTTGTAGCGCTCTTGCGTGTCGACGCCGTCAAAGTCCTGCTCCCATGGAACTTCGGGAGCCTCCTTACTGTCAAGGTTGACCCAAACAAACCCGCTGGCATCGACACGGACATGGATTGGGAATAAGCCGTTCTGTGACTTATCGAAGTCTTCTAGTTCATCATACTTTGGGGCCTTTGCGAGTTTGCCATTGAGTCCATATGACCAGCCATGATACTTGCATGCAAAGATCTTTGCCGTTCCCTGTTCGCCTTGGACGACAGGGAATGCACGGTGACGGCAAACATTATGGAATCCGTGAATTTCCCCGCTCCGGTCACGGCACAGGACAAACTCGTAGCCTGCGACGTCGAACTTCAGGTATTCTCCTGGTTGGCTAAGTCTCGTCCCGTGGGTAACGAGCATCCATCGTCGGGAGAAGATTGCTCGTCGTTCGAGTTGGTACATCTCTTCAGACGTGTACCAGCTTGCCGGAAGAGCACGAACAGGGCTCTTGGAATTGCTCTCAGCCGCTGGCGATGGGCGTCCAAAACCTAGATAATCGAGTATAGCCATCGTGGAGGGTGTTCGTTTGACCCGAGGTGGATACGGGGAGTGAGTGTCAAGCTTCAAGAGGTACTCTTTGTCAGTACGAGCATGCAATGCTTGTAGTCGAAGTTGAGAATGTGGCACATTATTTATCACTCATGCCGTTGCATGAGATCGTCGCAAACCTCTTCAAGATTTGCCAAATTAGGATGTTTCTTGAATGTCAATCGTCTTCAACGGGCAGAACAAGCAAAGTTGTAGCGATCCAATTCAGGGTGACTGAGGGGTTTGGACTTTTTGGCGCGATTGGGGTAAGCAGCCAAACCCCTGCTAAAGGCTGGAGCGATCTCCCCATGCGGGCTTTTATCCTAAATTCAGTAAAAGCCGCTGTGCCGATATGGCCGCTACATGGATCGGAATGATAACGGTGCAGGATTCAGGGTGGAAAGATTGTTCTAGGGCTGTCCACCGTGCGGTTCTGAGATCCGTAGCTCTCGGAATCGTTTACCGACCCCCTGTGACTGGGAGTGGACGCATCTCTGTCTGAGTCAAGCTTCTGGTCGAGGAAACACACCTACCGACAGTATGAACACCCAGCAACCAGACATTCCAAACGAACTGGGCTCGTTGGCTTTTTTGTTGTGTCATTGCCAGTCTCAGTCCCGTACCCAGTCTCCAACTGGGCTCGGCTCTCTTGAGAGTTGGTTTGTGGTCTAACGAGCCTAGCCATAGTGAAGGTAGAGGTAATAGTGTACGAGGTAATAATAAAGAAAGTCGATCTGTTTACTGGTCTGGGCTAAGGGGTCTGTTCGACGAATTTCGACAGCCACGATCGGCCTAAAAGCGGCACGGTCGGATTGAGTGGCACGTGAGCCCAAGGACGCTTTAATTCTTTGCTAATATGAGAGCGGCCACGGTAGGTTCCCCCTTTTGGACGAGGCTGGGAGTGACAGGCTCGGGCCTTGCGGGGCCTTGGCGGGCCTTGTTGAGTGGCACGTGAGCTCCGAGCAAGACCTTCCCCCATCTCTCAACGCCAAGCATGACGTCAATTGGCCGATCTGTGCAAGGCGGCGAATTTCGACTTCGAGATGTTTGATGGCGAAAACAAGAGTCACCTTGCCCCCCATTCTCATCACTGAAAACGATAGAGATCCTCATGCTAGAGCTGGAGTCCTCGCTTTTTATAAAGTAGAACTGCCTCTCCAATGTTTCAAGATTTACCCGTCGAGGTTATCCGACAGATTGTCGGATTTTTGCCTACCGTTTCAGCGATCATCAACCTCTCGCTCACAAACCGCAAGATCCATTCCATTGTTTCGGCAGACGACTATGGCGTCTTTCGAAAGTTTGTCCAAAGATGCTTTCCAACAATCAAGTCGCCTCCATATTGGAAGGATGTCGCGCGTACCTTGACATCACGATCGCGAGCCTGGGACCGCCGAGCATTCATTGCTGAAGAATGCTGCCCGCCCCCCGACGACGGCGGCTACCCACCTCAAACCACCACTGGTTTTTCAATTGGCTATCGACCGGTCATTGACAGTTATGAGACGTGGCCAGCAGGGTCATGGGCAGACCGAAAAGAAGTGCTTGCGTGGGGAGCAGCGGGGAGACTACGCCTTCGAACTATTGAAAACGGCGTGACAACTTGGAGCTCGTTCAGAGTCCCAGATGATCACAGACAAGAACTAGATATTCTAGACGTCAGGATTTTGCGGCCCCATCAGCACGAAAACCCCGGTGGCGAAACGATTGTCCTGCAAAGAGCAAATCAAGAAGTCGTCAGTATCGAGAGTTCATCTAAGCCCGACGCCTTTACGCACAAGTCTCGCTATACAGACCTGCCAGATGAATTTACCTGTATGGATATCAGCCAGAGCACTGAGCCTATCCTTGCAGCTTGTGGAGACCATCGCATCAACCTGTACCCGGTGATCTGCCCAGACGAAGCTGTGCGACCCGCTAGCTCCACTAAGATGGAAGAGAGACAAAACGTTCGATCACGCATGCGGTGTGTCAAGTTTCTGTCCGAAAGCATCGTCGCCATTGCCAACCAATACCTTGAGGGCCGAGGGTGCGCCCCAATCCACATCTACAATATTACCCCTGCTGGCGTCTCCTCAACACCGGTCGCTGAATCAGTGCCCTTCCCTGAATCTAGTCAACTATGGATGGGCCGGCATAGCTCCAGTGTTATTGTCGGGCTAGATGACGTAGGAACAAGCGGAAGCCGTCCCCAACAGCTGTTCTTGTCCGGCTGGACTGATGGGACCGCCCGGCTCTATGACATTAGAACCCCTCAAAGATCAGTCTCAGAGTACGTTGATCCTGTGGATATCGGCCAGATTATCTCCCTCCTACCCATTGGCCACGAACGCTTCCTAGCCGGCAGCAGTCACAACGGTTGCTTGAAGACCTTCGATTTCCGTATGCCGGGAGCTAGAGCGTACTCGTATCTGGATGCGCGCCCAGCCCATTCTGCAGACCGTCTCAAGGGCCCGACGCAACAACGAGACGTCAACATCTTCCTCACACCCACGGTTAACATTAGTGAACGACTCTGGGAACCACTGTCACGTCACCCTCGCAGACGCTCTCAGCGCTACCGTAGCTGTGTCTATTCCTTGTCAAGCCCCTCACCAAGCTCCCCTACGGTCTACGCCGGGATAGGGAACCACGTGTTACAACTTGACTTCATTTCTACTGACGACTTTCGCAATGGATACAGAGTCTCAGGCCTCCATCATCCCAGGCACAATATTCCCCCATCCGCGTGGGACAAGGTCACTCGGACGCAAGTGTTGAACTTTTCATGCTATGAAAGACCTAGAGAAGGCAAAGAAAGCACGGATCCTCTTCTGCTGAGGAAACAAGCCGACCTGATTGACGAATTGGCGAATCATAATATAGTCAGCGACGGGGAGAGGGAAGATGGATGGGACGAACGGTGGCGATTGAATACCAAAGACAGTGGGTTTAGGGACCCAGATTGGCGCCGCGCTAGGTGAGATTCGTCCAGATTGGGGAGTAGACCTTTTAGAGGCCACAAAATGCGATGGAGCTGGATGTATTCGGTACCGACTATGTGCCAAAAGGCGCCAACGGCAGCTGTCGGTGCACCTTGATGGGGGTGGTGTTGGGGTCTGTCTTCACTGTCATTCTGCAAAAGCTCTTGCAGAGAAACTATCTACCCGGTTGCCCGCCCAAAGCCTGCGGACACTAAGACATGATCATTGGCGGCGAAAGAACTATGTCCGATTGATCGTCTCAGAGGAGATTTCGGCATGTTGTGCCTCTCCCTTACAATCGACACATTTTCTACGTAGTCATGCTCTAGGTATTTCCGACACGAAAGGGGTACGTGATCCGTGTATTGAAGACAGATTTCGGATAGCATATCACCGCAAGAAGTACAGTAGCTGGCCGACAGCTAATGGAATATCTATCCAGGCCAGCTCCCCTGCATCCAAATAATGCGGACATTGCGGGCAAGGAGGAACTCTTGGATCACCCATATCCTAGGACCTGTCTATACTGCTTTCCCATTCCTTGCAGATGAGCCTAATTGATTCACTCCGGTCGTTGACTAAAGCAGGTGCAGGATTCATCAGACTCGTCCCACCCGATCCCAGCCATACAATGACACGAGTTGCGTTTGAATAGATCGATCCCATCATAGCAATTTGGTTGCTCCGTTCCATCAAATCGGTTTAATTAATGCAAGTCATTACAATGTGGGTGATGGATCGCACCCGCAGCTCTCTCACGACGATGCTGACGCAGTTGGGGGATCAAAGGGCGAGGAAAGGAGTGAAAACGAGCGAACGCACCACTCGGAAGGGCAATGAGATCACCAAATAAAAAATGTTGGAAGTGGTAAAAGCTGAGCATGGCTGATCTTGTTGTATAGGTGACGACGGGTTCTTGCGCGTCATATGCAAGGCATTAGGCTAGGAATGTCACTTGCAATCCACCATAACAATTCCCTTCTCCGCGTTTGCTTGGATCTTTTATGATGAATCCTAACGGCCGGCTCCAAAAACATGGTGTGATCTTGATCATTGTGTGTCGAAGTCTCTCGTTGGTGAACCAGGGGTTATCCGCAATGCATTTAAAAAAAAAATGAAAAGAGGAACTGCTTTGACAAACAATGGCAAATATCTGCCCGTGCATTAAGATCCACCAATCGAGGCTTGCTTCCTTTCATCTAGTCTCATTTTCAAATCGGCTTCGTAACGCTCAATTCTCCTTTTCTCGGCATCTTGAGCGATGGTTTTTTGGACTCCCCTCAAACCAGCAATTTCAGTCCCAGCTTTCTCTCTAAGGTGAGTCTCGTATGCGGCGACAACCTTGAGCGCCGCGTAAAAGTCTCCATCGGCGGTCGAAGACGGTGGAAGGGCGCGCAAAGTAGGCTTTGCAGACGAGACGTCGGTCTTGCTCCTTGAACGACGACCGGTCCTGAATATGCTCAAGAGTTGCCTGATGGCTTGGATAGTAGTGTGGCCACATTTAGGTTGTAAAACATGGATTTCTCGAGGGACTGGGAAAAGGAAGCTCGATTCCTGTTAAAGGCACCAATCTCATCAATAAGTTGCCTTCCAAGGAAGATATCAGCAGTCAACCCTTCTAGAATATGAAATCTCACTGTTAGGGATTCTTTCGGGGCCGAATATGGAGAAAAGAAAGCTTGGAAGGAGGCGTTAACCCGGGCCTTCGATCCGTCGGCTAAGCGTATACTGAGGTCCTCTGTCCTTATCGAGCTAGCGCTGGAGAGTCTGGAAGCTGCTGAAGGAGATATTAGATTCAAGTCTGAGCCTGTGTCGGCACTAGCCCTGACCATCTTATTGTTGACAAAGCATCGGAAGTGGCGTGTAGGACGGTGGCTCTTTCGGGACAAATGCGTAACAAGGGGTGCAGAATCTTCACAATTCGGACACTGAACAGGACCAAGGCAAGCCATCCCCAGCATTTCGACGCTAAGTTCTACTCCAAGAAGGATGGGTACTGCAAGCTTCTCGAAAACTTCGAAGTTTGCGCTTCGGGGGGCTTTCCAACAAGGCAGTCGAAAATCCAGCGCAATTTGGCCCACTGACTCGACGGGCTCGCCACTTGCCAATAGGAATGTAGCTGCCTTGTTCCGATCCGGCTGGTGGCCGAGCTTCATTAATTCTGCCATCGAAATGAGGATACAATCGGCTCCTGTGTCCATGGTCGCTGTAAGGGTTTTGGTGTCTCCGCGTGGTGAATAGATTTCCAACGTCACAGCTATATATGAGCCTGACGGAATCTCAAGACTATCCCATCTTATCTCGCCATCATCGTCGAGAATATCATTCCCCAAAAGCATCGGCACGTGAAGACTTTCAAATACGAAAAATCGACCTGTAAAGTGGAGCTGACTGTTGATGCCGCCGCTGGAACACTTCGCTCGCACCGTGGCCACGGAAGAAATGACTTTGCCGGTGGGGAGACTGAATAGCGCTTGTGCGTCTCTGTCGAAGGAAAGGTCCAGACCAAGCTCAAGGGCCGTTCCAAGTTCCACGCAGCTCTTATCCGCGCCTGTGTCCTTCAGGGCATCAAGAAGTTTTTCTTTAACAACCAGGCAAGTGGTACTCGGACTCGTAATGGGGACAGCGACAACTTCGTAGGGAGGCATGGATGCCAAAATCTGTGGTATATTTTGCTTCGGTCCGACTTTCTCGGCCTAGAGAGCATATGCCGCTGTCCACCTGATGATGGTATGATTATATCTCGTGGACTGGATATTTTCAGCCATGTCCTACTACCGACGTCAGGGGAGTGAAGGTCCTACCTTGGCACACTAACTAGCATCTCAGTACCACCTATGCCTCCCGCTTTCCTGCCGCTCAGTAGCAGAGCTCTGTTGATGGCAGAACAATCGAACTTACAGAAGAATGTAGAAGATTTAAGACGCAGTTTATAATTATGGGCTGTGGGTTGGGCAAATGAGGCTGTGCAGGGCAACTCCTCACCGACTATTGTTGATGCCCAACTTGTGCGAACCCTCAAAAGGTTGCCGTTTGTAAAAAGAGCAACACCGAAGATGTGGCAACCTTATGCTGTTCAATAAGTCCTTTGCTCTTTGGGAAAACGTCTCTTTGCTCCCTCTCTACAACGTAAACTACGTGAGCATATTTCATGTGCTGAATAGATGATACCAATACAACGAAATGACTGAGGGCGGCGAGAATGGCGGCTTCGAAGCCCATGCTATAGGCTTCGCATCACTTACCTCGGTGATGGTATCATGCGAAGACTATAGCATGATGATGTACAATCGCTTCGATCGCTTGTCGACCAGAAATCTCCTCTACTTACAAAGTGAGCTCGCCGCACTTCAACGCCAACAAGACGAGTTCGATCGAGAGGATTTCTTCGACGCTCAGACTGATGTCAGGAACATTGCTCGCAGTTGGGAAGCCTTTGAGAGCGCAGCAAAAGTTCAAGGGAGCAATGCAGCAAAGAGAATGGCGTTGGCCAAGAATATCAGGAGAAAAATTAAGGAGTACAGTAAGTAACGACCTGACTTAAGAATTGAAACATTCAGTGGTCGAGCTCAGTCTAATCATACCAGAGGAGGCTGTTATGGTCGATGCCGATATGTTGGCTCTCCGTCGTCCTTCTAAACAAACATTCAGAGCCTTTAACCAGCTCTTCGTGAATGTAGATGGAGGACGATTTCCTACACTAGGAGGCAGCAGCAGCTCTCTTTACAATGATCGACATGACATCTCCGCGTTGGCACGGCCGCTGGAAGAGGATCGGCTAACAAGCTTTCTGCGGAAGCATTGTCTACTTCTGTTCCTGGAGAGATATCCTGACCGTGATTCTCGCCTCGCCTACGTCTCTACAAAACGCATCGCCGTTGCGGTTGGCATTATCAACGTATTGCTTGCCGCTGCCTTCTTGTTTGGGGCGATCTATAACTTGTACTACGTGGATCAAGAAAAGATCAAGTTGGGACTTATAGCCGGCTACACGACTGCCTTCGCGTTGTGCATCAGTCTTGTCACCAACGCTAAGAGGTCTGAGATATTTGGAGCCTGCGCTGCATACGCGGCCGTGCTTGTGGTGTTCGTAAGTGGCAGCCTTGGAGGCAACTCGGGAAGTGGGCATTGAATGAGTCTGAGAAGATATTTCGAGAGCGATACCCCAAACCTCGAAGTGGAACAGAGTTGTGTTCTCATCATGAGAGAATCTCCATATTCTCAAAGAAGATCCTATGCAGAGCGTTTGGCAGTAATATTGGTTGCTTTGGTAAGATATTTCAAGATTGCTCGATAATCTCGAAGCTGCAGCTATACAGAATATAACTCATACTATATACGATGGACGACAGGAGGGCCATTCTTTCCAAAGACAACTAACATATTTAACGTGAATGAAGGGCACCTTCGATCTAACAGTGAATCACTCTACCCTTGTCAAGTCGTGCCACTTATTTTCGAATCTGGCTCGTCCACCTCGTGCCTGTGTGTGATGATGATGGTGATGCTGGCGGATACATTAACTCTCTCAAAACACAGAGGTGCAAACCTCACAATTCATGAGGAGTTTCATTGCAGTTTGATAGGAATAGATGCAGGCCGAATCAGTACTCCAGAAAAACCGTCACAGTTGTAGAAATATGGAGTTTCAACTGTCTAGATAAAGGCACTTTAACCGTGCCAGTCAAATACACCGCCCAGACCAAGTATATCGTGGTCATTTTTGGTCCACATCCACGAACCAATCTGGACATATCTCTGTTCAGGATACAGCCGACGATCCAAATCTTCCAAAAACATCATGTTGAAGTCGTCGATCGGCCGATAAACGTACTTTTTTGGCCTATGTCTAGAGAGCCGTTCCTGAACGCTCCTTGCAACGTCATCCATGACGATACCGTCCTGACCGAGTAGTCATGATATCACTTGGTCTGTACCATTGCCCTGTCCACTGTCTATCAAGCAGCTAGGTTGGTGGCCTGATAGTCAACGTTTGTCACAATAAGCTTTACTATAGCGAACGACCTAAGACTGTCTAAGATTCTCCGGCCTCACGACCTACATATCAAGACTCCGGGCCTTGGAGAGTATGACGAGGCTGCGTGCAACTGACGCTAAGTATATGCTGTAGTCCCTTAGCCTCTGGAGCAAGGCTAACCTATCTGAGTTCTATAGGAGGTACCGCCAGAGCTGCCTCTAGATCCCTTGGTCTTGGCAGCCCTGGACAGCACGTAAACTGTTGCTCTCATGTAGTGTACTGTAGCTCCTGCGGTCGTAGCGGGGCTCTAGTAGCCCCGTAGAAGCTGAATATAAGCCGGCGCCCTGACCGCGCCTGAGACACCGGTACGAAGGTGGGCTGAAAGGGGCAAAAAAGATAGAAATTCATGTGATGGAGACGAACCCGATGATCGCGCGAGACGTGCCTCCCTCTAAATCATGTTACAGTACAGCGGGTAACACACATGTGGAGCATGTGCAGTCTACTTCGCTACCGAGACACCAGTCTTCCCACTAGACTTCTGATCCTTACCAGACCGCAACAGGTCGATCAGCTTGATCATACCGATCCTGGAACAAAGTTCTTTGGCTGAAAACGGTGCGTGGGCTTCACCCTGAGCTTTCTCTGTTCTACCTCTCCTTTCCCCAGTGATTACACCTTCGTGCGGCTCCACGTCTTTCACATCTTTGGGCTGAATCGGAGCAAGAGAAGCAGGTATTTCACCCCATCTTACAGGCAATAAATGCGAGTCTGTATCTTCCAACGGTCGTTGGCAATGGTATTGAATTGCACGGCCGTCTGACGATGCTACCGGCATGTTTGATGCCAGACGCTTGAAAAAGGCGAGGCACCCGGCTACAAGGAAAATGCCGACACCGAAACAGATAGCTAATTGGTGCCAATTAGCTAAAGAGCTACAACATAGGAGTTGATGGTCACACAAGAGACGCCAGGGCTTTGAGATGCAACTCACCAACGAGCACACCCCTGCAATTCACCGTGGTGGTGATATACGACGCTCCCCAATCGTCCAGCTTTTGTCCAGTCTGTAGTTAGGACACCCTGTCAAGCACCGCTAGTGTTACAAGGGAGCTTGCGCACCTTTTGCGGCATGCCGCGTATCAGGGTCAGGGCGGCCGGGTCGATGTCTCCAAAGCCGATTTGGAAAACCGACGCCCTGCTGTGACTGACCCACGCCCGCATTATTGCTTGCGTTTGGATCAGGAGTTGGATAATGGATCCAACCACCGCCGCACTGCGCCTGGTTGGATGGATAAGTATCGTGGGGCGCCCACATCATACGAACGAGGGTTCCTCACAAAACGGCAGTTGCAACATTCCGCTTCCAGCTGGTCGCCGTCGGGTTCTGCAGGAAACACGATATCGCATCGCCCAGGGTGCATAGCGTTGCATCTTTCTCTGATCGGATCAGACAAAATAGAATGCAGCTCCATTTGACGACGTTGCAGATGCAAATAACTGTTGGAAGCGGTCCCAGGAGCCAAAGGCAAAAACTGGGGAAACCATAATAATGACAATCTACATTCTTCTTGAATCTGGTCAAAGACAAAGGGGTATGTGTGACTTACTCAGCACGATCAACGGCCAGAACTGGACCGAACAATAATTCCCATCATTTCTCAGGGCAAGGCAATAGAGGACATGATAGCCATACTTGTTCCAGTGTGCGATCCGCTCGTCCGAGAAGTCCCTGGGATATCCACAGAACGGGTTCTTCGGATCCAAAGTATATGGCATCGCCGATTCGCAGCCATTGACTGTGCCCGACGAGCAAATCCAGGTTTGACTATCGAATTCGATGGCTCCGTTCTCACCAGCCCCCATAGCTTTGAACTCGAGGAGGCTGTAATCAAGTGATCCGCCATCGTCGACCACGACGAAGAGGTTGGGCGTCGGGCCGAACGGATCTGAAAATCTCTTGAGACATGCTCGGCCCGAGAGGTTGAAGTATTTTGTTTCGTCGTGAACGTATTTCTCCATGTTGGTCAAGGTGCTCATGGACAAGGGTCCGCTTCTCACATCGGCTCTGACGTAGCTGTTGCCAGGGGGTTTGCCTTTGAGAAATGACTCGGTCACTACAAAGGCTGGGTAGGCGAACCGTGGGACTGTTGTTGCGACGGCAGAGTTGAACCTTGCAATATTGATCAGCTGTCATCCTCATTCCACTATATGACGCACAGCGATACAAAATTGATCAATAGAACCGTTGTCGTGGTCGAAAAGGCCATGAGAAGCAGGCCCTTGCGGCGCCGGCGCTTGACCTCAAATGTTTGTGCCTCTAGATTGCTGGGATCGCATTTCGGGGTCCAGACTCTAAGATCGCTCACACGGCCAAAAAGATGTCCGGCTTCGGTTTCGGTCTCGGTTTGGACGCTCCAGTCTCGAAGTAAGGGTTGATGTTCTTTATCACAGGGCCTAGGGGTCATGTCGAATCAGAGGTTGTAGGCTGACCCCGCGAGTTTCGTCTCCCACGCGAAATATATTAAGAAATCAAATCAACGAGATATTAGCACGGCTCTGAACGGCCTCCGTGATAGCCTCTTGTTTCATTCATGTCATTTCTATGCTCATGCAAGAGAGAGAGGCTCTCAATCTGCTGCCTAAAGCCAAATACAGTGCCAAGGGTTGCAAAGCTCCCTATGAGAAGGCTGAGGATTTGTTTGGGTGCGCATAACTTCTTCATATCTCATGTCTCATAGTACTATGCAGCCCGAAGCCACGTTCTTGGCGTATCAGGGCGATGTTGGCTTTCAACCTGACCGCAGCCACCTGCATTTACAGCACTATTCGAGTTGGCCGCCAGGGTTTCTCAGACTAGCCTTACATAGGGGGCAAAAGGCCAATAGTCGGGGCCAGTGGTGGGGGCCAGTAGTGGAACTAGAAAAGGGAAAAGTGGCGCATCATGAAGCCGCAAAAGCCAGGAGAGCAGCAAACGTCAAAGAGAATGATTCGGCCCTGCTTAGGGGGTCGTTTTTGGACATTCTAATGATTCCTCTTAGGACTAGCCTAGGTGGGTTCGATAGAGACAGAATACTCCTAGTTAGCAATGCAATAAAGAGCAGCTGACATGCTATGGACAAAGAATTAATGCTCACGTTGTTAGAGAGTAAGCGAAAGGCATACGTCTAGCAATGTGAACGGTAGATAAGTTTGCTGGCAGTCTTGAAATTGGCGTTGGCCAGCGAGGGCGCATGCTGGCCCGTTACCGACTATATAGTTCTATTAACTGCAGGATCAAGTGTTGCTCTCAGGCTGTATCGCAGGGTACGAAGCATTGAGATTTTACGTTCCGAAACACCATCAAACCCCTTATATTGTTGAGGTTCAACCTTCAGTATGCGGGTCGCAGGCTGCCCCTATGAAGCTCTTCAGCTTCGATGTCGCTATCGCACTGCACCTACAGATAGGCAATGTACTCGTCATATAGTTTGCTGGCGAACGATCCCTGACAAGATGTCCGTCAATCGAGATACAATAAAAGGTTTGAGAAGATGAGACCGCCTCGTTTGCATTCGCCATATTTATTTTGTCGGTAGTGGGAAGATGTACAACTCTTAGTTGGCAGCGAGCCAACTATTGCCCGATGCCCGAGTTTTGAGAGGGGTATATTGTGAATACATACGTGGACGCGGCACGGTTTCAGGCTAGTATCATTTGAAAATACCAATGGGACTAATAACGCGCCAGCACGGCGATGAGGTCCTTTGAATTCAGCGCGGCGCCGTTCTTGACCTCCTCGAGCACCTTTTCAAACATGTCCAGATAGCCTTCTCGCGTGATTGGCACGTTTGGTGCGGCTTTTTCGGCGGGCGGCATTCGCTCGGCTATCTCTTCGCACAGGATCAGATAGTTCTCGGTCCAGGCTTTGTGGTATGCCGGTGGGAGAGGGACGTGTTTGACTTGAACGTCATTGAACGTCTTCAGCTCGTTTTCGAAATTCTTGAGCCAGCTAGAGACGAAGAAGTCACGCTGTCAGAATGTGGTATTTTTGGCAAAAGAAAAGGAAGGGGAGAAGGAAGGGAGGAATGGGAACAGTTGTAATTACTCGAATTTCGTTCCAACCATTGTGCCGATGCTGAGGATGAGACCCATCAGTTTCTGGCAGTAGGTCGTGTCAATGTTGGGCCGTGGAGTTATAGTGGCCAGGGTGCTAGGATCCATTTCCTCCCATTGAAGCCATCCACCGGGCTTGAGGAGCTTGGTAACAGTGGTGATCAAGGGTTGTGCTTCGTTGTTCAAGACAATGCCGTTAAAAAAGCGAATGTGCACGACGTCAAAAGTGCCCATCAAATCCGAGGGACATTCGCCCGTCATGACATCCAGAACCGAAAACTTGACGTTGGCAGGAAGAAACTCGGGCGCTGGAAAGTTGTGGGCGGCAATGTCGAATCCCGTCAATTCGGCAGAGGAGGCAAGTTCATGACTGGCTTCGATGATCCATGCACTTTTGACGGAGAAATTAGAACAACGGGAGATCTGAAAAGACTGTTGATAGAAACAGTTACCCATTGCCGCAGCCCAAATCAGCGACTCGAAGTGGTCGATCTTGGGGAATGGACGGATGGAGGACATATCCAAGAGTCTTTTGGACCAGCCAGTGTTGAAAGTAGAGTCTGAGCGACGACGCATCTAGATCAGCCCTAAGCAGCCGTCGAAAGGTTTCAATTCGCACCTTGTCGAATTATGAAAGTCGCGAGACTTCCAAAATTGTCGAGGATTGTATTCTGGAGTGGCTGACATGGTTGGCAATATATCACTTCGGTGGTGGTTCCGGATCGATCGATACCAGAGCCAGCGGTGTCTGATAACGTTGTTGGCGAGGTTACCACCAGTTGAGATTTTATAAGAACCAGCGAATGCCACCAGGTGTAGTCGAAGAACCGCTGAGGTGCTGTTGGGCCGTTGGATGCTGGTGGCCTAACATCTTAGTGTGGTATACTCTTGCTTCATTGACTCGCCTGTCCCTGTCCGCGTCGGTGTACAAATGCATCTGAGCTGATTCATAACTGAGCTCCAGTAACCGAATATCTAGACCCACCATGCAGCCCTTGGGTGGCCTAGGGGAGTGTACGCGTGGATGGTGAGATGAACTGATGTCTAGAACTGTTCTCACGGGCAGTTGGATCAAAAATCCTGGAAGCGATAAGTCGTGCAGTGGCATTAGCGCTGTTGACAGGCCCTTCACCTGACAAGTATTACAGACTCTCAGGACGACGAGCTGTTCTTCGTCTACCTACAACTTTGGAGCAGCGCACATTCTCCAGCCGAGGGTAACGTACGACATGCGGAGAACCATGGTCGTTCTGCACCTGCGACCTCTCCTCACGCTGAACGTGAATCAAGGGCGGCATACTCCGAAATCGCTCATCATGGTAGAAAACATGGAGAGAGATGGGCGCATGGGGTCTTCTCTGAGGGTTGGACATAAAAATTGAAGTTCGGTCTCTCTCTATATATAAAATCTTGCAACAGCCAGAGACCGTGCTCGTCGCATCACGTCCAGTCTCCAATACGTGACTCTGTGAGAAGGGAAGCCTAAGAATCCCATCAGACACGTGGGAAGGCGCGTGGAATCAGCCACGAGGGGAGAAGAGCAACCAGACAATATGGCGGCAGCACCAGAGAATGCCATAGCCTTTATAGGCAAGCACCCCTTTTCCTCGAGTCTCGGTGTACGCACCTTGCCAACGAAGCTCAGGCCTCGGCGTAATGGGTTACAGCATGGCCGTCAATCTGCGCACCAAGATGCCCAAGGACATGACACTTGTTGTGAGTGATGTATCTCAGGATGCGATATCCAGATTTCAAGAGCAGATGAAAGACGTGGGGCCGGTGGTCGTCGCGGCGAACGGGCGCGAGGCCATTCAGCAGGCTGTAGGTATTGTCTCGACGTCGACATGTGGCACATTAGAATTGATGAACCTTGACTAGAACACGATCATCACGGTCCTGCCTAATGACTCAGCCTGCGACAGTGTCTATCTCGATTCATCAACAGGGATCCTCGCTGGCGTCAAGCAAGCAGATCCTTCCCAGGCCAAGATCGCCATGGAGTGCGGCACGATGAGCCTCGAAATCATCAACAAGGTCCGGGACGCCTCGTCACAATGCGGACTCACATTCGTCGACAGCCCCATCTCGGGTGGACCGCTAGGCGCCAGAGCGGGCACACTTACCATCATGGTCGGATGCGACGAGACCGTCTTCCCAAAGATCAAGCCACTGCTCGAGCACATGGGCACTAGCGTGCGGCGGTGCGGCGACGTGGGGGCAGGTACCGCCTTCAAGACCATCAATAACTATATGTCCATCAACAACGTCCTGATCGCCAGCGAAGCTCTGAACATCGGCGCCAAACTGGGCCTCAACATGGAAGACCTGATCGACACTGTCAACTCCAGCAGCGGCATGAGCTGGATCACCCTCAAGAACAACCCGGTGCCCGGCATCACGCCCGGCGGCGCCGCGAGCAATGGATACAACGGCGGTTTCCGGATAGAGCTGGGCCAGAAGGATTTGACGTTGGGCGTGCAACTGGCCAAGATGGTTGGCGCGAGACCCGTGCTTGCAATCGAGACGCTGAAGACGTTGGACGAGGTTGCGAGTGACCCTAGATATGCTGGCAAGGACTTGCGCGTTGTGTATAAGTGGCTGAACGAGCAGTAACCCGATGTTTGCAAGTCACTTCTTGATGGCGGGCTGCTGGAAGTACTCCATAGACCACACAGGTAGGATGGGATCTCAAGTTGCTGATTTCAACAGGCCACGTCCGAATGGGGGAAGTGCCTGACAGAATGTGACTGAAGATCTAAGCATCTAAGGACGCATAGAACAGCCGAAATTTCTGCTTGCTTCGTTCTGTTCTGCCTGGCGCGCCGTGTGAAGTAAGAAGTACTTGTAGACAATGTTTTTCTATGTGTTAAAGCGGCGAACAAAACGGATCGGCTGAGTGGAGATGCCCCCGCGAGGAGGATGTCCGATTCAGCTCATATTGAAGCTCCCTCCCATCAAATCCTTTTTCCCTCGTCTACCACCTCCCACCTCCCACACCAACGTCTCTCTACTACCATGTCGCCCTCCAGCACCCCATCCCTGCGCACGCTCTACCGCCGCCTCCTCCGCGAACTGCCCCCGACGCCTCAACCGCGACACACGCTGCCGCGAACGCCCATCCACGCCTCGATCCGCTTGCACCTGTCGTCCCTCCAACCGCAGCAGCCGCAGAAGGAGAACAAATCCGAGCAATTGGCCCGACTGCAAGAACTAGAGCAGTTCGTCATGTACCTGCGCGCGCAGCGTATGTACGGCACGCTGCTGCAGCGGTATAATCCAGGCATGGGCATGGACGAGGAGGAGAGGGTGCGCTTAACGGCGCGCAGGGTCGGTATGGAGATGCCGATTGAGTATGAGTGGAAGATGAAGCGTTGAAGCAGGACCCGCTGAATGGAACAGCGCGGGGAGATGTGGAGCAAGTTGTCTATGTGAGATTCCGGGCTGGGCGGAGTGAATTGAGTGGTCGAGGTGCAGATGATTGTCTAGACTGCCTCGCCGTGGGAAGAGTTTCCATGCTATGCTGGCTCGGAACCTTCAGCGGGGAGGGATGGCTGAACACTCAACAGCAAACTGCGGCTTCTCACGTCCCAGGACGTTCCCTGGTCGTTATACAACTGCCGGTTGGAACCACGGGCACCAAGACCTCGCATTGACAGCCCACACAATATCCCGACCGTGTTCACCTGGCCGAGCAATTTGAATCCAACAAGCAACCTTTTTCGAGCTAAAAAGACCATCATTCCGTCTCGCTGGGCTGTATTGAAGGGCTCCGACCAACTACTTTCCACCGCCAAAACAATGCTTCCCTGCCAGCAACTACTTCTCTCCATGGCAAAGCCATCCATCCATGCTAGGACCTTGCTCTCCTCCACAAATCTAGCGAAGTGGCGGCGAGTAAAGGAGGATATTATCATAAACACGACCCAGCGTTCATCGCTCATGCAGCTGAGTCCCGCTTTGTTGGATATATGCATGCCAGCTACATACGTCCCACGTTCGACCATTCTCGCGGGGGTGACAACCACAGGCCCGGTCGGCTGCGGCCGCCAAATCGCAGAGCTGAGCCGTGCGAGACGGATATGGTCTGAGGGGGAAAAAAATGGTATGTTCAGATAATAGAGAAGCCTAGAAGCTGGAGGGATGCCATACACCTATGCAGACCTGTTTAACATTTGAATCTAGAGAAATACATTGTGTGTTATTATTTAAGCCTACCGAGAGAAGAAAGAACAAATGCTCCGTATATTGGCACAGAACCCTTCATTCTCGCCTCGATCCAAACCATGCCCCGAACATATTTCACATCCCGATTGACAGTGTTCCTCCTGATGTTCTTTTGATTCGAGCACACCATTTCCCAGACTGTTCGCCCATGGAATGCTCACGCGAGATGTGTGCGGATGCTGCGCCGCCGCCCTTTCGTCCTTGACGCCCTCTGATGTTATTTCCCTCAAAAGCCGTCGGTCCGTTGCAACGAAACCTCCCAATTCTTCCGAAGCCTGCACTATTCTCTGTTCTTACAACGCACAGCAATCTTGTTCATTGCGCAAATTCTAGTCTTAAATGGCGTGGCATTCTTGCATGTCGACGTCGACGAAGAGACCAAGATCGCAGTTGCTGAAGTCGCCATCGCTGTCGAGGATCATCAGACCATGGTTAAAGAAGTCACAGGCATTCCCGGCATTGTCGAACTCATGGAACTCGGGATCGCTGTTGATCAAAGGGAGAGTCCCAATGTATGGCGATGCAGTCATAAAATCTAGCCCACTTGCTGGCAACGAGGGTGGAAATGTGGATTCCTCAGGCATGAAGGTCGCCAGCGCTTCGTCACCGAATCCGTCTGCGACAGTCAACGAAGTCGATAGGAAACCCGTCCCGTCTTCGCCAAATAGATCAAGGGTTCCCTCTGGGAAAAGGCTTTCCAAAGACTGCACGGGTGCTGGCGAACCAGGTTCATTCCAAGAGCCAGTAGTGTAGGTGATGTCCCAGATCAGCCCCAGGGCGGGTAGTGTGCGGGTGAAAGAGTCTGCAAATTCGGCTGGATGAAGATTCTGATGATCATCTTCGCCGGCCGTCTTGTGGGTTGGCGTAGCAGTCTCCTCCACGGTCTCGCGGTTCGCAAAATTGGTGTCGATTTTGGCAACGGGAACGTCTTTGTCCCACACATTCCACGGTTCAGCGGGTATCCCGAGCTGCTCGGGTTCTTCAACTCCTCGCAACTGTAGCCGTGTGGTTCCCTCGTGAAGCTCCTCAAAGACATCTTCGTCACAATCGTCATGAACCCCGGGCACGCTCTCTCCTTCTTTCAGTTTTGCTCGCACCCGATTAAGTTCGTGAAAGTCGACCAACGTTGCAGCATTCTCCGAGCCCCGCGTGCCAAAACCCATTCTCATACGCCTTGGAGAACCACTTCTCTGCCCCTGATAAGTCTTCGGCTCCCTCAAAAATCCATCTGAGGACTTTCATAGCATTTCACGGTGATCCGATCTATGTCCTCGCCATCTAGCTCCAAAAGTCGCAGCAAATGTTTTCTTCCCTCCTCGTCAAGATCGTAACAATAATGGAGATATCCAAGCTGGTATAGTATTCTCCTGCAAAGTAGATGTTTTTCGCCCCATTCATCCACGGCACGGCGCAGTAACCTATGCCAGCATTCCGAGGCTGTATGGAAATCCTCACGCCGGGAAATGGCCCTGGCCATGGTAAACTCTAGTTCAAGGAGCTGTTCGGAGTCTGACTTCCATTGTCTCTGGGCAGCGTCGCACGTTATGCTCAACAGCAACAGTGGTGACATTGTCTGCGTCTCGGGGATTTGTGCCACCTGTAGAATCATCGAAACGGGATGGCTTTCTCCAAGAAGGCTCCTGGCTAGACTGAATAGATAGGAGAATATCCTCCTTGCCGCTCGACCAGTGATGCTATCATCATTATATGCGACAATGACATATAATAGAAATTCGGGGCATGCTGGGTGTCGATTTACCACGTCTCGGCCCTCTTCGTGATGCCTGGGAAGGACGTTGTGCCTCGTAAAGAACTCAATGGGGGTTCCCTAACGAGCAGCTGACAAGCGGTTCATGTTCTCTGAGGGTGGTCAAATTTCAGCTTGGGCATGCAATAGACTTCGTTCAAAGCTCACAGCGCTGCATGTGAGAAATACATGACAAAGACTTATCAAGGGGCATAAGCAAAGTAGATACACGTATAGCCGTTTATGCCAAAAGAGCAATCACACCCGCCAATAGGCCGGCAGCACTGAGGATGAGTTCACCACTTCGTCGTTTCTGACCATTGGCGGTGTTCGTGGTTCCAGCAGCACTTGTCGCAACAGCGCCACTTGACTCGCTGCTTGCTTTGCTCGTTGTGCTGGTCGTAAAGCTGCTCCCGGCAGTGCGTGTCGTTGCTTCGCTTCCAGTCACTGTGCCAGGCATGGTGACGACTCCGACTGAGTCGATCGTGGCTGTTGGGACGGTGCCGTCTGTGGCAGCTGGTGTTGGGATGACAGTCGCCGTTGTGACCAATGTCACTTGCCCAGTCCCGCCACTTGAACTCTGATCATTCTTGCTCCCAAATGTCAACCCGGTGATCTGGTCAAGGGTGTTCCCATTTCCAACTGCCAATATCTTATACCCAGATCCCGAACCCTGTATGGAGCCCGCCGGCACCGTGTATGAGCCAGTGTACGAAACGACGCCCGTTGCAATTATCAGATCTGTGCTCGAATCGGAATTGGTGAGTTTGAGGTCAATGACCGAGGGATCGGTAAAACTGAGGGACCATGAAATGACCACACTCTTGCTGGGGTTGATTTGCGAGTTTGAGGTTGGCGAGGTGAACTTGAGCGCAAGAGAGGAGGAGAAGAGTGTTGCCAGGCAGGCTACAAAGCGCAAATGCGAGCGCATCGGCGGGGTGACGGTTGTTCGCGGTCCTGTCAGAAAACTTGTTGGGTCAATGAGACACAGCGTCTGTCGCTGGGATCACGCGCCGATGTTGAACAAAACGAGGGTGGGCGCAGCTGGCAACAAATTAATAAAGAACGGACACACTGGACGATAGCCAAATGCAGCACACGAGACTCCTCCGCTCTGAGATAACCGCAAAGAACGTGCGCTGTGGAGGACTCGATGGAGGACGCCGAAAGGAGAGATCACTAAGGTGGAACAAAAGGGAAAACGCAGGCGTCATAAGGCCCGCGAACGCAATCAAACAGTTAAAACCCCTGCAGAGGCTTGTCTCTGCATTGGGAAGTCGGCGCTGACTGGCTTTTCCTCTTGCGGCTTGTTTCAATAGTGCACCAGCGCCTCATGCACGTCTCGCTAGGACAAGAGAACGAGGAACAAGCTGAAACTCAAGCTAAAAATACCCACCTTGAGAATAGCTCGCTACTTAGGTACCCGCGCATTCCAGACACTCCACCCAAGACATCACCATACATATGCTTCAGCCTTGTGGTGCCCGGGGAGGAAGGGGGGGGCTCAGGTAAGTACAGAAGAAAGATTCTGCGAGGCGATGGAGGGGGGCAATGGCGATTCCCGATGAGCCTTAACAATAAACTCCTGTCAAGCAAAACATCGTATATATAAATGATAGTTGACCAGAGGACAATTTCGTTTCATAACAACCCGGCTTGCAAAAGAATCCCGTCTTGTAACCAGACCTCTCCAAAATGTCGCCACCAGCACCATCCTCCGAGCTCTACAAGTCAATTAAGCTGCCACCCTGCTGTCCCACCGGCCGGCCTCCGAACGGGTTGCCATTCTGCGGGCCAAACCCGCCCCCAAACCCACCTGCTGGGCCGGTTTGAGCCGGCATTTGTTGACCAAACCCACCTTGTGCTTGGCCAAATCCGGTAGCTTGTGCTGAAAAGAATGGATTGGTACCGGTTTGAGCGGCACGGAGGCGATCGAGACCCTGCCCAGCCGAGTTGACAAACGTTCCTGGTGCAGTGTGTTGAGCCGGAATACGCAGGTCGCCTGTGTTCCCAAATGTATCCTGTCCTTCTCCCGAAGCCAGCAAGGCATTGAGTTTGGCGTGTTGCGGATTGACTGGCTTTTGAAGTTGCTGGAAGGTCGGCTGCGGCGCCGAGTAATTCAGGATTGGATTTGGTTGTGAAGGCTGTGTAAATTGCGTAGTTGGCTGCGACTCGTACAGAGTGCCCAACGAAGGCTGGGTGCTTGGCCGCGCGAAAGGCGAAGGGGCCGGCTGCTGTGGCTTTTGGGCGAAAGGGTTGTTCGACCCGGTAGGTAACGGTTTTAGAGCATCAGGGACTTGAGGCGACGGACTGGCCCAAGGGTTGTTGGTTCCAGGCTGGAGGTTGGTTTGTTGAGGTGATTGTACTCCAAAGAGATCCCCAGAAGGCTGTCCGCCATACGGATTGTTGGTCTGAAAGGCCGTCTGCTGCGGTTGAAGAGTATTCTGTTGCTGCAGGAATGGTTGCTGGCCGAACTGATCGTATCCCAGAGGCTGGGCAGGCTGAAAGCCACCGGCGAAGCCATTTTGAAAGCCTGTCTGCTGCGGTTGGGCGTACTGACTGTTCAAGAAGCCGGTGCTCTGTGGTTGCTGTTGCAGTGGGTTGCCAAACCAATCTACGGCGGGCTGCTGCTGGTAGCCCTGGTTGTACCCGGTCGGGTGACTCTGAGCTGGCGCTGGTGCGGGAGTATCGTCGAAAAGCGAAGAGGCGTTTTGTTCCTCAAGCTGTCGGGCGCGCTGATCCGCCTCTTCCTTGCTAAGCTGGAGAGCTTTCAGGTATGCTGCGTCATTTTCATCGGAATCCTTGACCTGCCGCACTTTTCGGGCTCTTTCTTGTTCTTCCAGCAAGCTTTCTTGCATTGCTTTCCGGATGTCTTCTTCTTCTCTCCGTTCAAGGGATTCGGCGTGTTGATTTGTTTGTCTTCGCTGTGGATATGTTGGACCGGCAATGGCCTGAGGCGCATACTCATCAATTCCCGTGACACGCGTCTTCCACAATTTCCGATCGGAGCGTTCGCTGCGAAGCCGGTCCTCGTCCAGAATGAGTGAAGTCAGTTCTTTGGCAGATGTTCGGACTGGATCGATCAGCATGTGCGATTCCGGCAGGTGTTGCGATGGTGCTCACCATTTTGTCCCACGTCTCTGCCATCTTCATCAATGTATTGAAACTCTCGCAATGTCTTGATGATGTAGATGTTCTTCCTGGCCCAAGTGACCACCAATTCTGAACCCTCGTGCAGACAATAGTCAAGAACTTTCAAGGACTTCAGCACATGACGCCAATTCTTGCCCTTGTCGTTCAGTCGCTTATCGAGCATATCCATGATCTCGTAGAAGTCGCCTGGGCTGTACAGGCGTGTCGTCAGCACAAGTCGTGGCCTTCTCATTAGCTGGATCTTACTTGTTGAAGGTGAGGGCTGCAATTTCAGCCATGTCTGTGCCCGTCGGGCCCCACGGATCGTTGGACGTCGCTGTTTTTCATTGATTTAGCATTCGAATTGAAGTTTGGTGGGAGTGAACACCTACCATTTCGCACCTTGACCTGGACAGGACTGTACCCCTTTGTGACATTTTTGACGCTCCTGACTACTTTCGACATACTTCCTCCTTTTCTGTAGATGGGCGCAGTTTGCAGCGATGAGCCTCTGTAGATATTCTCGGGAGATCGCTGGGGGCGGGAGTCCTCGCTGAGTTCGTTGGAAACTCCGACAATGGTACGGCGACGGGAGGGCTGGTCCCGAAACGAGCGGCTAGGCGTCTCAGTGACCGAATAGCTGCGGCCGGTTCGATCGGTCACTGTGCGCGCAGTGGGAATGTTTTGGTAAAGAAGAGGTGAGGCGAAGAATGCCAGATTGACGAGTGGATAAGGTGAACGTCTGAAGAAGCCTTCAGGTGTTAGGTAAGAACAGACAACGTCAGGTGGGCGGCAAGGCAAGGCAAGTGCCCACAAAGCCCACAAAGTCTGCGCCGGGGGATGCCTATGCTTTTCCTGCTTCGGGCGAGCTGGCGGAAGCAGGGGGCTGCTGACAATGATGACTATCGCCCAGACCTGGCTAGCTGGTGAAGGGAAATGATGGCGTGGCGCAGTTGCTAGGCGCAGTGGCTAGTGATGGAGAACAAGCAGAACGAGGTCCACTTGATATGCAAAATGATACCTTGATCCTTCGCAAGCAATGCTTTTTTCAGGTCAGAATCTGCGGGCGCAATCGAGGCTGGAGGAGGCAGCAGTGGCAGCAGTGGCAGCAGTGACAGTAGTAGTAGTAGCAGCAGCAGCAGCAGCGGATAAGAGGAACACGATATGAAATACTATCATACACGCCTCTTCGACGACGAGGAGGAGAAGGTCCATGTGACAGACCGTTAGTGTGCTTTTTGCTTGTGGCCTCAGTTGGCGGCCGCGTCAAGCTTCCCACTTGGCAGCTTGAGCTCGTCCAACTCCTGTCAGCGATGAACCGACACTCCCGAAGCACCGCTTTGATCGTCTCGATAGTACAATTAAAATGCCTCGCACAATCGACCACCGGCTGCGCCTTGCTCTCGATGCCGCGGCTGAAAGAAGGGAGTCGCCGGAAACCATCTCCAGCCCGATCATCGTCTTCCTTCACTTGCCCATCTCCTCGACACGCATCACTTTCGCATGCTTGATATCCCGTTCCCCCATGTGGTTCCTGATCTGACTGTAAGACTTCTGGAATCCTTCTGTGTTGGCCAACCCCAGGTGTTGCCCCATACTGTCCCAGCTCGTGAAGAGGACGTACTGCTCCTGTGGATTCTCGCCTTCGATTGACGGGTCGTACCCTCTGTCGATGCGCCAGCCTCCCACAACCCGGCCCGTTTCCCCCCCGAATGATTTCAGTGTCTGGCTGTGGTCTTCAAAAGTAGCTTGGAATCTCTCCTTGTCACCGTCTTTGACCGTGTGTCGATCAATTGCGAGGACTTCTTGATTGAGAGGCAGTGATTGTGTGTTCTGGTCAATATCCAGATGGAACATCCAGTCCACCGTGACCTGGTCTTTGAGCTGTGCCAGTAACTCTTGATTCTGAGAACCAGGAATGAATCCGTGCATGTGGAAGTCGACCGACGGCCACGATCCCAGAATGAAGATGACATGCGGCTCTTCCACGCAGTGGTAATACCAGAATTCGAAACCACTGGCCTTTTCCATCACATCTTTTGCTCTGGCTAAATTGGCACGTAGAGATGGAGACGAGGCTTTGGTGCCAGACTGCAGGCTGAGTCGTGCAAGCTCGGTGACTGCCATGATCAAAGGTGAAATAGAACAGAACTCGCACTAAAAGACAGGCGATTGAAAGGAAGAACACCTAGGTATGCTTCGATTTTCATGTCGGGGACAATTCTATGTATTTACACTGCGCCCACAGGCTTTTCGTCACCTCCCTTCTGCCTGAGGCCCACCGACTTCAGAACCCATCGCTCAACGTGGACCTGGCCTTGCGAGGAATGTACTATTATCAATTAGCTCTTACTTGATCTCATCTGTCGCGTTTGACTATATTGCTTCTCCCGATCTAGAGACCGTGCACCGCTTGTTCACTTTTGACGCGCCCGTCCCTTTTGATGTCTTCGTATGTACAGTCCATCGTTTAGTCCCTCCTATATACAATCTCATGACACGTAGCCCTTCGTCAGAGCATGACTATGAGATAAGACATCTAGCTTCCCTGTACCGAGCCTGGCGTCGGCTCATAGTAATGTAGAGCGCCCTTGGCTTTGGCACAGGAAGTGTTTGGGCTCGTGGCATTGACTGGGATGGAATTACCGTCTTGGGGACGTCCGACCACCTAGAAACGCACAAGAGCCGTTAGCATAGTAGATCGAAGCAGCATTTTCTCGAAGCAGGAACTTTTTGAAAATCCATCTTGGAGTCCGCTCGGCTCCGTTCCAGGAAGAGCACTTACATGCATGTAGTACCACACTTCGCTTATGACGGTGCGGCCACTATCAGTACTATTTGCTGCAATTCCCGCTGCCGTAGTATTGTATCTAGGCCCGCTACAGCCAACGTACGGCACAGCACCGTACTTCTTCGCCAGCTGACCTTGAATCTGACTCAACGTGTAGGTCGTGCTGTTGCTGGGAACGATCTTGGCCTCGTTCAACCACTCCCACGTCGGGAGTCTCTTGTAATACTTGATAGCCGTCTGGAAGAAATCCAACACATCTTCGTGTTCGACGTACTCCGGCCCGTAGCAAGGGAGATCGAAGGTCGAATAACAGGTCGCGTGTTTGGAGAATTCGTGGCCCCAGAAATCGTGGTTTGGGCCGCCTTGGTTGATCCAATACTTGTTCATCCAATCCAACAGATCATAGCGGCCAAAGGGCTCGAGGAACGTGCCTATGTTGGGCCCCCTGTAAGGAGGCACCACAGTGCCGTTGGGCAGCCCGGTCGTGGTATTGGGCGAAGGGGCAGGATCGTATTGCCGTGTCAAATCGCAGTACTGGTCATACAAACCATTACACAGATCGGGCCAAAGTCCATGAAGCGTAAAAGAATTGGGTGGCAGCTTTTGGCCTTGAGCCTCGAGACCAGTGTAAGTGTTCCAAAATTGGGTGGAGAGCAGGAGGCCGCCATATGTTTCCGTACAACAGCTGTCGACTTGGTCGGGAGTAGCTTGTGCAGAGCAGGAGAGGACAGCGGGCTCTGACAGTTGAAGTTGGTGAGATCGTCTCCTGCACTTTGGGGAAAGACAAAGAGCTGGAAGATATGGCCAAAGCAGATGTTCACTTACCAAGGATACAAGTGTGGTTTTGATTGCTTTCACCGTAGAGAGAAGCTTTCACTGCGCTCACGAGGGTTCCAACAAAGACGATGGACTTGATCGAAACCATCTTTGGATTTGGTGTTAAACCTGAAGGTAACGGGAACAAGAGGTGATGATGAACAGCGCAACGACAAGCTCTCGCGGGCCAGAAATTCAGGGCAAAAAGGCAGCTTATATACCAACTTGCATAGCTTCAGCACGTCTGCAGTAGCTCCTAGGTCGCTCTCTTGTGTCGACCAGGTCCGCAGGAGAGGTTCCCAAATCGATCCCGCATCTGCAGAAATCCATCATGCTCCCACAAAGCGGACGGGGTCTGAGTGGGAGAGCTTGAGCTTTTGACGAGTCGCAGGGCGCGGTTGAAGCACCTGCGCACCGGAGCTCGAGCCTAGAACGCGAAGAGAAAAACAGTTCAAAAGCTCTCGGGCAAATGCAAGTAATCAGTAGGGTAGCACTATAGTGAGTGCGAAAGGTGCATGGACACAGAGCTTTTGGTCGCGTGCACGACTGATTGGTAGACGGGATAACGAGGTGGGAATCGTGGGAAGCGAAGATGGAAGACAAGAGGTTGCAACCTGAAAGTCCTCGGTCGTAAAAGGCTTGGGTGGCAGAATGGGCCGCAGCGGATGCTTAACCACTGGCTCGGATCTCGCCACCCTCACAGAACAAAATAATATCAAAGGGCCAAGACCGAGATTGGGCGTGTGTCATGCTCGGTCAATGGAGGTCCCAGGTGCAGAGTTGATCTATGGCATTCCGACAGGCTGGTACATATCAATAACGACAGAGGGAAGCGGGATCTCCCCTCGTGAAGAATTATATATTTAATCTCCGCCGAGTCCAACCAATCATAAGAACAAAGTCATTCATCCGGGCGATAGTCGGTTTGTCCGAGCATCTCCTGTCCTTTTGGCAGGTCTGGCGCACTCGTCGTGGTTGGCTGTACGGGGGCTCGACTGGCTGCGGCATTGAGCCGTTCATCTAACGCTTTGAGGGCCAGAGCGCGCCGTCGTTCGGCCTCTTCTCTTTTGCTCATGCCTCTTGTTCCGCGTGCGTGTTTATTGAAACTCGGAAGGCCAGCTTCCCCTCGCGCAGCTGCTTGTTCATTTCCGCTCGCAATTTCTTCGTCCGAGAAAGGTACACATATCTTCAGATTGCATAGCAGAATGTAAACCTGGTTGCAAAATGCCGCAATTGGCGGTTGGATGGCATTGGGAAAGAAGGTCGCAAAGGCAAAAGTTTCGCTTGCATCGCCCTTCAAGCCCGGGCTGTCGGTTGTGGTTCCCGATATATCAGGCTGACGCTTGTAGAAGCGAAGATAAGTCCAAGTGGTGATCAACCCGTACCAAGCGAGGAAAAGACCAACGTCGGTTCCGATGATTAGACCGGACAGGGTGTTCAGTGCGAGGAAAACTGCTGGGAAATGCTTGACCCGCATCTTGATCATGCCCTTGTATATGCTGACGGTATGTTCGGGGACGAGCTGCTTGAAGGCAACCAGGAATGCTGCTTGTGTCGCGATGCCGCCGGTTATGGGAGTCATGGCTCTTTCAGGGTTGCCAGTAATAGCGCCCCAGAGGATGTAGGTCGGGACCATCAGGAGATTAGGTATTATAGACGAAATCAGAATGACATAGACAAAACCCTGCGTTCCCCATGCTCTTTCAAGGTATTTCCCACCAAAGAAAATATTGATGCCGTTGATGAGGAGCGTCAGGATATTTTGTTCGACAAAGGTTGCGCTGAGAAAGGTCCACGGGTACCATATACATTGCGAAGGGACCAGGGCTAGATATGGAACAACTGGCCGTACGGGGGGATTTGCCGTTGTCGCATCTCCGAGGCCAGCATTGTCTGTCGACAGCCTCCATCGAGCAATGTTGTAGAGGAAGGATAAGGAAATAAGAACTCCAAGCAGGACCCGAGTGACGGGAGGGAGGTTGATGCGGAGTGCCATTGCGCGGGATGATCGAAGGCCTCAATTACATCCTGTCGCTGTCAAAGGAGACAGCAATCCTGACGGCCGGGGCAGCGCAGTCGAAGTCGGTCTCGAGAAACGGATGGAGTATGATGGTGAAATGGTGATGTAGGAACACGACTCCAAAGAGTCTCGGAGAGATTTGGCGGCGAGCGCAGCAGCAGGGGCAGTACTGGGTAGGGGCAGCAAGGGCCAGGGAGTGCCCAGTCTACTAGCCGCTTCTGATCAGCACACTGGTGACACTAACCAAAGGTGGGAGGAGACTGATTTGCTTTGGGTTATGACCAGGTGAATAATATAAGGATGGGATTGTGATATTTAGGAACAAGTCAGAAGAAAGATGGGGTGGAGGTTGTCGAAAGCTGCCCTAACAATTGATTGATGTTTGTCCCAGTCGTACCCGGTACAGTGGTTGTGGTCACGAGATACGTCGATGCCTAGCTGGGATGAGGTTGAGGGGAAAGATGTGGTGGATGGAGTCACGATCTGCCGGACGTATACCGGGTAGGAGGTACTGGGTATGTAGGCTACCTGTTCTTGGGACAGAGCACCTGTCCTTGTAGTTACGGGTAGTTCGTTGTACGAGCAGATACAGTGTTCGTCTGCCCTAGGTAGGGTATGCGCCTGTATGTCGGCCAAGCTGGTTAAACCTGAAACTCGCACACAGCGCTCCGGGCGATTGATTGGTTCCAGGTGGAGGGTCCATGGGGTTCCAGGGGGGTGTGAGGGCTGCGGTGCTTGGCTCTTGCGCCGAAACCCACTAACGCCCTCCCCAAAATGGGCCGCAGGCCCCAGGTGCTGCCACACATCCAGGCGCTACGTGCCTAAGCGGCCTAGCTGCCTGTTCTCTCGGTTCTCGCCCCGTGACAAAGTGACAACCTTGCCATTCATTCCATCCATCCATCCATCCATCCATCCATCCATCCATCCATCGCAAAACTCATCTCCATCACCAACTTTTCCCCGAGAACCTGGTCAAAACACGTCGCCAGCTTGCCATCGGCCATCGGCACGAACTTCAACTTCGTGTCCCCTTCAAGCCTGTACAATTCCCACGTCGGAGCCCTGTGTCAATCGCGTTAATACCTTGTCTAATTATTTGTTGCGCCCTGCTAATAGCTTCCGCTGTCTTTTTCACTCACCCGTAGCCCATCTCCATCTTGCCACGCACAGTCCAACGAACTTAGGACGAGCGACATCATCAACCTGCACATCATCCGTTTTCCGCAGAATCCTCCGTCCGATTAACTTGTCATCTTCGATACTCCGTGCGGTGGACTGCGACTTGCTGGCCAACGCTCCTCCAAACTTGGACACGAAAAGAGACTCCCTGCCGGACTTCAATTCGAGCGGAATGTCGGCATGGAGACCGACGCTGCATCAACATTCAGCGCAAAGCCACCTCCACTAACTTCAGACCAGCTGAACTATCTCATATGGAGGTGCGCACGTCTGCTCTTCTCTTTGATATCCCGTGTTTCGACAGGGACTGACGAATTTTCGCAGATATCTTCAAGAGTCAGGTAGGGCCGCGTTCCGGGATCCACCGCTCGCTGCACACCACTGACCGAATCCTAATAGGCTACGCCGAGGCTGCTGTCAAGCTTCAACGCGATTGGAATGTCGAGGCAGAGACCCTCCCATTTGCGAAATGCGTCCAAGGCCACGCCTTGGTTTCTCTGGTGCAAAAGGGTCTCCGCTATCACCACTTATCGCTCACAATTGATGAGGTATTCAAACCCACTCATCTGCGGGTGGAAACTGTGCTCCCGCTAACCCAAATCTAGAATGGCCGGCCCTCGAAACAGCTCGACCCATCCATGTTCTTCTTTGGTCCCGAGAGCGAGAAACCTCCGCGAGAACTGCCCGAGGAAGTCGTTCTTTCAGCACCTTCGCCAAATGGATCTGTCGCTGAGCCCCGAAGACAGCCTCGGGATGGCATTGCGAACGGTCTTCACGAAGCCCTGGCCGCACAGCCGGCCCCCAAACGAGGCCGCAAAACAGCACCCAGTTCGGAACGCAATGGAAGCGTTGCGCGCAAACCTTCAACATCTGCCAATCGACACGGCCATGTCTCCGCGATGGATGTGGATATGCTGAACGGCCACCTCGTCCCCCTTGCCGACGCGAGGTCACCATCTGCCACCGAACCCGCCGTCGACGAGAAGGGCCTACTTATTAATGGTGTGAAGGCTGATGAGCGAATGGATATTGACGAAGAATCACCAGCCGCAGATCACCACAATCACCAACCACATATTGAGCTTGTTCTACCGACCGCTCATACGCTAGTTATGGGGCAAAGCATCGGTATCCAAGTTGCTCCTGCTAAAGTTGCAAACCTTTCGGCATCCACCACCATTCTTCAAATACCTCCCGCTACCGGCCATGAGACATCCAAGCCCGTTACGCGCGTTGCCTGGCGGCCCGGAGACGACAAACTGCTAACAGCCATCGGCGACGACTATTGTGGCTTCTGGAATGTTGCCGATCAAGCTTCAGATACTAGTGGCCCTGCTCGCTTTCAAGAGCTTCTAGAGTCGGGAGAAGGGAGGCTGGTAAGTGCAATGGCCTGGGAGCCGAATGGGGAATTGCTTGCAGTGGCGACATATAGCGATCACTCAACGCAGATCCACTTGTTTGACGGACAAGAACTTTCTATGCTCGAGGCGCTACCAGCCTCGCAAAGGGCGATTACGTCGCTGCTGTGGCACTGTCAAGGCTCACGTCTGCTCGGCATTGCTCCCTACGACTCCGACACTACTGACCCTTCCCAACCCAGTGGTTCTTCTATACTACTCTGGGACCTGTCCAAATTGGACGGCCTTGCCGAACCTTCGACGGTGCTTGTCCCTGAGATTCTGGTTGACGTGGATGGTGCATTTTTTGACGGAGATGGCGTTGTCTGCGCCGCTGGGCAGAACGCTGTCTACTATTGCCGAGCTTTTACAGATGTTGGAGTTGAGCAGAAGTGGACTTCTGATCCCGATGAGGCCGACCAATGGACATTTATCAGATGCGCCTGGCACGGAGAATCGGACGCCATGTTGGTTGCTGCGTCAGCCGAAACCGGGACATTGTGGATGCCCGCCCAGAACATTGTCAAGAGAGGGGCACATGATACACCTATTACGGGTCTAGAACTTCGGCCTCGTTTATCTGGTACATTGAATTCTTCGTGGAGGCAAGAGTTTGCCACTTCTTCCATGGATGGGACTATCAAAGTCTGGAAATGCGACGGAGAAACCACGTCCATCATTTCAATATGCAAACTCATCATTGGGCACGGCTCGCCTGTCATGGCGCTGTCGTATTCTCCTGATGGTTTCTGTTTAGCCGGAGCCAGCTACGATGTCGCTCGCATCTGGAACGCCGAGCATGGCCACAACCTGATGGCAACTTGGAAAGATGAACAAAATATGTGGAAAGGCTCAAAACTGAAAGACGATGACATGATGAGTATGGGCGGCATGTCGAGTGTTAATGGCGATACGATTCAAACGAGTTCTGAGCACACATTGGTATGGGATGGCCAGAGTAAAAGGCTCACCTTTGGCCTGGGATCTCAGGTAAGCATTGTCCCAACTGCCCACCTCAAATCGTGCGGGGCTCACATGTTTCAGGTCGCTCTCATCGAGTTCCAGCGGTGAAAATCTCACCCGCCAGGGCCAGTGTTGACCGAACCCAACAATCCGATGTACTACTAATTTTTATGACCATCAATATCCAGGGTATTGGAGTGGCTACAACAGTCACCGGCACGTGTACTGGATGATTGAATGCCATGGTCAGAGGGAAAACCTGGGTCCGAGAAAAATGAACAGATGAAGCACATTGGAAGCAATGGAGACAAGAACTATTCAAGGTTAGGGAATACCAACTACCCTTGGACACTCATTAATCATGTTCCAGTGGCTGTCTCAAATTCACCCCATTCATTGTCGCTGTCCTCCCGAACAGTCTCAAAACCCTTCGCACGAGCATATTTGCCGGTGCTCTGCGAGGATCTCAACTCCTCCTCCACATCGCGGAACCCTCTAAGCCACGCTGTGACACCCTCCTGTAAGGCCCTTGCGTCGGGAGCACCATCAAGACCATGATAGCCTCCCCCTTCAGCTGGCTCATCCACATAGTACCGTCCGCGAAATCTGCCTCGGCCTCTGGTAACTATTTTCCGTGAACGAAAAGTACGGTCTGGTGTTGGAGAACCATTAATCCATCCTTCCAGACCAGACACTGCACTTGACATGGCTTTGACCGCTGTCTCCTTCTTGGCCGATTCGGATTGAATCTCCCTCAGTTGGATATTGATGTTCTCGTTCTGTTTGGTCAGGTATTGATTCTTCTTCCTGAGGGTCACAATCTCTTCGGCGAACTCTCGCACGCGGCGTTCTTGTTGAATACACCGCTGCGCGATCGCCTCGAGCTTTTCGACCGTCAATTGATGCAGGTGGCGCTGTTCCTGCTGCCTCATGCGCATGGATTCGACAGTGGAAATCAGGTGCGTGCGGATAAGTTCAAGATCGGTGTCTGTGGCAACCGATGTGTGTGGCAGAGGCGAGGACACGGATTGACTTCGGTGCGTCGTCTCAGAATCGCTCTCTTCATTGGATAGCGCTTCCTCCTCCAATGCAGCCTCGATCTCGTCCATGGCTCTCTTAATCTTCCGTCTCTTCTCGCCTCGAATCGCTCCATCCTGTTCACAGGCCCAAATCTCAGAGACCAAGCCATTGAGGCGGTCGGCAATCGCGGAATCGTCATGGGTTTCGTCAGGTTGGAAAGAACTCGACTCTTTCTCGAGGGGAGCCGGCGATCGGGTCCTCATACTAATAGCGGAATCGGCGAAAAGAGAGTTGTTGGTCCAGGCTGAACTGGGTCGGGTTGGAGATGCAGTGCCGGCGTCGTCAGGCTGATTACCGGCGAGCGACATATTTGTTTCGAGTCTGGAGATATTTTGCGACTAGATGATATGTGCGAGCGCGTAAATAGAGGTCCGACTTGGATTACATTATTCTCTCAGGTGTGGTTAAAGTTCAAAGAATGAGCGCAGCCTGCCAGCTCGAGCGGAATACGGGAAGGTTGATTGACTGAGAGATGGGCAAATGCGCATGTGCCGCAGTTGGTGTTTGGGTCGTGGCTGGAGACCGAATGGCTGGAGATCGAGTGGCTGGACAACGGAGGGTGCAGAATGTGCAGAATGCGCAGAATATGGTGGGGAAACTGCGCCTTCAGTTCTGCCGAGGATGTGCCGAATACAGCCAGTGCAGACAGCGGTGACTCCTCGACTGCGTATTCCATCTTCCTCTTGCTTACCGCAACTCCTCCTGTACCTCGTCAGTTGTGCAAGCACTCGTCTCCGAGAAATACCTTGTCATCAATGGCGGGCCTGAAGATCTGACGGTTTCGATCCGATATGTTCTATTTGTCGACCGAAATTGCATAATATCCCACGGCCTCTGGTGATTACTCCCATGGTACTTCTTGCTCACACGACTCTTTCCACCATTTTCCATGGCTCACATATTCCAGGCGAAAGTTCAACCTTCCCTTGAGGAGGTCTCCTCTATCCTCTCAAAATCTCGAACCTCCAAATTCCCTCCGAATCTGGTGCCCTTATGCGCTCAAATCCCCGCCGACCTTTTTACTCCCACACAAGCATATCTAAAAGTATCAGAGGGTTCCAAACTCTCGTTCCTGTACGAGAGTGCTGCAACTACAGGGACGATCGGGCGGTACAGTTTCGTTGGAGCGAACCCTCTCAAAGTCATCGCATCCGGCCCAGGCCATGGACCAGAAGAAGATCCCCTTCCACGTCTCGAGCAGGAGCTTTCACAGTACAGAGTCGCGACTGTGCCCTCCCTTCGACTTCCACCTTTGACTGGAGGAGTCATTGGATATGTTGGTTATGATTGTGTCCGATACTTTGAGCCCAAAACAGCCCGGCCTATGAAAGACGTTTTGAAGCTGCCCGAGAGCTTCTTCATGCTCTACGACACAATCGTTGCGTTTGATCATTTCTTCAACGTCTGCAAGGTCATTACATACCTGCGGGTACCGTCATCGGAGTCACCCCTTGACCTGCAGCCAGCGTATCAGAAAGCATGTGGAACGCTGCACCGGACGATCTCCCTGCTACAGGCGGAACACATACCTCTGCCCCACCAACCGCCCATAGCTCTGAATCAGCCGTCAAAATCGAATTTTGGCAAGACAGGATATGAGGCGCACGTCACACGGCTTAAGAAGCATGTGTGCAAAGGAGACATCATTCAAGCCGTTCCTTCCCATCGGATATCCCGACCCACGACTCTGCATCCGTTCAACATTTACCGGCACTTGCGAACTGTCAACCCATCGCCGTACCTGTTCTATATCGACTGTGCGGACTTCAGCATTGTTGGCGCGTCGCCAGAACTGCTTGTAAAAGAAGAAGCCGGCCGGATCATAACCCATCCCATCGCCGGCACAGTAAAGCGAGGTCAATCTCCTGAAGAAGACGAGCGTTTAGCTGAGGAATTGAGCAACAGCATTAAAGACCGTGCTGAACATGTGATGCTAGTCGACCTGGCCCGCAATGACATCAACCGCGTCTGTGACCCATTGTCTACCCGCGTTGACCGACTCATGGTCGTGGAGCGATTCAGTCACGTCCAGCATTTGGTCAGCCAAGTCTCAGGCGTATTGAGAGAGGGCGAGAATCGCTTTACCGCTTTTCGAAGTATTTTCCCTGCCGGCACTGTGTCGGGGGCGCCAAAAGTGAAGGCCATGGAACTCATTGCAGAACTCGAGCAGGAAAAACGTGGTGTATATGCCGGCGCGGTGGGCTATTTCGGTTTCTCTCGCGTGTCGCTCGACGGATCCAAGGTCGAGGACGAAGGTGCGATGGATACTTGCATCGCGCTACGCACCATGGTAGTGAAAGACGGCGTTGCATACCTACAGGCCGGTGGGGGAATTGTCTTTGACAGTGTCGAAGAGGATGAGTGGATCGAAACAATGAACAAGCTGGGAGCAAATATTAGGACTATTGAGGAAGCAGAGAAAAGGTATCTAGAACTAGAAAAGCTTGGAAATGGGAAATCGAGCGGGCAGGAAAATGGTGTCGCCATATAGACCAAGTGTACATTTAAGCTTCAAAATGCCACAGAGTTCACGGCGATTCCATCATTGGCGAAAATTCAGAAGAGAGCATCGCTCGTACCGAGGACTTCAACGCAGAATGGCAAGGCTGAGGATTGTGTGTCGCCTCGGGACCGGATAATTATTTTTACTTACTGACTAAACCGCATACGGACCAACAGAAGAAAGCTTGGCAAGAATTCGCACAGAGGAAATTATCATCACCTTTTCTAGGTTTATTGACCCTGCACTCAAGAGCGTCTACAGCCAACACTTCTCTCTTACCCTTCGACAATTCTCAAACGCTGATACCTGTCAAGGCTTTGATCAGTCTTGACGGTCCTCATCAGCCATATTGTCGACAAGATGAAGTTGAACATTTCGTACCCGGCCAATGGGTCGCAGAAACTTGTCGAAGTCGAAGATGAGCGCAAGCTGCGCGTCTTCATGGAGAAGCGCATGGGCAACGAAGTCCCCGGTGACAGCTTGGGAGATGAATGGAAGGGCTATGTATGGTCACCTTGTCATCCTTGCTCTTGATATGTTTTGGATGAAGGGCACTGACGAGCTTTTGCGCGACAACAGATCTTCCGCATCACCGGCGGTAATGACAAGCAAGGCTTTCCCATGAAGCAGGGTGTCGTACGTACTGCCGTCCCTTAGCTTGGTGAAAGCGCCAGCGAATCTTGACAAAGAATCCTCGCTGAGACTTGTTCATAACAACAGATGCTCCCTACTCGTGTCAAACTCCTCCTTGCCGACGGCCACTCCTGTTACCGACCTCGACGAACCGGTGAACGCAAGCGCAAGTCCGTCCGTGGCTGCATTGTTGCTCAAGATCTTTCTGTTTTGGCTCTTTCCATCGTCAAGCAGGGCGAGGGTGAGATTCCCGGTCTCACTGATGTGGTCAACCCCAAGCGCCTCGGTCCCAAGCGTGCCACCAAGATTCGAAGATTCTTCGGCTTGAGCAAGCAAGATGATGTCAGGTATATGCCTCCATACAATCTCCTCGGCATTACACCGCCACCCGCTAACACTGTTGTTTGACAGGAAATTCGTCATTCGTCGCGAAGTCGTCCCCAAGAAAGAGGGCGCCAAGCCATACACCAAAGCCCCCAAGATCCAGAGACTCGTCACTCCCCAGCGCATGCAACACAAGAGACACCGCATCGCCCTGAAGAGAAGACGCGCCGAGGCCGCCAAGGATGCTGCGAACGAGTACCATCAGCTGCTCGCTAAGCGTGTGCATGAGGAACGTGAGAAGAGAACCGAGTTGAGGAAGAGACGGGCCTCCTCGATGAGGAAGGAGTAGACGGTGCAAAATGTGCCGGCAAGATACCGTTTCCACAACAGCTTCATGCACACTACACCAGACAACTCATGGAAGTCGAACAATGTCAGCTCGGGTTATTGGAGACGAGGTCTGATATGATGTTTACGGCAGATCAAACAGCATGAAATGTTGTCCAACAGCCCAATGGTTTTAGGACTAGGGCTAGGGAGAAGAATGGGAGAGTGTGGATTGTGGTGTGGTGTCACGGAGCGATCGATGGAGAATCAAAGACCAAGGTCCTGTCTTGCAGGCGCCGTCGGAGACATAGATCAGGTGAAAAGCGCAGCTTGCCAAAAGAAAAGACGTGACCTGCCATCTGCTACTCTCCGTCCCCTCGTGCCTGTTCTGCCCTTTCTTTTTCTTCACACTTCACTTCGGCCTACAGACACGTATGCAAACCTACTCTCGAGCGTCTCATTCTTCCGAAGACTCGATTCCAGTTCAGCGCCCAGTTCTACTCGGGGGTTTGCCGCCAAGTCCCTGTGTTCGAATTGCTTGACCCCAAAGTGCCCCGCCAACCAGAGGTCCTGGTTTGTGCGCCGCCCGAGTCAGTTTCGCGGGGGATCCTTATCCGTCGCCGTCAAATTTTTCGGTTCACGTTGACTTTTTAGCCCTATGCCAGACTTAAATGTTCCTCCTGCCCTCGCTGCCGCTCTCCAGAATGCATCTTCGGTGACCGCATCTCCTCAAAACTTCGCTGAAGCCATGGCGTCAAACTCCATCAAGCTCCTGACTGGAAACAGTCACCCCGAGCTGGCGCATGCCGTCGCAAGAAGGTATTTGCTGCGTCCCACCATCTCTAGGATGCGGCGTCAGGTCATCTCCTGAGAAGCTGACTCCTCGTTGCCGTGTCTCAGGCTAGGTATCGAGCTCGTCAAGATCATGGTTTTGCAATATTCGAACCAAGAGACCAGTGTCACCATCGGCGAATCGGTCAGAGATGAGGATGGTATAGAATCCCTTCACTGCGCTCCTGTGTTTGCACAGCACCCCCCATCTGTACTCGGGTTGTATCTCCAAAAGCCTAATGCATGGTAAAACAGTCTTCATCCTTCAATCGACCCGGCCGAATGACATAAACGACGGCCTTATGGAGCTCCTCATCATCTGCAACGCTTGCAAGACCGCCTCCGCCCGTCGGGTCACGGCGATTCTCCCGAATTTCCCCTACGCTCGACAAGACAAGAAGGACAAGTCGCGTGCTCCGATCACGGCCAAACTCATGGCAAACATGCTCCAAACAGCGGGTTGCAACCATGTCATCACGATGGACCTGCACGCTTCACAAATCCAAGGCTTCTTCAACGTGCCCGTGGATAATCTCTACGCGGAGCCGAACAGTGTCAAATGGATTCGAGAAAATCTCATGCATGCGAGCGAGTCAGGCGTGGAGATGAATGGACCCAGACAGGAGTGCGTCATTGTAAGTCCCGACGCTGGGGGTGCAAAGAGAGCTACATCCATGGCCGACAAACTCGATTTGCCCTTCGCTTTGATCCACAAAGAACGATCTCGACCAAATGAAGTCTCACGCATGACCCTGGTCGGTACGGTGAAAGACAAAGTTGCCATTGTGGTGGACGATATGGCAGATACCTGTGGCACGCTTGCAAAGGCCGCCGATACGCTGATCAAGCACGGTGCCAAGGATGTTGTGGCGCTGGTCACCCACGGTATCTTGTCGGGTAAAGCCGTCGAGACTCTGAGAAACTCGGCACTGAGTCGCTTGGTCATGACAAACACTGTTCCGGTCAGTGAGGACAAGATCGAAGGTCTCCGGGTGCCCGAAGGCCAGAAAGGGTGTAGGCTGGAGTTTATTGACATTGCGCCCGTTCTTGCCGAGGCCATCAGACGGACTCATAATGGTGAAAGCGTGAGTTATCTGTTCAACAACCCGGTGTCATAGCATTCAGGCTATAAGTTGAACATGGGACGGCGTCGGCAACAGTCGTGGCATGGATGGATGGAGCGTTCTGGAACTCGTCGACTGCCGATGATTTGAGATGCTAGCGACGATGAGTGCTGCTGAACGCCTGAGACATCAAAGCTTCCATCTCCCTGAAGACGTTGATGCCCCGATGAATTACCTATCTCAGCAAGTGTGGAAGCCAGTACCTACCTTTCGATCGCTTCGGAGACAGAAATTTCCAAGGCCAGCATCTGAATGGATTTGCCGAGAGACTCTGATCAACAATATTCGAATTCAAACTTGTACCTTCCCGAGGTGATTTGAACCAGAAAAAATAAACACTAAGGGCCGCTGTCCCTTCCCGACCTGGACATCCTGCCCTGGCTCAACGGGTCCTCGTTCGCTCGAGTTGGTTCACAGCACTGAGAGCGACAATCGTACAACAACGATCCACTCCTTGAGTCCGGGGCAGGAGTGTACGCAGAGGGTGTCAGAGAACCAAATGGGAACGGTCTCGACTTGAGCAGAAGGCGAACAGAGGGAGAAGTAATTGGGAGGTGCAGGACATGTAGATGCTCTGATGATATGTATGTGTTCCGTGGACGGGTAATTTAGACAGATTCGAGTGCTTCTGGCTTCTTAGTAGGCATAGAAGATGACTGTACAGGTTTCAAAGATAGTCATTTGAATTAATAGAGGCATCAGAGGTACAGAATATTATGTTAAGGGGGCATGTCCGTTGAGAATGATCCCATCCAGCCCATCCATCCCATCCATCCCATCACTAACAAGAGGCTACACCAAGCGGCGAAAGGGGTTCAGCCAGCCACAAAATAAGCCCTTGCCAAGGCAGAAAGTCGAGAGCTTTGCTGAACTTCGCCTTCATGAGGTACCTCGTACCTCGTACCTATTTGTCAACTTGGAGTTTTCCCCAAGGTCCTCCTGCCCGCTCGCTATTACATGCACCACAAGTCAACGGAGGGAGAACTCGCTTACATACTTTGTTCAAGCTCACAGAAAGAGACGCCACACAAGAACGTCGAGAAGTCTACCTAAATCTCCACTCTACCGCCCGCAGTCAGTCCTATTACAACGGGTCACAGTGAGGCACAGTACCGGGTAGGGGATGTTCCCTCCTAGAGAATCTGTTTATGCTCATCCTTCAATTGCGCTCCCATGGCCGTCTTCACCCTGGTCGCACTCCTTTATTCACGCAGCGAGAGTTTAAGTGAGACTTGAGCGCAGTGATGGGTGCGTGCCAGAACGGGAAGTTTAGCGCACGCGACAGAGCTCTTCTGGGTATTAGCTGGGATCTGGTTTTTTTTTTTGGTTTTTTTTTTTTTTTTCATTCATCTAGCAGGGGCCTCGACCTTGGAAAGATCCTTGACCTTCCTCTTCAAGACGGAGGAACTAGATGGGGCAGACGGGGCCAGCAGAACCGAGGAACGCCTGTCTATCCTAATGCCTTGGATCACAAGGTTCTCCAGGACTCAATGGCCAGATCCATCCCACAATCAGCCCCAAGAGTCGCCGTATTGGTGGCACCAACAAACATATGCGTGGGAAGTTCAGCCGCTGGGTAGGCTGAAGCCACCAATGAAGATCACTCGTCGTTCAGAAATTGAGATCGACATGGGATTTCGAGACTCCCATAGCTCTCCAGAATGCCGATGCCGGTCGCGGTAAGGCTGAGCTTTAAAAAGCTACCCTAAGCACCTCTCTTCTATGTTGTCTCTTCAGCATTGTAGGTTGAGAGAAGTCCCTGTTGTCCTGGTTTTTGTTTGTTTTTGTCAGCATGAAGTCCGATCTACTCTTGATCTCTTGCTTGGTTGCGCCTGTCGCAGCGGCAGGGTCGGTGTGCTCTAGTGGAATCTACGGATTGCTCGCGCCTCTCAGCGGATATGCTCCCGCTCAGTCTTATTGTTCCAGCCACTATCCACCGTCCACGGTGGTTACTACTGTGACACTGGTCAGTTCAGCTCCGGTTAAGGTCAAGAGATACGCAAAGACCACGACGACAAAAACTACGACAGCAAAATCGACCACAACCTCCACAAAGTCTCCTTCCACAACCTCTACAAAGCCATCGACAACATCCGTCGATCCCAAAGCTGCACTCTTCTCAACCTTGTTATCCGAAGCAGGTGCAATAGTCTCAACTCTCTGCTCCTGCATTGAGAATATACCTACCAGCACGGTGGGTTGACTCCCAACGTGACATGAGTGCTTGAAACTGACTCTCGGTTTTTAGAAAACAATAACACCGACGACGACGACGACGACGACGACGACGACGACAACAACAACAACTACAACAACTACAACAACTACAACTACAACTACAACGACATTCATGATTCCAACGACTACCCCCGCGACAACGACCACAACTACAACAACGGTAAAGATAAATCCAGCGCCCTTTCTTATGAGCATCAAAGCTGACTTCCACAGACGGCCACCGCAACCACCACTTCTTCGTCCACAAGCGCTGCTCCATCCCCTGTCTGCTCAGAGTAAGAATACTCCCGCTCACTCCTCCAGCACTCACCCCATACAAACAACCTCCCATCCCTTCTTGATGCTCTGCATCATGTCGACATCCAAGCTATCCTCAAACAATTCGCGAGGCCCCAGCACCGTCAACTGACTTTCCTCCTCAGGAACCTTGAAGCCTGCACCGGCAGCTTCGACTGCATAAGCCTCGACGGCGTGACAGATTGCAGCTGCTATCCGCGCGTTTCGGGCTGCGGAGCCGGAGACGGCGTCTGTCTCCCGACAGACCAGACGGGAAACAACACGCCCTGCACCGACGACTCGGACTGCCTGCTGCTGTCCTACTGCGTACCTAGCGCCAGTGGCTCCTTTTGCTACGCCCCATTCCCGGCCTGCGTCGGCGAGGCTCCTGCGAAGCGCATGTTCCGCAGAGACCAGGATGGTATGAGCAAGGCGAGGCACCGGAAGAGGGATCAAGACACGGTGCTCTGATCTGACCTACTGATCTCACTGGCCTCACGCGTACTGTGTGAGCTTATGTATGAAGGTGAACGAGTACTGGCGGCCACACCAGAAACAGAAACTCAACAGTGAGTGATCTAGTAAGTGGGGTCCAGCTATTCCTTTACGACAACGACTTTGTTTGCCAGAAGTAAAATATATTTATGTTGTCGTACTTGTATTGATAACGAAAAGCTCTACCCGTACAGGCTGCATGTGATGCCACACTCCCTGCAGGCCCTCTAGTGAGCCCACCAGAGGGTCGGCGCTTGAAACACTGAGAAGTGGCATACGCAGATGGCTAATTGACAGCATTTTGTCTATCCTGATTCCTGAGAGATGTCTGTCTATCTATCTGCCCATTTCAGCGGTTCCCATTCCTGTTGACACATGTAGACATTTGGCCTGTGTCTAGGTAGAGAGGGCCATCCCTGAACACTCCGTATCAACGTCATCCATGACGGTGTCGGCCTGATCAAGATAGTCATGACATCTCTTGGTCTGTGCCATTGCCCCGTCTGTACGCGGGGCATTGATCGCAAGTTGCCTTGTTGCCCTGTCGGCTGTGCCCCTGCTATGCTATGCACCTCTCTCTCCCCTCCGCAATTTTTCATCACATGTGTTAGTTCTTCCTATTCCTGGCCAAAGTTGTATGGGTTTCTTCTCCACTTATCATCACGCCGAAGATGGCAGGACCTACGGGCCGGCCCACTGCCGTGCTCTTCCCGTCTTTTGCCGAACAGTGATGATGGCCTTACTCGGTTGCGAGGCGACAGGCCTCGCCTTGGAGCCGCCGGATGCCGGCTTACCAATGCCCATGTCGCCGTGTATGACCGTGCCTCTCGCAAACGACAGGCGCTATGAAGATGAATCGCACCCCATGTGATTAGAAGGAGAAGATGTGGTCCTGACCAACGGAAACGTGCTCGACAGAGACTGGTGGCGAAACCCACCTCTTCATTTCCTCGATCACCGCGGAGCTCTGCTTCGGGGCCATAGGCTCGGTGACTCTTGCGCGCTTAGGGTGGGAGGCGAACCCAAGAATCAGAACGTCGTCATCACCCTCGTCAGAAGATTCCACTGGGTACGGGGCCGAAGGTCCGTTCCTGACGAGATACGCGGCGTGGACGAGCGTGGGCATACCGATTCGCGACGGGTCCATTTGCACCTGGTACCATTCGTCCTGAGTTTGTTTCCACATTGAACGGTATTCCTGGGTCGCCTCGGGTTTGAGTGCGATAATCTGCTGCTCAATATCTTTCGCTTTTTGTTGTGGTGTTGGTGGTAAGCGTCCTCGCCAGCGCTGCAGGGGGAAGTCATAGCCCAGCGGTTGAGGCAGATTGCGGACGAATCGGTCCCAGGATCCCGTAAGAAGGCATGGGTTTCTTTGATGAACAGCTACCATGAACATTCGGCCCGATCCAACCCTATGTCAAAGGTATGGTGGCGGTACTTGACAAGACCTACCGATAGTATTGTCTTGTCAGTGATGACTAGGGTCTCCTCCTGCGGGCCAGCAAACAGCAGCTTACAGATTCATACTAAAAGTATGCCAACTCCCCGACGCTGTTGACTGTCTGATGCAGCCGAAGTCTCTGCCACCCAGATGCCGTGCTGCCATGCCCCTGAAAAAGGGGGATTCCGTCCATCCGAAGACCCTTTGCGTCCCATACGATGTTCACTCCTAGAGTGCAACAAAAATGGAAGAAAAACAGGCTCGACCGGCGCGACCGCGAAGTTGCTGATTTATATATAGGTTGATTGCATCAAGTTAGGACAGGTGCAGAATGAGCTTCCCGTACAGTGGGCTGTTTGTGGAAGGAAGTGCGGACACAGCCCTGACTGGCTTCGAAAGAACTTGGTCGTAAGAGATGTTGGTCACTAGACAAGCTTGCTGGTTGTGAATTTTGGGCATTTTGGGCATCTGGGGCATCTGGGGCGATGTCCTTTTGCATGCCGCAGAGAGAGTGGTTTCTGATGCCTCTACTAGTGAGCGGCCTGGTAGGTCCGGTGTTTGATCTGCTAGAGAAACACCCTTTGGGCTTTGCTGTCAATACCAGCTTCTTCGATCCGGTGTTGGGACACAATATTGTCGGTTGACGCCAGCGCATTGGCAGTGAGATTGTGGTTGGGAGCTCATGGAGTTGAGCAGCAAGGTTTTGGCACAGGTGGTGAGGACGCCAGTCTCATGAGGTCGTTGAGAAAGGGAACGATGCCGACGCAAACATTCATCGGAAGATCATTGGCGTGTCCTCTGGGTTCACGCGTCGATCCTGTGTAACGCAAGCACTTCACCGCCTTTGCTTGTCTGCGCGGACTTGGGTCTTGTGTATGAAAGAGACAGACTCCGGTAAAAATGATTGATGAGCAAGGTAAGAGTGATGGTATTGGTTTGACAGAAGGTTGAGAGTTGAGTGGGTGAGATCCACAGACAGAGACTGCAAGATAAGCTGAAGGAGAAAAGAAAAGAAAGAGAAGGAAAATCAGAGAGGCCTTAAATAGGAGGAAGATGCGCGATTGAGTCTGTGGCTGACTGGCCGCGAGTGCGCAGTAAAGAGTCCATTGTGAAGGGCAGCACCCCTGTGACTGCTCCTGATAACTTGATCTTAACTACAACCTCACAGAACGGATCCTCGATTCACTCATACTCTGGTTCCAGCTTTGTCTCGCGGACCCAGATGAGGGACCATGAACCATCTATGCCCGCGTGTTTGTCGTGGCGGATAGCTCCTCCTGGTCGACTACCGATCCAGCTCCATCGAAACCCAGCAAGGCTCCCTACCAGCCAACCAGGGGAGACATTACCTAGGTATAAGATTATGTCTTTCGATGATTGGTATGCCGCAATGGCGCTTGTGGCAACGAAAATTCTTTGCACAAACTGCAGACCCAAAGAAGCCAACGCCTGTCTATGAAACACTCCGACAGACAGCAGGAAGACCTATACAACCTCGATGCCTGAGAATGTATTTGAACAGGCGCTATGAGCAGAGAAATAACATCTGTGTCTCCTATCTTGGCCGCTCGAGTGGCTGTCAAAATTCTGGCAGGCCCTCGCAAGTCGACGGAATGCGGTTTGCACACATTTCAACAAAGGAATGTGACAGATGGCACAACACAAAGGATCGGTTTCGGAAAGCGTTCAGCCATTCGCCGGTCATTCATTTCCAGCTTCGCCCCTTCGGTCATCTCAGAAGTCAAATCCCGACAGCTGGCTGTTGGGCTACAGGTTGTCAATCTCTTCTGGTGCGAATCGAGAAGTCTTCTTAGCGGAATGGTTGTTCCATCTTTTCCCTACATCAAAGCCCCGAAAATTGTGTCCGTGGCGACTAATTGAACTACCCGGCTTTTTGTGGTGGCCTTCCCTTCGTTCCGGACTTGAGCAATGGGAGATGCTTCAAGGTGGGGAGATAGCGCCGAGGGAGGTTTCCGTGTCCACAAAGCTATCACTGAAGGTGAGATTATTGTTACCCGAACATGCCAGAGGTCAACAATATTCATGTCCGCATTTGCAGTCATGCCGCCAGGAACGAAGGTGTTGTCCGCGGAGGCTTATGGCACATCTAACTGGGCAAAGACGGCAAAGCTCTCGGTCGTTCTACCCGATGGGAAACGAAAGAGATTTTTCTTGAAGGTGGGTTTCTCTCTACTATGTTAAGTGATGATCCGCGCCAACGGCTCACTGGTATCGAGCAGTGCGCCAAGGGGAAAGGGGCTCGAGCCTTGGCTGAAGGCGAATATCACTCTGCATCTGCCATCAATGCTGTAGTACCCGGATTGGTGCCCAACCCATCAGGATGGGGCGAGTATGGCGTGGACGGATCACAAGTGTATTTCTTTCTAGGAGACTTCCACGACATGGAGCTCTCTGCGCCTCCAGAACCGGTCGACTTCACGGCTCGAATAGCGGAAATGCATCGAGGCACATCTCCAAATGGGATGTTTGGATTCCCGGTCCCCACAGTGGTCGGCGTTATGGAACGTACAGTGACCTGGGAAAAAAGCTGGGCCAAATCTTTCACCCATCAACTGAAAGACGTCATTAGGTACGACAATGAGACAAACGGTCCGTGGCCGGAATATGATGCAGCTTGCCGCCAGCTTATCGAAGTCGTTATCCCACGACTGTTGGGAGCGTTGCAGTCAGATGGCCGTGACATTGTGCCGGCGCTGGTGCACGGCGACTTGTGGGAACAGAATGTCGGGATAGACATGGGGACGGGCAACACAATTGTCTTCGATCCTAGATGCACCTATGCCCATAATGAGATGGAGTTTGGCACATGGAGATGCTCCTGGGCGTTTCACTTCAATTCTCCAACATACATGCGCCTTTACCAACAACATATCCAACCCTCAGAACCGGTGGAGGAATGGGACGACCGCAACCGACTGTACAGCATCCACCCCTACTTGACCGACTCGGCCGGACATCCAGGGAGTATGTCGAGGGAATTGTAAGTCTCGACCCCCCCTCAACCTGGAAGGGAAATGACTAAACAGCGTCTACAGAGCCTACAACGAGATGCTGTACCTGTGTGAGAAATATGGCCCTCTCGAATCACTTGAGCGATACGACCCCGAGAAGGACATCAGTGTCACCGGCGCATATACCCCGTTCGTCATAAATCAGCTCGATGAAAACCAGGATCGCATTCAAACTATAGAGGCAGTTAGGTAATATTATAGCTAAGAATAGGCATGTTGAGAGACTATTAAATGGGTACTCAAGACGGAAGGGGCTAGATTCGGCTCCTAGACTTAGCTCAGGGAAGTGCTTAGGGAATTACTCAGGGACACCTTCACCTTCGCCGATAGCGACCCCTCTGAATTCGAGTCTCCACAAATTTGCGAAGAGGCGAGTGTAACAAATCTAGAAGCTGAGGTTGATGATCTCGTACATGGTGGGCAGGTCCCTGATTCCGGCATAGTTCTTCGTCCCCGCAGACACTCCAAGGCATGCCACAAAGAGTAGTATTTCATCCTTCCGTCTGGCTCTCATCATTCCTGACCCATGAATTCGTTTGCTCATTGTATCGAAAGCCACCTTGTGAGAGAGCCCACTCCCATTGTAGCCAAAGTCCTTCCGCTCTTGCGTAGTCGCTTGGAGATAAACCTCGACTGTCGCGAGAGTTCGGGCAGCATCCCGCTTTCAACAACGCTAGCAGCTTGAGCCGTATCCGTGCTCTGCACATCCACGGCGGAGGCTCTGAATCGGAGGTTTCTGGCATGTTGAAGTCGTCAACGTCCCTTTCCTCACAGCAGTCGAAGAGTGCCGCGTCTGTGTCACCGCAGTCCTCAAATTGAATCGACTGACTTCCTTTACCGCACCAGTAACATCCTGTCGACCATAGCAAACTGTCAGAGTCATCGGAGAGAGCACTGCTGTCATGGGCGGTAGATGCCACATTAGACTCGTCGCCGATATTGTTACCACCATCATCAGAAGGTAGCGCTTCTTGCATCTTGTTGTCATCATCCTTGAAACTGAAAGATCTGCAAACTTCCAGAAATCCTTCTTCAAAGACTCGAAGAGAACCGGAGGCACAAATGAAGAGCGCCTCGTCCTTGATCGTCGAAGGCACGTATGTTTGCACCTTCGGCCAGGAGGAGTTCCAGTGCTGTCAAAGGCTGTGGTCCAAGATTGAATGTTGCGTAAAGCAGAGGCGTTTCCCCTCTTTCGTCTTGAGCTTCCTTGTCGTACCCAGCGCGGAGGAGCTCTTTCAACGCAGCTGCGACCTGGCATCTTGTGATATCCGTACGGCTTCAGCCACTTAGCCTGACCAGAGGCATACTCGGATTTTTGGGAAGAGATTCTCCGGCAAGACATCAATTTGCGATAGCAAGCTCTGTCATGGAACAACATTGATTGAGATTGGTTATATTCCTCATTGTAAAGTATGCGTGCTCACATTCGGTTTGGATTGTAGCTTCTGTATAATAGCTCCAAATGGCATCAATGAGATTGTATATACCGTGAAGACTGGAGATCTGAATCAGTTTCATTGACTCGTAGAAAGGATGAGGATGGGATTGGTACCATTCATATTGGTCTGTGCTTGCTCCCCCTTCCAGCAGCAATCGAAAGGTCTCTGAGCAACCTGAAAACATGGCATATTATTGCCATTGTCAGGACCGCCGAATCTAACTATCGAAAAGGTCTTAAGCCTACGTAGTGTGTTGCCTTTTGGGTCGACATCCCGTGGGGAGGCTTTCTCCTATCAACCTTCTCACACCATCCAGATCGTTCATCGCCACGCAGCTGATGATTTCGGAGCCCAAGGGAACGATATTGAATGCTTGGATTGAGGTGTAGATCGGAAGTCGTTGAGAGCTCCTGGAAATAGTGGGCATGGCAACTAAATGCCGGTTTCTGCATGACTGCCGCTCCCTGGAATGACGGAAATAGCGATGAAGTTCCCTGAATCATCTTCGTCACTGTCTGAGACTTTCTTTGGCATCCGACGCAGCTGTATTCGAAATGCTCCACCAGTCGTACACCACGTGCTGATATCACAAGAGCTGATGAGTGTGGTGCATGTGCTTGTAGGTCTGCCGTCGTTCAATACATTCCGGGCCTGAATTTGTGACGTCTGCTCTTTGTATTGGTCGCTTCTTTGCGAGAATGAATGAATGTCGATGCAAAATGACCGACGAGATGCTCTTTGCTGCTGAACCATCTTTACTGCAGCCTCATATGCCCAAACGGCAATGTCGTCTGCTTTAGAAAGTAAGCCCTCGCTGTTTATCTCAGTAAGTAACTCCGATTTGCCCGTGCCACGCGATGTGATGTGTTTGTTTCGGAATGTGTCATCTTGGAGGCGATGGAGCAGATCCCGCATCATCTGTACAGAAGGTATAATACTCTCAGGATTCGTGACGTAGAAGGTGATTTTATTCGAAAGAGACATCGGCTCAAGGTCATAGCTCGGAGGGATCTGGTGGTTATGGGATAAAATAGCTGGATCGCGATTAAGAAGTGTCGAAAATGGTGAACTAAAGTCTGAGAAGGGAACAGGAATAGGCAGCTTCGGATGTGATGCTGGGATGCTTGGGTCGTTTACGAAAACTGGCCTGAAAGAAGCTAGGGATACGTCGATGGGGTTATTGATGTTGTTTTCCAGTGGCTCCGAGAAAAAGGACGAGTCAAAATCATATTATGTCTTGGAAGTGAATGATGCAGGAGAGTGAAGAGGCAACGGTTCTTCGATGTAGTTAATGTGCGCGAGATTGACATCCCAGGGCCGTTGGCTCCCACCGTTCTGAGGCCAAAGCATTCCCAAGTGTGCTTGGTTCGGAGCGAATGTGATACGCTGTTCATTAGTTATGAAGGTAGATGTTTCCTCGAAGGGACTACGCCGGGGAAGACTTGGGTGGGTCGAGCTTGAGAAGGCGTTGTCGATTCCGGAGCTTTGAATAATAGATGGACTTGGAAGTGAATTTATAAGTGGATTCTGCTGTGATGATGCGTTTGGACTTAAGACTCGAATGTAGGAGGGAAGCCCTATAAATACCTGGTCAATGTTGGCGGGCAGACACATGAGCAATAAGACTCACTAGCAATGGGCGAGGTTGGGATTTCGAATCTCTTTCTCTTTTCTGCACGCGACAACTTCTCCTCAGCCACAGAGTGCCCGTTGTACATGAACTCTGTCGACTTTCCATCTTTTTCGCGTTTTCTCTTAAAATGCCAGCATCTTTTGCATATCTGTGCTGCTGAGATTTTTTTTGCTGCCCCATTTCTGCAGTATCTGCTTGAGCTGCTTTTCACTTTCTGTACGGTGAGCATGGGCTAGTTGAGACTGACAAGGTCTGGCAGACTCAATGGCTACTTACGTAACGGGAAACCCATTTTGACTCAGTCTCTCAACCACCGCCTTTCTTGAATTGCCTTGCTCCAGGTAGAGTTTCTCTATTTCCGGGCGCAAGGCTTCCCATTCTTTGTTTCTGATGCGACGTGCTCGGGGATTAGAAGGTTGTTTAGCTTGGTGGGTTTGAGACGCATCAGCCATTCTTGACATTACCAAGACGCAATGACACCCGAAAATGTTGAAGAAACCGGCCTTGATGATGGATGATTGCCGGGTGACGAAATCATTTCCGCCAGGCTGAGGAGAGACTGAGATGCAGCCAAATGTGGCGGCTAGCTACATCGGGAAAGCGCGGGACAAGTGGTACCCAGTACATATGGAAATGCCAATAAGAGGCGATAGATGGTACCCAGTACATACTGGGTAAAGAAGGGCCAATCACAGTCCAAGCTCTTCCCAGGGAAGCTAAGGGGAGGTGCATGAGCCACGGTCGACGATTGGTGGGTGGGTTTTCACGTGACTCTTTGCATCGTTCGATGCCACATTGAATTATATAAGTAATAGAGAGAAAAAGAAGCTCAAAAAGTAGGTCCTGTGGCCCAATGGCAAGGCGCTTGACTACGAATCAAGAGATTGTCGGTTCGATCCCGACCAGGATCATTTTTTTTTCCAGTTGTCTTTAATTCTATCATGTGGTATCGGCCAGACATGCACCTGCGTGCTCTCTCAATTCAATAACTACTGTGTACACTATAGCCAATTAATCAATTTATTCAGTTGATTCGCGCGTTGGTTCGCTCAGGCTGCTCTATGCTCGCCCCTAGAAGACCTGCGAGCCTGCGAGCCAGGCGGGGACCTCCGCTGATTTAGGTTTTTCCTTCTTCAATAGGAGAAGTGTCGGACAGCCGGATTGGGCTAGTGGACTCGGCAAGGCCACCAAGGCCGCCAGCCTCGCTCTGTCATCAACAACCCCACCGAGAACCGTAGAATTACCGATCCTAGAAGAGGATGGACGGCATCTCTGACGTCCCCCCTTTTCCGCCGTGCTGACCACTGACCAGATCTCACCTTCACTTCCATGGGCTCCGCATATAGGGCTGCTTGGGGGCAGAATGACCGAACCTAAACTCAAGGAAGGCTGAGAGGTCAAGACAGGCTGGCCCGTCATGTTCATCACTTACAATGACCTGGATGACATGCGCGACTCCCGCAAGCGCTCGCAGATCAACGCATACGTCAATCGCGGTCGAAGGGTCAACAAAGTCAAATCCTCTGCACAACGACAGTCACGCCCACCACTTCAATGGCAGGCGCGACCTCCTATTCGAACCTCTGCTCCCATCAAGGTCGAGCCAGAGCTATTGGAAGAGGCCAAAGACATCGCCAACATTCGAGAGCCGAGAGTTACCGAGGAAATTATTTACGCCTTGCTGAAAAGGCGACGTCTCCCAAGAATATCGCTCCAACATACCCTGGGTGGCCTTCGGAGGGATCCCTTCGCATCATTTCCCATCCCTCAGTCTGGACAGGTTGAATGGGCGGCCGATTTTTGTGAGTACTAATCCGGCAAGGTATTGTCGTCGGGACAGATTCCTCATCCTTTTTGCTTGCCCCAAGCTAACGCCTGCTCAACTGTCAGTCCTCCAAGATTATGCCACCATGAATGCATCGCTGTATTCCGACGGAGCAGGAAAGAATTGGCTCACAGGCACGCTTTTCCCACTGGCCCTGCAATCCGACATGCTCTTTGAAGCACTCATTCTTTCCATGGCAAGATATTCCCAGCCTGCCAGCACCAACGCCCTTGTGCCGGGCGGTGTTCACTTCGCACATCTCCGTTCGAGTGTTCTTGGGAAACTCCATCGGACTCTTTCTCAGGACAAGGAGATATCGACTTCGGACACGACCATCCACACCGTGATATGTTTGATAGCTGCTGACGTTGGTTGATTCTTGTTCTCTTTTGCTAGACATCGAAACTAACTAGCTGCCAGTTCTTTGCCGGTCACGACGATCATGCAGCAACTCACCTCAAAGGCCTTCAGACGCTCGTTTCGCTCCGTGGTGGACCTGAGCATGGCAATTTCGACCGCCAGACAAAATACAATCTGGCAGGGTTTGTTTATAGTACCTATTAGCTAGCCGGGATGATTCTAACACCGCTTTTCTCAGCACACATGCACTATGCTCATTTGCAGAGCAGCGACTACAGGAATCGTCGGGACCGCCCGTCAAACCAGAATCCGAACTGACGTACCCAAAGCATCCATTCTCGCCACAACTGTGCACGGAGATTGCAGTCCTGCCCCGTGGAATCAGTGACATTGCCCTTGACGGAAGAATTTCAACGCAGATCATCGAGCTGCTCTGCCGTCTCGCCCACATGGCCCAAGAGACCCCATTGACCAACCGCGCCACGACGGAAGAAATCTACAACGTCTCGGTCGACTTACTGACCTTTATAACCCGAACAAATATCTCTGCTCTGGAACGGAGCGTATGCGTCTTTTGCTGGCTGTTTGTCTTAAGGGAGACACCCAACCGGAACGAGAGCCAGAAGTTTTACGGACAGTTCCTCGAGAACATGCGACGCCGAATAAAGAAGCTGGCCCATTCGTTCATGACGCTGGAAGGTGCAAAGCCCGACTACGCAATCTGGGGAGTCGCCATCCTCGTGGTAGAGAACAGCGGGGAGAGAATCGGTCTCACCGAGGACGATCGCTCTGAAGTCTTTCAAGACCTCGTTCGCCGCTACACTGTGGCGAGGAGCTGGAAGGAGACGTTTAAGAGCCTGAAAAGGTTTTTCTTCCTGGACAATTGGGTCGAAGAGTATCGTGTCTGGTGGAACAAGGAGATTGAGAGATATAAAAAGCGATCTCTAGAGTTAGAATCCATCTAACCGTTCTGGGTCTCTTGGACTACCCTCCCTCCTGGCCAAACTGAGGGAGCGCCCAGTTCCCAGTTGAATCTCGAGGACTATCCTGGGTACAAGCTGCGATGTCGTGCGCCATGGTTATGACTGCCAATCTACCGGCATCATGGCTCAATCACAACAATGCCGCCGCTTCTTCCCTGCTTCTCGGCAGTGTCGAATGCCTCTTCCCACTCCTCCAACTTGAACTTCGCCACGACTCTCGCACCCAGCGGGTTGACATCATCTGCCTCTCTGTGCAGCTGGACAAGCCCTGTCTCCACAAGGGCAATCAGCCGCTTCACGTCCGTGGGCTCGTACATCCACTTTCCCTTGACGGTGATGTCCTTATGCATCAGCACGCCGTTCGGCAGGACCAGATCGTGATTGCCCCCACCCATGAGACACATCCTGCCGCCGTTTCTCAGCGCGAAGATCCCGGCCTTGAGATGTCTCGAGTCCGCCGCGGCGGGAGGGGAGATGTCGAAAAAGACGTCAATCAATCCGCCGAGACTCTTCAGCGCTTTCAAGTCGGCTTCCCAGTCTCCCGTGAGAGGGATGCACTCGACCCGATCCCTCTTTTCCGGAGCGACTGCCCTCTTCAACTGCGCCAGGATCTCCTGGTTGCGCCCCATACAGATCACCCGCCCGGCGCCCAGCTCAAGACACAGATGCGCCGCGGCGGATCCAAATCCGCCTGTCGCAGGAGTCACGACAACCGTCTCGCCGGGCTTGAGATCAATGCACAAGGGACCCAGGCCGCCGTAGGCGACCAGCATTTTGGGGATGTACATCAGATCTCCCAACTGGTAGCCAAGCTTGGCGAAGAGCCTGTCCTCGTCCAGCACGAAGCAGTTCTCCAGCGGCCAGCGCACGTACTCGGCGTAGGTGCCGTCGCGCCAGGCGTCGCGCATCAACTTTGCCGACGCGGGCGTCATGCCCTGGACGATGGCGCTGAGGAAGGTGGCACCCGCAGAACGATCGACGTCGTCGCGCCCCCTGATCGTCACGTCGAGCAGGCACAGGTTGCCCACTTTGAGGGTCGTGGCATCGGGTCCCAGCGCCATCACGCGCGCCAGCGCACTCGCCCCCAGCGTCAAAGGCGTCGGGTACGGGTACTTGCGCACCCCGTTGTAGATGTCCTTCGTGTAGCTGATCACCGAGGCCTGGAGGACGCGCAGAACTGCGGAGCCAGGCGTTGCTTGGGGCGTTGGGATCTGTTGCACGGTCGGTGGCAGGGCGTAGACGTCTTGACGCAGGGCGCGGTGGGTGGGAGGGATGGACGACATTGTTGGTGATGGATATATATACTTTCGTGGATGTGTATGTGAGTGTGCGAGTGGGTGTGGGGGTGTCTCTCGCTCGGCGTATGTTGTCTCGCAGAACACGCTCCTTCAGGTACCAATATCTTCCTTCCCTGCGAGACACGGGTTGAAGAGGGGGACTGCCACAGTCTTATACTTGTCCATCCACACCTGTTGTCCAACGCGCTCTCTTTCCTCACTGGCTGCCTCCCTCTCTTCCCGCCAGAAGCCGCGAAGATACCTAGGCAATTAGAATTAATTACACCGACTCCGCCCCCTGTGACCTGGCCATCCTAGCATCGTAGCATCCTAGGTGCATCTCAGCTTCACGCCCTGTTTCGGGTGGGATCCTGGATCATTCAGCTGGCCGCCTATCGACTACGCTTGATCCGACCTGATTGTTTGCCTGATCGATCCGTGGTCGATAGGGCCTCGACTACGATTGATCTCCCGGGGTAGACTGACGAACAAGCTTGCCTGAAAGACTAACGGATACACCGAGCGACTAACTGGCCGATTGATAGACCGGGGCAGTTGATCTCGATCCCGCACCCAAAGTGCAACCATATGCACACTCGTAATTACATCCCGCCCGACCTCCTAACTCCGAGGCACAGTGTTGGTGTGCACCGAGCCCTCCCCCCTCCCAAAAAAAAAAACAGCTTCCAGCTTTGTCAACTCACTAGCGAGGTTAACGACGTTAACAACGTGGGAAGAAGCGATATAGACACTGATCTATACCGTTTCCGATGGATGCGGTTTAGCGCGTTCGCACTAGCGCGAGGCTTATTTTGCGGGTCTCGCCAGCTCGTTCTACTCGGCCCTTACCGAGTAATACAAAGTACTTGTTACAGTACTTGTTAGTACGGGTTGCACGAGAAGTCCGCATACTTGCAAGGAGACGGGGAGCACTCTCGTCAATCTAGCCTCCGGACCCTTAACTCCAGCCAATCCAATACAGCCCGCTACATAATCCTGTATGTAACAGATCGGGTTGGGTGTCGGATAAGGAGTCTCTTTTAACAATACGAGCATGTATCGTAGTTGCTCGTAGTGCTGTTGAGGCTGGGGGCGCGTGAGGATCGGACAAACTATTTCGCCCTTCCCCTGCTTGTCCTGCCGTGGCTTTTTGAAAGAACCGCGGCAGCAAAGGACTCTGTGGAGAACGCGACGGTGACTGCGATGATGGACGGCTCTGCGCAAAATAACATGTTGGCTCACGAGAGCCGGCACAGCATGCGTGAGTCCTTTTCAACCCCCCCCACTGCCGCTCGCCTGCGTCAAACAATAGATTGGTAATTTCGATAAATCAAACTGGTTTGGTTGTGAACATATCAATTTCACCTTTCACAAGCCACGCAAGGCTAGAGCAGCCTGGTATGCGAGCCGCACGACAAACACCAAGCTGAACTTCACCCTCAGACAGCCTTGGAAATCCTCGTCCTCATTCTTGTCTGTATCGTATTCTTCTCACCTTCTACACCATCTTCAGCTTGTATCACCAATCCAACCGCCTTGGCAGACAAAGACGAATGCGATCCGACGGGCAGGGGTATGTTTGTGGTCTTCTTTGGTGCTGGCGTCCCATTCACGCTCCCACCATTCAATTTCCTGAGCTTGCGCACCTTTTTGACCCCTCTGTTACGTTGCCGAACGAGTGAACGCTGCTTCTCGACCCCTTCATTGGCTTCACCTTCATCCTCGGAGTTGCTGTCGACTTTGACATTTTCATTTCCTTCATCCGCTGCTTCATCGCCAGTGCTATCCGCAACTTCTCCATCCTGAAAAGTCACCAGTTTCGCGGCCCAAGTTACCTCCTTTGCCCCGCTTTTCTTCTTCTTCGCCGCCGTCTCTGGGCTCGATGGCTCAAGCGCATCACCTTCCGGGGACTGCCTGGCTTTCACTTCAGCGTTCAATTGAATCAGTCTGACCTTGGCTGACACCGCGCCACCTTTATTATTCTTAGTATTTGTCCTAGTAGCCACGGCAATGGATTGAGCTTCGCGGTTTGCGGCAATAAACTCCATTCCGCTGAATCGTTTGAGAGAGGTATTGCTCGGCAAGCTTGTGACGGGCCTTTGAGGTCTTGGGAGTCGCGTTGTGAGTCGCGAGCTTCGTCGAGGCGAGATGTTGATCTCTGGCTCTTGGGTTACCGAAAGGGTTGCTGATGTCTCTTTACTATCAGGCATCGGCACGGAAAGAATGGCCACGTCTTCAATGTGCGAAGACCTAAGCTCTTCGACCGACAAGTCCGCAGCTTCCGCCATCTCCTGCACTTGTACTGGGTTTTCTTGGAGAGCCTGTTCTCTGGCTGCCTTCCGTGCGCGAGCTCGAGATAGGAAATCGTGCAGATAGGCCGTGTCGTCGTGATCTGCAGGGCTGGTGACCGATTCTATGGTATCCGGAGCTGTTGCTATCGTTGTTGGTGATAGCGCATTCTGGTGCTGCTCTCCACAAGGATCGGTCTCCGCATCGACGGGCTTCATGGGTGTACCAGACGGAGATTCCATTGCTGTAAGTGAAGAGCTAGAAGAGAAATTCACCGGCTCACAGACCGGTGCAGGAGGTTGGCGCAAATCCACCACTTCTAGAGCCGGACCAGCGCTGTCTAAGACAGCTGACGAAAGGTCCGCTTCATTATCAACACCTTCACCCTTGATCCAGCTCTCAGAGACGTCATGGCTTCCGAGGATAGGTGAAGCCGTGCCGCGTTGTGAATTTCTAAGGTCCTCGTCGTCTTCGACGTTGTCGTGGACAGCAACGGGTATGTTTTGATCCTCCCAATCGATTTCGCGGTCAGCAACGCCCCCGCATTCCGATGCCTTTCGTTTCGGACTTGGTGTCGTCATTTCACCTTCGTCCCATCTAGAGGCGATGTAGCCAACATTCTCTTTGTCTCCATCTCCGCCAAGATGAGCCACTCTCAATCTCTTGACCGGTCGTGTGGTCAACTTCTTGGTTTCTTTCCTCCAATTCTCCCCAATATTGGACCCAATGACACCCAACGGCACGCGTCTCCATATCTTCTGTGCATCATTGCGCGCTACGAATGGCGTAGTTGGCCGTCGTTCCCACGCTCTAGGTAGGAACTTGACACGTTGGGGAGTGAATGTGTAGGGACGTGGAGAGCTTGTGACTGTGTCTGCCGCGTGTGGTTCTTGCGGCGGCGCTGAGGAGTTGGCAAAGTAAGGTGATCGTCGTGGCGAAATCTTCTGTGGAGAGCTGGGCGAAATCGTTGACGGGCTCTCGTTCATGGTGTGAGGTTGCAGAGGAGTGCTGATAGCCCCAGCGGAAGCCATAATGATAGGTCAGTCTCAGCTACTTTGGATTGTTCCAGGGTTTTGATGTGTCATTGGGTGGTCTAGATACGTAGACGACAGACAGTAAAGCAATACAAGTACAAAGTTCCGGCTCATAGACTGTCAACAGCAGGAGAAGCGACGCTTTGCGCGCCGTTCAGCTGCTGTGTGGAGTGACTGCAACGGCGCAGCGGATCGTCTTCGCGCAGTCACGATGTTTATAGTGACGAAAAAAGCCTAGTCGTGTCCGGCAGACTTGCCTTATCAGTTGGCTCGCCCTCGTGAGCAATTTCACCAAGGCACGATACGAAGAGAAAATCATTGGTTCACGAGCTATTAATCATGTATTTTCTGCGCGTTGGCAGTTCGCGTTAGGCCGTTTGCCATGACTAAGTCTAGTGCTTTCATCAAATCATATACACGAACGTAACCCTCGGCCATGTCCATCCTGACCCTGCGTTTTGAAGCCCATCCTCCATTTCTCTGCGGTTATTACCACCAAAGTCGACAGCCATAACTGTCCAACTCTCCAGAGTCTGTTAGCATAGGCAATATCCTCAATCCAACCGCCGCAAAACGTCAATCGCTATGCAAAACATGGCTCATCCTGGTGTACAAGGAGTTTTGTGTATACATGACTCATTCAACCTCCCATCCCTATGTTTCCTCGATTTCCCAAGACGCCAGTGACAAGAAAGGAAATGTCGTCCCAGTGTGCGCGTGTTGTGCGAGCTCTTGTGTCATGCACAAAGAATATTGCTAAGGACAGTCAAGAAAGGAAAATGTCAAAAAAGATTAGTCGGCACCTGTTTAGTGCTGTTGATAGTGCATGAGGGGCATGAAGTCGGCCGCTTCGACCATATTGCCACGTGGGTAGGCTGTAGGCGGTGCACTTTGTGGTGCAATGGCAACTGGGCTATCATTGACAAAGCTGGCGTAGTCCCATATAGGCATGCGAGTAATCGGAGCAGTCAATGGGTGGGCTGGCATAGCCATTGTCGCTTGGGTGACTGGGGCTCCGTTCTGATAGATATATTGGCCGTTGACGTCGTAGGTTGGCACGTACTCGGGCATCTGCAACTGCAACTCGGGTGGTCCAGTCACGACAGGCCCGGGCAGGCGCATCTGGACAGCTTGGGGAACGTATCCCATCTCAGGATTCATTGGATATCCCGGGGCGGCCATGTATTCTGGATGCGGCGAAGAAGGATACTGATACTCAGACATACCTTCTCCGCTGTAGATGGAAGAAGCAGGGGTAAGAAGGGGAAGCCCAGCCGAAGAATAGCTCGCAGAGTACTTGGAGATGATCTTCCTTAATGCGGTGGCCAGGATCTTCCATGGGAAGACTTTGACGTCCTTCTCAATGTTGCGCGGCTTTGGGTGAGGAAAGCCCATGATGACCTTGAAGAATTCCTCACTGTCGGATCGGGCCTTGGAGACCGTCAAAGGGCGAAAGCCTTCCAGGTTGCGACGAATGCGGTTCTTCTCCTCAACAGTGAAACGGACGCCGACCAGGGCTTCGAGAAGATAGATCGTGTCGACTGAAGTGACGTAGTACTCGTTCTTCTCTTTCCACCAGATGCAACTGATGCAAATGCTGCTTGCCTGGCGATCCTGAGGAGCGACTGCCTTGAAGGTAGCTGAGATGGTGCTGCCGGCTTGCTCTCGGTCGAACACCACAAGGCGCCGGCGGGTTTCCTTCTCTTCAGCAGTCCAGTCTTCTTTCATGCTGTCCAGGTCACCCTTGAGCTTGAGATTAGCCTTGAGGGTTGACAAGGCGTATGGGTTGAGGGTCTGGGTCTGCCCAATGGCGATGCTCGAGCACGGAGCTGTGGGAGATTGTTGCATCGTGGAAGTGCGAACGAGCTTGGGGACTGAGGATTTCAAGGGAGAACTGGTTGTTGGGCGTGGGATAGGGGTCATTGGCGCTCCTGGACTCTGCTCGCTCTTGACAGTGGTGAATGAGGGGCTGAACGCAGGCGTATGTGGCGAAGGAGCAGCCAAAGAGACCTGAGAAGCAGTTGAGGTCGAATAATGGTGACCAGAAGGTCTAGGGGAGGCGCCGCGGCTGACGTACGCAGGGAGCCCAGTGCTGCCAGTTGGGGTCGGTACGAAGGGTGAATAAGGGGATGTCTGACCGCTGAGGTCGTAGTAGTCGCCATTGGGATCCTGGACTTGGACTTGAGCGAGTACTGCTTTCTTTTGAGCAGGAAGATCGTACGCGTCCTCGGTCGAGGCCTTGCGTTTGCGAGGGAGTGTTGGAATAGCCTGAGATGAGGGGATGCGATGGTGATGGGCGTTGGCCGTTCTCACATCTACATCATTCCGGTCGTTAGACTCCACAGACGGGGCACTGCCTTTCACAAAGCTCTTCTCGGAGGAATAGTCACTTCCAGCTAGGTACTGAAAGTCGGCTTCCTGGGAGGTTCCAGGCTGGAGAAGAGGGTGCGTTTCGTACGGAGTGGGAGGAAAGCTGCTGTAGAACATCGGGTTCTCGATGACAGGAGATTGATATTCTGGGACACGAGTCAGTGAGAACAAAATACACTCACATCTCACCATGGCATTAACATACTCATGAGCCCCGGTTGACCCGTCCCATCATAGCCAGACATGGAGTAGAGCTGACCAGGTTTTGCCTCGAGGCCGTCCTGGAACTGATTCGCAAAATGCTCTCCAGCAAAGACTGCAGGATCGTATGAGTCGTCGACTATGAATGGGGTGCGGAAGTCTGGGAAAGACTGAGAACATGTCAGTATTTGAATCAGTCTGGGAGCAGTGGCCCAACACCCCCCTGATAAAGGCCAAGACAGGTGCAGGGGTGTGCAAGATTGGACTTACCTGAAAGTGGTTGAAAGTTAGGGAAGCCAGGTTGACGGTATTTTCGCAAAATTCTCAAAACAAAAAAATCACTAAGCGAGCGACTGTGTGTGCTAAACGAGTGTGGTGGGAGGCTAAATGGCGCCTCGAATCAAAGCGAGTGACTGTTGCAAGATGCTATCGAGATTCGAATGTCTGGGAAGTCAATATCGACGTTCTCCAGGGGTACATTCGAAGATGGGGCGAGGGATCTGGAAAGTTGATTTGGGACCCCTGAGGCGCAGGAGCCGGCGGCTGGCTGAGAACGCTGACGAAGATGAGATGCAATCTAGGTCGACGTTGCCAGCTTGGGCGATTTTGGATGAGACCAAAAGCTCGTCGTTCCCGAAAAGGTTTGGAGGTCGGGAAGGTGAGGCAGATTTAATCTTGAGAACAAAGAATTCCAGCCAGATGGAACGAACTATCAACACCGATCAGCCGAACCATGGCCAGGCAAGATGGAAATCCAGAGCCAGGATTTTCCTTTGCAAGAGATTCTTTCTTACCTTTTTGTCAGGGTAGATCGAGGCGAGTTGTGGCAAATATGTGCAAAAGATTCGCAAGGGCGGGCCGACTGGAGGAGTAGATCTTGTACCAGCAGCAAGAAACGACCTGTCGTCGGAGGGTGTCAGTGAGACATTCAAGATTCCAGGGAGACAGAAATATGTGAGGATAATTTCAAAGCAAGGCAAGGACAAAATGGGCAGCAAGGAGTGTCGTGGGTCTAGTCATACTTGACGTTCCCAAGGGATCCGAGTCTTGGATCTGAATCTTGGTAACGAATGATCCCGAGAGACAGACTGCACACTTACCCAAGAGGCTGGATTTCAACTTGAACCAGAGCCAAAGAACCTGGAAGTGGTCTTTGCCTTTGTACCCTTTTGGCGGATCTATCCGTCGAGTTTCCCCAGGCGAGTGTTCACCAGACGGGTGGTTGCGCAGCTAAGGGTCTTCTGACCTTTTTGCAAACAAACTCGAATATGAGAGAATTCACCAATATACCAACAACAAATTCGGATATGGAAAGTTGAGTAGTTATCGGCAGATCTCCTTTTTTTTTTTTTTTTCACAATCAAGTGAAAGGTGGTGATTTTTCCCCCGGTGCGAAATCGAGAGGAGGGCGGATTCGAAGGATTTGGGGGATAACGGTCTTCTTGAGAATGAGGCTTTTCAGCGAAACAGTTCGAAAAGCGAAGGACGTGAGCGATTGATGTCCAACGAGGGGAGCTTCGAAGTCGTGAAAAGCGAGTGTGTTGTTGTGAAGTAAACGAAAGTATGGCCTGCGAACAGAACCAGAAACGTTGGGATGAGCGAAGGTGGTGGAGGGTTGGAAAGGATGATGAAGCAAGTGGAGCGAAAATGGAAGAAGAGGAGCCGAGGACAAGGAGGGGGGAATCAAAAGGCTATATCGGCCTCGACTCAGCGAGAGACTAGGGTAGGTTAGAGGCAGTGAAAGGCCGCGAAAGGCGAGGATGGCAAAGGAAGGGATCAATCAGGTCACGCAGAACTGCTCGGGCCAGTGAACGGGAAGAGTTTTCTGTACGGCGAGTTGGAGTTTGAAGCAGGCTTGGTGGCAGTGGCAGTGAGCGACTAACCAGAAGAGCAAAGGTGGTGGGCTGATGGAGAAGCGCAAGAGGTCCGTGAGAGTACAAGTACTGGTACAGCACATTGTGGGCAAAAGAGCGATGCAGGGAGTGGGAGGGAGCGAGGAGCGAGGAGGCGAGGAGTTGGGTGGAAGAGGGGCTTTTACCGGGGTGCCCACTGGGTTAGGGTTAGCAGGGTCGGTTGGCAGGCAGGTGGAGAGGTGCCCAGGTTGAGGTTGGATCCTCGCACATACTGGCAGGTACTGGCACCATGGCCCATGGCCCATGGGAGCCTTCGAGGACAAAAGGCCAAAGGGCCACTCACCCAGCTGGCGGGCGAGGGAGAAGGAAAGAGAGAGAAAAAGGACAAGGCCAGACAGGATTAGCACCAAAGACGGAGACCCGCCGGAATGGTGGACAGTGAGTGGCTGACACGACGGGAGGTTTCGATCTGCCCTCAATGGAGAAAGAAGCCTGCGTCGTGGAGTGATGTGCCCGGTAGCGTCGCCTGTAGTGCCTCCTCGTCCACCACGTCTCATGCTCCATGCTCTTGACCTGCACATCACTTTTTCTCTGACACTGAGCCCGTGTTGAGAAGGCCGTCACTTGTCACTATCTACTCGGTACAGGCTCCCGAGGTCACTACGGCCCAACCACGGCCACGGTCTTGCAGGCACAAGAACCCCAGTACAAGTACTTGTACTTGTTACAGTACGAGGTACATACCTCGTACTAGGTCCTCTTTTGGGTTGACCAGGCCCAACTCGTCCAACAAAGTGAGAACAGAATGGATCGAGGATGGATGGCTGGTTGGTTGCGAGGTGCAGCCTGAGTGCGTGTCCTCGGTAGGTAGGTATGCGCTGTGTGTGTGGCCGGCAGCTGGCGGCATAATAGTGGGAATCTTTCTTTTTTTTTCTTTTTCTCCCTCTTCTGCGGTATTGATACGTGTGTTGTGTGCACGAGCCGATGCGATGACAGCTGCAGTCAGGGATCATGATGGCAGGAAACGGCCCAACCGGGCCAAAAAGACCAAGAGATCCACCAGAGGGATCATCAACCCTTGACGGACAAGGGTCCAAGGCCAAAGGGGGAGGGTGGACGTCGTGAGCGAAAAAAGCGTGGCAGCCAAAGCACAAGCATTGCCGGGGGAGCATGTGAGGCTTGCACAGCCGCAACGGATAGGTAAGAGGGTAAGAGTAGTAGGAGGAGCAGCCCAAAAGAGCCCCAGGGGCCCCAAGCAGGAAAGAGAGGGGCATTCAAATGGGGGTCGCTCCCTAAACCCTGCAGCAAAGACAGAGGCATGAGGTCACCAAGATCACCTATCACCTCCCTATCGCTCGGCGTAAACCCTGAAGCGTTAGTCTTGGGACACCTTGATACCACTGGTGTGCGGGGCCTCCTCTGGGCCCTTTGTTCCCCTAGCCCTAGCCTGAGTTCTGCTCCCCTAAGCCCTTACAAGTTGGGCCTTAGCAGCCCTTGCATGCTTATCCTTGCCTCCTTGCCCCCCCTGGGCCCACATCTCCGCATGAGTTCCCTCCTGCTAGCTGCTTTCTAGTTCCAGCGGCCCCAGTTTTCTAAAGATAGACCGCCAACCGCCCAACCGACGAGTTCTAGGTACCTAGTAGTCCTCTTTCTCTCACGCCTACCAAGCTGGCCTTTTTTGCTCAGCGACACGCCCTCTTCCGGCTTGCCCGTCTTGCCCATCCTGGGATTTGGCCGTTTGCGGAGGCCTTCTCAACGTCACAAATCGGCCATTGGCCATTGGCCATTGGTGGTTGGGGCTTTCTAGATATCGCTTCTGCTCAGGATTTCTGTCCATTGTTTCACGTTATGGCAACCTTCTTGACGACCGATGTGCGCAAAAGCCAAGGAGCAATGTCGATACTACCAGAACGGGTACGTTTTCCTCTTCGCGTTGTTTGTTTGGATCTGCAACAGTTGATCCTCGGTGATTGTTCTGTGCTGGGTAGTCTGTCGACTGCTCACCCACGGCACAAGAGTTTGCCACTCCTGGGCAAACACTGCCACAATCCACCGGCTGCAACATCCACCTCTCCCGAACAATTTACCCTTGGGGCCCTTGCTCTACAAGTACAGTAAGTATTCTTCTCTCAACTTCTATTCTGCCGGTTCTTACCGGCTAATCGGTCTCAAAAGGGTCTTCCAGCTCATGCGAGACCACCATCTGGCCCCTCCCAAAATTGAATCCGACAATTTTAAGGAGAAGCGCCTCGTTGTCCTGCATACTGCACCGTATATTGTGGTTGCACGGTCACGGTTTCTTCAGCTGGCGCACCCCTTGTTTCCGAACCTCGACTGCAGATTAAGCGAGGTTGGAAGCTACTCCATGGGCGTCCAACTCCGTGGCCGCCATGGCTAGCAAGCTCACAAGCCAGTGTTCACTATGATACTGACTTGAGTCTGGGGAACTTCGGCCGTTCATCGCCGGCGTCTGCTCCAAGCCAGCTCCAAGCCCATCAAATCCTCGTGCAGCAAACCAGGGGCGGATGCGGCGCAGTCTAAACCCGGTACAAATGCACAAGATGCTCCCGTTACATGACTACTTGGTAGTATCGTTACTGGCAGTTCCATCAGAACTCATTTGAGGCCTGAAAACTCGGACCTTTTGCCCAGTCGAGTTGGGTTAGGAGATCTCATGCTGCAACTGTTTGCTCCGCCAGCCTTACACGTATCAAGTACAGTACCAAATTTCTGACATTTGCCCATTCTACTTCCGGTCCATGCCGGATCGAAACCCCACCAACGGCTCGAAAAGCTACGAGAGAGCGTTTCCTGCTCCATCTTGGACGCCCAAAGAGGCAACGTCCCCACTACTCGTCACGTTGTCTTAGTGAGCGGCATCGAGATTGTCCACCGTGTCGTGGACCCATTTACAAGAAGGCCCGATAAAGTTGACCAGTCTCTCTACGAAGCACTGGGTGTGTTTCGCCATTTACTTTCCCGCTGGGCTCCGCGGCTCTGTTTGCATCCTCATCAAATCGCTCCGCACAAACTCGCTTGCGCTGACATTTACGTGACCCCGTACGATAGTTGTCATGTCGATTTTTTTTGGCGCACGGGTGACCAACGGAAATCATGCTCGATCCACTATATCCGATGCGCGTGGTCATACGAGTAGAGGACGCGTCAATCAAAGCAGCAACTGTGAGAAAAATATTTGTGAGGCTGTGAATTTCCAATTGGCGTTAAGCATTCTCAGGATGGCATACCGAGTACGAGTTATTACCTAGGATCTCCAATTTCTATTTTTGTCATGGCCTCCTGGCTGGTTCGCTTAATCAGGATCCTTTCCCCCTGGGCCCTTGCAGATCCACCGTCGCAGAGTGAATTTTTTCTACCCAGCACCTGTGATGGCCGAAGTGGCCGTGTCGATGCGAGCGAATTAAATGTCTTGCCCATGGCCTATCATGATACAGCCCGGGTGCTTAACAAGCCAAAGCCAGGACCCGAGCCTTGTTAAGCCACGGCTTGATGGCATGATGTGTGCTACTGGACTGAAGAGCACCACGTCCATACTGAATCCAACGCCTATCACCACACCGCGATGTTCCCCTCTTTGCATCACAAACATGCTGCACCCCCAGGTCATGCCTGAAGGATTGGCAAGGGACGTATGCAGCGATTAAGGCGCAGAGTCTGCCGATCAGATCGACCAGGAGGTTGAATGTCCTTCCGACGTTGCGGAAACGATCTCCAGGCAACTCACCCGTTTCAAAGGCGATTTTGAAAGATCATCCGGGCCAGGTCAATCTCTGTGGCTTAACTGTCACTTGGTGATCCGTTCTTTGCAAAGGCGCTGCATGCCGATCGGGCATCTGCGTTGTCAAAGCTATGCAGGTTCTATCTGTGCCATTTCAGGATTGTTAAAAACCAGGCACAGAATCTTTGCTGGCTATCTCTAAACCACTCATTGCGCCAAGCGGTACCTCACTGCAGCACAGAGGTTTCCAACCGGGCCAAATGACGAATTCCGTGTCCACAATGGGACGGTTGTGCCTCTTCTTGTCTTCCCTAGTTCGTCCTCTCTCTTGACCGCCTCTCCATCTGACGTGGAAAATCAGTGATTCGCAGGGGGGAACAACGTCAAACCACTTGGCTGGATCGTCTGCACACTGGGCCTCATCTCTGGGTCGATCACGCAGGTCGCACGGGACCTGCAGGAGATGCAAGTTGCCTGGACCCTGTGAACAAAAGGCATTGTTGGTCCTCGGTCCCCCTAGAACCAACCAACTCGATTCCCTTTCCTCGGCACGATGAAGAATGTTTGGCTTCAACACGATTGCTTGCGCAAGGTTTGCTGCAGGAAGTGTAAAAATAGCAATACACAAGACGCGGATAAACACGAGGCGATTCATCCAAATTGAGACACCAATCCTAGATCGTCGAGTCCCAACGACAACAACGCGCGACCATCTTGGGGAAAACATCGATATCTGGCATCTATTTGTGGATTGAGCGCTAACTTTGGTCTCCGGATTCTGGATCGACTGCCAATAATATTCACAATTTGCTATCAGCGCCTTCCTTAGAGATCTCGACCACCAATTTGCCGAATTGGCTCCCCTTCTTCATTTCGTCAAACAAGCCATTGATGGCGTCCAGATCGAAGCCTTGGACGACCCGCGACACCACCGGCTTGACTTTTTGGGCTTTGATGAAGTTCACCATATCTCTGAATTCCTTTCGGGATCCCATAGTTGACCCTTTGACCTCAATATTCTTCAAGACCGCTTGCATCAGGAAAGGCATCTTGGGTCCTATTGTCATACCGTAGACGGCGATTATACCACCTGGCTATGGAGGGTGTTAGTATGCAAACTGGAAGAAGAGAGGTCGACTGATCATACCTTGAGCAGTCGGGCACCGACGGAAACGACATCCCCACCAGCACCATCAACAATTGCGTCCAACTGCTTGTTCTCAGCTGGCAACATCGCCTGTAGTTTCTTATCCCAGCCTTCTTCTTTGTAGTTGACTCCGCCCTTCGCTCCCAGAGCGACTGCCTTTCTAATCTTTTCTTCGCTTCCGCTGGTAACCCAGACATTGGCGCCTGCTGCTCTCGCAAACTCCAGAGCAAACAATGCCACCCCACCGCCAATACCTGTAACCAAGATGTTCTTGCCGGGCTTGAGATTTTTCTCGCCGCATTTGACCATGACCGCTCGCCACGCGGTAAGGCCAGTGAGAATGAAGGCAGCCGCTTCCACCGAAGAGAGATGCTCGGGCGCTTCTTCGAGTTCTCCTTCGTCTATGCACATGTACTCTTGAAGGGTGCCATTTGCATTCGTCTTTGTCCCTCCAAGGATCTTGTATCCGGCCTTGTCCTCGGGACCATCCAGGCTGTCCTTCCAGCCAGTGCCAGGATTCACAACAACCTTCTTGCCTTTCCAGCTCGGATTGGCTTCGCTGCCAACAGCAACAACCGTCCCGCACCCGTCGGCCAACAGAGGAATGCCGAATGCTGTACCTGGATACAAGTGTTGGCGAATGAACAGGTCGCGGTGGTTCAAAGCCGCGGCATGGATCTTGATGAGGACTTCTTTCCCTTTTGGCGAGGGCTTCGGGACTTCATCCAGCGACAACGGATAGTAGACCTGACCGGGCTTGCCGTCGACCTTTGATATCGAGATTGCTTTCGGCATTTTGTGGAGGACTGTGGCACAGATTTCCAGGCACGGCTATATTTGGGTCTTTCAATGTCAAGGGACCACAAGGCCACTGATTTCTTTCTTTTTTTGATTTTTTTATAATGGCTTCGTCGTGCCCCAAGCTCGTTGCCCGGCTTAGAAATCCAGATTCGGTGATATCTCGCGTGTAGTGGAAGTCGGTGTTCTACTCGTGATACACGCCCAGCTTCAGCGACTATATCGTGAATATCGAATTCACAAAAGGCGGAGCAGTTACCGACCTGCCTCGCTCAAGACGTGTTGATGATGGGGGGATGATGGGGGAATCCCCTAAGGCGTTGCCCATTAGACCGAGGTATGAAGTCATTATCGCCGTTGTAAAGCCGTGGGGCCGATTCGGTACATCCTACGGACCAATCGGAGAGTACCTTGATAAGGAGAGTTATGTATTCTGTACATGCCGAGGAAAATAGTTATTCCGTTCCGTGAGAAAGGCCTGGCACGTGGTTACCCTGAGCACGGAGAAGGGGCCGTTGGGCGTTAAAGGGACCCTAACGAGCAGACCCAGGACAACAAGGCTTGGTCCGTGCGAACAAGGAGGAACAGGGCTTGCAGGTCCATTCCCTGTATTAAGTATATATTGTTTCGACCAGGCGAATCAGCTTGCTGTCCCTATGTCAGCATTCTCATTTAATACTTGATCCAATTCCTACCGCAGGACGTCGCCTCGTCCCCTTCATACCCAGCTCCCCAAATTTGGGATTGAGAAACAGGCACGCCTGAGGAAGAATAGCTGGCTCGCTGGATCCAGGATCATCGTTCCTTTTCTCGTTGCTTTGGACTAGCAACGCCGAGGTTCCATCAACGAAGGATCGCACAGAGGCCTGACACCAAAGAGTCCAGCCCATGATTGGCCCATCGCACCCCGAGCAGCCTAGCGGAGGCACCCAGCCACCACGAAAGGGGCTTGAGATGGGTCTTTCCGCCCTCACAAAAACTCTTGTGCGCGTTCCCAGCCGTTGGAGGTTGTATGCTCAGTGGCCAACACCGCACGGAACGCACAGGTGCCCTAGTTCGACAAGACCCGATCGAAGCCTTGGCTCTGCAGCCTGCGGCGTGACTGCTATTCCCGCCCCGGAGGCCCCTTCTCGGCCCCCATGAAACCTCGTAACCGACCAAAAATTCAAAATGTTTCAGCTCTACCTAGACTGAGTCACGCAGCAGCCGTACTTCCATATTTGCAACGACGAGGTCTGATTCCTATCGCCCCGTTGTCTTCCTAACTGCACATCCTGTCGCTTTGTTGCGGGCACCCAAACGACGGCCTTGCGGCGCTTCGAAAAACTTGAGAGGGGTACGGCTCGTCTCCTGAAACTTCATTACTAACCCTTTCCTTCCCCTATTTTGGGATTTGTTCCTTGATGTGCCTTCCATCCTGCAGTACTGTCCAATTTTCGATTACAAGGCAATATGGGCTCTTTCGGTGAGGTCACGGAGTTCGGTCATGGCTTCAAGGCCCAGTTCTTGCTTGATCCCAAATACGTCAACTTGAATCATGGTATGCCCCATCCACACCGCTCCCCTGGTAGTCTCCTGAACGCCAAGTCCTCTTGCTTTCTCAGCCTGTTTATCATCTTGGTTGTCTGCGCATTGCATGACCAACAAGCTCCAATCGATGAAGATGTCCTAATTGAACATCCGTAGGTTCATTCGGTACCTACTCAATACCGGTCCGCAATGCTCGGCGAGGTTATCAGAAGTTGTCCGAGGCAGCCCCGGATAAATTCCTGCGGTACCAATATATTGATCTCCTGGACAAGTCGCGGGAGCGCATAGCAAAACTCCTCAATGTCCCCACCGACGAGTGTGTTTTTGTACAGAATGCTACGTCTGGTGGGTTCATCATAGCATTTTCCTTGTCGTCGACAGCTCTAATTCTGCAGGTGTCAATACGGTCCTGCGCAATCTACAGTATAAGGAAAGGGACTGCATTATCTATTTCGATACTATCTATGGAGCCATTGAGAAGACGCTGGCTTCTATTATCGAGACAAATCCACAACTCCAACTTCGCAAGGTTGGACATGGACAAGACTTTGCCTACTCTCTTCCTTGCACGCATTCCGAGATCCTCAATGCGCTGTCACAGACGATCTCACGAGTCCTGTATGATGGGCTGAACCCCAAGGTCTGTATTTTTGAGACGATAGTGTCTTTGCCGGGGGTGCGGTTCCCGTTCGAAAGGATCACCAGAATGTGCAAAGAATACGGTATTCTTAGTTTGATTGATGCGGCCCACGGGGTCGGTCAGATACCCCTGAATCTATCCCAGCTCGACGCTGATTTCTTTGTCAGCAACTGCCACAAGTAAGTGAAATCGGCATTTGAGACAATCTGCTCGCGATTCCAGGACTGTTTGCATTGACTGACATGATACAGGTGGCTCTATACCCCACGAGGCTGTGCTGTTTTTCACGTGCCTAAGCGTAATCAACACCTCATTCGAACGACTTTTCCAACCTCACATGGCTTCGTGCCGCTGGCAACGTCGCCGATTCGGAACCCTCTTCCGCCGAGCGACAAGTCAGACTTCGTCAACTTGTTTCAATTTGTCGCTACTGCGGACAATACCCCTTACTATTGTGTCCCGGCGGCCCTCAACTTCCGGCAAAATTTATGCGGGGGTGAGGAAGCCATCTACAACTACATCAGGGATATCGCACAAAGAGGGGCTGACCTCCTTGCTATGCTACTCGGAACTGAAGTCATGGACGATTTGGACGCGGGATACGGATTGCGAACAATGGGAAGCTACGAAGCCAGTGATAAACGTGACGGAGGGCGTATAGGTTGGGCTGGCGGTCTCAGGGACTGCGCCATGGCCAACGTGCTCTTGCCAATCACCATCATTGGCGCCTATTCTCGGGGAAGCATTAGCATGGGGCCTGGTGGAGCCGGAAGTGCAGGTGGGCTCTCTCCCGCGTTGCGTCAGTCGTCGTACGGGTTCCCCAGTGCAACTGGTGTTTCGCAGCTTCGATCGTCTTCGGCCAGCTCAGCAGGACACCTGGGCGAGCCCAGACGTTCCAACTCCCCTCTCAATTCTCCGAGCCTGCATTCGGCAGGTCCCATCATCATCCAGGAAGCAGATGTAGCCACCCACATCGCCTGGATGGAAAAGACCTTGGTGGACGAGTACAACACGTTCGTCGCCATCTACGAGTACGACGGGAAACTGTGGACCCGGATCTGCGGCCAAATCTACCTGGAGCTCAAGGACTTTGAGTGGCTAGGAGGTGTGCTTAAGACGCTATGCGAACGAATTCGAAACGGAGAGTCTTTGCGGGGAAGAGCGAGGACACCAGGGATTGAAAAGGCGGAGCTCGAGGCTTTGAGCTTGAAGTCGCCATTTCCATCCAGACAAAACACCGGTGAGGTGCTCAAGAGGTTCGATGTGACCCAGGGCGGCTGGGTTGGAGCATGAGGGATGAGTTGTCCCGAGTTTTGTGGTGTCGTATGTTGTCATCTGCGACGGGATGTGGTCCTTCACCGTCTTTTATCTAGGTACTCCGTCCCTTTTTATTGTGTTTCCCCGTTCGAGATACAAATGTACCAGCTGGAGTTCGGGGGTGGTGTGCCGAGGAGATAGTCTCGGCCGTCAGGCGCCAGGGGTCGCCGATGTGGAGTAGTTGCGGAGAAGAGCAACTGATGATTGACGCTTTGAGGTTGTACGTGTTTGTCATGAGAAATGCCCAGTCAGCACCGGTTTTCATATGAATACCACACGTTCTGTGTGTTGTATGGCGTCAAGGGGCGAGGCGATTCCGCCATTTCAAAGCATGTCGCCGTCACCACCTACGTAACAGAATACTCGGTACCGGAGGCATAACGCGGCGGAACCCAAAGGAGCCACTATGAAAACTCTGAAGCGGCACGTGAATGGTCGCCGACCAGCCGCCAAGCGACTAGCGTGCGCTATTACCCCAGATTTAGTTGTGCCGAGCCCGCCGAGGCCCGCCACTGGTCCGCCCCTTGGCCCCTTGCCCGCCCTCCGGCCATTTCTTAAAGCGAAAAAGTTTTCCTCCTACGTAATGTTAACCTCTTGTTGACAACACAATATTCATTCCCTCTTTGCCATCTGGCATTGCTGGTCAATATTTTCCCCTTCGTGGCGTCAATCCCGTCATGTCCGGATCCCCTTGCGTGCCAGGAGCTGAGGGCGAATGCTGCTTTGCCCCCCTACCTACCCCCGTAGATCGACCATCTAACTTGTCAGCATTCCCTGGAACGCCACGTATTTGGTATTCCAGCCACCTGACCACCACAGCCGAGAGAGGCACCTAGCCGCCTGGGGGTCTCGAGGTCTCATGTCTGGCCATCCGTGAATATCCCTCCCAAGCGCTCATGCTTTTGGAAGTCTGGCCGCTGTCCTCATTCCACACATGGAAGAGTCCAAACAAAAAAAAAATGGTCCACTAATCCGGGGCAGAGTGATTCATAGCCTGCCGTTAACTGCTTAGTCGGCAAATCGAGGCTTTGCAAAACGGTGGTACGTATTACTCACAGTTATGCTCCGTCCGCTCATGTCACTCGTCCATCGGGAACTGAAAAGCAGTGACACAGACCATTCTTGCCCTCTCCTCCTTTCCCATGTTTCTATTACCCCCATTTTTCATAATATTTTCCTAACTTGTGTTATTGACACGTTCTTGTTGTCCCTGCATCTTTTTTCCCTTGGTTGCTGGTGGAGTTCGCTTGGACGTGTTATCGTTCTTTGGTCATCTGGTGAAATCTAGAGCATTCATAAGAGAGGAGCACGGGTGAAAAAATATGGCCATCATGTTACCCTCCGACTCTCCAGACCGTGGCACCTGCTCACACCACAAAACTGCCGCCACTTGCCTACAACACGAAGGACCAGAAGAATTATTATTGTTCAAAGCTCATTATCACCATCTTATCGAACCGCCCGAAGAAATGACCACTTCGAGGAAATTCTCATACGCATCAGTCAAGGAAGAAACAGGTATGTTATGATCAACCACACCGCATGCGAATTCCGACGCTGACCACCACTGACCAAAGATGATGGCCTCCCCCAGTCATTTGGGTCGTCCCTGTCATCCCAGGATCTAGAAGAAGTCGAGTGGATCGCGTGGCCATGCAGTCGGTGGTGTAAGACCAAGGGCTTATGCTCGTTTCATTTCAATGGTTCCCACGAGGATCATGTCCGAACGAGGCTGGAGGGCTATGCCCGCAGCAACCCTAGGAAGCTGGAAAAGATTCTCGACGAACTGGAGAAGCGGAGAGCGGCGCAGAAGTTGTTCAACCTCCCGTTCGCCAAAGAGATTACTCGAGTCCACCCACGTCCAGCCGATTTCAGTCTCGACGTCTGGCGCGAGAAAGTCAGAGATTCGATCCGCCTAAGCGAAGAGTTCGATCGCACGACAACAGACACGGCAATTGTCGACGACTCGGACGAGACTCTGTCGCAGATTTCGAGCGTTACTCCGAACCAAGGCTTTTCGTTTCTGGAGGCTATGCCGGAGGAAATTCTGGAACTAATCCTCGCTTATGTGACGGTCGATCACACAGCGGACCCCTATGCACGCCCTCATGTTGACCTGGCGACTTGTTCACTCGTGTCCAGGACTATCCAGGCAGCGGCCGTAAGAGTGTTGTACCGACACGTCTCGATTCCGCAATCGAGGGCCTTCGCCAAATTGATGCGAACCCTCAAGACCACTCCACAGCTCGGAGAATTAGTGCAGTGGTTGGACTTCTCTCATTACTCTAACATGGGCTTTGGCAGCGCTCGCAGCACTCGCAATCAGACACCTTTCCTGAAACCCGAGACCCTCAACGCATGTCTGGATGTCATGCCGAACTTGCAGGCCTTCTTGGTCCACGAGCACGTGGATGAAGAACTCGACGTCAACATCATCTCCAAGCTGTTCAACATGCCTCTTATGCAAGCGCTGGACTTTTGTGCATGCTCGTCTCGCCCTTTTGCAGAGGCCTTCACTACGGTCATGACTCAACTTTCCACTCCCCTCACAAGCTTAAAACGCCTCTCATTGCATGAATGCACCACACTCCAGGAACCTGTTTTTGAAGCGCTACTCCCGCTCCTTCCGAACCTGACGCACCTGGACGTCGCACATACCCTCGTCAACGACAAAGCTCTCTTGTCAATCCCTACAACCGCCACAATCACACATCTAAATATCGAACGCTGCACGCGTCTGACGGGGGCGGGTGTCATCAAATTTCTCACCACCCATCCTGCCGTCAGGGAGAATGTTATCTACTTGAACCTTGCCGCTGACGCTTCACGGCATAGATTGCTCGCTGAAGACGATGTCACCAGCCTGCTGGGCGCTTTGCCTCCAAGTCTCAAGTCCCTCAATCTAGGCGGTGCAAAGGTCAATCCCTCCCATATCCCTGCGCTCAGAACTCTTGCCACTCATCTCGAAGAACTCGGCCTACGTGGCGCGAATGTCAGTCTCAGCACCGACATCATGCGTCTCTTTAGATCTCCGTCATCCACGCCCTCCGAAGACGAGGATCACGCCATGGACATGGGCGCTGTCGCCACCACAGTGGATGACTCATCACCCACGTCGACTCAATCTCACCATAGCACACTGCGCTATCTTGACATTACATCCGTCCGCTCCGTGACACAGCTGTCACTCTCGTACTCCCCCTCCTCTCTCATGGACAAAGACACCCTACCGCTCGAAGTCATCGAACTCGGCGGCGACGTGTTGCAGGAAATCAAGCGACGCACCGCACACGTGAGGGACCGCGGGAAGCTGGAGTGGGTTGTCAAAGAGCTCGGCCGACGGGGATGGTACGTGCGGCAACCGCTACCCGGCGCGAGTGTCGACAACGGAGCCAGGGCGTGGAAGATGGGCGCCCGCTGGTGGGGGATGAGGAAGATCCCAATGGTGGAGCAAGACGTAGGTGGGATGTATGGATATTTTATGTTTAAGAGGTCGTGAAGGGGTCCCAGTCGTCTCTGCTTTTTTTTTTTTTGACTCTTTGGTATCTCCCTTTTTGGGGGGGCGGCTTTTATGGCGCATTTGTTTTTGATTTTTTTTTTTTTGCGATGGCGTTTGTTTCTTCGTCTTGATCGGCTTGCATGGGTCATGGTCATGGTCGTGGACATGGGCTTCGTCATGGTAATGGAAAGAGTCGCACACTTGGGATCCATGAGATATGACATGATACATGATACATGACACGCGAAACACGAAAACACGAAAACACGCAATGTTGAATAGGTATGAGCGATGGAGTCAGGTTATCATTTATCATATATGTCTAGGATGCGGCGGTCACGGTCACGGTCACGGTCACGGTCACGGTCACGGTCACGGTCACGGTCACGGTCATGGTTGGTTTCTAGTCGGTACTTACTGATAGTCATTACGGACATACGTCGTCATATTCACAGCTGCACTCATGGTTACGCTCACGGTCACGGATGAATATACTGGAAGTCTTTTGTGGGAGAAGGGAGGAGGTCATAGTGTACCATTACATTTATTACTATCAGCACGGAGCCCAACATCAAAATATCAGTGTACGTGAGAACTATTTCAGACATCGTAGTACTGCAAAGATTCGATTCCTGGGATCAGACCCGGGATCAGTTCAAGGTGGAATCGAGTTTCAAGTTGGAAAATCGTCTCCGTCTCTCGGCTTCAATTGTCACCGTTGCCGCTGCTGCCCTCCTTTGCGTCAGAAAAAGAATGCTCATTGCCCAACCTCTTCGTTTTCCAGGGATCCTCTGGGCCTCTGGGTATACATATATAGATAGATAGGCTACCTCGCGCCCTTGTAGATAGATAATCCACAAGAGCAATGCTCTCATTCACTGACGCTTTTGAGGTCTCATGCCTGCTGTGCCTGCCCCCGTCGTAGTATACCTGGAGTGAGGCACCGTCTCAAATCGTCAGCGAAGCATGCAAGTTGTCGCTGTTTAATAAGAATTTGTGTCCGATTGTGACAAGTTGACAACAACCACAAATTTTCTGCCTTTCATCCTATTCTATTCGCACCGTCATGGTCTCCCACTTGGATAAAAAATCGTCGATTCGCAGCCGTTCTAGGTATGTAAGTGTTAGAATTGACGACAAGCGGATGGTTCCGACGCGTTCAAAGGGCTGGTCATCGCCATTTAACGCCGCTACAACCAGCAAGGGAGCGGAGCGGTCCAGATCATGTCCCCTAGACCGGTCCACGAAATCTAAGGCAAGGACTGTGCCACGGGTTTCGAGGCATCGCAGCTCGTCTGCACGCAACTCGGTGTCGATGGGCACGGATCTCTCCGTCGATCCGCAAACGAAGGTTGCCTTCACACACTGAGGAGATGATAGGTTGAATACTAGGTTGCGCAGTCGACATCCTCGACTCTTGACATACAGAAGCCGCGGCATCTCGTCGATTGTAGCCTCCGCAAATCTTGAAAGGTCGCTCAAGCTTACCGATTCCCCTGTAGGGCCTGGCTGTAGCAGCACCTCCACGTCGTTCGACCAAGAACCCTTCGGAGCGTGTTGTTCTGGGGAAATTGGGACGACCTTCCCACCGGTCCACCCTATCCAGGACCAGCTCGGAAAGCAACGTTGTCGATTGTCAGTACAACGTCTTGTCCAGAGAAGTGAAAGAGCAAACAGTGCATCGGGAGAAGGCCTGTCGTCTCTCCATCTTCTGCCTCGGGGAATAGGCATGCCATATATTTGCCGTAGACTGGACGCCTCCTCGAACATTGACGGTTCTTCGAGAAGGCCAAGGACAGCATTCAACCTGTCAGACTCATAGGTTAGACTTCTTCGTGAGACCTGAGAAATGTGCTCCCAGGCCGTGTCAAACTCGTCCAGCTCATGTCTGGCAGTGCCAAAGCGAGCGACCGTCGGCTCTGCAAAGAGCTCCTCAAGCAAGCCATCAGCGGCGACGGTCTCACACGTCGACGAAGCACTGCACTCGAAGTATAGTTGTTGATCCGTAAAGTACACTCGCCGTCGTGACGAGACTTCCTCTTGGTACGTCCACGCTCTAGTTACGTACTTCGACCGATGCCTTGCCGACTCTAGTGTGCCCATGGTAGAAATCAGCCGACAACTCCCGATTTCAAGACACGGTTGTTCAACACGACGGACGGTGCTGATGCCAGGCAGGCCATCGGCTGCACCACCCCCGTGCAGAGCAATGATGGTCAACTGAGCGGCCCTGTAGAGCGATGCCATATTCTTCAGTTCGTTGTGAAACTCAAGCTTGTCATTACGCGGAATGCAGAGCCGGTCAACCCAGAGATAGCGAAAACCGAGAGCCTTGGTGACAGTAATGGCGTCCTCGACTACTTGTGGCAACGAAGTTAGATCGTCGTTGCTCTCCTGAATCCCGCTAGGACAGGAAGCCGTCAAAGCCTGTCCCCAGACGTAACTCAGGGCCGTATAATCGACACTGCGATAATTGCGGACAAGTCTCCTGTCGTGACAGTCGAACAGCCACTGTGGATGTGTTCCAGCATTGGCGCTGGGTTTTGAGCATTGGGGGTGTAGTCTCTTGCATGTCGCTATCCAACTGCTCACGACCTCGAAATCGACCGAGTTGGCGTGAATCTGGTGCCCCTGCAAACGGACAGAGCCAGCAATACTTCGGTCCATGGGCAGTATAAGACCGGCATCTCGCAAGTGACAGGTGGAATCGCAGATGGGCGGACGCTTTCCGAGACTTCCCGCGTCCCCGTTGAGAAATCTCGCCAACGGCAGTTCTCGATCTGTGCCAACAACCCCAAAGACTACATCGGGACGCGGACAGTCGAGCATCGAAAGACCGCCGCAGGTACACAGACGATACGCCATCAAAAAGGTCAGAATGGGCTTCGGCCGTTGAGGGCTATTGTGCGCGATTTGGCGCAGGAATCTGCACAGCGGACACGAGGGTTGATAATAGCCCTTCTCGAGCCTGATCACAGTGACTGGCGTGTCGTGTCCTTTGGAAAGGGAAAACATCCTCTCCAAGTTCAATGAAGCACATTTCCTGCACAGATCCCTGGACTCTCCAGAATCTCCGCACGTTTGGTCCCAGAAGGATTGAGCCATGCCGCGACGTCTATGTAGTTGCCCTTACCCTTGGATGGAAATCATCTGGCAAGGACGACCATGCACGACATATACTTTCTGTGGTGCGCTTTGGTGGAGGAGGCACCGAGGCAACAAGGCAACCAGCCAACTAGGTATCACTAGTACCAAATATGCGAACGCTGGTGCCTAACGCAGATTGGAACCAGGGCCGTCTGACTTCTCATCTTTAAAAGCCCAAGAATCCCCCTCGGAGCCTTTAGACCATTGGGTAGGTCCAGAAATATATCAATTGCAACCTTGGGACTGTGTCTGAGTTGCTACACTGACTCTTTCTTTCTGTCAATGGGAACGAAGCCTGTCCTGTGATTCATAACAACCATTTTCACAGGCCAAGGAGGCGCCAACTTCAACCGAGGCCGCATCTGGCTTCGCTGCTCCTATAACATCCCTCAAGCCTTCCTGTCGTCGACAACTTCAACCATGGTTACATCTGGCTTCTCTGCTCCCATGACTTTCACCAATCCTCTTCTCTTGGCTTCTTCACCCTCGACGCAGACATAGTTCGGGAAATCCTTGGTTGGGACTTTATTCCTGAACATTTCATCGATCTCTTCCAGTGTCCTGCCTCTTACTTCTGGCAGCATGAAATAGACGAATATGCAGACAATGATGCCACTCCCAAACCAGATGTATCCGTATTTGGGGCCCCAGTTCAAGGCCGTCGGATTGATGAAGTAAGGGGTTGTGAAAGCACACAGCCACGCAAAGGCAAAGCTAGTCGCTGCGGCAAGGCCCATGGTATATGCGCGCAGGTTCTGTGCAGGGAGCTCCCCGGCGACAAGGTAGACGTATGGCTCGAGGCCAAAGTTGAAGGCCCAGACATAGATGCTGACAAGAACCACGAGTCCTGCGCCCGCACCTGATTTAGACACTGCCGGGGAAGAGTATATGGCTGCCATGACGAGCATGCAAATTGTGCAAAGAATGCATCCCGCAAGGATGATGCGGCGTCTTCCAACCCGGGTGACAACGAACCATGTTGCAAAGAGTCCAGTAAGACCCACGCAGTTCGTGACGATGATCATTTTAAAGGGATCACCAACATCCGCCTGACCAATCAGTTAGCCGCGTCAAAGAAATCTTGATGCCTGTAGTCTCACCATCTTAATGAAATAAGTGCCAAATGCCAGTATAAACATGGCGCCAACACCGGCATTGGCGGTTCCAACACCGACGCAAATAATCGTCCTTCGTAGATTGTGTCCACGGAAGAGCTCGAAAATGAGGCGCCAGTCTTTCTGGGACTCGGCCTCTCGATCTGCAATCTCCTTCATCGCCTCGAATTCCTGGTTCAAGGCCAACTCGTCGTAGGCGCCCTTGCGGAAGAAGCGCAAGCTGCGCAGCGCCTCTTCTGGGCGGTGATGGTGAAGAAGCCAACGGGGGGACTCCGGGAGGAAGGGTAGAGTGAAGATAAGGATGACTAGAGGGACGAAGCAAATATAGAGTGGAATTTGATAGGCCTTCCGACTCATCAAGTCGGCGGTCGCGTTATTGATAACCTGATCGAGTCGGTTTAGCAGGTCTCGAAATAATTCATGGATGGGAAATACGAACCATTCCGATAGTGGTTCCGATGACAATCCAGCTCGTCACGACACCAAAGCAGACACCGCGGAGGTGGGGAGGGGCAGATTCTTGTAAATAGACCATGGAAAAGTTGAGCAAGAAGCCGTTGGCGACACCTGTCAAAAAGCGGATGAAGTAGAGCGCACCCATCGAGGTCGTGAGAGCCTGGACAACGATGCAGACTATCATGAGCAGGCAACCCACTATCAGGGAGTAACGGCGGCAGAGGTGGGCGCCAATAGGGCCGGTCAGTATGGACCCGACAAAGCTGCCCAGGATCATGAACGACGAGATGATTTGCTGAGGGCCGGTCTGGAATACTCGTCAGCGAGGAAATACATCAAGATAGGAGGTTCATACATGAATGTGCCATGCGCCTGAGGCGGTCTGGTACCCAAAGATCTGGAGGAATCCCGGCATTGCCTGGAAGCCGGCAATGGCCCCTTTGTCGAATCCATATTCAAAGAGTGAGATGCCCATGTACAGTGTCACAGCCAAAATGCGCCAGTTGGCCAGGAGGCTGGTGTTGCGGACGCCCTCTCTTACCGCTCCGTCCTCAAGGCTGGTTCGGACATTGGTGACTGATGCTGGAGGCATGGCGGGAAGACGATGCCGGATGGTGCTCGACTTACCTCAGAGGATTTGTGGTGTGATTTGGTTTGCTTCGTGTAAGAACCAGGGAGCCGTCCATCCTTATGTAGTGTGACCGCCGAATCTGGGGAAGACGGACTAGTCCCCACGGGGCGACTCCCACAACAAACATGGAGATAGAAGCCAAATTCTCGCTGCACTGCTGGACTGGGATTCATGATCCCGAAGGCGAACCCCGTGGCCGAGATACCCGGCGAATCTAATTGGATCTCGGAAACATTGAAGCGATGGTCCAAGAATCGAACCAAGCCATCGGAAGCGAGTTCAACATCCCTTTCCGATAGACCATGATTGGATAGGACGTGGTAGTATGTCTCTGTTTGTATGCATATCATCCAGCGTTGATAAACAAGCTGTTGAAGAATGAATGCTCTGCATACTCGCCAAGGTTTTGTTGGACCATTTCCAGTTCACGATGGCGGCCCAAAAACCGTTTGCACTGGCCTTGGAGCAACGGCAGAATGACATGGCTAATGCGGTTCTCGACACTTGGAAAAAGACCGTCGAACGAACGCCAACTATTGAGATCCTACCCCCCTCTCTCGACCGCACAACATGGATGTCTGTACTCGCAGAGTTCAGGACCATCCTTGGAGACGATGGCGTATTAGTGGGTCATGAGCAACGCACCCGCTACGTTGACCCATACGCAAAAGAGCATGATGAACAGGAGAAGCGAGGGAGCGCGGCCACTCTTCTTCCTGTGACGGTTGAAGAAATCCAGGCTATTCTGAGACTCTGCAACAAACACCAAATTCCACTGTGGACAGTCTCTAGAGGAAAGAATTTGGGTTACGGCGGCTCTGCAGCCAGAGTCAAAGTAAGCCGCATATCTGTCAGAGGACTCCGGGGTCGTCGGTCTGATCGATCAATATGCAGGGTTCGATGATACTCGACCTCCAGCGGATGAGGAAAATCATCGAGATCAATGAAAAGTACTCGTACTACACGGTTGAGCCAGGAGTAACTTTTTTCGATATCTACAGAGCCATCCAAGATCAAAAGAAAAACATTTGGTGTTCTGTCCCTGCCCTGGGCTGGGGTTCTATTGTCGGCAACGCCCTGGATAGAGGATGGGGATATACACCAGCAGGTAACGCAGGAACCCAAAATGATTACATGGAGTTTGTTGCTAATAAGCACTAGGTGACCATTCGAATCAAATCTGCGGAATCGAGGTCCTCCTCGCAGACGGAACGCTTGTCCGAACAGGCGCGGGCGGGCTGAATGAATCACCCTGCTGGCCTCTTTTTCGAGGCGGCTACGGACCCACGTACGAATCAATGTTCAGCCAAAGCAACTTTGGTATAGTCACAAAGCTCAGCCTCTGGGCCTCGCCCAGCCCTCAGGGCTTCATGGCATGTCGGGTAGACATTGAGGATGAAGAAGGGCTTGCGCCTATGATCGACGCTTTCCGCGACCTGTTACTTCGCGATGCGATTCAGAATCACCCTCTGATAGGGAACATCCCGAGAGAAATTGTCAAACGTGGAGGCCGCGAAAAGTTTTACCAAGGCAACGATGCAATTCCGGATGCGAGGCTGAAGGAGATACAGCACGAGTTGGGAATCGGATATTGGTCTGCAAGATTTGCACTCTATGGACCGAAAGAGATCATTGAGCCAAACTACAAAAGATGTCAAGAGGTCTTTGACCGGCTTCCTGGCGCAAAACTCACCGGCAGGGCATTCTATCCTTCGGAAGGGAGAACCTTGTTAAGCCCGGAGGATCTTCCACACGAAGAGCGGACAGTTGAGACTGGAACCCCCAGTATGATGGCCTTGAAAGCTGTCGAATATCGTGGGAAAGATGGGTATGCAAGCTACTATTCCCTGCTAACACCTCCCTCTCCCTCATCCCCCTCCAACTATTGGAGACCTACTAACTTCCGCCAGCGGACATATCTCTTTCTCCCCCGTCTTGCCTCCCGACGGCAAAACAGCCCTTTCCTTCTATTATGCCGCCAAGTCCCTTTGTGCCAAATACAGCTTTGACTACTTCGGAGGCCTACACCTATACGCTCGTCATCTGACAATGATTGACATGATCTACTTCGACAGACAATCGCACGCCGAGCGGCAGAATGCACACCAGCTGTTTGTTGAATTAGTTCACCTCGCTCGGCAGCAAGGGTTCAGTGAATATAGGGCTCATATCGACTACATGGACCTCGTTGCCGAACAGTACGACTTCAACGGCGGCAGCCTGATGAAGTTGAATGAGCGAATTAAAGATGCTTTGGATCCCAACGGAATTTTGAGCCCTGGGAAGCAAGGTATTTGGCCTCAGACTTATAGAGGAAAGAAGGATCTGGAGATGGTTAATGGCGGTATGGTCACCAATGGCTCGAAGAATGGTGGAAATGTTGTCGTTGCCATGAAGGACCTGACAATTGGAAAACCAACCGAGGGATGGAATCAACCCGTCCTCATGTTTTAGACTGTTAGTCCACATAGAGCTATACTACGCTATCATCGAAAGAATATGGCCTTGGACACCTGCTCTTTGCAATAACCATGGTACGTCCAACTGATGTTCACCAGAAGAGTCAATATAAATGCTCTTTGTGCTTTTTGAACTGATAGCTCGAGGGATGGTAACTGTGGCGGGTAACTGTGGCGGTTACCTATGCTATCGCTTACCAACAGAGTTGAAGGACATGAATGTTTTGAGAATAGTAGACCACCACCTTTTCCCCATTCAACGGACCTGCTAGACGTCTTACCGACTCTCACCCGGGGCTCGCTCCTCCCCTTGCACTTGAGGGGGGGACCACCGAGCTAACCTAGGTGGGATATGCCTCTGGTGTACCAATAATCACGTTAGTGAGTCAGTGCGACCCCACTTGGATAGAATCCCTCAATCAATCCCGTTCCGGTTCATAGGCATCTCAAGCTATGATCGTGACGGCCACATGCCGACCACTGTCTTGACTCTTACCCTATCTCGGATCGATATATCCGTATTCATTGATAGACGTCCATCATGACTTACGCGGCTGTATAGGCCCGCACTGTCCGCCTGTCTGTCGTTTATCGGAATCTCGTCATTGTCAAGGCCATGCATGCTGCCGAAGCCAGAGAAATGAACACAAGAATGCCACAAGGGCAATGGTGGCCCTAAAAATCACCAGATGTAAAGAAAGATGTTTTGATTCCGCACAGGAGGGCAATTTCATACCAACAACCCTCCTGCAGCAAAAGACAACACGCCACTCCCCAGGAAGAATGAAAAGCTTGTCAGCTTCTTGCGCACTTGCTGTCGCTGCTGGGGTCTTGACTCATCTCCTGTATTTCATCCGCGGCGAGCATCACAAAAATGCACATCTATGGATTCCCCGAGCACTTGCAGCCATTGGTCTGCTTGCCGTTGTGGTCTTCCAGTTGACGCATTATCGACCAATCTTCACCACCATCGCGACCATTGTCCTCAGCACTTGTTATTTTGCTGGCCTTTATCTCAGCATAGCGCTGTACCGCGTCCTTTTCCACCCATTACGAAGGTTCCCAGGCCCATACTGGGCACGATTGTCAAATCTCTATCACTCGTATCTAATTCGGAAATCTGACAATTATCTGGTTATTCAGAAGCTACATGCGCAATATGGGCCCATTGTCCGGACAGGTAAGTGGAAAGGGAACTGGAATTCTGGAGGAACATGATTGCTCATGAGAAGACTGAAAGGGCCCGGTAACTTGTCCATCAACGATCCAGCTGCAATTCCGATCGTCCTGAGCAACGAATCAAAGTGTATCAAGAGCCCATGGTACGATCGATCTCTGCCACTAGTGAACTTACATACCGTTCGAAACAAAACTGTACACGATGCTCGCAGGAAAGTCTTCTCAAAGGCGTTTTCCCCCTCGGCGTTGCGAGATTATGAGGAAAGAGTGGTCGTGCACTGCGAGGAGTTTGTAAGGCAGATGAAGCGTGTGGCAGGAAGACCAGTCGACGTTTCTCAGTGGTTCAAATACTTTGGTAAGGAGGGCGTGTCTGTCGAGAACCCGGTCTGTTTGCTGACGATTCGAAGCATTCGATGTCATGGGTGACCTAGGCCTTGGAAAAGAGTTCCACATGATGACTTCACAGACAAATCGCTGGATCCCCGAGCTTCTCGAGACCAGCATGGCAGATGTTGGTCCAACAACGCCTGTTCCTTGGCTTGCGCCGATCCTGCACAGACTGCCTCGCGCAGGGCACGGTGCGAGGGCTTGGTTGGACTTTGTTGGATCGCAGGTTAAGGAGAGGACGCAAAAAACATCGGCTAGGAATGACGTGAGGCCCCCTCTACGCAGGATAATGTAAGCGCTGACCTTGTCCTCAGATTCTGTCGCATCTTGTGGATGTTTATGACCGCACTGAGAAGAGAGATATCGACTATCAGTGGTTGCGCGGCGACACCAGGCTTACCATAGTAGGCGGCTCTGATACGACGGCAGCAACACTGACTTTTCTCTTTCATTATTTGGCCAAGGATCCGGTACAAGTGCAGAAGCTGCGTAGTGAGCTGGAGCCGTTGCTGAAAGGCAAGCCCCGGTTGGATCCAAAGGACGTGTCCAAGGCCCAGCATCTCAACGGAGTGATCCAGGAAGCCCTACGTCTGCACCCGGCTATTCCTTCTGGCTTTCCACGAGTTACTCCGCCGGAAGGCATTACCATCAACGAGGTCTTTATCCCCGGAGGAACCACCGTCGTCCTGCCGCCATATGCAATGCAGCACGACGAGCTCAACTATGTCTTGGCGGACGAGTTTATTCCAGAGCGCTGGTATTCAAAACCGGAGTTGATCAAAAACCCCGAAGCTTTCTTGACGTGGAATATTGGTAAGGATATGCTTGAATTCCGGACACCGTGAAAATGGTTGACTAAAGAACAACAGGAATGAACGGGTGCATTGGGAGAGCCCTAGCGATTATGGAGATGCGGGACTTGATCACCTATTTCATCCACGCCTTCCAGGGTGTCAAGTTCGCGCCTGGTGAGGATGGCAGGGCGCTGCTGCAAGGGACTCTGGATCATTTCACAGTGGGCGTGAAACCGTTGCGTTTGATTTTCGAGGAAAAGGCCGTGAAAAGCCTCTAGTTAGAGCCGAGGTCGGTGATTTGGGGCATTTTGGCCAACTGTCGGATGCAGGGTGCCGAAGCGGAAATCCGGGGGTCGAGAGGGGAAGATAAACTCGGGGACGTGGTTCGGCTTTTCGCTCATGCTCCTAGACTTGTCATATATCCCTCCGGCATGTTGTATCCTTCTTGGACAGCTTGAGTTAACTTGGCGGCAATATTTGAGATGCGCCCAGGAGACGCTGAGAGATTAGAGCAATCGGAGAGAGGGCTCCCACTCCCAAATGACCGGCCAAGAAAGCGGGCACGGCAGAGCTGCAATACCTGCAAGGCGCGTAAAACACGGGTGAGAGAGACTTTTGCCTGCCAGGAAAAATGCATGTTTGGACGCCATGCTGACATCGGAACAAGTGTGTGGGTAGTGGTACGTCCAGATGCAGCATTTGACTAGGTAACATCGTCTGATGATCTAACAAAACACGCTGTGAACGAACAGTCGGTGAGAGTTGTCAACACTGCAAGACGCTGAATATACCGTGCGAGTTCAATCCGAACAGCAGGAAGCGGCCATTTTATAGGGTTTCCAGCGATGTCTTTGATCATTCCATCAAACTGCTTCGCCGCTTCGTGTCGGAAGAGGAGCTGCCTGACCTGACGGTGGAAAACATCCAGAGGGTCCTGGCCAACGTGGAAATGCGCTCCAATAAACCCCCTGTAACACAGACGCCTTCAACAGAAGTTGAACGCAATGGTGTTGATGATACTCAGCCTGCTGCTGGCGAGATCCAAGAGGTTGTGGAGAGGGATGAACATCCACTCCTGCAAGAAGACTTGGGATCCATGATCCTGGATTCCCTTGGCAAATATCGTGCGTATCTCCATCCCCGGGGGGGCCCTAAAAAGACAGTACGTCGCTCACGATTTGGAAGGTTACGTCGGGGCAGAGTCTTCGATTCGTTGGAACCATGCTGCTCGAATGGCATGCGCGAGCTCCTCAATCCACCTGGACCCGAAGGTGGTATCACCGTTGAAAACAGGGTTGTTACCGCCCCTGACGCCAGAGAGTACAAGCACCGCCCGGACTACTGCCGAGATCTCCTTCCCGTGTCGTCAGCTCTGTATGCACTATGTGACACGCTTCTTTGAGCATATCCATTGCCTGTACTGGTTCTACTCGCCCGAACAATTCTATCCGCTCCTTGAGGCTACGTTGAATGATGGAGGGACGACAGCAACAGCATCATGGCTGTGTTCGCTATATTCGATATTTGCTCTAGGGAGTATGCGATCGGGTAAATATGCTGCAGGACCTGGCATGGTAACACCACCTCAGGATTGCAAGCAGACAGCAGATTATCTCGCCATGGCAAAAGACCAATCATCCGCCGCTGCAGACGAAGCCGACCTCGAGACTATCAAGGCTTTCGGACTGTTGGTGAGAGGATACCCTATTGAAAGTGCACCCACCGGGTATGAGCTAACGCGAGTCGCATCTAGGGCTTAGCAATGCATGGCTCGTGTTACAGTATGGCTGCATACCTCAATGTGGGAGCGGCGGTCAAGATTGCTTTCTCGCTCGGGCTGCATAGAGACATGTGCTCCAGGACAAAGGATCTGATCGAAAGGGAGAGATGCAGACGCTTATGGTGGACAATCTACACCCTGGACCATGAAATCTCAATTCGTCTGGGCTATCCGTGCGCGATCGTTGACGAGGCTATTTTCATGAATATCCCACCAGCGTCTGAACAGGTAGGTTAAAGGGCAGCCGGACCCATGTTCACAAATGAATTGCTCACGGTAGCGATAATAGGTGCTAGACCCGGGCCCCAACATGCCGCTGGGTTATCAAGCTCTGTTCGTGAGCCTGGTGAAGCTGAGAAAGAAGATCAGTTACGACTGTTTCCTTGAACCGGCACAAGCCGGCGGTCGGTTACCGATAAGCCGCGTGTTCAACAGTTTAGCCCGTCAGCGGAGGTGGTTGGAGGGCGTCCCTTCATATCTCCACTGGAAGTCTTCTCTTCCGCCTCAACATCGACGAGCGGTCGCAGTGCTACACCTGCGGTACTGGATCTCGGTCATCTTCATCACGCGGCCTTTCCTGCTGTTCCTGGTCGCGAAGCCTTCCCAGATCACGGTCCTCGCGAAACGAAAATGCTACGAGGAGTTGAGTGCCAGGTGCATCCAGGCAGCCGAGAGGGCTGTGGAAGTCCTGAAGCACATGAAAGAGGCGGACGTCTTGTCGAGCATGACCCTCTTTGACTGTCACTCCATCGGAGAGGTGATGTGGATCCTGATACTTGCATTCCAGAAACTGGGCAGCGCCGAACATCAACAAATCATCAGGTTTTGTCTGGAAACTCTCAAGAGCATGGATCAAGTGGGTTGGTGTGGCAAAGTCCTACCCGATCTGGAAGCACGGGTCCAAGAAAGCGGTACCCTGGACAACCCGGCACCCAATCTGACATACTCAGACCAGACACTTGCTACAGAACAAATGCCTCCCCAAAACGATCCAGGGGCCAGCAGAGTTGACACCAGCCTAATGATGCAGACCTCCCCTCCACCGCCGCCCTCTCAAGCCCTGGAACAGTCGCTTGATTTCTTTGACTTGTAAGTTCACACCTACGCTGTGATGTTTTTGCCATTTTCCATAGGGAGACTTTGGATTGACGAATTACCACATACTAGTGACTTCAGCGGCTCTCAATTTAGCGCCTATGAAATGTTTGACCTCGATTGCCATTCGGACTTGCTGGGTGTGTTCGATGATACGACTTCAACAGCCCCTATCTCCATGTTCGGCATGCTCCCAGTGTAGTTTATGCACCGGCAGGGCGGTAGAAGAAGATATGGTGTGAAGGAGTGGATCGTCTACACGCAGTTGGGTTTTCATCACGAAGGTGGGGAAAGCCTGTATAGATGCTTTCTGCACATCTTGTATGCTTTCTCGGAAGAGAAGCAACGAAATGTAACCTTCTTGTTTAGCAGGTCTGCACAGGGCTCCAGAAAAGAGGGACTATAATGCTAAAACCAACCCCCCCCCCCCCCCCCACGCCTGGCATTCCCAGGTCACATAGTAGCTTGCGCTCACGGTAGGAAACAGAATTTTTTTTTAGCGGAAAAAAGCTATAGTCGGCTATGGCAATTCGGCTCGCTGACACCATTCACACCTACCATATCTTTTTGCCATGGCAAGGGTGACTGAGCTGGCTTCACCGCACCCAATTCTTGGTCCCTTTTGTCTCTCCACGCTCTGACCTCTTTTTCCTCCACGAAGTTCCCGTGCAGGCCCAGGCGGAGTTTGAAGGGCAGATGAATCACCGCCACTGGGCCCTGTTTGATATTCTGCGCGTCAAAGACGCAGACGTCGTTCCTGAGAACGTCAAGATGATTGAGCAGCGCCACCACGTAGCCGTCTCCTTCGCGTGTCGAATTCGTTCGCGGAATGAAAGCTGGTTCTTGGAACGTCGCGCACGGGCCAGCCCAGAATGTCTCGGTGATCGACTTGTCCCAGGTGAAGTGCCCTAGGGTGTTGAAGAGCCCACCCGCGGGGGAGCCACATTTCGCAAAGTCGTACGGTTTGGAGTTGTCAATCACAGCCTGCCAGTAGTGGTTATACTCCATGGCCACAAAGCGATCGTCGATGCGGGAGAACTCGCCCGAGTACGCATCAATCTCTTCCGCGGGCTCAACCCAGTAGTTTGGCCCCGTCATCTCCGGGTCAAAAATCCAGCGCGTTGTTTTGTTCCGTACTTTATTGCGCACAGCCACCGTTCCAGCGGGTGTATCGACAGGCGGCCAGAAAAAGAAGACATTGCCATCAGCGACCGTCAGGTCGAATACGACTTTGCCATCCGAGGTCTCGTAGCAGCCTACGGTGTGGCCTTGGAACGCTGCGTGATTGTATCAGGGCCAAGTGTCTTCAGAACAAGTTCCTGGTATGGCTTACCGTTCTTCGATCGAAACCACTTTATGTCTGTTGGTTTGCCTCCTCTTCGTGGGGCCAAGCCATACAACTGGTCCTCATTTGGATCCCACGCCCAGTGATTGCCGCCTTGCTTCAACAGCTCAGGATCACATTTAAGTGGTGTCATTGGCAACACGATCCAGTTGTCACTGATTCCACAATCATGAATAATGCCGCAGAAAGGAGCTTTGTACCAACATTCCTCCGTTTTCACACCGTTAGTATCAATGGTATACACCACTATGTCGCATGATCCGTCATTTCCATCTCCACCAGCCTGTATGATATACGATTCAAAACACGCTCGTCTCAAAAAGAGTTAGTGATTGTAATTTACCTCATATCCGTAACAAACCATCTCCCCCGTCTTCGGGTCGAACTTGGGATGCGCCGTAAACGTTGGGCTTAGCACCTGGCCTTCGAAATCATACCTTCCAATGGTCTCCAGGGTGGATGGCTCCATCGCATAAGGAGGGCCATCTTCTTTCGTGGCCAGCAACATCCCCCTCCAGAAGAAGACATTAGTGTTGGCCGCGGTTCGAATCACCCCCTTTACCACTTCATTATCTGTATACGGATTGCGATACTTTCCAAACAGAGCTTTTCCATGTTGGCTTTCCTGTATGAATCGATCGGTATGCACGTAGCGTTGCTTAAAGTGCGCGCGGCCGTTGCAGATACGTATCGCTGTTACATTGCCATCTCCGTTGAAGTGGATGTCTGACTCGTAAATGGGCGGAAATCGATGGTCGGGTTGGATTCGAAAAAAGGTCCCGTCGATGTCTGGCGGAATCTGTCCTGTGACTTCGAGATTTTCCACGTCTCCTTCGATGCGGGAAGGACTGTTGAATCCTCTGAACACTTCAGTCGCGGGAAACTTGACTTGGTCGCTGGCCTTTAATCCCTTGTTGTAGTTGAGAGATGGCGACAGAGTCTCCGCTAACTCGAAGATGTGCGCCATGGGGATTGAGATTCGCCTTGAAGCGTAACTGTGCTGTAAGATCAAAATGCAGCAGACTCACTTTGAGACTATCCTAGGTACTGCTATTAATCTTCTTGTGTTCATCGCATATATGCCGGCAAATGATGTCGGAACTTTTGCTAGACTCGAAGGGGTCTATAGCATCGACCGAACATGTCTGGATGAACTCTACCGTGCCGAAAGACCCTGTTGGATGTTGCGCAAACTTGACCCAACTGTGGGCAGGGGTCAGGAAGCTGAATTTGTCCTCTGCGCTTCCGACTGCATGGCGTATAAACCGGAATGGCACCGGGAGTGATATTGCGAGAGGTGGTACAGCCGGGTTGGTCAAGCGATGGCTCGGGAAATTGTGATTGTGGTCCTCGGATCCAACAAGCCGATGATCTCAGCCACGGCTTCCTGCTCGTCGTGTTGATCTTCTCAAAGTCAGGGTATAGGTAGGACCCTTCACGACTTCAGGATCCGACCCGACAGCGCCATCTCGCTCAGAGAATGAGACCGTATGATGTTTTGTCCAAGAATGTTGCTCGGGTCGCACTGTGTGCGTGTAATTACAGGAGGGTCAGCGCCAAGATATCCGTGAATGCTCCGTCCAGCTAACCCTATTTGGAAGGCTGTCATTTCACAGGATCACAAAAGCTGGTGCTTTTACACAATCTGTGAGTGTCTTGAAACAGGGTAAGGCTCACGCTCAGATTATCCTTATGGAATGGACGCGGGACTTTTCGATGTTCTGGGTTCGGGTCAACCATTTCGATCTACAAGCACGGAGAACTCCGAGCTAAGTACCAGTCCAAGTCAAACCTCCTCGAGTCTCAACAGCAGTGAGGACGCTAGTTGAAAGCTTTCCCCAAGGAAGTTCTCATAAGATCTATGAGTAGTTTGATCTGCTGGGTCTAAGCTGCTAGTGGAGACTATGGACAAGTTATTGTACTTCAATGAAGTATTCGCCTTAACAGAATATTTTATAGCCACGATCAGGATGAACCGAAGCCGCTAAACCAGCTGGAGTCATGTACATCTTAAAGCTGAATCTATGCCTTGATATACCACCCCAGAGGTTCTTTCTTATGCTCCCGCAGGGAGAGACCGCTTCCGAGGTACTCGAAGCGGTTGGGGGTGCTGTAAGTGAATTCGAAGTCCTGCAAGCGCGGTTCTTTAACAGACTCCAGGAAGTGATTGACAGAACCTGGCCACGGTCCAATGATCCTACCATTGCTTGTTCCGCATTTATACCTGCACGGGGAAAACAGTTAGAGCAGTGTTTCTCATGCCGGACATCCATCGAAGAAGAAATTGTTAAACTCATACCAGCTGTTGCAATTTCCAGAAAACGTCAAAAGCTCCATCACGGCGTCCTTGTGGTCATTGAACTCGGTTGTTGCCTCCCGGCTCACCACAACAGACTTCACCCCTTCGCATTGGATCTTCCTCACAAAGCTCAAGGCAAATTCGATTTGGGCCTCGATGGAAGGCATCAAAGATCCGTTTGAGATTGGCGTGTTTGGGCCAACAACCACTAGTAGCCAAATTCAGCATAGAACGAACACACAGCAAAAAGATGGCGACTTACTAAAGTAGTTTGGCATGTCTGGGACAGCACAAGTGAAGTATGCCTCAGCCCCAGTCTTTGACCAGCGTTCTCTGAGATCGACGCCATGTCTTCCGATGAGTGGGAAGGGAGGAATGTAGGATGTGTCATAGCCTGTAGCAGCAATGATCACGTCGACCGCATGTACCTTACCATCAACAGTCACTAGGCCCTCTGGGTTGATCTCTCGAATCTTCGTTGTGACAACTTCAACATTGTCTTCCTGCAGAGCTTCGAGGTAGCCCTCCCCAGGGGTAACCCTGTACAGTTCGTCGTAAGCACACATTCAGCGGTATGAGACCGATCAAACTTGCTCACCGTCTACAGCCCACCTCGAAATCCGGAATGAGCTTCTCGCGAAGCGCTGGATCCATTTTTGCAAGTCTTTCCCTCATTTGCTTTTCTACAATCTCCCGCGCGGCCTTTTGGGCAGGAGAATTTTTGTAGAAATTGGGAAACCTAGCATTTATGAGGTGGTCAATTTCTTGACGATACTTCCGTAGGTGTTCTGGATCCTCGAGGAACTTTTGCTTCTCTTCTTCCGTATAGGTTGTTGCACGTCCGTCGGAGGCCATCTGACCTGCAAACTGAGGTGCAATCCAGGTCGGAGACCTGGTGAAACTGATGAGATATTTCACAACTATGTCATCTTGCCTCAGTTGCAGTCCACATGTCAAGAGCCAGAAGATCGTTTGCTTACTGGGTTGGATGGTGGGAACCACCTGAATAGCAGACGAACCGGCGCCAATAACTGCAACCCTCTTCTCTTTGAGATCAAGATCCTGGGGATACCGGGCAGTGTGGACGAGTGTTCCTTTGAATGAGTGAAGTCCAGGAATATCGGGCCATCTCCATTTGCTGTTTGTAGTGTTAGCTGGTCCACGGTCGCAGGAGAGAGCCATGCCGTGGAACTTACTTCAACGCTCCGCAACAGTTAATAACAACGTCTGCTGAGTCCTCGCTTACTTTGCCAGTCTCGAGGTCCTCCACTTTGACTGTCCACTTTCCGCAGCCTTCGTTCCATTCTGCCCCAACCACGAGATGGTTGAATTTTGCATGCTCATAAACCCCGTATTCTTCAGCTCTGTCACGATAGAATTTCCAGATCTCCTCTGCGCCAGCATAGCTGTCAGGAGTTGTTAGTTAAATGGATCAACAACTTCCCTGCTCACTCACAATTTCGACCAGGTTGGATTGCCGACCCAAGGATAGCTGTACGAATGGGCCGGGATGTCACAAGAGCAACCCGGATATCGCGACTCTAGCCACGTCCCACCCACGTCTGCGTTCTTTTCATATATTACATACTCAACCTGCTCGAGTTCCTTGGCCTTGTATGCGAACGCTATTCCCGATATTCCAGCACCGATGACAATAATTCTAACAGGTCTCGCTATTTGGCCGATATATTGGTCTTTGACCGTATATTGTTTCGGAATGTCGATTGAACCCATGATTGCTTTCGCGCCTACCTGGTAAGCTGGTCGAGAAGTCCTGTATCCGGCATGAGCGGAGCCTACCGAGTATATGTCAGGGGGATCCACGATGCATGGAGTCGGGGAAATGTGGGGTGGCCAAGGCGGCGGATGTATCCAGCCGATGTATCAAGCCTGTTTGAACTTCCATCAACGATTGCCCATATTTCTGCCGTCCCTTCGGGAAACATTGATTCAGAGCAAATGCAAAGTCTCATCCACCTTGCGACATCGGCATTAGCTCGCCGATGCACCAGTTTTGCCGGGGAACATCGGAAACGGGAACGTTGCCAGCCCGCGGCAGAACACTTGTCCTTCGATCCGGTGATGTCGCGGGAAGCTTTCGGATTGCCCAGGGCAACTGGATCGGTCAAGGGCGACAGCAGTTGAGACATTGCACATTTGGCAGCACAAGTAGAGAAAAAAACTGCTCGCACCTTACTGTGCGATCGCCCCCCGACTGAGCCACTTTTAAAACCACCTGCTCGTGGCTCACCGTCTTCCTGCCACCAAGCTAAACCAGAACCTATAATTAATTACAGTGAATACGGCCCATTTCTGAGGCTTCTGAGAATCGGATGCTGTGTTTGATGTTTCCATACCGCTTTCCTCCCGCAAAAAGAAGGGAGGCTTAGCAACAGTATTCTATTACACATTGAGTTATATAGTCCGTTCCATGGCTGGTGGTTATCCAGCAACTCCCCAGCTCCACTCAAGTACATCGGGAAAAGAACTCCATTTTCTGGGCCTTATTATAGTTGGATACTGCAGAAGTGACGCTGGAGATGCTTGTCACTCCAGCAATCCTAGGGCCACACCCGGCGTAGATGTCTTAGCATACTGTCAAATGGCCGCTGTACACCCTGGTGAAGTGGCTTAGGCTAGAATAAAACTACCTCTAGGGAATGAGGTAGGGTGTAGAACCCAAGGCCGACAGCTTTATTTGGTTATTCAACAATTGGATAAGCTTGAGGCTTTCATGTTGGCTTCTCTAGAGTGAGGATAATACAGAGGTAAGTAAAAAATACTGAATAGCAACTAGTTGATTAATAAGACGTGGTTGCTGCTGGAGACAGCATACTTCTGAAATTCACTTCTCTGACTGCGCTCCCAGTTCGTTATCCTCAATTGCTTTACTACCAAGACAAAGCTCTCTGTGTAGACCAGCGCGTGCTTTGGTTTCGCTAGCTATTACCTTCGACTCCTGTAAAAATCACTGTCGGTCTTGACCTTTGCTCAAATTTGCCAACTGATATCCCACACTAATAGGCCAGGGCAAAAGTGCCCCAGGGATAATTTTTCCTATTCATAGTCAATCAGCGGTAGTCACAAAAAGATACTTCAACCTTTTACTCTCCTTGCCGACTTCACCGCTGACCCCTGGTTCAAAATGTCAGATACGGCCGAGACTGAGTGCTGAAGGCTTATGAAGAGACTTACCTCCTTTCCGTCGTTCCATCGTCTTCGTTTGTGTCTCTATCTTCATCTCCAAGGAGTGAATCTTCTGCTCGTAGTCTTTCAATTGCTTGTTAAGCATAGGGCTGCCCTGACCCGGGTCCAGCTTCGCCTGCAGTTCACTGTGCCTTTTCGAGCTTTCTTCGAGCTGCTTGACCTGGTCATTGATCCTGTTCTTCTTCTGGTTCATCTCATCCTCGCGCTCTTTCTGCAGTTTCTCAAATCCCGCCGGATCGATTCTCTTGCTCTTTCTCCTTCCTCAATTTTACCTTGTAGATCCTTCTGCATGTCGGCAATGTATGCTTTTGCTACTTCATCGTGGCTCTTGATGGCTTGGTCCATCTGTTGCTTCAGCTCTCTCATCTCCTTCTTGTGCTTGGCCTGCTCTTGAAGAAGATCTTGGTCGAGCTGCTGTCCGGCTGCTGTTTCATTGAGATCCCTTTTGTTTTCGACCATTTCTTGTTGGATTTGCAATATAATCTTTTCACGTCTATCGATAAGATCACCGAGAATTGATAATGCTGACCTCTTGTTCCCTTCCTGCCGTGGCACTAGATTTCCTTGCTTCTCCATCTGCGTGAGTCCATAATTAGGGCCGCTCTTCGCCATATAAAAGGTCGAGATATTCAGCAGTAAACATCATAAACGCAGGGAAGGCTGAAACTTATGGTGGCCCAAAACTTCTCAACGAGCTCCCTTTCTCTATCCTCACCTGTTGTATTCGACAGGATGGACCGCATTGTAGTCACCAGCATGACGTTCTGATAGCAATGAGGCCCACAGAGCTGCATAAACATCAAGATATTTCGTCTGGCTGAGCCTTGCATCTTTAGATCACTGATCCTGTGTAAATAAAGAACGCCGCTGAGGACAATTTTGTTTTGATACGCTGTGTTCAGCCAGTTTGCAATATCTCTGAGGACCTCGGCATCGTTCTTGTTTGTGTCATCGAAGCCTGGTGTGTCTATCAAGTGGACTAGGATGTTGGCGTTGTCCCTTTTATCCTTGCAAATGAAACTGTACCCCTGTACCACCGTAGTGCCTATACACACTTAGTCTCCGATGGCTCATCGGTGATGCTCTGTGGCACGTACAGCTCTCCAGGCCATGTCCGATCTTAAGTTCTTCCGGTGGTTTGCCAGTGCAAAAGCTGGATAAATGAGCTTTTGCCGGCACCAGTAACTCCCATGACCGCAATCCAACTTCTTCCATCCTGACAAGAGAATAGCGATATTGGAAGGTTGATGCTGTGAAGGCGCACGAAGTTACCCTTTTCCATATGACCACCTGTTGATCTCGTCATTAGCTTCGTCATCAGCTTCGTCATCAGACTCAGACTCATCCTTTACAGGAGGAAGCCGTAGCGAGTTGGCCAGCTCCTTGTGGTCTCGCACCGCTTCATCATGAGTCGATGTGGGCTTCGCCATGGTCGCCATCGGGATGCAAGTTTTAAAGGGGAGAAGGTTGCAGATTCACAAATTCAGCAGACACTGAGCCTATTTATCGTTCCGGTTGTGGCAGGAACATCAGAGATTCAGCCTCACAGTGACCATTTTCCAAGTATTCGAGGTTGGCTTCGAGCCCGGCATCTCAGACGTGTTTTCTACTGGCAACAGGTTGCACAGTGAGACTCGTGACAATATAATCTTCCAAGTCCTGCAAATATCGGGCCGATGAAGGGTATGGCGACTGATTGGACGACCTGTGCATAGGGCGATATATTGGGAAGCAAGCGCCCCAGCCAGAAGGAAAGGGCAATACGAGTGAGCGGCACGCCTTGGAAAATGCCCGTGGCCTGCTGCATGCGTGGTCTACTGCCCGTGTTCAATTTTATGTTGTTCTGTATCACATGCGTCGGCCCCCTGGTTGCCCAGCCTTGTCACACCTGCCAGGCTTGCGAAAATGGCAAAGCGCATAGTCTTGGCGTAGGCATAGAACCACTGCAACCTTTGATTGGTCGCCTGATCGTTAATACTTCCCATAAAATGGCCCCTACTTCAACATATTTCCGCTGCAGTTGAAGGCGCACTTTTGCCCAGGTTTTTGGCGCACCGCCAGAAGGAAGTCCTCGTAGAGGGCTCACAACCGGCGAGCACCAAACGGTACGAGCTCCCATGCATAGTTTTGTCTTGGAGCGTACGGGTAGTCTATGTGCCTCAGCATACCTTTCGCTCGCCCATAACGAGCGAGCTCAATGTGCAATTCAAAGTGCCCGATAACCACTCGATCTCGTGGTGCAACCTGAAGCTTGGAAAGAAGTCCTTGCCATGGACCGAAGATGTGTTGTTCTGCTTCTCGGCGAGACAAGGTCGGGTAAAAGTACATTTGCCAGATTGTTGACCGGTGACCCATCCATCCGAGTTTCTCACGGCCTCGAACCAGGTAATCACCATTCAACAACTTGTCCATTACTAGGATTACGAAAATAAAGAAGAATCTGAGCGAGACGCAGGTACGGATCAGATCTCCATCTATGAAACCCGCCTGAGTGACTGGGCGTGCACCATTATCGACACTCCAGGCCCCAACGATGGCTATTCATCGAATATGAACATCTTCCAACAAGCACTACAACTCCTCAAGTCGCCATATTATCCCCCAAGCAACGCCACATTCATATTCTAATTTCATCAAATCATCCAGCCACGATTCCGCCGGAGCGCTCATACAAATTTGCTCATGTTCTCCGACTTGTTCAAAGGCTCCCTGCAGAATCTCGTCCTAGCAACCACGTTTTGGAGTTGCTTGAGTAGGACGGCGAATATTCAACAGATGGGGGAGAAGAGAGAAGAGGAGCTGGTGAGCACGGACAAATTCTGGGGCTCCAAGGTCCGACAGGGCGCTCAGATCCGGCGGACCCCAGACACCAGACAAGGATGCCTGTCGTTGGTCCTCGATATCATCGCCCACAGTAGGTCTCGGCTTTCACGCTCCGAGGCTCCTGTCGAGCCATCAATTGCACCTTCAGAACGAAGAACTTGCGCCGCGGAAGACATCGAAAGAGTCCGGACAGAGCACGAGCGTCAGAAGCAGGAATACATTGAACAATTCGAAGCATACATCGCTGAAGACCTCCAACGGCGTCTGACACTAGAGAATGAACAACGCCGCCAGAGCGAACACCAGATCCAGTCGGCACAAGAAAGAGGACATTGCTATTTACCAAACGCAGCTGCAAGACATGGATCGTGTCATGGAGGAGGCAGCACAGATTGAGCGCCGCCAGTCCGAACAGCTCGAGATGCTCGATCGCAAACTCACGGCCATGAGCCACCAGTCACGGAATCAACAACACCAGAATCGATGGGTGTTTTGGCAACAGCACTGCGACAGAGTGAACAAAGAATTGGCTCTTCAACAGGCCGCGCGAAATACCGACCCAAAGCTCAATTGATTCAATGCGCGAATCCACACAATTTGTTGTAACAACCGCTATCTCCCGGTCAAGCAGAACGAGTGGTATTACAGTTAGTATCACATCGTCTCTCCTCTCGAGATGATGATCGACGGGCACGTACTAACTCATCTGTCTTTCTCTACCAGGGTGTCATGAATGCTGGGGCGGTCAATTTTCCATCTGTCCGCCATGCGTGCATGGACAAGCGGTGGGGCACACTGCGATAATGCTCAACATCAACTCGTTCAATATTGCCAGGTGCGTGATCAAGGTCGCTGTCACCACAGAATCGAAGACTTGGCGCCCAACATGATGGTATTTTGTGGGAGCTGCCGCGGCGCACTCGGCACAGTCTATCTGCGTAAGAAAGATCAGTGCCCCAGTCTTGGTGACAAAGTACGCTGCTGACTCGAATGGCTAGACTGTTGCTCGTGCAATCACGGATATTTCTATGTGAGTCTTGGATGTGGGATTGCCGGTGCCGTCTGCAGGCCGACGCGATGGAGGTCCAAAGGTCACTACTTGCACATATACACACGTTATGTCCAATTACCAATTTCATGAGACTTTGGCCAGGTCCCGCTTCTGGAGCGCAGTCAGGCCAGAGACATCTTCAGCACTCATTGCTCAATCATCCCCGAATCTCTACCTGTCAGCCAGACCAGAATCTGCGCACCACCGCAGAGAAAGGCCGGCATGTCCAATGAGTGAGAACGAGGCCCAGTAGTATGGGTTCTGAAATGGCCGTTCTTCCCACTCACGCTGTTTATTGTTGATGGGGATCAGGAGGGTCCTTTTGCCTCCCTTCAAAAAGCTCTCAACACTAATGCCGGTTCGCTCGGCATAATCCCAGTCCGTCATGATCTCCTCCAAAAGTTCAAGTCTTCCTCTTTCGTCATATTGTAGAGTGTGATTTGGGCGTACTGCCATGCTTTCGCAATGGAGATGCCGTTCTCTTGTGTCGCGATCCTCCTGTAAAACAGCGTCATCAACCTCAGCGTTTCGACCTGGCCGACCTTCCACAACGCCCCCATGTAAACCTGTGCACCGGACTGCAAAACGGCATGAGAGAAACCGAGCACGTCGTTACCGTTGGTTACTTTTCCGAGTCCAGACAGACAGGCACAAAAGACGACTAGCGAAGCGTGCGTCTTCAATTTGGCAAGCTCCATTACCCTGAATTGATTGGCCAACGAGAGGTAGGATTGCCATGGTGATAGCGGGGGCTGATGGCCATGTGTGCCGATGTGAACAATGGTCGCTTTTTTGTACTCGCATGCAAATTTGGATTCGTCAACTGCCTTTGCCGCAAGAGGCGGAGTCCTAAAGAGTCGATACGGGCCTAGTGCTCCAAGCACTACTGGTGCTGCTTCACTGTTGGTTTGCTGGTGAGAGTTGACGATCGTCATAAGCTTTGACTCTGCCGTTGTTGATTTTGCTCGCTCTTCATCCAGCCTGACCAGTCGCTCCAGCACGGCAAGACTAGGAACTTGTGAGACAGCTTTGGCAAGAATTAACGGCTCGTTTTGGTAGAACAGACATCCGAAGGGGAAAGAAATGGAAGTCGAAGAAGACACGAAGACAACGTGGTCGACCCGCGAGCCCAGTTCATTAAGCGGATCAATCACCAATTCCGCGAGACAGACCAATTTGTTGATGAGGCTAGTTTCATCGAGGCCCACGCCACCACTTCGTAGAGCCTTCACGTAGGGCAAAGCCATCCTGCGTAGTTCGAGTTCACCAGTAGGCTCTTCGTGAACTACCTCAATGCCTTTCCGTGTGATTCCCAGAATGATAAGCCCATCACGGGAAGTATTCAGCTCGATTACAGCAGTATAAGGAGGAACTGCAGTAAAGACTTTCGGTATATCTAGCCGATAATGTGTTGCTAACATGAGTGCCCTCGAAGCGTTCGAGATCGATACGGATAGCTCTGCCCCGCTCCCCTGTCCATGAAGCTCTTCCAGCCCATGTTCATATTGTTTGATATCTCTCTCAATACGTTCCATGACTTTGCGCTTTTGTCCAAGAGTCCGACTCAGCATTCCTCTGTTGTCTCTTCGCCAAGAAACATTCTTCCTCAAGAGATCTCAGTTCCTTCCGTACTGTTCGTTCGACCGATTTGAGATCGTTGATCTGTCTGCTCAGAAAAGATTTAGCTGACCAGCGATCGAGGTCCTCAACAGTCGCCTCATCGTTGACGATGATCGGCTCCAACAGCGTCCTGGCAAATGAGTCTTCTGTAAACACGAGTGCCTGAGTAAGCCAGTCTGCAGCTGTCAAGCCCTAATCCGATGGACTCTTCTGTCCTGAATAGGCGGTAGTTTGTTGTCGCCAAAACTTCAACGCCACCCGAACGAAGCCGGCAAACAAGTTTGAATTATGAATCGACCATGGATACCTCGCCTTGCATCATGATCTCTCGCATGTCTTCTTTGCGTCTGCGACGATCTGTACGACCAGAGATACCAAGAAAAGGCTTTTGTCCGCGGTATGACTATGTTCCCATGTGGCTGCCACACAGACGCCGAACTTCCACTCTGTGCGGTCCATGTTGGGATGGTCGGAATTGAGCTGGTCAGGAAATGCTTTTTCAACCTGGAGGAGAATGTCGAGACCCCTGGTCCAGTCATGTGAAAAGATAACACAACGAGATGGCCCGGTCTGCAGCGTTGAAGTCGATTTTCGCCTTGTTGGAAATGGAAAGCCCCTCAAACTGCACTTCACGCAACTCTGAGTCGACCAAGTTATTCGCGCAGCCACCAAATGTGGACGAGATCGCGCGTGGAACGAGCTGGCGAGCCTTTTCATACCTTTCGAGTAAAGAATGTACGATAACGTGGTAGGTCAGTCGAATATCTTCTGCGCGAGAGATTTGGGCGCTCCGCTCAAGGTATTCCACCATGCACTTGTTGAAACCTTCCAGATCAGATTCATCAATTTGACCAGGCCCTCGGTCGTGTAATCATCATATAAATCCTTCAGGTTGCATGCTGCTTCTATTTCTTTTAGTATCTCCAACATGTTGACTTGTTAACCAACGGTGTCAGAAAGACATTGTTTAGCCGTAATAATCTCCATTAACCCCAAATCCTTCCCAAGGTCGCGGTATTCATTGCGCCAGGTGTTGATAGCATTCGCATCGTTTGATGAACCGTAAATGGCCGACACAATGCGGTCATACCCCGTAAGCAGATTCAAAATTGGCATACCGAGCACCCTTGCGTTGTGGGCATCTCTCGACGAAAGTTCTTGAAGATATCTGAATACTCGGTTCTCCTGGCGAATAGTGTCGATCGCGACCGGCGCAGCAGTAAAGTTTCCACAGAGATACTTCAATTGAGCGTCTGACAGCTTGGATTGCAAGAGGTAAACCTTGTCGTCAAGGGCTTCAAAAAGAGCTTTGGCGCTGTCAATGCAAAGTCGTGCGAGGTCTGCTCTCCCTTGATCAAAAAAGAGCCGTCGCCCAAATCTCATCATCATGAAATCCAGCATTTGAGCTAGTACAGTATTCTCAGAAGTCTTTCCCCACGATCCGATCTCGGTGGCCCTGCTCTCGAGCCATAGGTGGTCACCCCGGCTGATGTCGAGCAGTAGCTTATGGCAGCGACGAACTGCAAGTGAGATTCATCCCAGGAGAAGTCGTCCTCTGCCGAGTACAGTTGAACTGCTGCATCACTGAACAAGGCGTCTGTCTCTTCCTGATTCCCCTCGGACGTAAGATGGAGTGCACTCATGTGCAAAATGCAAGCTCTTCGCAGAGATATCGCCCCACACACTCTGGGTGTAGCAATTCCCTGTACATGGGAAAGTGCGTTTGTGTAATGGACATCTGCTTCCTTGTGCTGCTTTAGACGGAAGGAAGGCTCAACTTTGTCCCATTCTTCATTATCCCACCCTGACAATCGACCTTCCAAAATCATATCCAGCACCAATGGACTGGTAAAGGGGGGAGAGACAGTCCTGTCACCTAGGATGATCTGGTAGCTAGCCAGACCAACGAGGTCGTGATCCGTTTGGTAGAGGCGATAGAGCTCTGCGAATGCAACAGCCGGCTGAACCTGGGTATCTCGCGGACTTATTTCACACTTCAACCGTGTAAAGTACGCAAGAGCAGGCGAAAGTGCTGAACGGGTGACCAAGTTAAATAATCCAGACGACGGTGTGTTCTGAAGAAGTGTTTTGTTTTTTTTTTTTTTTGTTTTTTTCAGCTGCTCCTTTGAAGCCTGCATTAGCAAATCTCGGATGCAAACAAGCGGATACCCAAGCTGCGATGTATGAGGCGTGGAGCTCCTGAAGTACTTGAAACTCGCACTTGTCCACGATGGAACGTCGTTGGATACATGGGGATTAAAGAGGCAGCCTTGCTTTCATTCCCAAACTCACACTCGTGGATCGTGGACGCGGAACCCTCTAAGTTGGATCGAAACCGAACGACAGGTAATGTCAACCTAGAAACCAGATTCAGACGTTCATATAACCTGAGCCGGACTTTCTACCTATCATCCAGACTAGCTTCGTGCTCGAGAATCTTGTCGAAGCACGCCTGACTTTGACCATATTCACCACGCAGTATTTCGAAAATCCCCCTCAGAAGACATTGTCGAGCAAGGCCTTCCAGTGTAGGACGAGGCTGTGACCGTTCCGTTTTCTGAATGCACGTTTCGATCTGTCTGAAGTCGCCTCGATACTCTTCTGCGAATATCGAACCCCCAAAGAGCGTTGATATCTCATTGAAGTCCATTGCACAAAGCGGCCTTTGCAGAAATTTCAACTCAACAATAGTGGCTGCCCATGGAGTGAGAGGACAACAACTATAATAAGCCGTTCCTCCACCTGGACCACTGTGACCGAACAGTGTGGCACATTCACCGACGCACAAGGCTGGAATATCAAAAGCCGAGGTCGAGGCTTTCGGGACTGGTCGCGTTGGAGGAGGGCAGACCTGGGAGAACAGCAATATTGTCGTCGCCAAGAGCGGCAAGCGAGTGGAGATTCAAGGGTGTGTAAGATGGTCTCCCTTCCTGCTCAACTGGTCCACTGCTGCTGCTAACCAGCGTCCGGGGTATTGCAGTCATAAAGTCAGAGACTTCGTTCAGCAAAAGGTTCTTCCAGCGCCCGGAGTCAAAGAAAACCTCAAACGATGGCTGACAATTTCTCGGACAAAATACCTGCTCACGAAAGCAGGACTTAGGCCGAAGCCGGAAATCTGGTGTCTGACGGGATTGTTCGAATTGAGCGACGTCACTGTTACGACAGTGTTTAGGAAGAATCCCTCGGTTGGCTTCAGCATCAGCTCGGCCATGGTCGCGGCGCTGTCGGGCGGCACAGTGCCTATTGGGGCCACGGTCGAGCCCGGTCAGGATGTTACTGTCAAATGTGATGGCAGATATCCAGAGACACGGGTGTGGGCGGCGCAATATCAGTTGATCAATTCCATGCCAGTGTTAAGAGTTGAAGGCGATGAGGCTATCCCAATCAACTACATCGAGGTGTGCCCAGACTATACCTATACCAAAGGGAAAGTTCTTGGGGACGAGGATGACCAAGATGAGGCATTTGAACTCGAGGTTGAACCTGTCGATGAGGAGGAAATTGACGTGGATGGGTTTGATGGCGGGTATTGGGAAGCTTACCGTGAGGCCGAGGAGATGACGAAGAAGCTCAATGGATTAACGGACGCTAATGCTTGAAAAGAACAGTACATATGAGCCTTGTGAGACCTAGCCGCATTTGATCTACCGAGTAGTTCTTCGTCTTTCCCATTCGATCTACGAGGTAGCGAGCAATGAACCGTTGCCTTGTCAATGTTAGCATTGGCAAGCTCACTAAATGAGCCACGTCAGTCAGTAATAGATCAAGGACCACACTGTCAATTCTGTGAACGGACGATGAGATTAGGCAGGAAGAGATCAGCAGCTGCATAACCTCTACAACATCTCAGTACAGTCTTCTGGGATGTTTTCTCGGCACACTCGACAAAGAACATCGATCCCAACGCTCTCGACCTGCCGATACTCGCATCGACCGCGCGCTCATTTCTTTCCAGAACCCGGTCTATAATCCGCAAGAGAAGACACTGCCCGATCCAGTTCAATCCACGCTATGCTGATATACTTTTCTTTCGACCTAATCTTCGCCCACGTCAAGCTCTTTGCCACAGCTTTGCGGGAACGAGCGGAGATCTTGCGTCAATGTCCTTGAAAACTTGTATTTGTACAATCCGAGGATGTCTTGCATATTTCCACCCTCCAATCCTCATCGCGCTCCCCAGCCGAACACTGCGCGATGCATTTTGTCAAACCGAGCTATTACCGTAAAGTCCAGCAAGCATTGTACACATGGGGCGACAGGGCTCATCATAGAGCTGTTCTGTTAAAATGCGCTGTTGTCCTCAAGTCTTCTTTTTTGGTCCAGAGATCATTGGGTATAAGCGGCCTAGATGATGGTTTATCGTGGATTTGCCTTTCGGTGGGGGTTTCTGCCGCGCACGAGGTCAGTCAACTGTATGGTGATGTCGAGAATGGGCGTGAAGCCCATGAAGATGGTGGAATATGCGCGACGTACAGGTGCATCCATGCAGTCTCGTAGAGCTTTCTCAAGGTGTCCGCAACCTCCTGAAGCGGCACCCGCGGCCCAGCAATCTGTGATCAATTACGTTAGTATGCATTGGAAGTATCATATAGTTCCTCCAGCTCTCCGCATTACATTCGTGGCGCCGCCACAATTTTTATACCCAGTTTCGCTTTATCATCCCACCTCTTGTGCCCGTACCGGTTTTCAAATCTGCCAAAACACCCCAAACTTCTCTGAGAGAAAGGCGGTAGGTAGGGACATACTCAACATCGCAGTCATGGGCCCCAGGCACGGGTTCGGTTCCTGCTTGTCCGGGTGTCTGATTTTTAACCGCGACACGGTCTGTAGGCGGACTGGGTTGATTGCTGTCGAGGAACCGCGGGGAGGCATCCTGTCTGGGGTTCGTAGAGTATACGCAAAGAACGAGAGTCGAGAGTTGGAAGGATGGCGAAAGATGAACTGGGGGAGGGAAGCTCTTGATAGATGGTGGAAACTGAAAGGGGGCTTCTGAAATACCCTCGCTGGTGGGGCAGCATGCGCTTGCTAAGGATGTCTTATTCGACAAGGCATGGGAATTCAGAGCTGTGGCCGACAACCCCAAAGAACTTGAGACGGTAGATGCAGGTAAAGGAAAACTGTACTGAAGCAGTGAGCAAAAGTGGAAATTGCGGCAAAACTTCGGTGACGAGGCTGTAGCCTTGCATTCAAGGCGCAAGGCTTTTGGGGATAAGGCTGCATCATAGACAGACCACTCCAGACACCGAGTACCTTGCTGTTATTTTCCTGTTGTATAGATGCGCAGAATCCATAAATGTATTGGTCTATATCCAAGTTACATGCACACCGCATCCCAAATCCATATCGCCTGAGAGGAAGAGTTGGCCTGATGGTAAAAGGGTACTCCAATCGACTCTCAGAATAGAGTCATTCGAGTCACCATAATACTTATTGTCACAAGGGTGTTCAAGAGCAACCACAGGATTTGGAATTATTTTTCCTCCTTCGCCCTGGTCATCGGAAAATGTCATCAAAAGTCATCTTCCCAATTCGAGTACTGTCACTGGTCGATACTCCAGCTTGAACACCGAGAATGTTGTGATGAGTATTAAAAACTGGACCCATGTACCCATCCGACAGCATGAGGCGGTCTGGATCATTGCAAAAGGCTTCGAATGTTGTGTCATCCGCAAACCCGAAGTCCTTGAGTCCCTGGGTCCTGTCCATGCTCCATTGTGTTGTATCCAGCTGAGCCATTTCGTGGAATAAGGCGTCAATCTCGTCTCCGTTGAAGCTCGGAGATGTCGCCAACCCCGAAATGTTGGCTTTTTTCGTCACCAGATCGGGGCCAAGGCTAGCCTCATTATTCTCTTCAGGCAAGTCAACGCTCATAGCACTATAATCCATAGACATCGACCCAGTCTGCTGGGACTGCTCCACTGCACTTGCATACTGAGGAATGTTCTGATATTGATGAAAGGCCACCGGCTGCCTATCATCAGCTCCAAATCCGCCAAGGTCTCCGCGGCTGCTTGAAGCAGGCCGCAAACTGGTATACCTTGTTTGTGTCTGTAAGTCACTGTTGGCTCGGAGCTCTGGAGCTGGATTGGAATGGCCTGGCGACAAGATCCGAGTATCAGCATCATCAATAGACTCCGCTCCCGGCCAGACCGCGGCCAACCTCGACCGAACCTTGGTCGACCGCTCCAGAAGTAAAGCTTGAGCAGCAACGACCGGCGAAGAGGTGTCGGATACTGCATCGGTAAAATAGCAAAGTGGTATTAGCATGGATGGAACGCCACATTTGTCCAAAAGATTCCACAAATGTTCAAATAATTCCAGGTTCTCGAGGAATTTCCACACGTGGCGCGGCGGGACCCCAATATTCGGTTGACGGTTAATCATTTGGATTGCAAAATAACATGCTTGTAAGAGCATTTGATGGGGCGGACGCTGCACCACGTCCGAGATCGCGAAAGGGTACCTCTCGCCCAGGAAGTTCAGTTGTGATATGTGGTGCTGGGTTGCTGGTGTTCCGCTGGTCATCTGGGAGGTCTCGGTGCAAAACGCGCTACTGGCAATCATACATAGCTCTGTTAACCGGTTAAAGCAGCTCATCACGAAAGCTGGTTCTCGAAACTCAGCCCCATCATGACCAGTTGCAGCCTTCCACGGTTCCCATTCTTCGTGTCCGTCTTCTTCGAGGAGGCCAGTATGACGCAAATGGCCACTCTGAAGATGCGGCGGCCGTTTTAGACGGATTGCAATGATGGTATCCAAGACAAAACAACCTTGTAGGACTGCTTGCCATGTCTTCTCCCTCAAACTAGCGGATTCAGATCCAGACACCATTGTGCTTCCCTGTTTATTAAAGGTCGAGTCAAAATATGGAGCCACGGGAGTCTTCAGCGGGATTGCTTCTGGTCCCATAGAAATAAGCAGAGCTCGTATGGCAGAGCCCAGTAACATCCAGGCAGACGTCCAGTCACCGAGGCCCATGTCAAGGAGGACCAGTAATAACAATGCCTGAACGTGACCGAGCGAAAAAGGTCCACTCTCGGCAGGTATCATCCTCCTCGCTAGAGAACGCATATCAGCAACGCTTGGTCCAGGTGTTGCATGAGGGTTCGTCCAAAGATGCCGAGTCTGTTGGTGAGAATAGGCACAAATGGCCCAGATGTAAGAAAGGTCAGTAGTGTCCAGAGGACGTCGTTTTTGAAGCCTAGTGTGTTCGTGGAATTTCCGCAACGTAGAAGGCCTATCCAAGATGGGAAACCAACAGTGGGTGAATGTGAAGTACTGATCCAAAAGACGTGAGGCTGAAGGTGGAAGTGGCACTTCCTCCAAATTGGTAGTGCTAGGATGGTTCTGAAACAGAGACTCTCCGAAGCTAGGTCCAAGAGCGTTTACATTGAGATTACCAGCAGCCTCGTGACTTTCTGACACGGCTATGACCTTGAAATCCGGTGTGAACACAGCACTATCGCTTGGAGTGTCGTTCAGAGACTGCGCTGCCTCCGCATCGTCTTCGCAGTCTCGCTTCCGCTTTTGGTGGATCGAAGGGCTATGCTCGAGGCGAGACAGGAGCTTTTCCAGCTCTGGAAGCACGTTTGATTCCTTCCACGCTGTGTGAAGATCATCCCCGAGCTTATGGTGGTTCCATATTCGCAGCAGCTCGTCCTCGTTCTGATTGACCACAAGCCGAACTGTAGCATCTAGGCCCTGCACCTTTTGTAACATGACAGCCCATAATTTCTCCAGGCCACGGACATATCCCTCTGGAAGTCCTCTCTTCTTGCTCCCTGCCACGTACAGACACGGTTGTCCGGCATTGAGACAGTTTGAACATTCTGGCTGGCCATCACATCGGTCCTTGCGGGCTCGACAGCGGGTACAGGCGCGTGCAACGCGGGCTCGTGATCGCTTCAAGGCGTCTTCTTCGTCGCTAGTCCGAGTCAGTCTCCTCTCTGCGTAGGTGCTACGTGAAGCCATCACGAGGAGATAGATGCGCGACAGCCATGTTCAAAGGAACGGCTATCTTCTAGGAAGAATTGAGCCGAGACAAGTCAGGGCCATGAAATGCCTTCTCATCATGGAGTCGTGGTAGAGGGCGATTCTAATGGCTGGTCTGACAGGAGTCTTAGTGTATTCTGAATCCCGCCTTGGTTGATGTTTCCCGGATAAAGCACGTGCCTGCGCACGGAAGCTGCACCCACTGAAATCAACCTCTTCCACTCGCCAAACCAGCAGCACCACAGGTGCCCAGGGCAGCCCACTGGCCACAGCGTCCACCTAGGTTCACAAGACATGGCTATTTGATCTGGCATTTCTTTAGTTTCCCCCATTCGAATTTCAACATGACCGCCAAGGTCCCAGAACTACAGTCGAAGATTGACCAAGGATGAGTGGTTACTATGGAGGCCCAAAGCCGAGTTAGTCAACTTGAAGAGAATGGATTCAACGAAGCTTCGCACCGCGGTCAGTCTCGACCTCCAGCGTCTGGCACAGCCTCGCCACATCCAATGGCCAGCCGATCTCCCTCAGCGCAGCACATGCTCGACGCTCTCCAGGACGAGTCTACCTCGCCGGGAACTCCGAATCGCTTTGTGAAGACACCAGCTCCAGACGCGTCGACATCTGGACGCCTCTTTCACCCCGAGGCTTCTCTTGTCCTGATTGGAATCAGGGCATCTGGAAAGCGATCCTTAGGTCTCATTGCAGCCACTGCTCTCGGCCGGCGATTCGTGACCGAGGACCATTATTTCCAGAGCATCAATGGCCTTTCGAGACAAGACTATCTCAAAGTCCACGGCAGTGAGCAATTCCATCAGCAAGACATTGAGACTTCCAAGCGAATGCTAGAGGATAATAAGCACCGATGCGTCATCGATTGCGGCCTCGGAAGCCTCACAAGTGGCCTCCAAGATTATTTGAGACGCTACAGCCAAACCAACCCTGTGGTGTTCGTGCTCAGGGATATGGACCAGATCAAGGCAATTCTCAACCTGGACGATCGAGCTGCAAAACTCCTTGAGCATGGTAACTCAACCCATCGGAAGTGCTCGAATTTTGAGTTTTACAACCTAGAAGATGAATCTATGAACGGCTCTGCAGACCCCGACACGGCAGACCGCGCGTCGCCAAACTACTCTTTCAAACTCAGAAATGCTCAGGCCGATTTTTCGTCTTTTGTTCGATTTATCGCCGGTTGTAGATTGACTGATCCGGCCCTGCTATCTCCGTTCTCTTTGGATGGCCCTGTCGAACTACGGACCTATACTCACGCACTTCTTATGACGCTGTCAGACTTCGTCGTTGGACGCGTGGACTTCGCAGCCCTGGAATCTGCTGGCGATGTCTTGGAGGTCTATGTTGACCGGTGGCAGCCGAGTATGACAAGGATGCTGAGCAAGATGGTGGCAGCCGCCAGAAGAGCGCTGGGAATACCCATTCTCATATCAGCCAGTCGCAGACTATCTGAATCCATGACAATAGAAACGTACATAGCAGTTCTGTTGCAAGGACTTCGACTCGGAGTACAGTACATCTCTGTTGATCTCGACCTGGATCCCAGCCAGATTGATCGTCTCAGAGCCATCAAGGGCCACACCAAGCTGATTGGCAACTATACCAACTACGTCTCCAAGGATAACGGCTGGAAAGGGACAACATTGTGGAAGATGTACCAGAGAGCCCTTGATTTCAAGTTCGATATGGTTCGCCTGCTCAACGTTCCAACATCTCGCCAGGACAATGACGCGGCGATGTGGTTCGCCGAACAATTGAAAGATCTTCCCGGGCCTCGACCTATTGCAACAATATATAATGTCGGATTTCTGGGGCGAACATCACAAGTCGTGAACCCTGTGTTGACAACGGTTACTCACCCCAGCCTCCCCGTGGCCGAAGCAGGTCGTGAACATGTCTTCCGGCCTTTGTTATCCTCCAAGCAGATCATCAGTGCTCTTTTCGACAGTTACATCTTCGATCCTCTCCAATTCTACGTCGTCGGAGCCAATGTCTCTTTATCTTTGTCGCCAGCAATGCACAATGCTGCATATAAGTTCCTCGGCTTAAAACACCACTACAGCACGAAAACCATCACTAGCTGGGCAGATATCGAAATGCTTGCTAAAGATGACACCCTAGGCGGTCTGAGTGTGGTGCAGCCATACAAGGTCAAACTGATTCCTCACATGCATGCGCTCAGTGGACACGCGAAAGCTATTGGAGCCCTCAACACACTGATTCCCCTCCGGCAACAAGCTTCCGATCTTACCCCTTCGTTAGACGTACAAGCCCAGCTTAGGAATCGCGCAGGAAAAATCACCGGCTGGTTTGGTGAGAACACTGATTTCATAGGCATAATGAACTGCGTTAGCAGAAGTCTATCTCCACGCAATGTAATCCAGCCGAAGACCACCAGCCTGGTGATTGGTGCTGGAGGCATGGCAAGAGCTGCAGTCTATGCAATGGTGCAGATAGGCTGCAAGCACATATTTGTTTACAACAGGACTATCTCAAACACCAGATCTCTAGCTCGCCACTTCAATGACTGGGCTCGGGCTCAGACAAGTGGAGTAGCATTAACGAGTCCCCACGAACCGGTGAAAGTTATCGAACATACCACCGATCCTTGGCCTGCAGACTTCGCGCCTCCGACTATTGTGGTGTCTTGTGTTACACATGAGCTCCTCGATGGGAATCTAGGCGCTGACTTCGAGATGCCAGAGCAATGGATGCAATCACTAAGCGGTGGCGTTGTTGTTGAAATGGCATATATGACAAAGGAGACGCCACTGATCAAGCAGATTAAGCGATTCCGAGAGTTAACGCAGAGACCATGGGTTTTGGTCAATGGCATCGAAGCCCTGATTGAGCAAGCTGTCGGCCAATTCGAATCAATGACTGGAAGGAAAGCGCCAAAGCGTTGCATGGCAGACGCCGTCGACGCGACAATCCGACAAAACACATCGTATCTGGTTGATAGAGAGGAATTCTTCGCATGAACAGCATATTTTACTGGCTTCTTCACATTAGGACCACCAACCATCAGGGGAAGCCACTTCATGCGAGTACAAGTTGCGGCAAATTAAGGACATTGCTGCTTATTGCTTTTCAGTGTACATTGGTCATCTGTCTCTGCACCTCTTCTCGTGCCACATCACGCAGCCTGCCGTCGATCTCAATGCCGGTCCACAGGCTTGCTTGGGCAAGTCCTTGACCTATCATGGCTTCAATACCACCGATTACCTGCCAGCCTGATTGCAGAGCAAGTCTGGATAATTCAGTATCAGGAGACGGGTGATAACACATTTCCAAGAAAGCACCCTTCTCGTCGCCATCCAAAAATATGGAGAGGATCTCCCTGACAGTTTTCTCTGCCTCCGTTACAGGAGTGAAGTTTGGGACTGCACTGACCACTGCTCCTGGTGACGGCAGTGTTCTGGCTTGGTCTGTCGTGGAGACGTATATCAGATTATCGCTGACTCCACGAATTCGACATTCCTGGAGCACAGCTTCCACTTCACTGGCATCACGGTTGATGATGTATATGGGCGAACAACCCATGAATTGCTGCAATGCATACACGGCTGCTCTGCACGTGCCGCCACCTCCAACGACGAGACCTGGCTTCTCTCGATAGGGAGAGCCTTCAACATTTGTGAGAAAGGCGTCCCGGATCCCCAAACAATCAGTATTCGTGCCGCAGTACAGCCTGGATCCGCTTGGGCCAGTCTTGAAAACAATCGTATTCACAGCTCCAATCGCATTCCCTTCGTCTGTGAGTTCATCGAGATAAGGGATGATGGCAACTTTAAACGGCATCGTCACACCGCTTCCCATGCATTTTTTATCACTCTTCAGAAACGTCAAGAAACTCTCGAGGTCGGTCGTTTCGCAGAGAACTTGGCCCCATCTTTGTCCGACGGCCGAGTAGATGGCATGATGTAATGACGGTGATTTCGAATGGGCGATGGGATAGCCAACAAGATACGCGACACGATCATAAGAGGAGGTATCTGGAGGTGAGAATCGTGCCATCGCTGAGTGTTGGCCGAAAAAGGGGCGTTTGATATGTGATGCTGATTCTCTTCGATTGCCGAGAACTCCTTTCCCTGGAACACAGAAATTACCAGTCCATCAAACTGTCTGTTGGTTTTCACTATCCTTAAAGAAGCTGTTGAGATGAAGGCGCTGCTGCTGGCACGGGAGAAGTCCTCTCTCTCTCTCGTCGATTGTACTGGAATATCCCTGTTCCTCCTACAAAACACCAAGACCGGCTCGCTGGCTTTGCAACCGGTTTGTGCATATCCGATGCGTTACAACGCAAAACCCGCCATGCTGACCAGCCACGTTCGGATCTTCCCCGCAACCTATTACAGAAAGTCCTTTGGGCTGACGCGAAGGCAAAATTTTGCGGGATAAATTCTTTTCCGCCAGTTCGCCCCTCCCTCGGAATGATCCCGTTGATGCATATTGGCTGGTCACCCGTGCTCCACATCTAGTGGCTGATCCTTGCTGATGGAACTGGCAGGCACAGACGATGAGCAGAAGAGGTCAATCAATAACCCCGGATGCAGAGCCACCAGCAGCTCGTAGAGAAAAATTATTCTCCGGGTGGTCGTATTTGGCAATCTTGAGATTCCAACGGGCTTCTAGATCATCGAAGCTCGCGCTCCCCACCCTCCGCTCTTTTGTATACTTATACTCCGCTCATTCTCTTGCTCCCCAGACACCTCCATCCGCTCCTCGAGATCAAATCTCCTCTGATTATTTGAATTGTCGGCCACATCAGTCAATATGGGTCTCCTGCATTTGGTTGAAGACCGTCCCACTCCCAAGACCATCTACAACTGGAGGGTTTACTTCTCTGCGGCGGTAGCTGCCTCTGCTGCCATGATGATTGGGTATGATTCCGCGTTCATCGGCGGCTCTATTGCTTTGAAGTCGTTCAAAGACGAATTCCACTTCGGCGATCTCTCCAAGTCGGCAGTCAACCTCCTTTCGGCCAACATTGTTTCTTGCTATCAAGCCGGTGCCTTTTTTGGCGCCTTTTTCGCTTATCCTGCTGGCCACTTCCTTGGACGAAGGATCGGACTGCTCATCTGTGCTGCTGTTTTCATTCTCGGTGCTGGGATGATGTTAGGAGCCAATGGAGCCCGTGGGTTGGGCCTCATATATGGAGGTCGCGTGCTCGCCGGGATGGGCGTTGGAGGAGCGTCAAACCTCTCGCCGATCTATTGCTCTGAGGTCGCCCCTCCCGCCATCCGTGGCCGGCTGGTTGGATTATATGAGATGGCATGGCAAATTGGAGGACTGGTCGGATTCTGGATTAACTACGGCGTCTCAGAGACCATGGCACCTTCCCATGAGCAATGGATCATTCCGTTTGCTGTACAACTCATCCCCGCTGGCCTCCTGTTCTTGGGCGCATGGGTCATTAAAGAATCGCCCAGATGGCTCTTCTCCCGCGGACGCCGTGAAGAAGGAATCAAGAACTTATGCTGGCTACGAAAGCTTCCGGCCGATCACATCTACATGCAAGAAGAAATTTTCGCTATCGACAACGCTATCGAGCACCAACGCTCTACTGTCGGTTTGGGCTTCTGGCAGCCATTCCGAGCCGTCCTCACAGACCGCAGGGTCACTTACCGCTTCCTGCTTGGTGGTTCCCTCTTCCTGTGGCAGAACGGTTCGGGGATCAACGCGATCAATTATTATTCTCCCACGATATTTGCGTCGATTGGGATCACCGGGACCAACACTTCTCTCCTAACTACCGGTATCTTCGGCGTCATCAAGACCGTCGTTACTCTGTTTTGGCTCTTCTTGCTGATTGACAAATTGGGCCGCCGCGCCCTTCTCATGTACGGTGGCGTCGCGGGCTCTCTCTGCATGTGGTATATCGCAGGCTACATCGCGGTTGCCAAACCGGCAGACCATCCAAGCGATACGCTCTCGTCGGGTGGCATTTCAGCTATGGCTTTCTTCTATTTATGGACCATTGTGTATTCGCCGTCGTGGAATGGTGTCCCGTGGGTTTTGAACTCGGAGATGTTCGATCAGAACGTGCGAACGCTCGCTCAAGCCTTTGCCGCTGCAAACAATTGGTTCTGGAATTTCATCATTGCTCGGTAAGTTATCATCTCTCAAGTCCTCGCAAAGGGAAACTGGCTAACTTTCCGTGATACAGCTTCACCCCCCAAATGTTCGCCTCGATGTCCTACGGCGTGTACATGTTCTTCGCCTCTCTCATGCTCTTGGCAGCAGTCTACGTCTTCTTCCTAATTCCCGAAACAAAGGGCATTCCGCTCGAGGCCATGGATCGGCTCTTCAGCAAGGAATACCCCGCGAGACGCGCACACCAGATTGTCTTCAGCCAGATTCGCATGGAGGATCAGGAGTTCAGACGGCAGAGTATTGGTGGTGACAAAGAGTCTGTTGAAGAACGCGAGGTGGCTGTCGAGAAGGTGTAAATTGGAAATGACGCAGATATTCTGCCACTCCTAGAACCGAGCCGGAAAAGGAGGCTGGTCCCAGTGATGATTTCAACCGTTCCAAAGCTTGCGGTGAATGGATTTGTGAGTGGAAGTCTACCTGTGCATATTATCCTCTACCGTTTGAGATAGGAAGATGTATCTTTTTTCCTCATCTCTTTATTTTTTTCGTCCAGAACAGGACTGGACGCAACTATTAGATTGGAGCCATTATACCGTTATACAGCTGATGTAAAGAAAACGGGGATTATACCTCGACCCGCCATGCCTATATTACTAGACGTACCATGTCGATATGGATGCACAGTGCTCTCACCCAAGATATTGTAAGCTGATTTTTTCTCTATCCGAAAGACATGTCCAACCTCTTCTTGCGTTGCTCCCTCTACATGTATATAGGGTAGACCGTAGCCGACCTCGCCCTCCTCTGTAGACAATCCACAGGTTCGACCTTCTCAATCTCTGACGTTCCCCGTCCCCCCGGGGGGTTTTTTTTTTTTTTAGGCAGATCCTAAATCATCATTGTAATAACCACGGTACACAGTTTTCCTCGCGGCCTGAATGGAATCTCTATATGCTTCTTCTCCTTGGTTTGGGTCCTCATCGTCATTCTGTCTTATCCCAATTCTTATCCCAACTCCTATCATCATCGTCATCTCAATCCTCATCCCAATCTTCTTTTGTTCTCCTCCTCGTCCTCCTTATCCCACCGGTGCGCCCAAAACTCCAAGGCCGCCCGGTACCCGTACGCCCCGAGCCCCATGACCACGCCGACGGCCTTGTCCGAGAAGTACGAGTGGCTGCGCCAGGGCTCGCGGGCGTGGATGTTGGAGATGTGCACTTCCACAAAGGGCAGCGACGTCGCGAGCAGGGCGTCCCGGATCGCGACGCTGGTGTGTGTGAAGGCTGCGGGGTTGATGATCACGCCTATCCTGGGAGACGTCGTACGATCCTCGGGCGAGCTCGTGCTTGTATCCTTTTTGTTGGCGGTCTGGTTCTCGGCAGGAGCAGACAGTGATGACTGTGCTTGTGGTGGCGGGATGAAATGAGACTGTATAAAGTCGACAATCATACCCTCGTGGTTCGACTGGAAGGGAACCACCTCGATGCCGAGCTCCTTGCCCCGCGACACGGCCGCGGAGACCACGTCGGCCAGCGTGGTTGAGCCGTAGATCTGCGGCTCCCGTGTGCCCAGGAGGTTGAGGTTGGGTCCGTTGATCAGGAGGAGTTTCCTCCTCGGCCGTTGGGGGAAGGAAGAGGGACTAGACATCATTCCCTGGGGAGTGCCGCGTGATATGGTGGGATTTGAGGTGTATTGCTTTCGAGTTAACGAGATGAAGCTGTGTAATATGTATAATATCTCCACTCTGCTTTTAGACGAGGGACTTGGTAAAGACCTCGTCGCTCGATGATGACGCGGAAGTTGGGACCCAGTTCAGTTCGCAAACCCGCGAGATAGGTGGAGGGAGGTATTAATCTCTCAGACTTGGTGTCTTGACCATGTCTCTATCGCTCTCAAGGATCTCGTGAAAGAGGTTCATTCGAAGAAACGAAAAAGAGCAAGAGAGTCGGAGTCCTCATTCAAGATGGCATGACAGAACCATATTCTTCATAGTATGTATGGGCGTATCTATGAGCAGTAGTAGTCGAGCACCTACGCATGTGGAGAGGACGCTTTGTCCTTTCCACGTATGTATTCACTAATGGGCGAAGGATAAGAACGAGTAGTCCGTTGCGATGCATTGCGAGAAAGTGGGAACGGAAGCGGAGGCGGAAGAGGTTCGAATAGCCCGTCTCACACTGGCGGCAGAGAACTCGTCCGAGAAATAGAGACAGAGAATTTAAGGAGGAGGGGTAAGGGGAAGAGGATCCGATGATGATGGTCATGATGATGGTCATTGGGGGGGGGGGCGATGTCGGGAATTGAAAACCGTGAATAACCGACTATCGTCCCTGGAATCCGTCGGCCATGCAGATGGGTGCTTGTTCATCAGGTCCCGTGTTCCAGCACACAAACACGAAGGTGAGAATTGTAAGTTTGTCAGTTACCACGCTCCCGAGTAAACATGTCAGAAGACACGAGCGAGCACGCCCTCTCGGACGGGGAACTGGCCGAGACTTATGCCTTTGCCATCCAGCTGGGCAAAGACGCGGGACAAATCCTCCTGGACAGTCTGCACAAAAGACGCCGGGATGGGAACGAGGACGGGCTTGGAGAAGACCTGCTGGTGATGCAGGAAAAGCTCAACGCCGTCGACATCGTGACTGAGACAGACACTCGCGTCGAGGAATTCATCCACTCGTCCATAGTGCGCAAGTATCCGGCGCACGCCTTCGTCGGTGAGGAGATGTACTCCCAGGGCTTTTCCAAGGAATACCTAGTGACGGACAAGCCGACGTGGGTGGTCGACCCGCTGGACGGCACCGTCAACTTCACGCACGGCTTCGTCATGTTTTGTGTGAGCATCGCCCTGGTCGTCAAGCAGGTTCCCGTGGTGGGCGTCGTCTACGCGCCTCTCCTGAACCAGCTGTTCTCTGCGTGTCGCGGGCGCGGCGCCTGGCTGAACGAGACGACCAGGCTGCCTCTCCTGGGACGCCGAGGAGTCGGGCCAATCCCCAAGACCGCGCCATCGAAATGTATCTTTGCGTTCGAATGGGGCAAGGATCGCAGGGACACGCCCCAGGGAAACATGCACCGCAAGGTCGACAGCTTCGTCACCATGGCTGCTGAAGTCGGCGGCCGGGATGGTAAAGGCGGCATGGTCCACGGTATGAGGAGTCTGGGTAGCGCGACGATGGATCTCGCGTACACGGCCATGGGCAGCTTTGACATCTGGTGGGAGGGCGGGTGCTGGGAGTGGGATGTCGCAGCGGGGATTTGTCTGTTAAGAGAGGCCGGGGGATTGGTCACCACAGCGAATCCGCCAGATGATTACGAGGGCGCGAAGATTGAGGATGCAAAGTTGGGCGGGCGGCTGTATCTTGCCATTCGGCCTGCGAGTGATGGTCCCGATGGCGAGACGGCAAGGCAAGGGCAGGAGAGATGTGTCAGGGAAGTTTGGAGGAGGGTAAGGAGGTTGGACTATTCTAGGCCTGGCGCTTGATTGGAAACGTTTTTCCCGATGCGTCGTTCCAGAGGAGGGCATGTATATCATATATATATATCTCTCTCTCTATATCGCTAAAGGGGTATCTGAAAGGGTATCTGAAAGGTATGCCACGGCGTTGGGAAGCTGCTGCCTCAAGCCGAATGTCCTCCACCGTGCAGAAGCTCATAATACCCACTCGTATCTGTGCATCTCAAATAATGCAGGACAAAGAATGATCCACCTCTTGAAAGTATATTTTGTTAAGGCCGGGGACTTGAACACGGAGAATCATCAGAGACAATCGAATGCGAGTCGGTGATGCTAGAGATGCTGATGCTGAGAAGCATGGTCAGTGTCTGCACGATGAAGGCCACGGGGAACCCACATACCGACGATCACGTAGGAATTCCGAGTCTATGCCAGCTTGTTGTTTGCTCCAGCCCATATACTCTGCCAATTTCTTCCATGCCACAGCTGCCCTTTTGGCGTGCTGCTCGGCTACCTCACTGCCAGGCCGATTCGCCGTCCGAGAGAACAGCTCAAACGAGACGTGTCCGGTATAGCCGGCGTCGCACACAGCCTGTAAAATCTCTAAAGCGGGGAGGTATCCCCCTCCCTCGAAGGGAAATAGTCGGGCATTTCGTGACCAGGACATCCGCACCGGCTGCTCAGGATCGTACCACTCATGCCCAGGCCCCAATGGAACGTCGAGTCTTTTGCCATCGCACACCTCGACATAAAACACCTTCTCCAACGCCAACGGAAGCTCGCTCCGTAGCTTCGAAATTGCCTTCTGGGTGTCTTCGAAGGCCGTGGGAGTCAAGCCCGACGGTGAAGCGGGATCGGCAAAGATTCGACCCGTAAGATTGAACGCGTCGATACAAGTTCCGAAATTTGGTCGGTCGACTTCCAGTACAATTGACCATGCAGCGTCCCATGTATCGACATGCGTTCCCCAAGCCAGGGCTTCGTATGCGAAACGGGTGGGAGGATCGTTTTGAAGACCGATCTCTGCAACTTGTCTTAGGTCCGCCACAATTCTTCCCCGGCTGCCCGAACATTGTGATGCAGGAAGGAAGCTGGATGGGATCTGGATCAGGTCTGTGCCTAGTCGCCGAGCAAGCTTGATCCAGAAATGCAGGTCCTGGATGGCTACCTCGTGGAACGCCGAGTCCAGCCGGCCTTCGTAGTGCATGAACGGTTGAAGACATATGATTTGCAGTCTGCAACGGATACAGAGGTCGTGGATGTACTGGGCCGCCGCAAGTTGACGTTCTTGCAGTTCCGTGGAATCGGCAAAGGAGGTACCCGGTGGCAGCGCCGGATGTGAAGCAGGCAAGGCCTTTGCGACGGCCTCGAGGTCCTCAAAGAAGAGTTCAATGGCGTCGAATCCGTACTTCTCGCACAGCTCGAGCTTGTGCTCCAGGCTGTGGTACCGGACTCGGCCTAGAGATTGGGAGGCGATGGTTGGAATGAATCGCGACCCCATGGCGGCGTTGAATCAGCGGTGGAAAGATATGAGGCCCCTTGCTATCCTCGCTAAATCAGAGGAGATTTGGTCTCGTCAACAGACATTAAAAGGATCTATGGCTGATTGAACAGGAGAGCCGCACCCATCAAAGCATTTAAAGATGACTCCAAGAAGATCAAATGGCACCGCGCCAATGACCGGGATCCAATCGGTCTTTCACCTACCTTAGATACAAACACTGGACCCCGTTAGAAGAAGCCGTCGGCTGGGATTCTGACAAGACTTCGAATACAGTTCATCCGCCTGCAGGGGTTACATCAATGGACGGACGATATCTAGGGCAAGAAAATGGACCTAGAACAACCCAAAATCCCATGCGAGGTTGGCCGCCGGAGCCCCAGGATGCCATTGCCGGGCGGAAAAGATCTTTCCCGCCATCCCCGTCGTGAATCGGGCCGAATGACCGACTCCATTTCAGGAGGAACAGACGCCACGTAACATTCTGACTTAGCTTGCAAAGGAAGGAGTGGACAGCGCGGGACCCTCGTGAGGTTTGCCCTTAGGAGGCTGCGCAGAGAGAGGGAGTATGAGAGGGAGCATAGGAGAGAGAAGCGAGCTTGACTCAGGACTTCATCGCGGACAGCAATCAGGAGGAAGACGAATAGGAACCGTTCGGAATGAAATATATATACAATTTTATTCCACGTCTTCTCTCTCGGGCGCAATCGCAGGAAACGCCCACACGCTCGAACCGCGCAGCCTTGTGCTGCTCAGATATCAAGCCTCCTGATCAGTATCGGAAACTCAACCCTGAAAACTTCATGCGAGATTTCACCTAGCAATCACCACCCCTTTATAATTTACTGCCCGGGTGCGATGAGCAGCCCTTTCTTCGCAGAGTCAGGCTCCCATCCACCAGCCAAAGACTCTCCACCCACAGTCGTTGAGTATTCTTTGATGCGTGCCTCGAGCTGGGGTCTGAAGTGGCGAATAAGACCTTGGATAGGCCATGCGAAAGCTTCGCCCAAGGCTGGAACAGAGTAATTAGTGTCCGTGTTCATACCGAAGCGGCAGCAGGATTAGGTTGAGGACACAAAAGGCTTACCGCAAATACTGTGCCCCTCAACTTGCTTGGTGAGTTCTTGCATCATATCAATCTCTCTCGCTCTTGCCTGGCCCTTTTCGAATCTCTCCATGATCTTCGCTGTCCATGCACTTCCTTCTCGACACGGCGTGCACTGCCCGCAACTCTCATGTTTGTAGAAAGCGCTCAATCTGGCAATCAACCTTACCACATCGGCAGACTTATCCATCACAATCACAGCCGCGGTGCCCAAGCCAGATTGGCTATCCTTCAACGCATCAAAGTCCATCAACTGGTCGTCGCAGACATGCTTGGGCAGGATGGGCGTCGACGACCCGCCAGGAATGATGGCCTGCAAGTTATCCCAACCGCCGCGGACACCGCCACAGTGTTTCTCAATCAATTCCCGGAGAGGAATAGACATTTCTTCTTCGACGGTACATGGGTTGTTGACGTGTCCAGATATACAGAACAATTTTGTGCCCTGGTTGCGCTCGCGGCCAAAGCTGGCGAACCATTTGGCGCCCCGTCGGACAATGGTGGGGCACACTGCCACCGTTTCGACATTGGTGACGGTCGAGGGGCATCCAAAAAGGCCAACTGCTGCAGGGAAAGGAGGCTTGAGACGAGGCTTTCCAGCTTTCCCTTCGAGCGATTCGATCAGCGAGGTCTCTTCTCCGCAGACATATGCACCCATGCCTCGGTGCAGGTATACGTCAAAGTCATATCCTGAGCCGCACGCATTCTTGCCGATCAACCCTTCTTTATACGCCTCTTGAATGGCGCGCTGGAGAACAGTGGCTTCGTGGTAGAATTCGCCTCGGATGTAGATGTACGCTGCGGTGGCGTTCATGGCGCGACCAACCACCAAGCATCCCTCGACGAGTTTGTGCGGATCCTTGCGCATGATTTCTCGATCTTTGCAAGTTCCCGGCTCGCCTTCGTCGGCGTTGACGACCAGGTAGCGCGGTTTCTTGTCGTTTTCCCAGCCTTTGAAGTTCATGAATGACTATCATCCCTCGGTTAGCACCCCGTCGTTCCTCTTGTTCTGTGCAAAGAAACATACAAATTTCAACCCGCTCGGAAATCCCGCACCACCTCTTCCTCTTAAACCTGAAGCTTTAATTTCGTTGATCAACCAGTCATGGCCCTTCAGCAGGATCTCCTTGGTCTTGTACCAGTCGCCATATTTCATTGCGCTCTTGAGATCTGTCCCATGGTGACCGTAGAGGTTTTGAAATATCCGATCCTGGTCCTTCAGGCCGCCATAGCGTCTCTGTTGAGGTTGTCCTTCTTGGACGGTGGCGTAGGATCGGCGGGATTGGAGGGTGGAGGAGCTGGTGGCGGCGATTGAGGAGTTGGCTGACCGTGAAGCTGTGTTGGAGGCCGCACGGGCCACGTTTCTCGCGGCAGACGACCGGACGATCATTTTCAGGGGGATGTGAGGACGGGGAAACACTCGAACGAGTGCGTGGTGGGATGGAGGAGGTGGTGGAAAAGCGTCAGGACGGGGAGAGTGCAGAGACGAGGCGAGGCGTCGACGACGAAATCAATGTGAGGTTCTTCGATATTGAGCTCCTCTGATTGGCTAAAAGCTTGGGTACATAGTCTTGCTTGTCATAGATACCTTGTGCTCGGCAATACTTCGGCTTTTCGGAATCACCATGTAAGCCTCGTCAATATCGAGACTAGCTAGCGAGTAGTATCTACCCAGAAATCGCTGATGAATGCCTCCCTCCCTGGTGCAAAGCTTCGTTCATACAAACTGCCAAAGTTCCAGCAAAATAACAACCCAGACTCATGCGAGGAGCACCCGAGTCGCCCCAGAAAAATGGTCGAGCGCTTTTTGGTAGACCCCCGAGACCCCTTCAGAATCACCCTAGTACCGCTGCCAATATATAAACAGAGAACTGCCATCTCTTGGTTCACTGGAATCTGCTTCTGCAAGATACGCAGGAACAGTCACCTTCTCTTCCTCCATGACATTCCATCCCCAGCATATCCTCTCTGGTCTCAGCCATCGTTTGACATTCGACTCCACTGCCATCATCGGGGACAGAGCAGCCCGAGCAGCAAGTAGGTCCATCAGTTCAGCTGGGGGTTCTTCTTCGGGTGTCCAAGGCCCAGGAGGCGGGACATATGCCCATGACTCGTTATCCGGTGGATACCATGTAACTAGCTGTTTGACCCATTCAGTGACTCTGTGTGGGAGTTTGACACCGTGAGCGTATTCGCTGTACAGCGCCGAGAGAGTGACCGCAAGACGACTTTTGATGAAATTTGCTGATCTGGATACCTCAGTCGGTCCATTACTATCAGCGTTGCTATGCAGCTGCTGGCTCAAATTGGCTAAGCATTTTCGCACGCACTCAGAATTGGGAATCATCTCAATCAAGCAATCCAGACTGAGGAGTTCAAGTGGCCGAGTGAGTCGAACGTGCTTTTCGTTCAGAAGCTTCAAATTCTCCAAAGCAGAAGATGAAACTTGGTCCTGCGTCCCAGTGAACATTTGCTCGGCGTCCGTGGCCCCACTGATGGCAGTTTTCAGCACAAAATTGCACAGGGCGACTGCTGTTTCGACGATCTCCAGCTGACTGTCTCGGTAGACCTTGGCGTTGTATTGTTTTGAGTTGGCAGGCTCTAGACCAGGAATAGTTCGACGGGGGTCTGTGTTTCTCAGCCTTTCCGCGCGCGCAATACATTCTCTCAGGAGTTGGCTCAAGGTCGCCAATATAATGCGACGGTCATCGAAATGGGCCTTATCGGCCAGGCAGTAGCTCATCAGTGACTGATTCCTCATCATCATGCTCTGAGTTTCGCGGTCGTTAGCGCACAAGATTGAGATACTGTCCAACAAGTCGAATGAGAAGAGCGACGACTCTAGTGCTAGCGCTGACGTCGACTCGGGATGTTTGTGGTTGAATATGAAACATCTCCTTTCGATGTCTGATCTGACGTCCTGTTTCCATGTTCGCCGGGCCACGTCCAAAAGCGACCCAGGCGGCGCTTTGATACTGACAACAAGATGGTCGAACGGGTTGTTTTCAATGGTGAAGCCGTATGCTAGAAGAAGAGCCTCGTTGTCCCGGGGACCGTAGTTGTTGCAAAGCTCCTGCCCCGACTCATAAGTCTCGAGAATCTGTAGACCGACAAAATGGTAATGGGCTTGCCATTCAACCTGGGCTGCCGGCCTATGATTGAGGAGATCAAGAAGTGGAAGTAGAACCGCGAAGCGGTCACCAAAGAGCTTGACAAGGTCGTGAGGCTGTTGTCGGCGTTGGATGGTCGCGCCGTGGATGGTCGCAAGATCAGCCGGGAGAGTTGCATCAAGAACCTGTGAGGTGAAAGAGCGACTGCCAAAAATTGTAGCTGCCCAACGAAAGCGAGGCCTGAAATCTTGCGTAAGTGGTGCTGGTTCAGAGAGAAGTGGTTTGTGCTGGCGTACCATGTGTAGGATCCGTTCAGCGCACTGACCCAGCCCAATTTTCTCAACAGGGCCGAGCCTCGCAAATACATGTCTCTCCATTTAGCATCTTGCGTGGAGACCCCACCTTTGAGATTGGTTCCCTCTAGCCACATGACATCCGCTTCCTCCTCAAACTGCAACACTGTGATGTCTTCCACTGTAGGCAACGTAGCAATGTAGGGAGCCCACCACGACTTCTCTCCAAGGATCAGTTGCTCCATCAAGAAGAAGGCTTGCAACGACTCGGGCGTCTCCGACTGATTGCGCAGGAAAGGCATTGGAAAGTGCGTGCCATGATTTGAGAACGGGGCAACGTCGAAAGCGTTGAGCACTGATAATGATACTGGCATTGGGCAACTGGCAACACGGGTTCCACTCACGAGAGATTGACCATCGGCGACGACAGCATGGTAGCCGTTGCGCGAGCTGAAGGCAATCCGAGCGTGCGGGTGCAAGTATCCTCCATTTTCGAGGACCCAATCAACGAGGTGACGATGGTTGTGGAAGACGTCTGCTGCTGCGGTATCTTTTGCGGCCATGCGCAATACAGGCGTAGAGCTTTTGGGCTTCTTGTCGATTGCATCTTGATTCAATGTAGTCTCATCGGGGTCCATGATGCATCCAATCTGCTGTGTGTTGTCAACGAAAAGAACATAAAACGATAATGCACGGTGAAGCTCAACGATCAAGAAAAAGTCTCGAATAGTGTGTAAGAGAAATCGGGAAAAACTATCCAACCACCGTCTATTTATGCCGAAGGAGACCGCGAAGAAAAAGTGACGAGTGTGTGAGACAGCATTAGATAGAGAAAGAAGTGGTATGTGGTAACCAGTCTGCTGTGATGAATGGCGCTGAAACAAAAATGAAAGAAAGTGCGGACCGAGAAAGGGTTGTGTGTTTTTTTCTGTGGTTGCTATTTATTCCTGCGGCAGCGGAGGAACATGTGCGTCTATTCGCCATCAGCTCGTAAACCGCTATGTCGATGCCATGCCACGCAGTGACAGAGATTCACTCATATGCGCAGTTGATGGTGAAGTTGAAGTTGAAGAGGATAGATGTAGGTATGTAGTCTCCCTTTTGGATATTGTAAATTGCTATGTATACTTGATGAGGAATGGTGTGTGTTGGCAGTGCAGTTTACGGGGAAAGGAGTACATAGGGAAGAGGGGAGCTGCTTTAACCGGAGCTTTAACGGAACCTTTAGTTAAGCAGCCGCGTGGGAGGGGGGACCGTCAGTGGGCAGTGGGTGCCTTCTGGGTGGCTAGTGAAGCCTCTACAGGTAAAACCCTTTAACTAACCTTAACGGCCATCGGCTGCACTTGCGCTTAAGTACTACGCTTAGCGGGGCCACTAAATAAAACAACATGACACGATCTGTCTTCAGCCTTGCACCTAGGTACTCCATGGAATTTTGGATATTCTGCCCTTGTTCTTCACACCATTGACGTTATCCGGAATCGCAAGCTCTTCGCTGATCTTGATGCAGCATGGTCCTACACACACTGTTGTTTTGTCAGCGCCTCGGTAGGCCCTTTGAGCGGCTCATGAGATATAACTCACATCTCGGATTTCGATCGGCAACATTGGGTAAGAGAGGGGCGGTGTGGTTATAGTCTGGTCGAGTCGACCGGTGTTTGATAGAAAGCCCAAAGCTTCCTTCCGGGTACATGGTCGAAACCGAGACCGCCTCGCCTCTTCCCTTTCTTCTAAAGAGCCTTGGGAACGTCTATTCTACTATGGGCCGCGAGCGACCAACTAAAGCAGCAAAGGGCAATCCTCGGGCATCTCCACCTACGAGTACGACGTACATAACCCCCCGTAATATGTCCTCTCCAATTCCTCCATATAAGGTATCAACCATTCCACGTCGCCACCCGCGAGCCCCCCCAAAGTTCGGCAGATCCAACGAGCGGACAACTCCTTGGAATACCTTTCGTCTCCGCCCTCGTATCAACTGGAGAGATGAACCTAATCAAATCGCCACCGAGATCGTCCGATGAAACAAGAGAAGAAAAGAACCAATGCCCCTCCAGCGTTCTTAAGTATGGTGATAAGAATAAATAATTGTCCATGTCCGCTGCAGCACTTTCCTTTGACCTCACCCTGAGATCAAGCCTGCGATTGTCTCGAGCGTGCAAGTTCTCGTCTACTCTGAGATCCTTCGTTTCTTTCGACCCAGGAAGTTCTAGCAAGTTGTTAAGGGGCTGGGCGATTAGAAGGATGACTGTAAACGGCGCGAACGGGGTGAACGGCGTCAATGGCGCTCGTGCGAAGCACGATGTTTCTAGCTTGAAGGTCAACCAATCGCGGCTGATGGACGCTATCCATACTGGCTGCAAATATGGCGCTGCTCATCGATATGGAGAGTAAGTGTGAAAGCCCCCAACGCTCGTCGAAAAAGACTGGCCCTCATGCAGTATTCAACTAGTGACCCTGTCGAAACGGGCATGGCAAGGCTGAGTCTTAACGACGCGGATAAGGACGTACGCGACTGGTTCATGGGCGTCACGGAATCGTTAAATTGCAAGACGAGTATTGACCAAATGGGAAACTTGTTCGCTGTGAGGCCGGGAAAGAACACAAAAGCGCCCCCGATAATGATGGGCTCGCATCTCGACACCCAGCCAACGGGCGGGAGATACGACGGCATTTTGGGCGTCAACGCCGGTCTTGAAGTCCTCCGCGTGTTGCACGAAAACAACGTCGAGACCGAAGGCAGTATCGGAGTGGTGAATTGGACTAATGAAGAGGGAGCCCGCTTTCCCATGATGGCAGTGTCGTCTGGCGTCTGGGCTGAGGCTGTGCCTTTGGATACTGCCTGGAATCTGCCTGAGGTGTCGCCAGGAGAGGACGGCCAACGAAAGACAATGAAGCAAGAACTTGAAAGAATTGGATATCTTGGGCCACAACCGGCATCATACAAAGCATTTCCAATAGCTGCCCACTTCGAACTTCATATTGAGCAAGGACCCATACTGGAGGTGGAAAACAGGAGAGTTGGAGTCGTCAAAGGTCAGTCGCTGCTGAGACCAACTACGGAAGCGCAATCTGACCATGCCAGGCGTGCAAGCATTCAAATGGTTCGAAATCACAGTCAAAGGCCGGGACACCCACGCCGGAACGACTCCTTTCCATGCCAGAATGGATTCCATGTTGTGCGCCGCAAAGCTGATCGTTGAGTCTAACACCATTGCAAAGAAGCTCGGAGGTCTCGCGACAACCGGCATTCTAAACCAGCAGCCGGGGTCGATCAACACCATGGCTCACACTGTGACCTTCACTCTGGATATTCGTCACACTGAGGATGCCAGACTCGCCGAGATCGAGCAAACCTGCCGATCGGAATTTGCGAGGATCGCAGAGAAAGAGAGCGAGAAAGGGTGCACGGTGGCATGGAAAGAATTGGTGGATAGTCCGGCAGTCAACTTCCATCCGGACTGCATTGCAGCCGTTGAAGCAAGTGCAAAGGAGGTGTGTAACGGCCTGCCCATGACTGCAGATGATGGACAGTTGTGGAAATATATGATCAGCGGCGCCGGTCATGACAGTTGCTACACAAACCGCCGTTGTCCAACAAGCATGATTTTTACCGTCACCAAGGACGGAATCAGTCATAACCCAAAGGAATACTGCAGTCCAGAAGACTGGTAAGTCATCGGGCTCTGTTTGGCAGAGTTGCCTGCTGACGAACATACAGCGCCATCGGGACCCAGGTGTTGCTCGGTGCCGTGCTCCGGTATGACAAACTTCGAGCCGAAAGGGGTGATCTCGCATGAAGCTGGGCGTGCGAAGGAATCCAAATGTGTAGCAGAGAGATTCAAAAAGACAAGCTGGGAGCTGGCAATCTTGCCAAGTTGTAACGCACCTAGAGAAGACACCGCTCTATTATTGGTTCTGTTGGCCGATCTTGTTATACATACCAAAATTCCTCACGGCCATGCTCATCATGCCCCGAAATGGCGCCTGTTGCATTCAAGGACAAATCTGGTGTACACGTGGTCCTTTATCACTGTCGCGTCTCGTTGAATACAAACACCGCCTTGCAAGCAGGACTCCTCTGAAACAAAGCACCACATAAGTAACTCCGGGTTAGCGTCAATATGGAGACTGTCCAGGGACTCCCGACTCATAATCTGGCAGATTCGACTTTGCCGCTTTTCTTTTTCTCCTCTTTTATGACCTTCGGTTTGGGAGGTCCAACCTGATGTTCTGGCTTCTTCCCATCTAATCTTTCGACCTCTTTCTCCCATTTGGTAAAGTAGTATCTCATTTCGTCTTCGCAGTCGCGCTTGCCCGTTTCTCTGCATCCTTTCAGATTGACCACCAAATCCCCTTCCTGCCACATGCTGTCGTGAGTACGCGTGAGGCCTGTCAACGGGTCTTTCGAGGGTGGTGTTGCATAATTGTAGGAATTGATCCACCGTTGCTCGATCAGCACCAACTTAGCCAAAACCGTGGGGTGCCATTGGACCAGGTGCTCGAGGGCATGGTTCTCTGCTTTTTGAAATGCGTAGGCACGGTACAACGGGTCAAACCAGGCATCTAAGAAGTAATGGGCCCAATTGTCTGGCGTTTTTGTACTGAACGGGGTGTTACGGAGGATAAACGAAGTATGCGCAAGATTGTCCATGTCTTGCGATAGTATTAAATGCGTACGTGAAGGCTTGAGGTGAGAGAATGTATGGATAACCGAGTCCGGTGGAACGACAGGAATGTCCTTGAGCATGAGGGACTCGAGCGGTTGCAGAACATGGGATTCCAGTGAGACTGAAGGGTTGGTTATGAAAGCATCAGCGGACAAGGACCAGAAAAAGGTGCTTGAGCCAAATTCCGTCAACGCATGTCGCAGTGCTGGTATCATCGACCAGGATAATGGGGAGGGGTCAACAAGGTCGAAATACGCCGTCGTGTTGGCATAGAAGTTTCTGTATCCTGGATTGCAATCAGCTTACCTAGTCTCTTCCCGATTACGATATGTTCTACCATGTCTTCTGGCATAATCATCTCGATTTGTTTTCACTATCCACATATAGTCTTCGCTCATGGTGTCATTGTCGAATACCGTGACGATCACAATATCTTGAGGCCCTTCGATTGCAGTTGCGCCATCATCGTGCCCACCTGTTAAGCCGAGCGAAAGAGCAAATCTGGCGACAAGGTACAACGTCAATATCCCCAGGACAAGGTAAGCGCCGATTTGGATTTGTTTTCGTCGTCTTTGGGATGTTGCAGTATTCAAGTTCCTGTTACGAACGTAGGGAGGAGGATGGGAGGTCTTGCGCGGTGGGAGGGCGAAGTGCATTATGAGCAGCTTGAGGGTGACTCAAAAAGACAATTCTTAAACGGCTACTGGTAAGGCCATCATCCGCATTGACACTTCATGATTCGAGATGGGTGTGGTGACGAGAAGTGGTGCCAGACGACGCAGTTCCCTCGGAAATCTTGCTCCGCATTTCTGTAGAGCCAGCCTTGCAGCCTGGTGGTCACAGCCTTGCAGCCTCACAGTCCAGGGGTCTCCTAGCTGGCTTGGAAGCTACTAGGGAGAACAAGGAGAATTAGGACAACCTTTAATATGCACACACAGGATGGTCCTCTCTTTGGTGGAAGGCCAGAAGGTCAAGCTGAAGCTGGCTCGTCTTTACGGTAAACTGTACTAGCTATCGAGGGTCTCAGTAGAGGGAAATTACTCGGATCAAATCCACCTCCTCCTGCGCCTATCCCAGCTGATTTCAAGCTAGCAGAAATATCTGTTGTATTTGTCTTCCTTGAACCCATCAGGTGCAGGAGTGAGGATGCACACAATACTTGATTTCTGATCTGCTCGTTTTCGAAGCCACACCTCAGCCTGCGCCCGACAAAGTTGCCTCGCGGACTTCGTAGGCGTTATGTTAGTCTTTTGACATAGCCATGGTCATGGGCAGTTGATGTATTGCCAGATAAGCTCTGAATTCGAGGTGACTTTGTAACCTATCGTGACGGGCATTGTGAGGTCGGCGGCGTCGTGGATGTTGAGGAGATGCAAGGTGGCTGCTTCTTGGTTCTGATCACGTGGAAAATCCGAAGGCCCATTCAGAATCAATTTGATGTCGAGAGAACCATAGCCTTCAGGGTCTGTTGGCTCCGGAATACCGGGGCAGGTGTAGACAGCATTAACGTTTTTTGATGTTTTGCCGTCGCTCGCTGTATTCGTGATGTACCTGTAGAGTAGATTGCAGTAGTCACTAGTCTTGGATGGATCGCCGCCGTTTTTGACGTTAACGTTCGCCTCGTACGTCAGACCGCACACCGGGCCGACAATGTCTGGATCGAGGTTGAAAGTAAGAAGATCATCAGTGAGTGAAAGGTCAGTGATTGTCTTGTTGCGGGCGACAACGACGGCTTCGAATCGGGCGAGGACCGCGTTGACCAGGACAAGGACGTAAGTGATTAAACTGAGAAAGAGCGTCATCTCGAGAACACTTTGGCGTTCGGATTTGAGACAAGAGCAAGGCGGGTTGAAAGATCGCTGAGGTCGATTGAAGACCTGCTCCGATGTTTCTTCTGGTAAAGAGAACGAATTTTGATGTGGCCGAGGGACCTTGAAAATCCAAGATTGCACGCGGAAGTGAAGCCTTGTCATTCACCTCCGCTCAACAAGAGGCCCGGTGCCGGACTAATGAGATACTGCAGCACCGAAACAGTGAGCATTCACTGTCAGATGAAGCGAGTTCCCGTTCTCAATCGTGTATTTGTCCATTACAACTTCAGTCGCGCCAGTCTCCCAATTACTCATATTTCACCAGACGCCTGGAAACATGGTAAATTTCTTCTTCTTGTACTTGTCACCAAACTCCTTGCGGTATCTTCGCTCCTTCTTTGCTGCCCATTGTCCCATCTGGAGCACGGAGATGACAAGGAAGATGAGTACTCCCCAGCTCAGGCCACTCAGAAGATAGACCCCAATCCAAGAGCAGGTCTCCGTCATATAGTTGGGGCAGGTGACAAGATTGAACAAGAAACCTTGGGGGATGCCTCGTTCGGTCCCTCCGGCACTTCGGAGTCCTTTCAATGTCAGGTGGGTTTGGAGATTGCCCAGCTCCCCTAGCAGGAAGATGATCAACCCAGGATAGAAGAGCAGTGGGTTGGGTTCTTGCGCTGCTGCGGAGTATGGTGAATAAATGAAAACTGCGATCATGAGGCCGGAAAGGATCCAGTAGTGGAAACTGTTCTTGAAAATGTTGCGGATGGGCATGGTAGCGGCCGAAAAGCGGTGAACAAACAGCGTCTCTAGCTCCCGCTTGACGAAGTGCAAGCATATCAACGCGCAGAGCACCTTTTGCAGCTGAGACGCTTCCTTGCTGGCAGATGGATAGATGTACGGTCGGACGGCCAGCATTAACGGATGTATCAAAATTGGACCCAAATACTCGACCAGGAAGACAGTTCGCCATGCCACCTGCATCCCAAGATCTTTCACATAGATTGTGCTCTGATCACGTAGACCGTTCTCACGTATCGACGTCTCCTTGGAGTTTGCCACGACACTGCCATCAGAGCCCTTGGTCACGCGCAGCTGGTGAATGGAATATTTGGTCTTGTGCGCGAGTTCTGAATACAACTTGGCCGTGGAGGCATCGGGGCTCAGGACGAGTGATTCTGGCAGGGACTTGATGGGCTTCCCTGCAGGAATGTGAGCACGCAGTCTGTCAAGGAAGGGGAGATTCTGCCCAGGTCTTGGTTCGAGCCTGGTTTGCTTACCTCGTGGCCGTACTTGCAGATTGAGGGGTTTCGATGCCATGTTAGCCGGCTGAGCTCCAGCAGCTGATAGAACACGAGACTCTGATGGGAACAAGCGAGTGTCAAGGGGATGAGGCGAGGACTACCGAATCACACTCGTAAGAGGAATGTAGATGTGGATTGCGGCTGTTAGCGAAAACAAAGCTCGTCGTGCGCAACGAACTAGTGGGTGTTTGGGCTTTGGAGCTTTGGAGACTCGGCGCAGCTATTTATTGGATGGAACCCCCTTTTCAGGCCCCGCCTTCCCCTTTTAAGAGACTTGCTGCTGAATTCGGCGCTATTCTTCTTGTGGCGCCATCTTGGACCCTTTAGTCCTCTCCAGCCCTTTCAGCCGTACAAGGGGCTGGCTGAGAATGTTAGGGTGAGTACTGGGTACGATTACAGAGTATAGTTGACGGGAAAGCACTCTTATTATAAGCTCGGTTTCTCTTCCTCCTTTAGTTGTCAACCTCCTCTCCCACTGACGAAAGCGGGCGGGTCAATTGTTGGTGGGCTACGAGGTATTCGTACCGCAACCCTTATTCCACCTTCGATTCGCTATCGATATCCTTTTTCCCATTCTTTGTCTCTAGCTGGTCGAGCCCTTCTTTCCGAGCGCTCTCCGGAAAGGATCCAAAATGCCGTTGAGCTTATCAAGACTTAGGGGTATGCTATGCATCCCTGAAAACCCTGAAGATAACTCAAAGGCGGCAGGATCCAAGTCAGCCAAGGAGTCTCAGCCTGATAAGACACAGGTTTTCCAAGAGCGACCACGTTCGAGCGATTCCAACAGCTCTTCGTCGACTAGTGAAACCAAGAGATCAGACCAGATCTTGGACGTGCTCAAGAATTTCAATTTAAAGAACCTCAGGACCGTCAAAGATGTTGCCTTACAGCAAATTGACGGCGAGCCTATCGACGACAAGACGTATCTTATGGAGCGAATCATCCAGCTGGCAGCGGATCTTCCAGTCTCGAGCCGGACTAGTGCTACTCTGACCAATGCCTTTCTGAACCAGCTGTGGACAGACCTGAAACATCCGCCTCAGTCATATCTGGGAGCCGATTACATCTACCGCAAGGCGGACGGATGCAACAACAATATTCTCTGGCCGCATCTCGGGGCTGCAAAACAGCCCTATGCGCGAACAGTGCGACCCAGGTTGATGCAGCCTGTTGCGCGGCCAGACCCTGGGGTCATCTTCGACAGCCTTCTGGCTCGGAAGAAGTTCAGGCCACACCCCAACAAAATATCGAGCGTGCTCTTCTATGTTGCTTCCATCATCATTCACGACATCTTCCACACTAACCACGAGGACTACAGCATATCCGATACTTCCTCGTACCTAGACTTGGCTCCTCTTTATGGCAGTTCTGCCAAAGAGCAGGAGGCTGTCCGGACCATGCATGATGGAAAACTGAAACCCGATTGTTTCTCGGATGTGCGGATTCTCGGCTTCCCCCCAGGCGTCGGTGTGCTCCTCATTCTGTTCAACCGCTTCCATAATCATGTAGCAGAGAATCTTGCTCGCATCGATGAGAACGGCCGCTTCTCGAGGATTCTCAATCCACAAGGGAGACCGAGGCCAGCCAACGCCGAAAAGCTCTATGACGAAGCTTTGTTCCAGACAGCAAGGCTGATCACTACTGGACTTTACGTCAATATTATCTTGAAGGACTATGTCCGAACAATTTTGAATCTCAACCGGGTGGACTCGCTATGGAACCTCGACCCGAGGTCTGAAGAGGGCAATGCAATATTTGGCTACAAGATCCCTGAAGCCACTGGGAATTCTGTTTCGGCGGAATTCAACCTTGTCTACCGGTGGCATTCTTGTGTCTCCGAGAGAGACGAACAGTGGACAAAGGATGCTTACACTAAATTGTTTGGCCATCAATCCTCGCTGTCCATGGGTCAGTTTCTCAGTGCTCTTACTGAGTGGGCCAAGAAATTAAACCCTGATCCTGTCGAGCGAGAATTTGCTGGTCTTCAGCGTCAACCTGACAACAAGTATCCTGACCAGGATCTGGCGGCTATTTGGACTGCATCTGTCTCGGACATTGCGGGTAGCTATGGAGCCTCCCACGTGCCTGCAATTCTGAAGAATGTGGAAGTGCTGGGAATCATTCAAAGTCGTTCTTGGAATCTGGCGAGCCTGAATGAGTTCCGAGAATACTTCAAGCTCGAGCCCCACAAGACCTTTGAAGATATCAATCCCGACCCCTTCATCGCCGATCAGCTACGACGGCTCTACCGCCATCCCGACAACGTCGAAATATACCCGGGTGTTGTGGTTGAGGCAGCCAAGGAGGCTAAGCTACCTGGCAGCGGCCTGTGCACGAACTTCACGACCTCACGAGCGATCCTTTCGGATGCAGTCGCATTGGTTCGCGGCGACCGCTTCTACACCATCGACTACACCCCGAACAATCTAACAAATTGGGGATTCAAGCAGGCAGACTATGACCTAGCCATCAACTACGGCTGCGTCTTCTACAAGCTGGTGCTGACTGCGCTGCCAAACAGCTATCGACAGAACTCTGTGTACGCGCACTACCCATTAGTGATTCCAGAGGAAAACAAGTCCATCCTGACCAAACTGAAGAAAGCTGATCTGTACAACTTTGACAAGCCATCTCCCCTTCCCCAAACTTTAGCACTGAGCTCTGTTGAAGCCTGTAGACTCGTAATGCACGGTACGTCTGACTTCCGCTCATCTTGGGATGCGCTGCCCTTCTCCTCAATTCAGGGCCTCCAGCAAAGTCGAGAAAGGGGATCAATTGTGGCCGATAAACTGCTCCAAATTGAAGGACTGCAGGCCGCCGCAGATGCGTTCTATAAGGACGCCATCTCCGCTCTGCTGCGGGACCGTGCATATCAGCTCGCAGGAAGTCACCAGGTTGACGTCGTTCGAGATGTTTTCAATGTGGCTCATGCGCAGTTTGCTGCGAATCTTTTCTTTCTGCCCATGGGGGGTAAGGGGAGGTCTCACGACAAGTATGACGAACAAGACGTCATCTCCCTCCTTTCCGCCATATATGGCTGTGCAAATGTGGAGCAACCTGCGCGGCGGTTTGCCCTTTTTAAGAAGAAACAGAAAGCGGTCCTGCAATTTGCAGGGCGCCTGCAAGACGAAGTGGGCAGTGGAATCAAAGGCAATTTCAGCCTTCACTCGCACTCGCCAGTACAGCTTCGAAGCCTTGCGGCTCAGGTGATCCAAGAAGTATCGAAGAGTGGACTCTCTCCCACCGAAATCGTGTGGTCTCAACTGCTTCCGTTAGCAGCTTTTGTCTTTGTCAATCAGTCGCGAGTCTTTGTCGAGGTCCTTGACCACGTTCTCGGTGAAGGTGACAAGAAGACAGATGTCGCAGAGCTGAAGCAACTGCTAGATCAAGAAGGCTCATTATCAGGCAAAGCTCAGTCCTACTTTCGCGAGGTTTGCAGAGCGCGACCGTCGACGCCGATCTTCAGAGAGGCAACATCTTCGCACACGGTTGTCGATAGAGAGGAACAGCTCCAGATTTCTGCAGGGCAACGTATTCTCTGTGACATGGTAAGTTAAGCTTGCTTTCAGTGAGGATGCTTGTGCTAAGAGTAAATAACAGACTGCGGTGAACCGTAACAGCAGTGGATTACCCGATGCTGCACCAGGCCAGTCCATCGACCCGCTTGCAGTATTTGGCGGCGAAATATCCCTCGGGGCTCAGCTGAGTCTTGCAAGTTTGGGATCTACCCTTTCGATCCTCTGCGGACTTGAGAAGTTGGACAGAGCAGTTGGGCCAACGGGCCAGGTCAGGCGGCTAAACGAGGGCACGGTGGTGAATTATTTGAACGTCGAAGAGAGCATGGTTCAATCGTATCCAGCGTCGATGATGATCAACTGGCAAGGATGAGGGGTGGAGCGTTTATTTGAATTGGACCCTCGGCCGTTCTTGGAGATGTCGATATGTACCTACAAGTAGGTGCCTCGTACAAATGATATTACGAGGTACGTAGAAATGATATTAGGGTACATCGGGGTTGTAGCCTGGTAGCCTGACAGGGCGCCTACCTGCGCCTATTAGCATAGGGCTAGGGCGCCCCTCCTCACCCTCCTCACTCCCCTCTCCCCCAACGACACAGGCATTAGCGGGTGCGGCTAGTGGGTGGCTAGTACCTAAGGGGAAAGGGCACGTCATTTTCCACTAGTGCCTCTAGAATCTCCAGGCCCAAAGCGCGTCAAAAAGTCAAGTAGTCGCCCGAACCATCTTCACTCGCCAGAAGTGCGGCAGGCAGTGAATCGCAGCACCAAAGAATCCACGCCACAAGAGAGAGACAGTTTCAGTTTCTTCATCTCTACAACAACCGCATTTGAGGCCTGCTCCACAACTTTAGACCTCATTTCTTTGCTTTCACCTGTTCGTCCTCGCTTCCTGTACACTACTTTTGCCTCTTAATTCCGCCCTGATTTCATCCTCAGACCGAGTACGGAGCTGCGTACAGGCACTGGTGATCGCCGCCTCGTAATTCGCAACACCTCTCTTCCCAGCAAAACTTCCAGCACTCCTTCGCACCGCAATTCCGCAGTCGATTCAAAACAGTCATTCCCTTTTCCGCTTTCACTCGGATCCCTCAAGTTCCACTTTGGTACCTGTATTGCTGCCAGCAAATCGTGCCCGGTCCCCAGTTTGCGAACCTGGTCCCATCATCTGGACTTTGCTCCCGAGAGGCTGAACACAACTTCACTCTTCTAATGCAGCCTCTGCTGCAACTTCACGGGGCTTAGCGAAGATGGGGAAGGTTACGAGGAAGCCGCAGGAGAAGCATAAGGCGTCGTTGGTGAGTCTTGTTCCCGTCGCTTCGTCTCGTGCTTCATCTCTTCGGCGGACAACGCTAACGTGACTGCGACAGTCCCCTGCAGTATCAGATCTGGTCAAGCAAGTTTCCACCGTCCCTTTGGCCGATCTTCCAGATGTCTTTCGCGGATGGTCGCCGAGATGGCCGTATCCCCGCGGCGATCTCAACAACTGGATTGAACCTCTCGATCGTTTCGACAGCATCCTGCAATCCTTCATCTCAAGATATGGCCTGGACAAAGGTCCCCAGACAATACCGTTCGGCTCGTCAGTGCTGCTTGAGGGGAGTCCTGGGATTGATGAGCAGGGATTGAAAGAGCGAGGATTTGGCCCAGACGGTGACAGAGAACTGGTCGAGGCCATCCTGGGCTTTTCAAAGCTTCTGGTTGAAAAATGTGCAAACCGAGCTGTCTACAATAGCACAGACCGCCTGAATGATCTGCTGCATACCACTTCGCTCTCGCTGTTGCACAGCACTCTGCGAATCACCTTCTTCCTGGCACAGCGATACGGCGGCATTCGCCCCTCCCCTCACGGTCCGAAATTTTATGATTTCGACTATGAGCGTATCCAGAGGCTGACTGCCCCCTTTGGACCACCGCCGGGGAACGTCAAGCGTGGGCCACCATCTCCGGTCAAGACTAAGTCCAAAGAGAAAGTCCCGCACGCTGGCGGCAGACCGAGGCGCGGCTCAGTTGCATTCAATCCGAACGACTTTCGGACTCTTTGCAAGGATAAGGACACTCTACAGCATGGTGACCGCGCCAAATCCTCGACAGCTGGACCTGATCGAGACTGGCTCGCATGGGCTCCCCCAATCAGAGTGTGGTGGGAAACCAAGAATTCTGAACAAGAGGCTGCCTCTGCCGACGCATCACAATCATCAGAGACCCCGTCCACTCCTACACACATCCGGCGGTCGGCGACAGGACCTGATACGGCGAATACCAATGGCGCATCTCATGAGATTGGCAGTAGTAGAATTGTCAATACACCAGGTGATACGGATAGAAACTTGAAAGTCCTCGAGTTTGCCCCCTCTGATCTTTCGGCCACCACCATTGAGACGATATTGCGCAACCACCTGGGTGATGATATGCCGCCGCAGGTTCGATACGAGCTGCTGCACCAGCTTCGCGTCACCAATGCTTTGATTACATCGCCGAGAACTCGAATGGAGCTTTTATCGGTGCGCCTCTTGGCCGTTGCTAGTTTAGCCAATGTCTTCAGCGAACCGGAACTCACGCAAAAATTGTTCTCAGTGGAGAAGCCTCAGGAATACATTCAACAGGTTGTTGGTCTCCTTCATGAACCAAAGAAAGGCCACGCATCTGTTCCCATCTACCTTCAAACTCTGGCCATGGAGACGATGACTTTCCTTGCGCATTCCAAATCTTTCGCATCTGAGATCCACGCCGCGTTGGGCGCAGGATCAAGTCAAGGCCTCCTTTCTCAACTGATTCAGAGAGGCTTGAACGACATCGCCAAAGACAACGACAGCAAAGATAACGCGGCCGGCGACGATTGGAGAGATGCTATCTTTTCCATGCCGAGGACTCTCATTGAGGTTACTGGGCATCATGGGCGTTCCAGCGAGGCGGTCATAGCGTCGAGCTTTATCACATCGTACCTCTCCGGTTTCAGTATCACCACGGCAAAGGCGATGAGGGTGCACCTGCGGATGCTCGACTTCATCAAAACCTTCTTCCATCACTTCAAAGATGGTCTTGCGACGTTACTGAGCAACCATGCTTTCGAGGCGATCTGCAATCTCCTGGGTACTCTTGTGACGGGTGCTTGGGACCTTCTCAATGCTGGCGAAGGTATACCGGCACAGCACAAGACGCGCGCTACGGACTACGAAATCCCTTACATGCACCAGCAAATCATTCGATCCATCATTGATATGATCAACGACATTAGCGGCCACCAAGGCGCACAGGCCGATCGAGTTCTAAGAAGCCTGGTCGATTCTCAAGCTTTGCTCCGCGCATTCCGACTTATTGTCGATCACCTAACCGCGTTCGGTGCGCATACGTGGAGTGAAGTCATCAAAGCAGTCTGTGGATTCCTCCACAACGAGCCAACAAGCTATACAGTGATATTCGAGGCCGGTATCGTCCAGAGCATACTGAATACAGTAAATCCGTCACCAATCCCCCCTGAAGACTCGGCAGACCAGAAACGATCGAAGACCATATCGTCAGTTCCTGAAAATCGTCCTCAAGGCATTCCACCTGTTGTCGATGCCATTGTCAACGTGTCCCAAGCCTTTGGCGCCATTTGCCTGACGAGTGCTGGCTTCGACTTGTTCAAGTCTTCGGGTGCCCTGGAGAAGTTCTTCGAGATCTTCGAGTCACCTGCGCACGTCAAGGTGCTCAACGATGCGAACATCCTGGCCTTGCTTGGTTCAACGTTCGATGAACTCGTCAGACATCACCCAAACTTGCGCACTTCCGTTTTGAGCACGGTGATGATCATGCTTGGTCGGGTGCGGCATATTTGCAGATCGCTGTCCGTCAGTTTCGGTGCAGGAGCGAAGCTGTGGCTCGGTTCGGAGGATGAGCTCGTTCCGTGTGGCGGATGTGAGGCTCTGTCGTTGGAGATTTTGCCGCCCATTGCAACCAATGTTGACAACCCCACACCCATCAGAACGATCGAATTGCCGAATGGAGACAAATTGGTTCTTGAGGATGAGATACTTCCACCAAGCAACGTTTCAATTACACCGAGCGACCAAGACGGTAATGGTCTTAAAGCCAGTGATTACGTAAGACCTGCCGTGGCGTTCTTGATGACTTTCTTTGAGCACCAGGCTCATTGCGCGAGCTTTCTGGAGCATGGTGGATGCGACCTTGTTTTGGACTTGATCACATTGCCTAGCCTGCCAGTTGCCACTCAACCTTTTGACAGACATGGAGGCATGTTTCAAGAACTGGCCGCGGCTGTCCACATGATGGCGGAGACCAAACCTCACGTTGTTATCCCGGCACTTGTCGACCGCGCGCGTTTTGCCTGCTCAGAGTTGAACCACTTCAGCCAGTGTCAGCCCAGAGACTGGTCTTGCTATTTTGAACCTTTGGTTAGAGCCGCGCCAGGCACCGGTGGTACGGGCAAGGGCCCTGCCCCAGAGCTGTCCGAGGTTGAGATAAATGGAACTCGCATAGTCAGAAGCATGATGGCAGTCTTTTGTCTGGCTCAGGCATTGAGCGAGATTTTCAACATTCCGATTTACAACCAGAGACATGTACAGAATTTCTTATTCGGCCTGGTGAACCTCGAAGATCTCTTCGCCGACATTGCGGTGATGATGGGAGCCATATCTGCTGCCTGTTGTCGTGAGGATGTCGCTCTTCAACGTTCGATTCCCGAACCATGGATTTCGGCAACACGCCCCGAACACTTCTCAACGGGTGACGATGAGGTGGACAAGCTCCTGAGTGTCCGCGATTTTACGTCTCGCTATACCGGCCAGTCGACACCTGAAAATGGAGAAAGTAACCCAGTCTCCGTACCGGATCCTTCCAAATTGAACAAGGACAAACAGACGCCATTTTTTAAGAATGTCCAAACTCTACGGTTCCTGTTGATCGAGACTCCTACTGCTATCACAGAATTTCTCTGCCGTCTCGGGCGCAACATGGCTGCTCGGCGACGACTAGATACCTTCACCAAGCAGAAGGCGACATTCGTGGCAAATGCTCTCGCGTCTGCTTATCTAACACAACTTCGACCATACTTCCTCAACTCCAAGACAACTCAGAACGCCGACGGCGAGGATACCCAACCCCGCTTCACTTATCTTGTGATCGCTCTCGATAATGTCCGGCGGAGCTTCTACGACGATAGTAGTTCGACGTCGAGTCCAATCGCAACACATCCAGCACGTCAAGGCTTTGTTGTTGAGGCATTCCGCAAAGCGGGAGGTATCAAGGTCCTGACAGAGATCGGCACGGAGTTCTTCGAAAAATTGAAGTCGTGTAAGGTCGAGCATGCCGAACTCTCTGCAAACACAGGACTCAAGATCTGTCTCGATATCCTGGAGGAATTCACTGATT